TTACACCATTTAATTATTTAAATTCAAAATTGTTATTATTTAAATCTCAAACCAAAATTCAAACTCCCATACAAACACACCCTAAGACAAATAGACAGGCATGTTGTTTCAAAAATTAAGATTGGGCATTACTCTTTGTCATTTAAATTTATACTTACTTTTCATTTTTTATTATCACCGAAAATTATTTTAGTTTTTTTTCATTTAGGAAAGAAATACTCCATCCATCCCCATTGAAATAATCTTTTAGAATTTTATAATAAATTAAAAAATAATAATATTTAACTAGTTAATGGAAATTTATAAGTTTTTGACATTTTTGTCTATTGCATTTATATATAAAGTACTTGTATATGTAATAATATGTTTAAAATTTAAATAAAAGTAAAATTGTATTTTGGTATTAATGTATAATTAATTTTATAGAATAGAAAAATAATATTTTTGAATAAGACATACGAAAATGATAATAAAGAGTGTATTTTGAGTTAGAATGGATAGAGTAAAAAAATAAATGATATTTTTATCTATTTTTTAAACATCCATGTTCACTCAAATAGATATACATTTCATTGAGGGAGAGAGTATTAAAACTATTTTTATTTTTGTCATTCCACCGTATTTGTATTTCCTTTATAAGAAAAATAATTATACATTATTATCACATTTTAATATATTATAATCAATATTTTTTTAATTTTAATTAAATTACTTAGCTATATTAACTCTAATCTATAATAATTTATATTAATATAATAATTATTTTAATAATACATATTTTAATTACTTATTAATCATATTTTATGTAAACTAAATTTGATGAAAAAAACATGAGATGGAGGGGTAACAACTAGTACAATCTCAAAGACGATAGAATTGCGTGTGCGTGATGTAAGATGATGATGATGATATAATATAGTACAGTGTAGTATGGTATACAAGACTTTTGTGAGAAAAATCACAAACAAACAGAGTAGAGGGGGGAGAGAGAGAGAGAGTGTGTGTGTGTTGGCCAACACTACGGGCATCATTTCTTTTTAATTTGTCCGATTCCCCTAGCGGACCCCACCATCATGTCTGCCCCTCTCCTGCCTCCCAACGCTACTACTGTTGTTTATTTATTTATTTATTTTATTACAATATGTATAATTAGTAAATATCTACGCTGGAAGCTTTCATAATCAGTAACAGAAAACAAAGCCCTAATAAGCTCTTTTTAATCTTTTTCAATGAAAACTCTATCAAAAATATTATTTATCTGTCCACTTGTATTATTTACATATTTTTATTTTTTACATTAAATTTAAAAATTTATACTCCCTTTCCCTTGCACAGTTACAAGATCTTATATAATAATTAATATTTAAAAAATAAATGGAACTCAACGGTAGGGATGGTAATAATTAATATTTAAAAAATAAATGGAACTCAACGGTAGGGATGGAAATAGGCAGGCCAGACTTGGCTTTAGGCATGGTCTGTATTAAAAATATCTAGTTTAAATTTGACCCGTAAATTTGAATTTTTTTTTTTTTTAAAGTTTGAGCCTGATTTTTTTAAAATTCTTGCCTGAAACTACATAATATTTTTATTGATTTATTTATTTATTTATCAACAAATTTAGTTAGAAATAAAAAATAAATAAAGTATAAACAATTATTTAATATATATAAAAGTTAAAAAATTTTATTTTTTATAATAAGTTTATAATTAAAATTATTTAATAAATATTATTATAGGATAGAAAGTTATTTTTAATATATAATTATAAAAGTATTTTTATAAAAAAATAATAATATTTAATGGGCTGACCTGCTAATTTAAAAAGCTTTTTTTAAGTCTAAACTTGTTCTATTTAAATAAAAGGACTTTAAGTCTTGTTTTATTTAATAGGCTTTATGTAAGCCAGGCCGTAGGCCCCTTATAGGCGGCCCGGCCTATTCCCATCCCTACTTAAAGGACCGATAGAGGAAATTTTTTGGTTGAGCTCATTCTATAACTGTTTTCTTTTTTGCGGTGAATGATTAACAATTGGACTGTCCAACCGCCTCCAAACAAACCCCAAATCGATGGATTGAACAATCAAAACCTAACTCTATATTCCAATCAAACCCTTAACACTCAGCGCACAAAGAGGAAGAATTTTCCGGAGAAATCAACGAGAGTAAACGGTTGAAACAAACACTAGAAAAATAACTACCAAATTCTCACCAAGAACTGCGCACGAAGAATAAGAGAGAATCGCACATTGGAATGAACCGATTTGGGTGAGAGGGGGTTTTATTTCATTATGGGTCGGGTGTTGGGCCAAAATCGGATTAAAGGGTTTGGGTTTTGGATTGAGTATGAATTTCGAGTCAAGTCAAAGTTATCCAACAATTTGGTCATTCGCTGGGTGGGTTGCTCCAGTAGAGATGCATCATAGCCAAGTTAATTATTTTTTGCCTAGTCAAGTCGCATAATAATTGTCCGAAAAGATTCAATTCATTAATGCAATAAACCTACACTCACAAACAAATATTAAGAAACTTTGCAGTCACGAGCAACCCCACCTCAAAAAGTTTACATATGTCATGATACCACTCAGAAAACATAGTGAACGCTTTTACCAAAAGATCTTATCACATGCTTGAAAACTTTAGAACCACAAAGACAAGCATACATCACACTTACAAATTCAACATCAACCACAAAGAAGCTAATAATATAGATTCGTACATATTATTGCAAAGAGATACAATGTTGTCGCATAGTCTAAGCAAACTCTATCACAAAACGTAGCACACTAACATACAGTTAAACAATCACTCAAATATTTTCGAAAAATTAACAAACTAAATTATTCACTTAGTCTAGAGAACATTCACAAAGGACAAAAACTACAAAGAATCAAATTCAAATCACAACAGTATGAATTGATTTACTCTACACGGAACCTTAAAAAATACATGGTAATATTCACATAAAAACATGTATAACTATTTTTCAGCACAAGACAAAAAAAAAAAAAAAAAAAAAAAAAAAAAAAAAAAAAGTAGCAATCACACTCATAACTAATTTTCATAAAGGGCATGTCCGCAACACTTATCCAAAGAGAACAAATAATAGATAATCCTACATCAAGTTAAAATGAAAAATTTCAAGGATATTGGATCAGAAATTTTTTTGCTGCACTTATAATATTTAAAGAAAAACAAAATTTCAGCATTATTTTTTCAAAACAAAGGACATAATTACATGTTCTAGACAACGGTGGTGACCACAAAGTAATATTTATTTCTTGGCATAACATCAGCATCAATAACCATTTAAGTGAAGTAGGAACTAATCATCAAAATAAAATATTGTTACGAAAAACGAGAAAAAAAAGCAAATAAAAAATACAGAAATTTTACGTGTTTCGATGACAGTGTGGCAACCTTCGTCCATGGGCAGAAATCGAAGAGATTTTATTATACTGATTCAAAGATTTACAATTATGTTATCAAATTAAAAATCATAGTTGTCTATTTATAAGCGCTCCAGAATACTCTAAACCAGCCTATTTGTTATAAGCCCAAAAGATACTCCCTAAACCCTAAGCTTATTTGTTATAAGTCCAAAAGATACTCTGCCAATTGAAATATTTGTTATAAGCCCGAAAGATACTCTGCCAATTGAAACAGCGGCCGTTTCGCTTTAGTTTCGTCGGGGCTAAATCCAAGTCCAAGTACCGGTTCAACAAATATAAATATTATTCCAATAATAACAAGTTCACATAAATATATGCAAGAAACAAACAACCAAATTAACCTAAATCTTCAATCAACACACTAAGTAATACACAGAAGATTTACTAGAAAAATAATATGAGGAATTAGTTTTATACCAAAATCGATTTATCACCGTCGATCGATTTCAACAGAGATTCTGCCAGAAACTTGAACTCTCGTTGCTTTGAGATATCGGCTTTGATATCACGTTATGTTTTTATATTATGTCAAACAACAAAAAAACTTCCTCAACCAGAATGTGTTCAAATATAATATACAAATCAAATGAACTCCCTGTTCGTCGTCTTAAGATTTTCGAAAGCAACGATGAGGACCCCAAATGAGGTGGCGGTCAACGACAGCTTCAAGTAGCACCACAGAACATCACCCAGCAATTCAGCGGACAACGACCCTACTATGGCACCTAACTCTACACTCCGATTAAACCCCTAAGACTCAGCGTACAGAAAAGAAAAACTCACTGAAAAAATAACGAGAGGAAACAAATGAAACAAACACTAGAGAATGAACCTCAAATTCTCACATAAAATCGCAACGAAGAATAAGAGAACTCGCACATTGGAATGAACTGATTTGGGTGAAAGGGAGGGTTTATTTCATTGTGGGCGGGGCTTGGGCCAAAACCGAATTAAAAGAGTTTGGATTGGGAGTTGGGTATGAATTTCAAGTTGGGCCAAATTTCAACAAATACTAATATTTTTATATTTATTTATTATTTTACCTTCATTTAATTATATATTTATATCTAAAAGTAAAAATAATTTAATTTTTATACTATTATATTTACATATTTACTATTAAAAAATATTAATAATTTTTAATCTGCATAAAAAGTGAGTAATATATATATATATATATATTATAGTGCTACTGTATGTATCTTCTAATATGTTACTCCCTTTAAAGAAATTTTTTTTGGTGTAATAATAACTGGATGGCACTGGCACTGGCACTGGGGACGATTTGTTATTTGTCCGCCGTATAAATTGAAAACAATAAGCAAGTACTCAAATAATAATAATAATATAAATTGAAAACGATAAGCAAGTACTCAAATAATAATAATAATAATAATAATAATAATAATAATAATAATAATAATATTCCCTTAAGTTACCAAAAAATTACTGTATCACTAGTTATAAGGACAACTACTGGAATCCGGATATTGCAATATTAGACGACAGTTCATTTCACTATATCCTAAACAAAATATAACAATAAGAAGAAGAAGAAATAGTGATGCACGATATAAAAAATTTAATAGTGACACGTGTTTGTATAGCAAAGTGGTATGATCATATTCATATTATATGCGTCTAATTACTTGTGGCTAGCAAGCGCATCTTCTCCCTCCTCTTGAGTGTTCAGTTCCAGAGATTGATTCTGGAATCCTTTGGAGATCACTGCATTGCATCAGATATATATATAAGAATCACCATACATGTATGAATCAAAATGCTATGAAGTAATTGATTAAGTAATATAATGCTGGTTCAGAAGAAGCTGAAGCTGCAACTGCAACTGCAAGCTCGCTCACCAATGGGACGGCATTTCTTCATCCAGCTGCCAACTGTTGTACGTTGAGCAAATTAATTAAAGTGAATGAAATGTATCAATTAAATGAAAGATATACATGTGTGTGTGCGGTAGGTGCTAGGTGCTAGGTGCATGCATGATGAATGTATCTACATATAAGTAATAGTAGAGAGAGGCAGGCATACATGTTTATGGGATCGTTGGCGAGGGCGGTCTGGGCTGCCTTGAAGAATGCAGCATCCACATTGTAATTTTCTTTGGCTGATGTCTCGAAATATGGTATGCCAGCCTTCGACATGCACCACTCTCTTGCTGTTCTCTCCGACACCTGAAATGAGTTGTAGATGATGTACGTCGTAGCTAGCTAGGTATACGATCAGATCAGAATGTGATATATGGTCTTAATTACTGCTTCGATCTACTGCTACTACAGAATGGATCAGATGATGTTGTTGATCTTACCACGCGGCTGTTTCCACCATCCACATCCACCTTGTTCCCAATAACCACAAATGGGAATGTCTCTGGGTTCGCAGGCGGCTCTACCTAATATCATATACAATATATAAATATAAATTAATACCCACCCTAGCTAGGTAATACGATACATATATATACAAGATGATGACTATTGACTGGCCTGTTTGAGGAAATCCTGGAGCCAATTCTGAAGCATTTCGAATGTCGTGTGCACGTTAACATCATACACAAGAATGCAGCAGTCGGCGCCTCTGTAGAAGGCGATGCCCAGGCTGTGAAACCTCTCCTGTCCCGCTGTGTCCCATATCTAATCATCCATATAATCCATAATCATCGTAACATCATATCATATATTCATTCCTTCCAAATGGACTTGATGACCATCTATCTATCTATCTATATATCGATCATACATATGTATGTATATATGTAAATGTAATTCATGAATAGCTGCTAATTAAATATTACACCACGCACTTGTAAAGTAACCAACTTGTCGTCAATCTGCACTTCTTTGGTGACGAAATCAGCGCCGATTGTTCCTTTGTACTGCGCGCTAAATTTTTTGTGTACATACCTGATCATTTCTCAGTCAAGGGGATCCATTATCGTCTAAGCGTACTATACGCATTATATATACACATGTAAGGATACTGATTGAGCAAAGACGTCTTCCCCACGCTGAAATGGAAAATAAAGTGTCACTTAATTATTTGAAAATAATCCTGATTCCATTCATGATCCATTATAGTGAATTAAGAGTACAGGAGACCCTAAATTAAAGGAACGATCGATCATGTATATGATACATATATATATATATATGTATGTGTGTGTGTGTGTGTGTGATATTGTAGAGTACGTACCCGCTGTCCCCAAGGAGGATGATCTTCAGCAAACTTCTTTTCAAGGTGCTCATCCTGGGTGCCCACCCCAGACAAACTTAATTTGATCCTATATATCTAGCTACTGTATGATGGCTCTTTTCTAATAACAACAATACTAATTGATGATCATGTGTGTGTGTGTGCGCGTGGGAGTGATGGCTGAGTAGAATCTTCAAATTGAAACTAAAGAAGATACATACATCGATATATATATATATATATTGAGACAATTTAGTGAAGTAAAAAACAATGGTGATTTAGGGATTGGAGAGCGAGCAAAAGAGAGAGAGAAAGCTACATATAGATAGATAGATAGATAGATACAGCTGGATATGAAGAGGAGTCGTGCGTACCATCATCGTCATCATCATCACCATCATGTTCATGTAGTTAGCAAGGTTGATGCTTTATTTCTTTAATTTGTACAGTACAGACACAGCTAGCTAGCTAGCTAGCTGCCTCTATTTCAGATGTATTCTTTTCTTAATTATTTTTTACATTCGGATTGGAGGGAGGGAGGAGGGATGCATGTCTGATTGTTTGATCAAGCTAGGTATTTACATTAATGAATTAATTAATTTGGCCTGCTGTGCTCTAGATATAATTAACTCTATTGCATACATTAATTAATGGAAAAACTGTTTTGTAAATTTACTTACCTCCTTTACCATTTTAGTTTTATAACTAAATTATGTATTGAATTAGTGAGATTGTATGGATAACACCTATTTGAGAATCATTTAAAAATCATAATTGGATTTTATATTTGCCAAAATTAACTTTCAAATGTCAATGTTATTTACGTGTTGTTATCCACACAATTTCTGGCGTACCACAATGCTGTCATGTCATCACATATGACGCCTAAGGATTATTTCTGTCAAATTTTTTTATTTGTGAAACTAATTCAATACAGAATCTAGTTATAATGCAAAAATAATACAAGGTCACGCACCGAACTAAAAAAAAATGTTTATCCTTAATTCATTAATCAATATGAAGTAAAAGGAATTCATAAGATCTATGTTGATCTGAGTTGAATCAGTGTGCCTTGTAACTGCTATTTTTCTATTTAATGGTTCATCTTTCATGTGACCTCCATGATCTTTTATATATATTTAATTGAAATAAGCAAAAATAAAAAAAAAAAAAACAATAATAATAGTAAAAAGGTTCAAAGTGGTATAGCAACCTTTTATCTTGTGAGTTTCACATGTCAAGCGGTTGAAAAAATAATTAAAGGTGAATGGAAGATGTTCTTTCCATTTTAATGATTAATATAATTAATATCAGCTAGGGTTTAGGAACAAACTTGAAACTCCGGTCCCTAAACAGTTAATGTTACATCATAATAAAATTTGTATATATCTTAAAACAAAAATATTTTTTAATACACGAAATTCGGCCCATTAAAAAGGGCGAATTTTTAATTAGCTTCTTTTCTATTTTTATTTTTATTTTTATTTTAATTAGCTTCTTGTCTATTTTTCGGTCCAATAATGAAACAAATTTCGTGCAGTTAATCCCATGCGATTTTTCGGCCCAATAGTAGAAGTATTTCATGCAGAGGTCTGTGTCTGTGATTTCCAACCGACCGAAATCCTTACATTACAATTTCCTTATTTTTCATGAACTGATTACAATTGTCAATAAAACTCAATTCACCTTATTCTCACTCTCTCAATATTCAATCATTTCTCTTTTCTTTTCTTTTTTCTCATAGAAGCTACCAAAAATTTCCATACATGCGATTCTGATTTTTTCAATCAAATCTATTGTTCTTCACTGACATGCTCTCTCAATTTTATCATGAAACTAAAATATAAAAACAAGAAAATATTCAATCTAACATACTCAATAATAATAGAATTTATTCATTCACTATCTCTTTCCACCACCACAAAGTTTGTCACAATCAATTTTTGTTATTCCGGCGTATGGATAAGGGAGCTCAATGGGTTTTCTCCATCAATTCAACTGGATCTTAATTAGTCTGATCTATTTTTGGACCGACCACCTGTTATGATTGGTTGGACTCGAGACAAATTAAATCATGTTTGTCCATGTTTTGTTTAGCTCGCTTATAAACAATATCAACCAAAATCCAAAAACAAATACAATTCATTTTTTATTTTTTATAACGAGAGAATCCGCAATCGCAATTCGAAAGTACGCACGGAGTAAATCCCGACTGAATTTTACATAGAATTTGTTTCGCTGTGTGTGCCGTTGCAGGGGTTGGTTTTATACAAAACTAACGAACTTCTTTTATTAACATTACACAACACAACACAACACAACGAAAGGGTTTCTAGTAATTGCAGCTCCTGCAGGGATGGGAATGGGAAAGGCAAAGGCGCTGTGAAAAAGAAATGTTCAAAGATGTGGATGTGGATGTGGATGTTTTGTGTGTGTTTGTTCATATTCATGTGTATTGCCTTGTCATCTTGTCTTTTTTTTTAATAAGAAGAAACAAAAGGAAATAAATCACCCAGTAATTATTATATATAGACAATTAGATTGTTAGCATCCCACCCCACCGAAACAATAGGACAAATTCTTTTGAAAAAGATAAAAATAAAAAAATAAAAATAAAAATCATGATGATTCAAATTAAGAAGAGCAAGCAAGTGGGTGGAAATAATATTATAAGATATACTGAAAGGGTGAGCGACGAGGGACGCTGCCATTGAATTGCCCGAACTTGGCGCCGGCATTGATTGACCCACTGACGGACCATTTATTTATTGTTTATTTATCGACATATTACTAGTAGCTACCTACCTCTAATATTCTATAGGGGAGTAGTAGTATGTATGTCATTTTGAAATTAATTCAAAATCAGGAAAGTTTTCCTGTTCGACCTTATCTCTCTCTGTGTCCGTCTTTATCCACTAGCAAGCGAGAGATGAGATGAGATGAGATGAGATGATAATAGGAATAGGAATAGGAATAGGAATAGGAATAGAGACGAATAGCAGTTGGGCACCCTAGCTAGCTAGCTCAATTAGCATATAGCTAGGGAGGATAGCGCGGTTACTACTCGATTAATTGAATTATATTGTGATCCCACAGCTCATCGCTCGCTCGCCCGACCATCAATCAGACTACACAGGCAGGCAGGCGAAGAGCATGGCCTCCACCTGCAGTTGCTAATAAAATCCTAAATCCTGTATGTAAATAAATAATTCTAGTGCTTGCTTGCTTGCTTCTTCAAAGTCAAAGCATTTCTTCTCCACAGAGGCAGAGAGGGCAGGGGAGCATGTCGCAGCATCAATGGTGGAGGCAGGTGTGGAATCACCCGGCAGGGCCGAGGACGATCCACTTCTGGGCGCCCACCTTCAAGTGGGGCCTCAGCATCGCCAACGTCTCCAACTTCTCCAACCCGCCCGACTCGCTCTCCTACCCGCAGCAGACCGCCATCGCCCTCTCCGGCCTCATCTGGTCCCGTTACTGCTTCGTCATCTCCCCCTGGAACTGGAACCTCTTCGGCGTCAACGCCTCCATGGCCTGCACCGGCTTCTACCAGATCTCCCGGAAGCTCCGCCACGACTACCACCTCCGCCCATGACCCGACCCGCTCTCTCTCTCCCTCTCTATCTCTGCATATCACATAAGCTGGACTGGTGAGGGCTTTGTATTGATACACAAATTTAATCTAGTATGTGCTTAATTACATGTAATAATCTTTGGTTAAATAAGGGCATTTATGGCGATTTAAATTATGTATTATTTTTATGAATCAACAGTGGAGATTAATTTCAACAATGGAAATTGTTCATTTATGTATTAGTTGCCTAGGATAACAAATTCCAAACTTGTTAACATGATAAAAATTTCATTCATACTGTGAGATGTTTGCTGTCTCGATTATTTTAAGGGAATCGCATTCTCGACATTAGAGTTGCTAGTTATATGGTGGTGACTGGTCCAAGATCAAGAAACACTACACAGCACTGAGTCAGCGAGTCTCATGCGATGATGGCTGTAATAAGGACTCGATCATTCGTTCCTTTTGTTTTCCGATATCCCAAATTAGTTATTAAATGGAGCAGGTGCCCTAAATCATTAATTATTGTATCGGCTCACTCAAAATTATGCATGCTAATAAGTTGGACATTTGATTGATAGAAAAGACATGCCGCCTATGGAGGATGTCTAATGGAAAACAAACTGCATAAGAGACGGGAGGATTGAATTATGTGACCAAATGGGGGAAAGAACAGACGACTTAAAAGATTTATGTAAAATGATATTTGATTCAAATTTCATTTCTCATACGTGTCCATGATATTCTGAATGTTTAAATTTTCTAGAGAGGAAATTAAGAAAATAGGTATAGTTATAATAATTCGCTCTATACCCGAGCTGCTGCTCTAAATTGTTATCCCTATTTTCTTTTGACCAATTTTCATGGATGCCCCTCTAACGCCGCCCGAACCTCCGGGGTCATCCCCGCCGTCAATCAGGCGGCGGAAATTCCATTTAGCTTCAGATTCTGCATCATCAGCGTCTTCGAGTAATTGTTGCTGTGCGACGTCGTATTCTCAAAAGGGGATCAAGATTTCGAGAAACCCTAGAAAAATTCAGGTCGGGCCCTTGAAGAAGGGCCGGAAAAGCATCGGCGGCAGTGATGTCGACGCTCTCGCCCTCCCTCTGGGAATGTCAATTGCCGCCGTCGTTTCTCAGGTTTGCACGTTCCAACTCTCAACCTTCATATTATCTTATTGTAAAGTCTGAGATGAATTTCGTGGAGATTCGGGTTGCTTTGATCAAGATACACACTTGATTGGTTTTGTGGAGAAAGATTTAATCTTTATTGTTGGAAGCTATTTGGATGAAGGGTTTTTCTCATGTCAAAGTTTCTGACAAAGCGCCTTTTATTTTTTTCAATTACATTGTTAGTATGAGGGGAAGAATTCAAAATCTTGATTGTGGATGATTTCTTTTTATTGCTATATTGTGGATTTTATGGAGAAAGTTTGGTCTTTATAGGGGAATATATGTGCTTTGTTGGATTTCATTTCATGGCGTTTTATTGCTACGGATTCCGGATTTTGCATCATAAATATTGGATGACTTTTGCAATGTAGTCTGGTGATCCTTCTTTCTTGGTCATGCGGTATTCCTCTTGCTTGTTTTTACCACGCATTCTGTAGTGTGAGACTGTAAAAGCATTTATTCGTGTATGTATGTATTTATGCATCTATGTTTCATTGCAGATATCTCTATTTATTTCAATTAGTGTGAATTTTTCTGTGTTATAATACAGCATCTGTCGCAAACTTTTGTTAGGTTTTGGTGAGGGAAAATGCGGCTGGTGGGAGGATGTCTGTTGATCGTGTGTCTGAGGTACTATCTATACTCTAGCCATCTTTGGAACTTTGTTGACATCATATTATTTTACTTGATGAATGAGTGAGTCGTCTGTATTTATGCTAATGAAGGTAAAATCATTTCTGCATCTCCCTGTATTTCCAGAATAAGAGTATCTAGCTTTTGCATTCGCATTGTAATTAGATGTCTGCTGACTTGAATCGCTAATCCATTCCAAGAACGACCAAACTGAGGTGGCCAGTGTCATATTTGCTGCATAGACTTAGACTATTAGTCTTACAATTCTGCAGTTGCTGCATGTACGTCCTAGTACTTCCATATGTTTTGTGTACAAAAATCTTACGAAATTCCTTGGCTACTCAACTTGCAGATCTGCTCCTTAGCGGTGAGAGAATCTTTATCAAATGTAAGACTAACCTTCAAATTTCTATTGCTTTCCGATGCTGTATATTTCGCATGGAATATTGTGCTCCCCTTTTGAACTGTTTATTGCTTGGCTGAAGCAGGTATTTGGTGACAAATTTGATAACTTTGTCAGAAATTTTGAGAAATCATTTCGTAGTACCCTGCTGACTTTGAGATTAATTGAAAATTCATCTCAAAATGTTGGAGAACAATTTCATGGGAATATGGGAGAGCTTTTATCTCTTGACAAACCACAAGCCTCTTCATGTCATTGCCAACCTACTGATGTTTCAGAGCCACATAATGATAGAAAAAGGACTGATCTACAGCAAAGGGATGGATATCAGGAGAACTCTTTTGCAGGAGTGAGGAGGGTATCTCCTCTTGATAGAGTAGAAGATTCCGCTTGTATGGATAACTCTGATTCAACACCTCAAGGAAACATCACCAATAGCCCGAGCAGCCCTCACAAGCAAATGGATGAAAACATAAGGACAAACTTGACAAATCAACAGCTTGTTCTGCATGACAAGCAACTGGACAGGCAGCTCTCAACCTCATCGAGCTCGGGTATGAACCAGTCTTCAATGCTAACCACTATCGAAAAATCTGTCATGGAGCAAACTCGTTCAAATGATCTCAAGGCGTTTGAGATCGGTCTCATCATGAAAAAGTTGCAGCTTAAGGAAAAGCAACTCGCACTCAGTTCTCACGCAAATGTCCTGGAGAGGTGGAAATTATCTGTGGGTTTCTCAAAGTCATTCTTCAAAGCTGAAAAATTCAAAACGCAGTTACAAGACAGCAGACAGATTGAGCTCCTTAGAAAGTGTTTAGACTTTCTTGTTGCTGGTCTAATCACCATGTTACTATCAATTGCGTATGGAACTTATGTGTATTCGCACCGAAAACTCATTGAAGCCACTGAAGCTTGCTCTCCTTACACTGTAAGTATTTCTTTTGTTCACGGATCATATTGGATATATCTTTAAATGTGAAAACACAAGAGAGTCGGAAGGTTATATTAGCCTTGTATACTGGATGATACTATATCTTTTGCATTTCAGGAATCCAAGTCTTGGTGGATGCCAAAATCAATGGCAACTTTCAACACAGGCCTACAACTGGTGGCATGCCAAATTCAAGTTTGGAGTCGGATGCTGTTCGGTGTTCTAATGATTGTAGCCATCACCTTCTTACTCCTTCAGAGGTCATCGGCTTCACACCAGACCATGCCCGTCACCTTTCTGTTGCTCTTGGGAATCGGGTGTGGCTACGCTGGGAAGTTCTGCATTGATACATTGGGAGGCAGTGGATGCGACTGGCTAATGTATTGGGAGGCTTTATGCTTGTTGCATTTCTTCGCCAATACTTTCAGCTCGGCGCTGTATTTTATCCTCAACGGACCCATCTTGGTTGCGGAAAGGATGGAGCACATGACGAGGACAACAGCAACAATGTTTCCATACTGGATGAGAAGGACACTCTTTTTCACTACGCTGATAGTACTGCCATTACTTTGTGGCTTGATGCCTTTTGCCAGCCCTCCAGAATGGTTCGATCATTTTTCATCGAGGACCTCAGGTTTCATGGAATCCTTGGATGATTGATGATGCCTCTCTTTTATTTTTGGTGTGTGCGCGAATTTGTATGGTGTTTTGTAGGGGCAAGATGTGCACCATGTAATGATGGCTACCAAACACTACACTCTAATTAAATTATAATTAATCCGACTAAGCCTGCGGTTTCCAGAGGTGCAGTGCTTGGGTAAGATCATAACGGGCCATATATGCACGAGCAAGTCACAGCCGTGATTCCAAAAATTCACTCAAATACACAGCTAGCTAGCTCCAAGGAATCAATCTAAAATATGTACAGTGGTTTAGCTAATTACGCTACGAAATACTGTAGCCTGTAGATTCAGTTACTTTACCGTGGATTCTTCTGACACTGTCATACAAATATAAAAGCAAAAAAATGAAGAATGACAACGTTTATAATATCAACTACATCCATCAAACATTCAAACTAAACACTAGCATAGTTTGTCTTCCAGAGATACTATATATTGACCCTGCTATTGAAGTGAGACGTACCAGAGCAAGCATAGCAACAAATGTCGAAAAAGAAAAGTCGAACATGCAATTAATTAAATGCACACCTAATATTCCCTCTTATCACAAATTTCAGAATTAGATGTGACTTCTTTGCGAATGCATTCAAACATTCAAATAATGACAACAATCAATGCATCCATGAACCCGATAAGTCGTATGGATTATCTTAGTATAGTTAAACCTATACTAGGCCAACCCAACCATTGGAAAGGAAAACACTTGTCCAAGCATTAAAGCAATGGCCTGGTGGAATTGGGTAATCTTTGGAGTGATGGCATTTTTCCATCTCCTTCACCGCCGGCTTACCCAGAAGAGAAAGTTGCCTCCAGGCCCGGCAGGGCTCCCAATTATTGGGCATTTCCATCTGCTGGGAAAGAACCCACACCGTGACTTGTGCCGTTTAGCCCGAAAACACGGCCCGATCATGTACATCCGGCTCGGGATGGTCCCGACCATCGTCGTGTCATCGCCTGCGGGAGCTGAGCTCTTCCTGAAGACAAATGACACCAATTTTGCGAGCAGGCCGCTGTGCCAGGCTGCAAAACACATGGCCTACGACCATCGAACTATCGGATTCGCACCGTATGGCTGGCACTGGCGCAACATGCGAAAGCTTTGTATTTTGGAGTTGCTAAGCAATTTCAAGATCAGCCAATTCCGGGGCATGCGGAAAGCCGAGGTTGGGCGGCTCGTCGGATCGCTCAAACAGGCCGCTGACGGGCGGGAAATCGTGGATCTGAGCTCCAGGGTTTTGGACCTGACCCGGGACATGATTTGCCTGATGGTGTTCGGGAGGAAGTTGGTGGACGTGGATGGAGGAGGAGACATGAAAGGGTTTCGAGCTGCTTCCCTGGGGGCCACGGAGCTTGCGGGCCGTTTCCATCTCGCAGACTATTTCCCGTTTCTTGAAGTGGTGGATGTTGATCTGCAGGGATTGACTCGCCGGATGAAGGATCTGAGTAGGGTCTTTGACGGATTTATGGAGAAAATCATCGATGACCACAGGAGTCGGAGTACAGAGAGTAAGGGAGTGAAGAAGGCAGATGATGACTTTGTTGATACATTGATGGCAATTCTGGAGTCTGGAGACGCCGGCTACGGATTTGAATTTGATCGTCTCCATGTTAAGGCTGTGTTGTTGGTAGGTAATTTAATTTGATCCAGGGCCAGTGGTTGTCTATCTATCTATCTATATGATTTTATACATTCAAAATTGATTTAGGTTGTGCGCGCGTGTGCAGGAGATGCTGCTAGTAGGAATGGATACCTCAGCAGTGGCCGTGGATTGGGCAATGGCGGAGCTGATAAGGCACCCGCAGGTAATGAAAAGGCTTCAGAAAGAATTGGAAGCAGCCTTCGGAATGGAGGATGGGGTCGATGAGGAATCCCACGGCCAGCTGGACAAGCTCGAATACCTGGATATGGTTGTGAAGGAAACCCTACGGCTCCATCCAATCGCACCATTGCTGATCCCGCACGAGTCCTTGGAGGATTGCACTGTTGGCGGCTTCCACATACCAAGAAAATCTCGCATTCTGGTGAACGCATGGGCTATAGGGAGAGACCCGAGTGTGTGGCAGGGGCAGGGGCAGGGAGGTGATCCGGAGATGTTTTGTCCGGAGAGGTTTGTGGGGAGTGACATTGATCTCAGGGGACGTCATTTTGAGCTGATACCCTTCGGATCGGGGAGGAGGAGCTGCCCTGGGTTGCAACTAGGACTCACCCTGCTCAAGCTTGTGCTGGCGCAGTTGGTGCATTGCTTTGATTGGGAGCTCCCAACTCCAACTTCAAATGCTGTCGACATGTCCGAATGTTTTGGCTTAGCGACTTCCAGAGCCAAGCCCCTAATGGCCATCCCCAAATATCGACTGACGACTGACTAAGTAAAATGAAGTGGTGTGAACTATCGTCTGCCTATCCTTTATGCATCACTGATATACATGTATGTTATATTGATTGTAAAATAAAATACTCCTCCTCCTATGTTATTACAATCTTCTACAAAGGTGTGTAGAAGAAGGAAAATGATGGAGATGATTGATTGTACTAGTGATTATTATTATTATTTAGCAAGCTAAGGATGCATCGTTTATTCCCATATAATTAAAGTGGCTATGACGACGACACACACAAGATAGTAGTAGTTAGTTACTGGGACAACCTATAAACAGGTATGACGTTGAGATGGTCGGCCCTGCAAGTGACGATGCTGAAGATCTCCGACATGTCCAAGTCGGCGGGGCGGAGGCCGTCGGGGAGCTCCCAGTCGAAGCAGTGGACCAGCTGGGAGAGGAGCAGCTTCACCACCAGGAGCCCCACCTGCCTCCCCGGGCAGCTCCTCCTGCCCGCCCCGAAGGGTATCAGCTCGAAATGCTGCCCGCTCATGTCCACCCTCCGCCCCTCGAACCTCTCCGGGACGAAGCTCTCCGGGTCGGGCCACACATCCGGGTCCCTGAGGATGGCCCATATGTTGACCATGACCCGCGCCTTCTTGGGGATGCGGAACCCCTCCAGCACGCACTCCTCCAGGGCCTCGTGGGGGAGCATCAGCGGCGCGATCGTGTGCAGCCGCAGCGTCTCCTTCACCACCTGGTCCAGGTACTCCATCTTCTCCAGCTGCTCCGCCGCCGTCCCCACCATCCTGTCCCTGCCCCCCACCACCCCCTCCACCTCCCTCTGCAGCCTCTTCATCTTCTCCGGGTGCCTGATCAGCTCCGTCAGCGCCCAGTCCGTCACCGTCGCCGCGCTGTCCGTCCCCGCGATCAGCATGTCCTGCAATTAGTCAATCAATTAATTAGCTTCAAATAATTAAGATTTCATCATCAATCAATCAACCAACCAATGAATACCAGCAGTATAGCCTTGACGTGGGTCCGATCGAATTTGAAAGTGGCCTTGCCAGACTCCAGGATACCCATCATCGTGCCCACGAAATCCTCCGCCGGCGCCGGCGCCGCCGCCTCACTGCCCCCTCGCTTCTTCTTCTTCTGAACATGGTTGTCGATGATTTTCTCCAGAATCCCATCGAAGATCTTCGCCAGCTCCTTCATCTTCCGGTTTATCCCCTGCAGATCCAAAGCTCCTACGTACGGGAAAAAGTCCGCCAGATTAAACTTGGCGCCCAGCACCGACGCCTCCAGGATCACGTCCTTGAACTTCTTATCGTCCAGGTCGTCGCCGTCCTCGCCGAACTTCTTCCCGAACAGCATCAGGCAGTTCATGTCCCTAACCACGGTCACCAGCTTGGTGCTGAGGTCCACGGCCTCTCGCCTCTCGCCGGCCTGTCTCAGCGACCTGACCAGCAGCTGCATCTCGGCCTCCCTCATGGGGAGGAACTGGTTGATCTTGACGGTGCTCAGCAGCTCCGCCGTGCAGAGCTTGCGCATCTCCCGCCAGTAGGGCCCGTAAGGACCGAAAGCCAGGTTCTTCTGCCCGTAGCTGATGTACTGGAAGCCGTCCTGGCGGGGCCTGCCGGCGAAGGTGGCGTCGTGGGTCCTGAGAACGAGCTCTGCGGCGGCGGGCGACGAGACGACGACGGTGGGCACGGAGCCCAACCTGAGGCCCATGATGGGGCCGTGCTTGCGGGCAAGATCGTGCAGCACCCGGTGCGGGTTGCTCCCCAGCAGATGAAGATGCCCTAATATGGGAAGCCCTCTCGGGCCGGGGGGCATCGCGTTTCGCGCCGTCTTTGTCAGCAGGATTCTTCGAAGGAGATGGATGAATATGAATGCAGCCACCGTCGCCCAAATCCAACCCATGCTTTCCATTGCCAGGTAGAGATCCAGAACGATATATATATCGAATTAAGTGTAGCTGATCGATGATATAATAGATTTTCTACGAAGATGCATTGTATTTATAGGTGGCTATGGGATTGAGCGCTGCTGCAGCTTGCTCTCCCTCAATTGATCAACGATTTTTTGTTGTTTATTATTATGATTATGAGAACCGTGCAGGTCGAGTTTGATCGAAATTAAGTAACCAGATTATTTTATGACAGGTCAAGTATGCCTCTTGAATTTGTTCATTCAATTCAATAGGCTGTGAGATCAGCCCAAATCTCTTTTTTTCTTTTAACAATTATATTCAAATACAAGTCGAGCTTTGAACCAATAACGAATCAATACTTTGATATAAACAAGCCCGATCTTATGGTATGTTGGCCAAGATGCAGTAAACAAATCATTGCCTGGGAATTCAGTTGAATGTCAAATGCTTTACCTGATCAACTTTGAACCTCTAACAATGAAGTCGTTTTTTATTTAACAAACGATTACGATCCTGTGACTTCTTGGCTAATAGCTCGCAATAAACAAATTATTACCAAAGTAATAAACTGTATTATTATTAAACAACGAATGCAATTCATGGATTGGTGGAAAATTACAATGACAAGAATTATCAATTTATCTGACAATAGTAAACAGCATGGAATAAACTTTGAAGCAATATTGATACACAAGTCAAGCCCAAAATACATATTTATATGCATATGCAAATGCAATGCTTGGTTTTATAATAAAGTCAGTCATCGTGTTACGTTATTGTTTTGAATGATAGTTTTAAAATTCTTCTTTTTAAGAGAATAATATTTTTAATTAAAATAATATAGATGGATATTTGGTTCATGTTTTTTAAGAACAATATCTCAAGTAAAAAATGAACTATAATTTATTTAAGTTTAAATTTAGATTTTGTTTTAAAATTTGATATTATCCGATATTAGATTTGAGTCTTATTGAATCTGTATGTAGGTTGTTTTTTTAATATAAAACTATTTTTGAATCTACAAAATTCTACATCTAAACAGAACCAAACAAGACGTGATTACTAACATTATGCTCATCCAAAAATACTAATATTGGAGTCCAGTAAAGAATAGTATGATGTATGAGATAGAACAAACATAACAAATAAATACGCATTAGAATTTTCAATTTTCATAGAGAAATGAAAATAGAAAAACAAAAAATAGTTTATTTTCTAATTTAGATCCTTTGATTGAAACAAACAAAAATAATAAAGAAATATAATTTTTTCTTATCCTTATTTTTCTGTACCAAAAATTCTAATAACAATGAAAATAATAATAATAATAATAATAATAATAATAATAATATATAGAAACCATCACAAATGTATGTAAGTTGTTTTCTTAGAAACAAATTAGCTTTTGAGTCAATTAAAGGAAGGGTGTTAAAATTACTGCTCTACATTCAATACTTGGGCTACCATTAATTACTGTGATGTAGAGTAGGCCCGTTGATGTATTTTTTGGGCCCCGTACCTAAGTGGATCATTGAGGTTTGGCCCAGATACAGCTGAGTGTAAAAAGCTGCTTAGACTAATAATAACACTTGTGCAGCTGCCTCGCATCGCATCGCATGCACTTATTCGTCATCTTATCTTCTGGTTCTCTCCTTATCTCTAAATCATCTCTCTACCTACGTGTTTGATGATGCTCGATCGCTACAGCCTACACAGTAGCAGTTTATTCAAAATCAGTGAGTACACATGTACATGAGGAAAAGTGGACAGCAGCAGCACCTTGGTAACTTGGAAGCTCAGCTCCACTGTGAACAGTTTCTGTGGTTGAATGGTTCTATTCTACTCTATTCTATTGTTCTACGTTGTTCAGCTCTCAGCTCAGCTCAGTTTCTGATCGAGAGACGCGCGCAGTTACGTTGTTGATTATATAATTACAGTATGTGCGTGCGTTTCAACAAAGGCAGGCCAGAGGGGAAGAAGATAGCTAGGGACGTCGTAGGCCATGACTTCACTTGTATGTAATTACGTACTAGTACAGTTATTAATTATTCTTATTATTATTATTCCAAAATGACGACTCGACTGCACTGCAAATCTGTAACCATCCATCCAAATAACAAGTATTATTAGGGTCGGGTCGGGTCGGGTAAGATTGAATGAGGAGGGAGGGAGCGAGCAGATGGAGATGGAGATGTAGTGAGCATTTATATATATATATATATATATATGCAGTCTGTCATGGCAGCAGCTATTGCCTAGCTATTGGGACAACAATCTATAAACAGGCTTGACGTTGAGATGCTCAATCCGACCGGTGACGATGCCGAAGAGTTCGGCCATATCCATGTCGGCGTGCTTCATGCCGTTGGGGAGCTCCCAGTCGAAGCAGTGGACTAGCTGGGAGAGGATGAGCTTGACCGCCGTCAGCCCCACCTGCCGCCCCGGGCAGCTCCTCCTCCCCGCCCCGAACGGGATCAGCTCAAAGTGCTGCCCCGTCACGTCCATTCGCTTGCCCCCGCCCGCGAACCTCTCCGGGACGAAGCTCTCCGGGTCGGGCCACACGCTCGGGTCCCTCATGATGGCCCATATGTTGATCATGATCCGGGTCTTCCTGGGGATGTGGAACCCCTTGAGGTCGCAGTCCTCCAGGGACTCGTGGGGGAGCATCAGCGGCGCGATCGTGTGCAGCCGCAGCGTCTCCTTCACCACCTGGTCCAGGTACTCCAGCCTCTCCAGGTGCCGCTGCTCCACCATGCTGCCCATCCCCACCGCGGCTTCCAGTTCCTTCTGCAGCTTCCTCATCGCCTCCGGGTGCTTTATCAGCTCCGCAAGTGCCCAATCCGCCACCGTCGCCGAGCTGTCCGTACCCGCGATCAGCATGTCCTGCAATTATATAATAACTAATTAATTAATTAGCTAGCTTCAAATAAGATTTCATTCTCAGTTAGTTAGTTAATTAATTAATTAATTTTACCAGCAGTATCGCCTTGACATGGGACCGATCGAATTTGAAAGTGGCCCTCCCCGACTCCAATATCCCCATCATCGTGTCGACGAAATCCTCCGCCGCGTCATCCCCCCGCTGCTGCTGGTTCTTGTTCCTGTTCCTGTTCCTGTTCTGCACGTGTTCGTCGATGATTTTCTCGAGAAACCTGTCGAAGATCTTGGCCAGCCCCTTCATCTTGCGGTTGATCCCCTGGACATCGAAAACCCCAACGCAGGGGAAGTAATCGGCGATGTTGAACTGGGCCCCAAGCTCCGACGCCTCCAGGATCACCTCCTTGAACTCCCTGTCGTCCAAGCTGCCGGCGTCGTCCCCAAACTTCCTCCCGAACAGCATCAGGCAGTTCATGTCCCGCACCAGGCTCAAGAGCATGGTGGTCAGATCCACGGCCTCCCCTCTCTCCCCGGCCTCTCTCAGCCTCCCGACCAGCAGCCGGATCTCGGCCTCCCTCATGGGCAGGAACTGGTTGATCTTGGCGGTGCTCAGCAGCTCCACCGTGCAGAGCTTCCGCATCTCCCGCCAGTAGGGCCCGTAGGGGCTGAAGGCCAGGTTCTTCTGCCCGTAGCTGATGTAATGGAACGCGTCCTGGGAGGGCCTGCCGGCGAAGGTGACGTCATGCGTCCGGAGAACCAGCTCTGCCGCCTCCGGCGACGACACCACCACCGTGGGCACGAAGCCGAACCGCATCCCCATGATGGGGCCGTGCTTCCGGGCAAGATCATGCAACGCCCGGTGGGGGCTCTTGCCCAGCAGATGAAGGTGTCCTAAAATGGGCAGCCCTCGCGGCCCCGGGGGCATGTTTCTCTTCTTCGTCTTCCTCTTCGAATTGAAAAGTTTTTGGAGGAGGTGAAGGAGTACGAATGCAGATAGCATTGCCCAAACCCACGCCGCCATGGTTAATCAAATTACCTAAGCTAAGCTAAGGTAAGCTGTTGTAGATGGAGAGTACTGGTGTGTTAAATTAATTAATGTGTGGATGGGAGCTAGCATATGATTGTACGTACGTATGGGTGAAGAAGGACGGAAGGAAGGACATTGTGCAGTACCCAGAGATACACATAGATCCATATATACACTTGATAGAGCTAGGTATTAGTGCATTGACATAGAAATGAAATGGGTTTGGCTTTGGCTTTGGCTTTGGCTGCTGGATTATTACTATTTTTATTGTTATTATTATATTGGGAATGGGAGACAAAAGACTTGACCGAGCAGTGTTGCAGGCAAATTTACATGCCGTTTTTACTTAATTAATCATACACTGTTGAATTTTTGGACATGAATCCTGTACGTACGTAGGTTGGTCACATTCGTGGGAAGCTCAGAACTGAAATATAGTATAGTATAGTATATAGTGTGTCTGTATCTGTCAGAGGAAAGCCAAAATTGACTGACGACGGAATAAAATACAAAAAAACATGCATGATCAAGTAGTGTATACTCAGGCGGAACGGACTATTCCGCTGTCCCGTACACATGTGTGTATATATATACACGGGGATAGGGATAGAAGAATAGAATTTATTTTTTAATGTGTTTGCATATACACAATTTGTGTGAAAATGAATTAATCATTGCACGTGTTCGTCCACACTGCTTTAACTAATAATATATGCATATTTACGATGAATTAATTTAGTAGAATGTGTATGTATATTTCTTTTTGGAATACATATAGATGTATTTGAATACTGATGGATACATCTAGGTAAGATCTCAAAACAATTAGGGAAAATGTTGTAGAGTACTATTTTGACATAAACAAATTAAATGAATCTGGATGGTCTTGTTTGGCGTCCGATGAGCGGATTGAACCCCCAATAAAAGTATATATTGATCGGCCCAGCCACCCCAACACACTTTTTCTATTTTTATATTACATTTATTAGAATATTTAATAAATTCATATTTATTTATGTTTTCCATCATTTTATTTTGTATTAAAAATATCTCCATCTCCCTTTTTTTTTGTGGTATGTTAGACATTTGGTTGGGCATTGATTTGTTCTACCCTGGTTCAATGTTGGGATGTGGGTACTCTGAACTGCATTTGAACTTAAATTCAGCACTAATGTTCTTCTGCTATTGTTGTTTCCGTTGATCATTATTTGATACTCCTTGATTTTTCTTGTTGATTAAAAACAATTAGGCAATTATTTGGGTGAATCATAAGATTAATTGCTTCACTTTTTTTCTACTTGGATATTTGCTTTGGTTTGGAACATTTGGCTTAATTATGCTGTAAATTGAATTTGGAGTCCCTGGCTATGATGATACTTCTTCTGTTTGAATTATGAATTAAGAAAAATTTGATTGAATCAATAATTATTCAACATCACTCGGCTATTTTTTTTTAATATATTATTGTCTTGGCCAGTTTATTGGTGGCGTGCGACCACAATATCCGACAAGGTGAAGTTAAAGTTAGTTGTAGTGCCATTGACAATTAGGTCGTAGTTTTGTATTAAAACGTTTGACATTAGTTATTTATACATGACATATTGATACATTATTTTTTAAAATATTTAATTTTTTTCATTTGGTTTGAAATTTATGAGAATTTTTTTTATTAATTTTTTAAAATTATTAAAATATTATAAAATATTTATTTTAATTTTTATTATTTAGATCTGAAAAAATTATTTTTACTTAAAAAAATAACAATTTTTTATTAAAATTATGTAAAATATAAAATAATAAATCTTTCGTATATAAATGTTGTCTTAATATATATATAAATAAATTAATAATCTTTGTTTTTTTATTTGATTTAGTTTTAAAAATTTATATATTTTACAAATAAAATAATTTTTATATAATGATTAATATAATAATTATTTTAAATTTAAAAAATAAAAATATAATTTAATAAATTAAATATATTAAAAATAATTAATAAATACTGCTATAAAAATATATTTATATGTATAAAATAAATAATTAAGTTTTAAGGGTAAATAAGGAATAACCAAAATTAAAATGAAAAAGTTCTTTCAAATAATGAGTTTTTCATAAATTAGTTTTTTTTACTCAAAAAGTTCTTTAAAAAAACTAATTTACCAAACACCTAGATTAGCTTTTTGATTGATCAAATAGCTAAAAAATTGTTCAATAAAACTAAAAATTGTTCAATAAGCTAAAAGTTCTTAAAAAAAAAAAAAAAAAAAAAAAAAAAAACTCTTTCTCAAACACTCTCTTAGTCATAACCATAAGTAACTAGACTGTTCGATACTTATTTTTTTCTTCTATTTTTTTTTTCTTCAAATTCATCCATTTTGATATTTGTCTTCTTTATATTGAAAATAAATAATACACGCACAAGTTAGATAGAATCCGATCAAAATCAATAAAAGATTGTATATGTTGATGTATTTTTTCAACAATAAAAAAATAAATCCGAAAATAAGAAATTATCTTCGAATTTGATATAATTAGTGCCTGAGATTAGGAATCTCTAAACACTGTAGGATACATAAATAAACTAGAAAAATAAAACTACAGACTGAAAAATAAATTGGTGATCCCCAAAAGCAATTATCTTGAATTTGATGTCGATTGAAGATGATTGAAGATAAAAACTCTGCATCCTTAATATTCCTTCAAGAAAACGTTTCAGAACCGTCGGCTGGTTGATTACAGCAACCGCCCACTAATTCCTCCTTTACTGACACGTGTCTTACACCGTCTCGCCAAACGCTTCCACCAGTTCCAGAACTCAACTGGCCCGACCGACCATTCCAGAGACCAACTGGCCGCTAGACCAAACGACTCCTTGGTCGCCCCATCAAGCGACTGAACTACTATTCACTCAATTAGGCGACTAATTAACAGACCTTCGCTTGGTCTAAACTCCGTATTGACCGACTCAACCGATGGCGGACCAACCGACTGCGAACCAACCGACTGCAAACCATCCGACTTATTGATCCGACCTGTTGACTATCCGACCTGCGGACCTTCCAACCTGCGGACCTTCCGACACTGCGGACCTTCCGACCTGCGAACCAACCGACCGGATCAACCGACCGAGGACCAACCAACCTGCCTATCCGACCGCAGACCTTCCGACCTGCTGATCCGACAAAGGACCAACCGACCAGACCAACAGACCGAGGACCAACCGACATGACCAACCGACCTGAGCGCAAATTTTTCTTCTTTTTCACCCGACTTCGTGTCTAACTTCCTTTAAGATCTTGTTATCCTTATTTTTATTATTAGTATTATTTTTATGCGTAACAACTTGCCTCCTCCTCAAGACTCCTAAACGTCATTTCTTATGATGTTTAGGAGTTAGCAGGCCGTCATCCGAGGCCACGTCAGCCTCAGATCCGACCTCCAACTTTCGAGGCTACGTTGGACCCGACCTCCATTTATCGCGGACTGGTGTTGGCCTGTACGTTGGTCGATCTTGCACTACCATTTCTTCAACACCTCCTCCTTGACAGAAGTCGTGATCGTTTTCTCGGGAAAAAGATTCTAACATCCCTGCCTTGGATGCTAAACTGGCCAGATCTTGAATGTCGTGGGCCGTTAAAGCCTCCCGCAGTTGTGTATGCATATTTTTGGACCACCAAATTGGTCATCTCGCTTTCCTCAATGATTGTAGAGCAACGTCCCTTTATTAATCGCATCCGCTCTATGAATTGGTAGGCGGTCTCCTCCGGCATTTGCCTGATCTCCAAAAGGTCTGTGAGTGAGACTTTTGGAAGAGGAATAAAGAACCTTGCATGAAAGGCTGCTTCCAAACCTTCCCAGGTTTGTATTTGTCCAAGTGGTAGATCGACAAACCACGAAAAAACTGTTCTGGTAAGAGACAAACCAAATAGTTGCAGTTTATAAAAAGGGTTATGACCGACCTCTCATAATTGTGCTGTGAATCGACCAACATGCTCTATGGTGGAGGATCCGTCTTCTCCTGAGAAAACATGAAAGTCTGGCGGTCGATAATTCCTCGGGAGAGGATACTCATTGACGATTCTTTCTGGAAATGGCCTTTGATACGCTGGTCGGTTCACTGTTTGCGGGTTCATTCCGAAATGCACCCGCAAAACTTGAGCGATATCCGCTAGATCTATCCTGAGTGGAACAGAATCTTCCCTAGAGAAGGCTGGCTCGGTTGGGATGGGATTATGAATCTGATCTCCCAATCTTTCTTCTCTGGGGACGGTTGGCTCGTCTGGGATGAGATTATGAGCCTGTCTTCCCAATCTCTCTTCCCTTACGATTTTTGGCTGAGTATTATCAACTCTTGGTCCAAAAGGAACATTATCTGGGAAAGTTAGATGAGTCTTCCCCATATCTGTTCGGTTGAAAGTTGTGACGCTTGGAAACGTACTATCAACGTACGATGGCCCTGCAAACATTGATCCTGGAAAAGTCACCTGAAAACGAGAAGGTGACAAGGCTGGACGCATGTTTCAGTGTAGGGTGAATCTGGAGAATGCCTGATCCAACATATTCTGCATTAGATTTTGTTGTTCACGAAACATGTTTTGCATAACCAAAGTTTGCTGATTGTTCAATTGTTGAACATAAGACAACCAATCGGTAGGTGGTTGGGGAATCTCTCTTGGATTTGGCATGACAGGTGGTGAAATATTTTCTCCCACCGGTGCTGATGATGATTGAGGTTGTGAGTCTGCCATATTGATCTTTCTGATGATTCGGCCAGACCTCAGTCGTATGAAATTCTCTGTTGATGTAGGATCAGCAATCTTGCCTTTCTCCCACTGTGGTCGCCAATTTGTTGATGTATTTTTTCAACAATAAAAAAGTAAAATCCGAAAATAGAAAATTATCTTCGAATTTGATATAATTAGTGCATGAGATTAGGAATCTCTAAACAATATTAGGATACATAAATAAAATAGAAAAATAAAACTACAGACTGGAAAATAAATTGGTGATCCCCAAAAGCAATTCTCTTGAATTTGATATCGATTGAAGATGATTGAAAATAAAAACTCTGCATCCTTAAATATTCCTTCAAGAAAACGTTTCAGAACCGTCGCCTGGTTGGTTACAGCAACCGCCCACTAATTCCTCCTTCACTAACACGTGTCTTACACCGTCTCGCCAAACGCTTCCACCAGTTCCAGAACTCAACTGGCCCGACCGATCATTCCAGAGACCAACTGGTCGCTAGACCAAACGACTCTTTGGTCGCCTCATCAAGCGACTGAACTACTGTTCACTCAATTAGGCGACTAATTAACAGACCTTGGCTTGGTCCAAACTCCGTATTGACCGACTCAACGGATGACGGACCAACCGACTACGAACCAACCGAATGCAAACCATCCGACTTATTGATCCGACTTGCTGACTATCCGACCTGCGGACCTTCCGACCTGCGAACCAATCGACCGAGGACCAACCGACCTGCCTATCCAACCGCAGACCTTTCGACCTGCCGATCCGACCGAGGACCAACCGACTTGACCAACCGACCGAGGACCAACCGACCTGAGCGCAAATTTTTCTCCTTTTCCACCCGACTTTGTGTCTAACTTCCTTTAAGATCCTGCTATCCTTATTTTTATTATTATTATTATTTTTACTACGTAACAATATATAATATAAATATTAATTGCATTTAATTTTATGCTATCAATTCCCCACACATTTAGATCAAGCTATCAATAGCTCTATATGACAAGGAGCTAACCTAATATTTACACAATTAACACAATTTGTTGATTAATCTTACAATTTTATACTTTTTATTGCCTAATATTATAATTCTTTTAGATAAATACTTCATTCATCTATTAATTAGAAATCCGCTTTTTGTATGAAGTTTAAAGTATATTAGTATTATATTCATACGTAGTAGAAATAAAATAGAAATGACTACAAATTAGCATTATGTAATATAAATATAAGATAATGAGATTTGTGTAATATATTATAAATCGTAAAGTATTTGTAATTTTAATAATAATTTCTTAAGGAATGAAGGGATTAATTAATCAACTAATTTGTTAAATTATGTCATTATTGATACAAATGAATAATTAATAAAGAAATAGTAATGCCTTGTCGAGTTTTTGCATGCTATTAGATTTCACCAAAATTTATCAAAAGCACATTAGCAGATGTGGTTTCTACATTATAAAAAACTAAATAAATAATACATCCAGATGGACCAGATCTATTTGGATATTCATTCGATTCCAACAAGGCCCAACCTTAATTTCTAACTTCACATTTTGCCCTCAAGAAGTTGACACAAAAACCGGTCTCACTGTGGACAATATTGTAATTCACTAAGCCCTTTTGTCACGTTGGTTTATTCTTGTGAGCAATAATCAATCACTTTGACTATCGCTTTTTTTTTTTTTTTTTTTTTGTTTTTTCGTTGTGAATTTAATAATTGGACAAACCCCCAGATCGAAGGCAGGCTTTCCTTTGGTTTATTTTCGCTATTTTCGAAAATTTTAAATTCATCGAACACCCACCTACTGTAGTGGATTCAATTGTTGTCTTCTGGGCTTTCTCAATCGCTCCTTTCCGGTGAATTCTGTGCGATTTCATACAGTACTGAGGATTCCGAGTTGATCATTGATGCAGACTGTTGCCGTTTAATTCAATCGATTGGGAGGTGAATAAGGAATCCTGCTTCGATTTGTGTAAGATTCAGTTGTTTCCCAAAATTTGGGGTTTGTTTTGTGCTGCCCCATTATTCAACTTTGCTTGTTGACTCTATTTTGTTTCTGTTTTTTGGTTTTATCTTTATCCGATTGTTTTCCAACTCCGGGGATTCTGGAACTTTGTTTTTTGAATTTAAGGCTGTAAAAAGTACTATCGCTGGTGCTTTTTTCAATTCCTTTTGTGTATGGTTTGCTGTTTTGTTTATGGAGTCTTTTGTTGTGTTGAACAATGTTCTAGATTGTAATTCACGTGCAATTTTAGGCAGCTTGTACTCATTTAAGTTATAAAAATAGTTGCTTGGGGGTTAATGTTGATTTGTCAAATTTATTTAGAATAAAAGTTCTTTATGAGAGTTGAGTGTATGTTTGAAGACTTTGTTCTATTCAACGTAAGTGGAAATATTTCCCAAATTTGTTCTTAAGTCTTACCCATTGATATATACTATTCCTCATGAGTGCTTTTGTTTGTTGCAGATTGTTTCTGCTCTTTGCAAGTGTCAAATAATTTGTAGTAGATCATAAGTAGCTGCCTCATTATTTGAGGAATCTTGTATTAGAAATGAGGATAGTTATTCGGGGTGTGAGGCTATTGAGGCCAAATTTGGGGAATGGGGGAACTGCTATTCATGGGCGTTATGTGGAAACGCAGAATGTTCGGCTCATTATGCATCAATGTTTAACTTATGGCCCATACAGAAGTTTTGACATTTGTCGGTGTCAACAACATCCGTGGCGAATGACCCAAAGAGTTATTTCAAATGATGCAGCGAAAGTTTCTAGTGGAGGTGTGGTTTTTTCTGAAGTGTCCAATTTTTTAGTTGTTATTTATATGTGGAAGCAAAAGTTTTCTTATGCTCATTTGTGTGCATTTATTGATGGCAGAACTGGTTGGTGGAGGGCCTCTCATGGAATATGAGCGAAGGATTGCTGCTGGGGAACTATTGGAAGGAGACGCCTGTCAGGTTGGCTGTTTTCTTGGTTGTACTATTCTATTGTTTTCGTGTATAAATAGAAATTGAATGATGTATCTTTTTTTGTCACCAGCTTAAATGTCTCGGCATTGTAGTCATTTAAACTTTTACATATATTTGTGACTACTTGATCCATGATCAAATTTTCCTGTCACCCATTTTTATAAGATTGTGTTTCACACACAAGGCTTGAGAAAAAGATTCTGCCCGCATATTAGGTGGCTTGTGAAATATGAATGTACATTTCCAATCATATTCAATTTTTAAATAAGATGGTCATTTAGCAAACTTTGGAAGTATGTTGCTACAACTCAAATCTAGGGTTGGCTTAGTAAAGAAACTGAGAACATGTTTTGATGGGTGTGATGCTTTAAAGAGGGTAATGCTAGGTGATTAACTAGGACAGGTTTTTAAGATATGCTTGGGTGATAAATAAACTTTTTAAAGTTGATTAATTTGTTATTGCTACGTGTTAGTCTGTCTTGTATCAGCACCTCAGGTTGCTAGTTTTTGACAAAGATAATTGTGTGTTATGGATTGTCAGGTGGGTACATTGGGAGAGCTTCAAAGATTATATGACGAGCTTATAGAAAAAGCAGATGTTTGCCGGTTGGATCGATATGCTGCCTCAGAAAAAGCTGGGCGGTAAATATAAGTTGGATCTCTGTCTTTGGGTAGTAATGAATTGACTTTTACTAACACGTTGTGTCCTCTCTTTTAATTGCTGTAAACTTAACTTTTAATGATCTATTTAGTGTGTTTCCATACTATATTGTTATGCATTTTTTGCGTGTGTGTGTGTACATGTAGGAGTCGCTGGCTATGGTCCCGTTTCATACCCCAAACTTCTTATGCTCCTGTGAAGGGATTGTACCTTTACGGAGGAGTGGGCACTGGCAAGACTATGTTGATGGACTTGTTTTATGAACAGCTGTAAGATTCATCTTTTACTTGACCTATTGTAATATTTGAAATGGCTTCATCCATAATGACGTCAGTGCCTTTTCTTTTGTTCCTTCTCACATGTCATCTATGTCTTCCCAGACCTTCTAACTGGAGGAAGAAGCGAATTCATTTCCATGACTTCATGCTAAATGTACACAGTCGATTACAGGTATGGCTGCTCTCCTTGGGCATTCCAACTTGCTTCTGCCAGCTACTGTTAGGCAAGTTCTTATGGATGCAAATTGCAATGCCATGAAACTAATCCAAGACCTATATCAATTTTTCTTTGGTTCTCATTGATCTTTTTATTTTTCTTATATTGCTGATATTCACAAGCTTATATTTAGTATACAGCTATCCGCAAAACGAAATTCTTACTAGAAAAAGAAATAAAGGAACCTTGAGGAATCATTTGATATCGGTTAAGTTTGCTTATTTTTTAGTTTATAATCAATTACTTTACTCCTTCAAAGAAGACTTTAAATGTAATGATTTTTGAAAAAAGTGGGAGTCACCAATTTATCCTTTCAAGCTGCTTCTTAATTAGTTTCCTGGCCTTAATAAATGGAGTTTGATGTTGCACTATATTAAATGGCAGAGACACAAGGGTTTGTCAGATCCATTGGAGGTCGTAGCCGGAGAAATATCAGATGAATCTCTCTTATTATGTCTCGATGAGTTCATGGTATGGCATTCCTCACTGTTATTGTTTCTTTATTGTTTTTTTTGTTGATTATGATCTAAACCTTCTGCCTAGAAGCTTTTGATGATCTCTCTTTAATATTTTTATGACTAACCATGTCAACTAAGCAAGTGGTTAAGTTTATTACTCTGCTGGATTATATTTTTATCATCCTTATTCTCTAGGTGAATGATGTCGCGGATGCCTTAATTCTGAATCGTCTATTTGGACACTTATTTAGCAATGGAACCGTAAGTTACATGCTGTTCATTTCCCCATATAGCAATCATGAATACGCCCATTTCCAGACCCCTGAGTTAATAATATAATCAGTATTTTACATGTAACAGATACTTGTTGCGACTTCAAACAGGGCTCCCAACAATCTTTATGAAGGGGGGCTTCAAAGGGATTTATTTCTTCCATTCATTGCTACCCTAAAGGTAGGTGTATCTCTACACCTCAGTACAACTTCCTTGACAAAATGCCGGTAGTGAAATTTTTGGTTGTGAATTTGTCATCTGAAAGAACTCTATTCTTAGTTTTTAGTCGGTGGAAAGACACTTGAGTTATATGTTTGGGTTCAATTTACACCTTATGAAATTCATATGTTTCTTACCCCTTGTAAAAAAAAAAATGCCGATAACCGCTTTACATCTTTTAAAGAAACAAAATCTATCCCATAGCATTTAAAGTTAATTGCACTTATATTACATACAACAGGGCTACTTGCATGTTTAAGGGTGTGTGCTTATTATGCAAAATGGGAAATATTTAAAGATAGTAATTTAGTTTGAATCATTGTGTGTTTAAAGTGGACAAGAGGTGTAGTCATTGGTGCATTTTTTTTGCCATTTTTCTTCTAGATACTCTTGAGTTTTATTAGCACATTAAAAAATTTATTATGATGCAGGAAAGATGTGTAGTTCATGAAATAGGTTCATCCGTAGACTACCGGAAATTGACATCGGTTAGTTTCCCATTCCCTCTACAGTTTAGTTTTCACACCATTGTTAACAAGTTATTACCTTCAGTGATTGAATCTCTCTGTATTCAGGCCGAGCAAGGTTTCTACTTTGTTGGCAAACATTTATCTACCCTTCTGAAGCAAAAGTTCCAACAATTAATTGGGGAACGCGTTGCAGTTCCTCAAGAGGTGGAAGTTGTTATGGGAAGAAAATTGAAGGTATATCACTAAGTTATCACCAAGGGTATGTTGTGTGTGTGTGTGTGTTTTTTATATATATATATATGAAAGTATAGTAGCTGTTGGATGTAATTTTTGAATGAAAAATAGGTGTTTGAATATGATATTTTTGAAGTAAATTGAAAGATTGAACAGTAAAAAACAATAAAAGCACACACAGGCAAGTAAACAAACCCAAAATTTCACTAGTGATGGTATGATTAAGTTTTGGATTCTAACTTGATTTTGAATGATCCTATCTTCGATCCCTTCTGCTTTAGGTTCCGTTGGGTGCCAATGGATGTGCATATTTTCCATTCGATGAATTGTGCGATAGACCTATTGGAGCTGCAGACTATCTCGGGTTATTTAGTATGTCTTTTGTATTTAAACTGCTAGAATGGCGTGCACATTTACCTATATAGAAATATCTACCCATCTTTCTTTACTACACAATAAGCTGTGTTTGTTGGTGTTTGTTTGACTAGAAAAATTTCATACATTGGCATTGGACGGTGTGCCTGTGTTTGGTCTCTCCAACCGGACTGCAGCATATCGGTTTGTCACCTTGGTTGATGTTCGTCCTTTGCACTTGATTTCTGTTTTGAGTTATATATGCATATATATCAATAAAATCAATGGATCTGCATCCTTGATTCTACAATATATTTGTTCCAATGAGTCTTTTATTATATAGTGCAATCAGAGACTCTGCCCTGTTGTATGCATAGGTTATGTATGAGAATAAAGCTCGATTATTGTGCACTGCGGAGGCGACCCCAGTCGAACTTTTCGAGCGTATTGTAACAATTGCAGATGCACAGCAGATGGCTCCAAGAACTTCTTCAAGATCAAGGAAATCAGATGACTCTGATCTTTGTGTGGACAACGAGTTAGGCTTTGCAAAAGATCGCACCATTAGTAGGTAACCAAGTTTCTCCGCTCCCATTCTAGATGAAAATAGACTTGTTAGATCGAGTCATGAGTGTGCTAAGATAGTACATTATCAATTGAACAAACCTTACATGTTGTTGGTGTGTTAGAAATTCTTTGTTCATTATCACAGGCAGTCAGGCACTTGTGTGTTAATATGATCGATTGATACAAACTAATAATGGGAATTTCTTTATTTTTATTTTTTTAAACATCGGGTGCAGGTTAACCGAAATGAACAGCCGGGAGTACTTGGAGCAGCACGCGGAAATGCTGTCTGAAAAGGGAGTCGTTGCGTGAGATAGACGAAGCAGGTCGATTCTCGTGGCTTTTGCGGTCCAAGGAGGGTCTTGGAGGTAATGTTACTTTCAAGATACAAGTTTGGTTCCGATTGTTGGGTTATAATAATTCTTTCTTGGATGAAAGAACAATGGAAGATCTTATGTACAGATTATTATTATGATAATAATTCTTGGAAAATAAGATTGCTGCAAGTTGTGAAAATCGAACATTATACAGAGGAACTCGATAACCATGTATCTTTATGAATGTGCGGTATGTACATGCTAGCATCGTATTAAACTCAACCTCATTCTTACATACATACATGCACACAAACTACTAATCTAATGTAATCCAGACCATAAACTAGGTAGCTAGCTAGCTACTTAAGCAAACGATAAACAGGGATGGCCATGAGATGCTCTGCTTTACAAGTCCCGATGCCAAAATGCTCGGTCATGTCCAACTCACGGGGCTGCATTCCATCTGGAAGCTCCCAGCGGAAGCAGTGCACCAGCTGGGCCAACCCCAACTTCACCATCCTCAGCCCCAACTGCATCCCCGGGCAGCTTCTTCTCCCGAACCCGAATGCCAGCAGCCGGAAGTGATCCCCTCCCATGAACTCTGCTGCTGCACCGGCAAACCTCTCCGGGGAGAATCTCAGCGGGTCCGGGTCTTGCCACGCATCGGGGTCTCGCCCTATAGCCCAGGCGTTCACCAGCACTCTGGATTTCCTGGGGATGTGGAACCCGTCCAGCACGCAGTCTTCCATGGCCTCGTGGGGAACCAGCATCGGCACCGGCGGGTGGAGGCGAAGTGTTTCCTTCACCACGCAGTTGAGGTACTCCAGTCTGTCCAGATGCCACTCCTTCACCCTACTCTCATCCGTCCCCATTCCCACCACTGATGCCAACTCTTCTTGAAGCTTCTGCATGGCTTGCGGATGCCTTATGAGCTCTGTTAGCCCCCATTCAATCGCCGACGCTGGAGCATCCGTTCCTGCTATCATCAGGTCCTAGAAACCCATGTTTAAATCATTCATTCATTTTAGTACTCTTATTTGTCAGAAAAGATACGTACTGTACTGTACTGTACCATGAAGATTGCAATATGAATGACTAATTAGACACGATTTGGATGAGATGAGATTACCAGCGCCACGGCCTTGACGTGACGCCGATCGAATGGAAACACAGCCTTTCCAGACTCCATTACACCCAACATTATATCCACAAAATCCTGCTCCTGCTCCTGCTCCTGATGCATCTTTCGAATTCGAACGTGGTCTTCCACAACTCCTTCTAAAAGCCCGTCAAAGATGTCGATCAGCCGCTTCATCCTACGGTTCATCCTCTGGAGATCCAGCGAGCCAACGAAGGAGGGATAGTAGTCTGCGGCGTTGAACTTGGCAGCGAGCTCCAATGCTTCCGATATCACCAATTTGAAACCCTCCTCATCCAGATTGCTCACGGACTTCCTCCCAAACACCATCCGGCAAATGACATCGCGGGTCAGGCTGAATATCCTGATGCCAAGATCCACCTTCTCTCGCCTGCGGGCGGCCTGTTTTAGCGACTCAACGAGCAGCCCCAGCTCAGCTTCCATCTTGTTCGTGTTCGTATTCGTATTCGTGGCCCCGGCCCCGGATTGGCTCATCCTGAGGCTGCTCGCTATGAGCTTCCGCATGCTGCGCAGGTACGGCCCGTAAGGACTGAAGACGACGCCCCTCTGCCCGTACCCTACAAATTTGACGGCCTGCTGACTGGGCCTGTTGGCGAAGACGCGATCATGCGTCCTGAGGACGAGCTCGGCTGCAGCCGGCGATGACACAACCACTGCAGGCACGAACCCCAAGCGCAGGCCCATGATGGGGCCATGTTTCCGAGCAAGATCGCACAAGACGTGATGGGGATTCTTCCTCAACAGGAGGTGCAGATGTCCTAGAATGGGAAGCCCCCCTCTCGGACTCGGAGGCCACTGCTGCTTCTTCTTCTTCTTCTTCTTCTTTCTAACCAGCAGACTGTGAAGGTGGAGATATAATGTGAGCGCACATAATGGTGCCCAAATCCAGGCTACAGAGAAGAACATTGTGGCGGGTGAAAGAAGCTCAATTGCTGTCTGTAGGGGACATGAAAAAGATTTTAGAATCGGGGAAATTTTTGAACAGCGTAGTGGGTAGACAGAAACATGAACGCTATTGTAATTCTAAAATGTAAATTAATTCAAATTGCATGCTTTGAATAGTGTATGTCTGTCTGTCCACGTAGTAGGTACAAGTGCCTCCAGAGAGGGCCACATCCATCAATTTTCTTCCCAAGGCAACGGAAAGAGAGACAGGGAGACAGGGAGACAGACAGGCACAGCCTTGAAACACAAATATGCAATCCACCAACTCACTCCAGGCCAGGGGTTATAGTATTTCTTTTATTTTCAAGTATTGGGGATTGTGCGAGATGGTCGGTCGGTACGTGGTCGCTTGCCACACCCCACCCACTCGCATTGTACCACCTTTTTCATTTTTCCATTTTTAGATTTGAATTATATACAAATTTGTAGTACGAGTGAATTTCTCAAGTGCTGCTAGCTCCCTCTCTAGATCTACCCCGTACTGTACTGTACTGCATTGTTGTTGTATCTAGTTTCCCTGCCACCACAGACACAGTTGCTCATGAACAGCATAACAAACAAACTCTCCTGTCCTGTCCTGTCCTGGCTGGATATGTTGTTGCTTTTCAGAGCAATAGATAAAAAAAAAAACTCTCCGCTCAGTGCAATTAAGATTATTTTTTAAGCCAGCAATGACGACAGGACAGATCAGGAATAGGATCCTACAATATGAACCAACCAACGTATGAATAATACTCTATTATTACATGAAAATAAACTGAAACTATAGGGCTACGGTTCGAAAAGCAACTTATACAACAACAATTATTAATTAATTATTATGAAGCACGACATGATAATTAATTAATTGTTGACCGACGATCAGGCTCGCAGGGTGGGGATGGCCTCAAGAGAGTTGACTCTATAGGTGACAAGGCTGAAGTTCTCGGTCATGTCCAAATCCTCGCCCCTGACGCCGCCGGGGAGCTCCCAGTCAAACAAATGGACGAGCTGGGCTATCATGAACCTGACCATGGTGAGCCCCAGGTGCATCCCGGGGCAGATCCGCCTGCCCGACCCGAAGGGCACCAGGTGGTAGTCCCGGCCCTTGAGGTCCACCTTGCTCCCCACGAACCTCTCCGGGGAGAACTCGTCGGGGCGGTCCCACCTGGCGGGGTCCCGCCCGATGGCCCAGGCGTTGAGCAGCACCCTCGTCTTCTTGGGTATGTAGTAGCCGTCCACGACGCAGTCCTCCATCGACTCGTGGGGGACCATGAGCGGCGCCACCGGGTGCAGCCTCAGCGTCTCCTTCACCACGCAGTTCAGGTACTCCAGCTTCTCCAGCCGCGACTCCTCCACCATCTCCCCCGGTCCCGCGATCGTCTGCAACTCCTTCCTCAGCTTCGCCATGGCTTCCGGGTGCCTTATCAGCTCCGACAGAGTCCACTCCGTCGCCGTTGCCGAGCTGTCCATCCCTCCGATCAACATGTCCTGATCATACCATATCATATGATGATGATGAATTCAATAAACCATTCACAAATTAACTAATTAATTAGTTTAGTCACTCAATCAATCAATTGGGGTTTGTTTACCAGCAGCACAGCCTTGATATTGCTCTTGTCGAACTGGAAAGAAGCCTCCCCGGACTCCATGATGGACATCATGATGTCGACGAAGTCCCCATTCTCCTTCCCCTTGTTGTTGTGGGCGTGGTCGTTTATGATCCTCTCTAGAACGTCGTCGAAGATCTCCTGCAGCTTCTTCATCCTCCGGTTCATTCCCTGGAGGTCAAGGAACCGCACCGCCGGGAAGTAGTCGGCGACGTTGAACTTGGCGGTGAGCTCCAGCGCCTCTTTAATGACGGCCTGGAACTCCGTCTCCTCCCTGAACGTCCGCCCGAACATCATCATGCTATTCATATCCCCGATGGCGCTCACCATCTCCGTGCTCAGGTTCACGCTCTCCCGGCTCCCCGCGGCCCTCTTGAGGGTGTCGACCAGCCCCACCAGCCGCGCCTTCCTGGTGGCGTGGAACTGCCCGATCCTGTGGTTGCTCAGCAGCTCCACGGTGCAGAGCTTGCGCATGTCGCGCCAGTAGGAGCCGTAGGGGCAGAACACGATGTTCTTCTGCCCGTAGCTGAGGTGGTGGAAGGCGTCCTGGTACGGCCTGCTGGCGAAGGTGAGGTCGTGGGTCTTGAGGACCAGCTCCGCCGCGGCCGGCGAGGATATGATGACGACGGGCACGGAGCCGAACCTCATCCCCATGATGGGGCCGTGCTTGACGGCGAGGTCCCGTAGCGCACGCGGAGGGTTCTTGCCGATCAGATGGAGATGCCCGATTATGGGGAGCCCTCGCGGGCTGGGGGGCTGCTTCTTGCCCCTCTTCCCGACGAACTTCTGGAGGAGGCGAACAAACAACAAGGCAGATAGCACTGCCCAGATCCAAGCCGCCATTAATGCCAGCTAGCTTGCTAGCTCTACCTCTAATTCGATCGAGAAATTATAGACCGAATATGGATGGATGGATGGCTATTCTTGCTTTGGTGCATGAATGACCGATGGATTGATCGATTTCGATTTTGGCATGTATATATAGATCATAGATGGATAGGAGTGGAGTGGAGTGGAGTCAAGTCAGGAGTGGAGTCGGGTCACCCGCAATTTTAGAATATTGATTCTCTGTACGCAGCAAGTCGTCAACTATGGACGGCTTTTTCAAGTCTTGAAATGTTTTTTAATGATTTTTAATTCACTAAATTATGCAGTTTTTATTGTATGAATTTTATATTTCTAAAAAAAAAATTATTTATTTTTCAATATTATATTAAATATTATTTTAAAAATAAAAATTAGAAATAACTCAAAACATTATAAGATAATAAGCAAAATATATTTTAATTTCATCTTAATTTGCAAATACATATATATATATATACACATTTAATTTGCAAATACATATATATATATACACATTTGTTGATTAATCAAATTATTATTATGTTGAAATTAAATGTATTTTGTTAAGATCATAATATAATATATATGTATATATATTTGTTATATGTAATTATACCCTATGCTACTAAAATATATGTTATATATTATATTAATATTTACTATTTTTTATTTTTATTTTATAAACTTTTGTTGATTGAATCGCATCGGTCATCATGATAACTTGAGCTATAAAATATCAATAATTTGGAAAATCACAACTTGCAAATTCACTTCGGGTGTGTTTGTCCAGAGAATTAGAATTTAAATACATTATTCATTTCATTTTTTTTTTTTTCAAAAAATCAAATCAAACACCTATTTTTTATTTTTTATATTATACTAAAAATCAATTTTACATTCAAAACATCACATCAACACATATTTATATCACATCATATAATTATTCAAATTCAAAATTTTTACTATTTAAATTCTAACTCAAAATCCAAACTCTAAACAAACACATCCTTCGTGAAACTTGATGGTGGAAAATCTTTTCGTTTGTATATAGCATTGGATCATATTATTACATAAATAAATAAATAAATAAATATATATATATAAATCACTAAAAAGGTTATCACTAAATTAAATATTTTTATATTAAAATAAAATTTTATTATGTATTGAAATTATCATATTAATATATATATATATTTATATTATATTAAATAATTATTTTAATTTAATATTTAAACGGATGGTCAAACCAGACACCCATGTTCAATGTCATGTGCATTTTCTTGTCATTATAGTCTTCACTATACTATATAATCGTCATTTAGGAATGGAATTGCATAATGCCAAAAATAGTGAAATATAAATATAAAAACATAGAATACAGTAATGGGTTTGCATGAATTTGTTAATTTAAATAATTTTTTTATAAATGGTACTATAAAAATAAAATAGGAATATAATATAATATATTATTTATTTACAAAAATAAAATATTTATATTACTAATACAAATTTTCATATTTAACATAATTATAAAAGTGTACAAACTCTAATTGTATCTTATGACTTGGGTTTCAACTGAAAAATTTGATTTAAGCTAGCTATTTCAAAATAATTATATCCGATAAGATTACAAAAAAGACCGTGGCACAATAAATAAAACAATATAGCATCAGTAGTAATGAATATCTTATCTTATATTATATTATACTATTATAGTCCAAGTTTGAAAAGTATGTTCAAATTAATGTGCTGTGTAGTTAGTCCAGGTTTGAATAAAATCTGTCTATTGATTATTGATTATTTGCATTTGCAGTCACTCAACGTTGAATAAAAAAAACTAAAGAATTCTTACCACCTCTAGCTATACTTTGAAGATCAGAGTACGAATTAATTAATTAATAAATATATGATCCTCCCTCCCTCCATATTCATATTGCCGCTGCCTGCTGCCTTCGTTCCTTTGAATCTCTTCAGTGGTCAAAAGTATTTTCATCCCCTTTCAGCTAAATTTGTACATAAGATTGGAGTGTTTATTAAATTGCACAACAGTTTTCTAATTTATTAGTATGTGTTCGTTTTAGGCATGGAAAAGGTTGAAACTCCCATGGCTTTTGCACCAAAATTCAGCACAGCAGCCTCAAAAGAATGCTCCATTAATGTTTGTAGTAGCAGCAGTAGAGTAGTCAACATATATTGTTCGCTCGCTAATCAATGACTTCTTCTTCAAGTCTTCTTCCAATTCAAAATGGGAATGGCCCTTAATTGTACTCAACTTATTCACTAATCAATATATCTTTTTGAATTTTTCAAGTGAATGAATATTCATTATTCGATCCTTCGCTTAGGCTGACTATGTATGTATATATAGATGATTTGAGTGATTAATCATTAATTTAGCAATCGGTATCTGGGAATAGCCATGAGATGCTGAGCTCTAGCGGTCACCAGGCCGAAGTGCTCGCTCATGTCCAAATCATCCGCCGCCGCCAATTCCCAATCGAAGCAGTGCACCAGCTGCGCCACCGCAAACTTCACCACCGTCACTCCCAGCTGGATTCCCGGGCAGCTTCTTCTTCCCGCCCCGAACGGTACGTAATGGAAGTGGCGCCCCCCGCCCAACTCCACCTGCTCGCTCCCTCCGGCGAACCTCTCCGGCCGGAATGCCTCGGGGTCGTGACCCCACGCGCCGGGATCCCTCCCGATCGCCCACGCATTCACGATCACTCGACTCTTGCCGGGAATGTAGAACCCATCCACTACGCAGTCCTCCCGCGACTCGTGCGGGACCATCAGCGGCACCACCGGGTGGAGCCTCAGCGTCTCCTTCACTACCATGTCCAGGAACTCCAGCCTCTCCACATCCGATTCCTCCACCGCCCTCCCCGCCGCCGCGCACTCCAGTTCCTTCCGGAGCTTCTCCATCACCGGCGGCGCCCTGATCAGCTCCGCCAAAGCCCATTCCACCGCCGCTGCTGACGTGTCCATTCCCGCCAGCACCATGTCCTTAAATTTGTACATACAGTTCCAAGTAATCAATTAATTAAACAAATGTTTTCGATTGTTAATATTAATTGCTTGATTGATTACCAGAAGCACAGCCTTGACATGGCGGCGATCGAACTCGAATGATCCAGAGGCTGCCAATTCCCCAGATTCCAACAAGCCCACCATTGTGTCAACAAAGTCCTCTCTATTCTTGCAATTCCTATTCTCATGATTCTGAAGAAGATGATCGTCGATCATTTTCTCCAGAAACCTGTCGTAGACCCCGCTCAGTCTCTTCAGCTTCTTGTTGATCCCCTGAAGATCCAACCTGCCGATGTACGGAAAGTAGTCCCCGAGGTTGAACTTCCCGCCGCAGGCGGTGGTCTCCATGATCACCTCCCTGAAACTCTTGCCGTCCAGCTCCTTCCCCCCAATCTTCCTCCCGAACACCATCACCGAGACCATGTCCGTATTCAAGTTGGAAATGCAGGTGCTGAGGTCCACGACCTCGCGCCTCTCGGCGGCCCCTCTGAGGGACCCAACCAGCAGGTCCATCTCCTCCTTCCTCGACGCCCGGAACTGATGGATCCTCTTGGCACTGAGCAGCTCCACGGTGCAGAGCTTCCGCATGTGGCGCCAGTAGGGGCTGTACTGCCCGAAAACCATGTTCCTCTGGCCGTAGCTCAGATGCTGAGCCGCGCCCTGGCGGGGCCTGCTGGCGAAGACGAGGTCGTGAGTCTTGAGGAAGAGCTCGGCCGCTGCCGGCGATGAGACCACCACGGTCGGCACAAAGCCGAAGCGCAGGCCCATGATGGGGCCATGCTTGCTGGCCAGGTCACGCAGGATTCGGTGAGGGTTTTTGCCCAGCAGATGTAAATGGCCAATGATGGGGAGGGCTTTAGGGCCTGGAAGTGGAAGACGGCTACGGGTTTCGTGCTCGGCGTCCTTGTTCTTGGTCTTGTTCTTTCTGATCACAAGTTTTTGGAGAAAATGGAGGACTGCAGCGACAAAAGAAAACAATGCCCAAATCCAAGCCATGCCGGCTCTCTATAGCTAGCTAGAGAGGATTGTAATTAATATATATATATATATATAATGAGAATTAATTAATATAGAGATTTTTTGTTGATTAAGTCTCGTACGTGTTTATCATAATAGCTACAAAATAATAATAATACTATAATACTGTATCGATTGAATTTGAAATCGGTTTTAATTTGAGAATTATTAACTGGTGATGAGCTTATTGATTAATGAATTCATATTCCTGAATGACTTGGAGAAACTAAGGTATGAAGTTTGACGAGGCATGAATCGTGACACTATATATAAATTATATGAGTTATATCATGAATTGTGTGTGTCTTTGACATTATTATTATTATTAATAATTACTTTCATGCCTTATGGCCGAAGAATCAAGACAATGACAAATGTTATTAATGAATTAAGCCAGATATCATCATGCATAATGAATTAAGCCAGTTATCATCAAGATTCATATATAACTTAGTTAGGTCAGGTCAGGTCATAAAATATATATATATATGCACTACCAAATTGCTAGCTGCTGCAGGCCATCGATCCCATTACTAATTCTATATATTAATTAGCTCTCTAGCTGAGACTAGGCAAGCTAAGATTAAAAATTAATTGAAGTATTATTTCATTTATCTTGCAATACATTACATCAGTATATTATTTAAACAAAAATTCATATCAATATTCTATTTCAAATAAATTTCAAACAAATTCAAAAATATATATTTGCTTTTTTGCCAACCAATAGATCAAGCTACATATATAAGGGTGCAACAATTAAGTAAAATCTTATACTATATAGAATTCTATAATCATGCATTGTTTATCATATTTTCAATGTAGCTTTGTTTAGAAAATATAATACAATTATATTGAGTTTAAGATGATATATATATATATATATAATAGAGAGAAATTTGTCCCCACCATATTCGCAATTATTCGATTATATATCAGTACTGTTATTGTATATACACACAAATGAACAGGTGAAGCCAACGATGTCACCTTCACGACCGTCTTTACAAACTTTTATAATAAATAAATTATATTTTATTCAATAACTTTCTTGATTCAAATAACATTTATTAATGAATAATTATTATTTATGAGTCCCAAAGTTTGACCATTTATTCATCAATACGATGAGTACAAGTATTCTCACTCAGGAAGGACCATGTTTTTAAAATAATATTATCCAATATTTTAAGGCAGCCAGCCAAAAATGGCCAAAGCTATTACCGCCTTAGTAGTTTAGTACATACCACCTATATTATATAAATTTGTTTTGTTTAAATATAGAGATTAGTAAATAATGTTATTGATTCAAAAATTGATTTTTTTTTTTTAAAAAAAATAATTAATTAGATACATAGAAAATAAAATGACAAAATAGGTTCTATACAATACAATTTGGATAATAAAACTATGCCGTAGATAAAATATTTTATATAAATAAATTAAGCATAAATATAATGTAATAAACAGCTAAAATAGGAAAATTAAGATAGGGCCTTCCTTCTTCATTCACACACACACACACACACTAACCCATCCCAATATATCTTGGATCATGGGCCCAAATATAGGGCCAACCCACAAATCCAATTACTTGAACATTTCTCAGAATTGCATGGTGTTGTTGTGTATTTGGGCCTCCATTCGTAAATAGTAATTGCTTAATTGTCCGATCCTATATATGATGTTTGGTTAATTGATTTGGTGGTATTTTAAAATATGAGTAACCTTGCATTGACTTGTAAAATGACATGAAATGAATTTTGATTAATTTAATTATTATTTCTTGAATTAAGAAATGCAAAGCAGTCATTGTCACATTTAGAGCAAGGATTCCTGGTTGGGGCCCCACGGCTTTAATGCATATTTCCTCAAATTTAAAATGTCCAATGTAGACTTGGATACTCTTTTTGTCTTGCCTTCTTCCCAATTTAGTGACCATTCTATTAATTAATAGTTGCCTCATTAATATCATCAGGAATATCTTGAAATATATATATCTTTAGTATTTTATTTGAAAATAATATGCATACCTGATTAGTATATTTTCTTAATAAATACTAGTAAAAAGAAAAATCTCTCTTTGATAGATCGTGGAAATCATATCATGCCACATTTGAATAACAAAATTCAACAAATGATTGACCAAAATTTACCTATTTTCATTTCCCAATTCAAGAATTAATTTCTTTTTCACTTTTTCAACTATGACTAATGAAGATGCACATTTAGGTAATTTGATTTTATATAACAAAAATATTTGATGGATTATATGTCTCGTTCCGTTATTTATGACTAATTTTACCGTTCAACAACTTGCCCAGCCCCTAACTTGTTATTATTATTATGATTATTATTTAAAAAATGGGGAATTACATTATTACAAGAGGATTATTACAAAATGAAATTTTTGATGTGAAGCAATTAAACTTTCTTGAGACTTGGAGTAGTACATAATAATTTTGTTGTTTAGTATATATGTGTGTGGTGTGGCTAAGAAAACCGTCACATGGGTGGGTCAATCTACATACATACATACAGATGATTTAACATAAATGCATTTTATAATTTATAAAACTATCTATTGAAACATATTAATATTATTATATATTTAAATCATCATTCAACCAAAACAAAAAACACATGTGTGTATATATCCATCATTATTGAAATTGATAATAGATAAAAATGATATGTGCTCGTGCGGGCATAACCTTTTGCAATGATAGAATTAAATAATTGAGATTTGTATGTATCAAAGCAAATTCAAGTAAAAATAATAATGCAGGTACGTGTAATAGATAAAAAAAAAAAAAAGGAATATACTGCTATTTAGTGTATATTATACTATGTGTAAAAGAATTGTATTTTTAGAATAATTAAAACTATTTTAATAATAATAAAAAAAGAAAGAAAATAAAAATCAAAGTGGAATTGGGTAGGGGCCAAAAGGAAATTTACTACAAGATGAAGCTGATGATGCACAATTTCGATTCCAGTTTAAGTTGACTCCCCCTGACCTGACTTTGACCAATTTTATTACTCTCAACCCATTTATTGCTATTTATTATTCTTCTACATTTATGGAGAGCGAGCGTGTAATATAATATACTCAATCTATTCTCATTCTTTTGTTTCCAATAATTAATTATTCCGATTTCTTGTGAGTAATTTTATATAAAATGTAGCAATGGTTCACACAGTCAATTATATGCCTTACTAAGTATTTATTATTAAATGTATTTTCAATTTAAAAAGCAACCATATTTCACAAATATGTTTGATGAAAAAATCTTTTTGTTTTTATATGGTGTTTGTTACAAGCGGCGACTGACGTGAATATATATATATATATATATGTGACTAGTGACGTTTTTTTCCATTAAAAATATAATAAAGTAATGTATAGATTCAAGCTAGAAATAAAAAATTTAAAAGTTTAGCAATAATAAAAAGTTAATAATTTTTTTTTATGTGATATTTTATGAAAATATATATATATATATTTAATTTAATAGTATTTTTTAAAATTTTGAATAATACTACTAAAAATTTCGAAATATTGAGTAAATAAAACTGAGATTTATCTGTATATTTTAATGTAATATTAAGGTGGGCCTACATTACTGACAAAAATTCTATGCATCTACCTTTCCACTCATGTCCTTTTATTACAACTCAGTTTCCCCATGAACCAACTGCTGAGTTACTACAGCTCCTGGAGCGCCAGCACCAAATAGATCTACACCATTTATAGTGTGGGCCCTCTCCAATTGGCGGTTCAGATCCATTTCGACTTAAGGCACCGGGCTGCTCTGAAAGGTTAATCGAAAAACACACAACACAACTCAGAGTGCAAAAACGCTCAAGGATAAAAGCACACTGAATAAAATTGAATTGAACTGCAGGGATCGTCTTCTTCTTCTTCTTCCATCGGTGCCCCAATTCTGTCTCCACAAAATCCTGAATTTCACCCCAAATTGCCTTTGCTTATGCCCGATCGCTGATTTTCTTAGAATGGCTGTCAATACACCTCTCTTCCTCTCGCTAGCCATCCTCCTCCTCACCCTCCACATCCGCGGCGCCGCCGACGAAATCCAATCACTCCTTGAGTTCCGCAAGGGCATCAACTCCGACCCCTCCGACAAAATCTCCTCTACCTGGATTGCTCCATCCGACTACTCCGCCTGCCCCGCCGCCTTCTACGGTGTAGTCTGCGACCCCTCCGCTTCCTCCGTCATCGCCATTTCCCTCGACCGCCTCCAACTATCCGGCGACCTTAAGTTCAATACTCTTACTTCCTTAAAGTCCCTCCAAAACCTAACCCTAGTCGGAAATTCCCTATCCGGCCGCCTCGTCCCGGCTCTGTTCACAATGCCCGTTCTGCAAGTAATCGATCTTTCCAATAACCAATTCTACGGCTCAATTCCCGCTCGCTTGACCGATTTGTGGCCCCTGCACTACCTGAATTTATCCGGCAATAATTTCACCGGCGAAATCCCAGAAAGAATCGGCAACCTGCAGCAGTTAAAGGTATTGGATTTGCACTCGAATAATCTACAAGGAGACGTGGGGAAGCTGATTCCCGAGCTCAGGAATCTGGAGCACCTTGATTTGAGTCTCAACAGCTTCTCCGGATCGATTGATCTGAGCATCGAAAATCTCTCTAGCTTAGGCAACACCATCCAATATGTCAACATAAGTGGAAACAATTTAAGCGGTGGGCTATGGGCCAAGGAAGCGATGAACTTGTTCAGGAACTTGAAGGTCTTGGATTTGGGCGACAATGGGATTTCCGGGAGCCTTCCGGATTTCGGGCCATTGCCAAATCTTCAGATTCTAAGGCTTGGAAACAACGGGCTATCGGGGCTGGTGCCCAAAGGGCTCTTGCAGGGGGAGGTCCCGTTGGTGGAGCTCGATCTTAGTGGCAACCAATTCTCAGGTGACATTTGATTTTAAACTTGTTGCTACTACAAGTTTTATACCAGCTGAATTGTTGTGTTTTGTATGAACTTTTGGTGTCTGAATGTGGATGTGTTTCTCACAGGATTGTGTAGCTTTTGTGTCTCATAGGATTATTTGTTAGCCATAATGAAGTTTTATGAAATTCTCCGAAAATTCTTCGCGAAGAAGAACGAGGGGCGTGCATGATTACTTAGTTGGAAGAAAGATACATGATCATTCGCCCATGGCCGTTGGTGGCGGTAGAGTACAATTGTCCGTTGCTAACTAACATTAATGATGCAAGATGTTTGTTAGATGTATTCTAGTTTGATCAAATCCTCCGAGAATCCCTCGTGAATGAGAATGATGGGTGTATATGATTACTTAGTCTTTCTTTCATGACCGTTGGCGGCGATAGAGTACAATTGTCCGTTGCTAACTAACATAAATGATGCAAGATGTTTGTTAGATGTAATCTAGTTTTATAAAATCCTCCAAGAATCCCTCGTGAATGAGAATGAGGGGTGTATATGATCACTTAGTTGGAAGAAAGACACGTGGTCATTCGCCCATGACCGTTGGTGGCGATAGAATACAATTGTCCGTTGCTAACTAACATTAATGAGGTAATATGTTTGTTTGATGTGATCTAGTTTTATAAAATTCTCCAAGAATCACTAACGAATGAGAATGAGGGTCGCACACATTCACTTAGTTAGAAGAAAGACACGTGGCGATTTGCGCATGATCTTTGTTGGTAATATCATAAAGTTGTTCGTTGCTAACTAACATTAATGAGGTAATATGTTTGTTTGATGTAATCTAGTTTTATAAAATTCTCCGAGAATCACTCGCGAATGAGAATGAGGGTCGCACACGTTCACTTAGTTAGAAGAAAGACACGTGGCGATTCGTGCATGATCACTGTTGGTAATATCATAAAGTTGTTCGTTGCTAACTAACATTAATGAGCTACGAAATTTTCATATTTAGTAGTTGTGAAGTTTCCTCTGTTTCGTAGTTGTTTCGAAAAGTTAAGTCTGTCACCTATTTGGTGAAAAAGAGGTATGATGAGTTAAGCTTCTAGAAACTGCAGAAGATTAATAGATCCCTTTATGATGGCGATTATGGTTTTTGTCGGCTACTGTGATGTGAAAATGATCGATCTTTATTCTCTTTAATGCGGTATTTCTATACTATGTTATGTTTATTTGTTTCTATACTCTGTGAGTTGCTCTTCAATCGAAATGATCTATGAACTGTTCTGTTCTTCTTTCAGGTTCCATTCAAGAAATCAACTCAAAAATGTTGGATATTCTGAACATGTCTTCAAACAGTATCTCGGGCCCATTGCCTTCATCAGTAGGAAGCTGCCATACTGTTGATCTCAGCAGAAACCTCTTATCGGGCGACATATCTGTTCTTACGACTTGGAACACTGATTTGGAAACATTAGATTTGAGCTCAAACCTCTTGAATGGAACCATTCCAGATTTGCCACAGTTCCAGAGCTTGACACGTCTCAGCCTACGAAACAATACCCTGGAAGGAAATCTGCCTCCGGCAATCGGTTTCCTCGCAAAGCTTGCCACACTCGATCTCAGCTCTAACCAGCTTGAGGGGCAAATGCCCAGTAGCTTCTTTATTTCAATGACCCTAACAAATCTGAACTTGTCTGCCAATCACTTGACAGGACCTGTTCCCCTTGGAGGTTCGCGGGCCAGCACACTACAGATTCTTTCTTCGGGCCCACCGATGGAGTTTCTCGATCTTTCGAGAAATCTGCTGACTGGCGAACTGCCTGCGGCTGTTGGTAACTGGATAAGGCTCAGGTTGTTGAACCTTGCACAGAATAAGTTATCAGGACAGCTCCCGAATGCACTGAGCAAACTTAGTGGCCTTGAGTATCTTAACTTGTCCTACAACAGCTTCAGTGGACAACTTCCCGGCGACCTGCCAGCAAGTCTGAAGTCTTTCGATGTTTCCCACAATAACCTGTCTGGAGAAATCCCAGAAAACTTGAATGTCTTTCCTGATTCTTCATTTTCCGGGAATGAATTCAAAGGTCGTCGTCCTTCTGCATCCGGTGATCACGTCCCTGGCGTGAATGAGACCCCGGGACGCCATCGCGGCTTGGGATCGAACATCAAAGTAGCCATTATTCTTGCATCTATTGGAGTTGCTATAATGACTGCATTTGCTTTTATAGCTTATCGCCGCGCAAAGTTTCATGATTTCCGCGTTCGAAGGGGATTTTGTGGCGAAAACTTCGGGAGGGACATCAAAGCAGGATTGTTTTCCCGTCCCTCGTTTTTCAGATTCCATACCAGCAGTGCAGAGTTGGAGCCTACTCGTCAAACTTTGGTAAGCTTTTCTGACGATCATTTTCAAACCTGAGATGTTGGTCTGTACATACTGATAATTCCTCTGTTGCATTTCCCCAGAATGTTTCTCTCGGCGGAGTAGCAACGGCATCAGGAAGGATATCCTCGCCTGAATCTCCAGTCTTGTCCTCGCCCCAACGTCACGAGACATCAGAACAGTCTGGATCTTCTGACGTGCGATCTCCGGTCAGATTTGCGGGAGACCTGTGCTTCTTGGATAGCTCTCTAAATTTTACTGCTGAAGAGCTGTCCCGTGCCCCGGCAGAAGTTCTCGGGCGGAGTAGCCACGGCACCTTGTACAAAGCCACCCTCGACAATGGGAGTCTGCTGACGGTCAAGTGGCTGAGGATCGGGTTAGTCAAGGGCAAGAAAGAATTCGCACGGGAAATTAAAAAGATCGGGGCTATCGCACATGAGAACACCGTGCCTCTGCACGCATATTACTGGGGGCCGAGAGAACAAGAGAGGCTTGTTCTAGCCGACTTCATTCCCGGTGATAGCTTGGCTGTACATCTTTACGGTGAGTCAGTAAATCGGCATGTTTGTTTTGTTTCGATTTGAATTCAAAATCTAAAAACATGCACATTCATATAAATTGTTTTTTCAGGCACCACTCCCCGCCGGCATCCGCTGTCATTCACCCAACGGATAAATGTCGCGCGGGACGTAGCTCGGGGCCTCATGCACCTGCACCAATGCGGGCTACCGCACGGGAACCTGAAGCCGACGAACATACTCTTGACGGGGCCTGACTACGCTGCCCGCCTAAGTGATTATGGCCTCCATCGGTTGATGACCCCAGCGGGTGTTGCCGAGCAGGTGCTGAATCTGGGGGCACTTGGCTACCGTGCTCCCGAGCTTGCTGGCCATTCCAAGCCTGCACCTTCATTGAAAGCCGATGTGTATGCATTCGGCGTGATTCTGATGGAGTTGTTGACCGGGCGGAGTGCTGGCGACATCATCTCCGGTCAGTCAGGTGCGGTGGACCTCGCTGACTGGGTGCGTCTCTGCGACGAGGAGGGGCGGCGGATGGACTGCATAGATCGGGACATCGCCGACGCTGCCGGAGATGAGAGCTCGGAGGAGGCGGCGGCAATGGACGGGATGGTGGGCGTCTCGTTGGGGTGCATCCGGGCGGGGAGTGAGAGGCCCAACATAAGACAGGTGTTTCAGGACATCTGCTATGTGCGTGAAGTTTTGCAGTTGTCTTAGATTTGATTTCAGGAGTCTTTTCTTTTTATCCTTGGAGATTGAGATTGAGATTGTTTAGTTTTGATTTTATTTTTATTTGTTTATTTTTGCACCCCTTGAGTTTTTTTTGTGTAGAGGGGTGTTTATTTGATTGCCATAATTCTTCCCCATTTAATGAACTGAGCGGGCAATTCAAGTTATCTTGTAGAGTATGTATGTGCTCCTTTTGAGCTGTGACTGTTCAAGATTTGTGCTGCTTGCTTTTTTATGAATAGAATAGACGTCTAAGTCTAATGCAATAAACTAATTAATTTGCCTGCTTTGCATATGACATATGATTCATTACAGACAATTTTACAGCTTGAGAAGTGCTCCAAACTAGTCGATAAGATAAATCTCACAAAAAGGAAAATCTGGAAACGTATCAACCTAAAATGGGACAGAATTTCAGCACACAGTCATATACATATCTGCACACCTTCTCTTGACAGACTAAAATACATACATACATATTCACAAATTCTTGTATCATCTCAAAAATGGGCAGCAGAAGCTGATAATTATATCGTGTGTTTGCTGCCAACAATACAATACAATACAATACAATGATGCACTAAAATCACGTTTTGTCAAGGCTTACTGCTGCTGCGGCGCTAGTCGTTCGTGACCATGCGAAGACCAAAGCGTACTTAATGCCCGAAGACGTTGCAAATACTCCCCTAGCGCAAGGAGACCGTGCGCTGCTTGATGAGTGGTGAGGAGTCCCGACATCTGCTGCAGAGTCTGTTGCCGAAGATGATCTGCCTGTAATAGAACTGACATTATGTAAATTCTAAATTCTCATTCGACCAACTCACTCCACAAACACCAACTGCTACTACCTACCTGTTGAACAAACCGGGCCAGAGATTCTAACTTCTCTGCAGCAGCAGTGAGCTGCGGCAGGTAGTTCCCCTCGCCTAGTGAACCCCCGGCTATCGCTTCAGCGATAATGTAGTGTAGTTTCTCCATTCCCTGTGTTAAAGCATCTTCGGCTTGCTGACACAATTGCCTAAGATTCCCCACATCCAGACGCTGCGTTTCTGTTAACTCCAGATGCGGTGACAGAACCTGTCAAGAAAACAAAAACAATTCAGACACCAGGCAATAATGAGATATGTTCAAGCTCATTCAAGCTCTGTATTTTCAAATATTGTTACCTTTAGAAGTTCTGAAGGCCGAAAGCCGCCAATCCAGAAAAAGAATCGTTCTGCGGGTGTCTTCCACATCCCGGAGATGAGATAGAACACATCAGCCCTGGCAGCTGCCGCTTTCATGTCAAAGAGATCAGAGTAATGCCTCATTCCTGCATCGACGAGTATGCGCAGTTCCATGTCTCTCATATTGTTGCGCAATGCATTTCGGATATCCATAATTTGCCTGTTTTGCTCTTCGATCCAGTGTCCATATTCCCTTTCAAATGTCACAATGCCTACAACCATACGAACCATCACCCTACCTTCGATCATTTGCCTGACTGACTTGATTACCAGCTACCAAAATGAGTGTTGCATTTGATCAAGAGGATTTATGACCATACAAACCTGGGTTTGTAGCCGCGGAGTATCCAATCTGACAAGCATCCATACCACCACCAACATACATTCCCTGCATCAGAAAGCTCTGGAATTCAAACGTGCTGATAAAATAACAAAACAAGTGAATTAAAGACAGAGTTGCTGGGATTCAGAAGCCACGCCAAACTAGAAAGTCAGAACTTGTTAATGATATTAGAAGCCATAGGCATGCAAGTTTTATAGTTGTGTAGTGCTAATATAGTGTAATGTACTTAGTCGCTGCATGATACCAACAACTCAAAAGGTTTATAGGATTCTGATTAAGTCTCACAATATACCTTCAATATTGCGCTTTATATCTTTCAACTGCAACTGAATTTTTGACATAAGTATGGGTCAAATACAAGTAGCACAGTCACTGGTATTTCTTTTACCTGTTGTCGAGCTCGGTCTAGCTCTTGCTCTAACTGAATTAACTTCAGTTTACTGTTTTCGAGCTGCTGGACATATGCCTGCAAGATAAAAAATTAGATCAGGCAAACAATTCATAGATGAAACATTGTAAAGTCCCCACATTTGGATATAATAAACTAGTAAGAAAAGATAAATCTTGAGTTTTTCCAGTAGATGTAAAATACATGTTTGCAACAGTAATGTACCTTTTTCCGGAGGCGACTTTTGCGAGCAGCCTCCCTGTTTTGTGCCAGGCGTCTCAGTGCCTACAACACAAACTCAGTCTTGTCAACAATATCAAGTGTTCGAAGATGAACAGATGAGAAATTTAAAACTCTGATGAGATGGCAAAGATAATATTAACTTCTCTGCAATGCCATACGCAGATAAAGAAAGTTCCATATCACTAGAAACCATGGATACCGGACAAACAGATATTGAATAATCAAGCTAACCTACAATTGAATTAATGAATATAGAAACTGAATGGAACAACAGAAACCAATGGAACATCTTGCATATATATATTTACCTTATCAGTTGGCTTACTTGCTTCTTGATCGTATTTATTTGCCGGCTCAGCTGTTCCATGTGAAGTGTCCTCCGACTAGAGATATTCAAAACCAAGCCAGCAATAAACAATCTTGACATCTTAACGCCAACAACATGAGCAGCAATATGGAGATCAAAATAATAGTGGCACCTGGTTGTCAAGTTTAGCATCAACCTCCAGAATCATCGGTGGAGATGTTTCCAGATAGTTGCTGCCTTTGAAATCTCCCCACATGGCCATTTGATGGATTGGCTCTAATATCCCCATCCCTCTTGCAGGAACAAATTGGGTGGATCCAGAATTCATTTTGGCTGACTGTTAACTCAATGATCAAATTGAATTTTTTACTATTGCCCCTTGAATACTTTGGCAATCAAATTGAACGTGACGTACTATTGCTCTCCGAAATCACTTAATATGCAAAGAAACTGCTGAACTCACAACCCCGAGGAAGGTGCATCAGAGATATGAATAAATCAATGAAGCAAATTGAAAAGAAAACTTTCAAGAAATAACAACAAAGAAAGAAAAGATGAGTTCCAAACCAGTATTACAAATTCACATTGCACAAGATTAAGAGTTGTGACCGAATCCCATATTTCTAAAGAATGTTGACGGATGTATCACACATTGACTGCCTAGTTAGTCATATATTCTCTGCAGAATAAGTTCTCCTTTCTTTTGATTAGCCAATGGAGCACAATATTTGTGAAAAAAAATCGCATCTAACCGGGCAATAGTTCGAGAGACTTGCTGCAATTGCTACACGACACTTAACTTTTCACGCAACCAAAACAAGAAAACAGCACAACAAAATTGTCATTAGACTATGCATTTGAATGTGACTTCCAAGGGCAGAAGAATGACCATATTCGTATGAATTGAAAGCAAGTAATGACAATGAATTATACTTATGTATAAAGGATTCATTCCAAAGGCATCAATCAATCTGCAACTAATTTAGCACAATGTTGAAGGCTGAAATCAGACCTAAATTTCGGAGGTTTAATCCAAGTCTAAATCAGTTAAAATTATATGCAGAATCTAACTTTGGAAATTTGAAGGTATCTGATCCTCAGGTCTTTATTAATGAAACTAGTTCTTCATCCCACTTGCATCATTCCAAGTCAACATCCATTCATGTTAGAAATCCCAATTTCCTTCATGAATTCATACACGTACGCCTTTATGTTAAGTTTTAATATATATATATATACACACCTGTGTGTGTGTCAAAAGAAATCAACAAAACTGTGATGCAATCAAATCATATATAACATAGGGAAGTTCTCGCAGGCACAACATCAAACACCTGCAAGGCATGCAATTACTACAAAACTGTTTTTGTTCTACAAATCGAAAACTTTATCAAACCTCACCTCACAGTTTTTCAAATTCATACCAGTTAGAAAACCTCAATTTATGCCACATATCGAAAACCAAATCAAAATAACCAAAACAACGATACGACACAGAAACGAGCTAGAGGAAATAATTGAAACAAACCTTTTTTATGGTGAATTAAATGACCCGACTTGGCTCAACAAGCAGTCATAAACCGATCAAAAGTGAATTCCGGCGAAGCCCAGCTTCCATACGACCGTAGCCGTTGATTCTGAAGAAGAAGAAGAGGCAGCAAGAAGAATAAGAACAAAAAAGAATCGAGAATATGATTGTGAACGCAACATCTTTTTAACATTTAGTATTGTCTATTTAAATAAATAGGAAATTAATAAATAAACAAAAGGGACTGACTGACTGACTGACTGACTGACTGACTGTAATTCACTACCAACACTCGTATTGATGTATCTATACACACATATACTACACAATATATGTGTATATATGTGTGTGTGTGTGTGTGTGTGTGGGAGTGTATATGTAAATGTAATGGTTGCTTTGAATATGCGCACCAGATCACTCTCACCATGTACACACATACTTTAATTTGATAATATTTAATTTGGCTCTTGCAGATGCAGCACAGAATTGCTAACCTCGCCTTACCTTACCCCACCCATGAAAGCTGGCTAATATATAAGCTCCGTAATTGATATGTATGTATATATAGGTCAAATCATCAATCGAGCTTTGCAGTTGCATGATAGCATGAGAGTTGGGTTGGGGAGCTTTGCGTTGCTTTGATACATGAATTATAGACTCCATGAATTGATCCCAGTCCCAGTAAGGTTAGGTCTGGTCTGAAGAACAGAGAATAGACAAGGAAGGAGCGTGGGCGCCACGCCAGGTCAGAGCGTGTGGGGAATGTTGGATTCCTAAATGATTGCTTTGGTGTCGTGTCAAGACGTGACGGTAGTAGCTAGCTAGCTGGCGCGTGGTCTCACGCTCCCTATTCGGTATTTCAATTAATTAGTAGTGTAGTGTATTTATTGAAAGCTTAAAATGAAAATGAACCAACTTGCTCTTATAATTGTTGTATCTTACTAATTAATAACATTATCAACTTATAAGCAAACCCCACTCACTCACTGTCCTCTTCATTAAAATTAAAATTAAATTAAATATATATGTTATCGCAATGTGCTGTATTAAATAAATATATTTTTAAAGAAAGGGTAGAGTAGTAAGGCGATGGATCTAAGTATAATTATTTATTTATTGTTATTATTATTGAGTGATGAAATTAATCTAATTAATTAATGTCCCTTCAAACCCTTCAGAGGCATATTGCTAAGCTAATCTCTCTCTCATTTTAATATTGGATGTTATCATTTAATTGGAATATACTTATATCTAGCCGTTCTACTCAAACCAAGTTTTATTTTACAAATTAATTATTTATTACATACATGCATACAATTTAGTTGGATATTTTTATACATACGATACGTACACCTAATATTGTATTATATATATATATGTGTGTATTGACGTCATATAGAGAGAGAATCCACTTAGAAATAAATGTATATGATAGTACTAGTTGGGGTGGACTGTGATGTTAGCATATCCTGGCCCACCACCATTCATTCATTAATCAATTCATTCTCTACTTTTATATTCTAAACTCATCATCTACTTCAATATATATTCACCCATACCATACCCCACCCCACCCCATATGTAGTACTAGTGCTTACCATTTGTTCCCAATTACTTCAATATATATATATGATATTGATTGTGAAAAAAGGTATATATATATATATATAGAGAGAGAGAGAGAGAGAGATTAACATATATATATATATGTATGTATATAGCATATATCTTCATCCCCACCTGGCCAACCCAACCACACTAGCTATAGGAATCTCTATGTATCTATGTGTGTAGTGTAAGATACTGTTATATATAGATAAGTAGAGAACATTTTAATTTGCTTTCCTGCAAGAAATGATTATGCTTTCTACTATATGTATGTATGTATGTATGTATGTGTATATTACGTGGACAACATTACAACATTTGAGGGGCTTCATTCAAATACAAATACAATTGAGATATATATATATATATATCAGGACTGATCGACATGCTGCTTCTGCTTCCTAATTTAACAACAACTAGTAATTATAATACATATCTATAAGTACATATGTCGTTAAGATTCGTACCACTATATATATATATATATATGTATGTGGATTAGGATTCGGATATGATCGATCAGTGATATATAAATAAAAATAACATAAGATATCTATGTGTTTAGTATATTAAGTAAAACCATATGTGTCCATTCTCTTTTAATTCTATATATTAACTTAATTACTGCTGTATTTTTGTAATAAAAACTTATTCAACTTGAGGGGTGTGTGTGTGTGTGTGTGTATGTAAAGAAATTAGTAGTGAAGGCTACTGTCCTAGTGGGTTAAACACTATCAAGAATCTTTTTTCCTTTTTTTTTTTTTTTTTGTTTTTGTTTTTGACCTAACAAAATCCTACACAATTTTCGTGAATAAACCCCACTCCGATCCCATCCAATAACCACCCCTTGGATTGCCATTGATTCAAATTTCAATTAATTAATTGTGCCCTTTACGACTATATATAAACGTACACCTAATTTACACGTAAGAACTCACGTATGCATGCATGCATGCATGAATACAAAAAATGCGTGTGTACATAAAAACAACCACTCTCTCTCTCTCTCTCTCTATATATATATGTACGTCACATCAACGAACTTTAATTAATTGTGTCACATATAATAATGATTAATCTTGAATGGCCCAAATAACTTTATAATTAATGAGATGAATTGATTAGCTAGGACTAGGATGGTGCTTATGGCTTTTAATTTGTTTGTGTTCCAAGAAAGATACCTCACCCTCACCCCCAACCCCAACCCCAACCCCAACCCCAATGTTCATTTCACTATAATAAATATTCTCCAAGTGTTTTCCCTTTTCAATTCTCTCTCCCTCAAATTGCCAAAGTGCACTTAATAGTAAAGTGGATTTCCCACTAAGGGTGGCTAGTGTGTGTGTCATCACAAACGGAGAAGATTCATTTCCCTTTTTCACATGAAGTTTTTTTTTTATTATTTATTTATTTAAAATAAAAATATATAAATTATTGGATTCCTCCCATGATTTTGGATGCAACTATATATATGCACGTACTTGTGCATAGTGAATGAAGAAACACACACATGCCCTAAAAGGTTTGTGCCTTTTCTTGAACTTACATTAATTTGAGAATTTAATTAAGAAATACTAATATTATATTATTTCATCATCATCGTGTTTATTAATTCTGTCCAATTACAACTCTTATAAAATAATATTTTAGTTTTATAAATTGTAAACAAAATAACTGTGCTAGCTTTACCATATATATTAATAAACATCACCTATTTTAAGGGCCGCAAAATTAAAGGCCCAATTACTGACACAATAAATTAAACTAGTAGCCCAATACGAAAGCCCATTGCATTCCAAAAGATAGTAAAATTAGCTCTCGCAAATTTCAGCAACATTATTAAAAAAAAAATAAAAAAAATAAACAATAAATTAAATTAAACACACGTCTCCACTCTATGAGCGGTCAGCGCTTACCCGGAGGATATTTCCCCATTTTGCTTGATCACAACGCTGCCCGGGCTGCCCGAACCCTCTCTGGAGAGATTACGGTCAGCTCAACCAGAAACTCCACCACAACTCCCTTCCTCCCTTTTTTTTTTTTTTTTTTTTTTTTCTTTTCTTTTCTTTTCTTTTCTTCCTGCAGTTATTATTTGTTGCTGTCTCTGTGCCTCCCGATTCGACGGTCCAGATGATATTTCCCTCCGATCTCGCTTCCTGATTCCCAGATCTACCGGATCCTAACTCAGATCTGCTCTTCTGGTTAGCTTTACGTTCAAATTTTTTACTTCCTCTGCGCTTTCTTTGCTGCTTTTCGTAGTTCGATCTACGTTTGCCTCGATCTACGCGGTTTCGTGCGTAAACAGTTTGGTTTTGCTTTATAGTTTTCCTGTGTTTGAGATATTCTTGAGATTTGTTAGTTCCTCGATTTTTTTTCTGTTATTTTGAAAAAAAAAAAAAAAATTGTGGAGTTTTGGGGTAAAAGTGAAAACTTTTTTTCTATGGAAGGATTAATTTATGTTTGTTGATTACATATTAGTTTTTGTTTTGTTTAATTCCAGTTTCATTTCCGGTAGATCTAACAGTGTGTGATTTTTTTTTTTTAGTTTACATTAGTAATGGCGATTAAGTGCGGCTCAGTCAACTTTACTACGCTTAGGCGGAGCCTGCTAAGTTGCGCCGGCGGCGAAGCGGCTTTAGCGGCTTTCTTAGTCTCGGTTATGGTCAACGCTCGGCTCACTGTCTTCACTCAGGTAACATATTTTTCATTACTCCACTATTTATTTATTTATTATTTTTTTTTTTATGCTGATTTTCAAGTTTTTTTTTCTTTTTTTCTTTTTGTAAAATAATTCGATACCTTTTATTATTTATTGTCTTTTCCAAAAAGAAATTTTCTCAACTGTTGACTTATTGACCTAAAATTTTCATATGAAAAGAACTGAGTTGCCATTTTTTCCTCAAAGAAATCGTAATATGCCAAACTTCTAAAGCTGTATTTAAGTATTTTAGTTGTTGTTTTTACGGTTTTATAAATACCAAAATTTTAAATGAAAAATAATAATCTTTAATATAGCATTTTAAATAAAAATATATATATAGTAATAAACGGGAAGCGATGAATCTGACAAACATCTACCGAGTTTAAAGTTTTGTTTTTTTTTTTTTTTAAAGAAAATATATTAAACAGTTGAGTGCACATGTTGAAGATTCAAGACCGAGACGTAATTCCCACTTTGAGCGATGTGGGTACAACATTATTTATGTAGATTTACTTATAAATGCAATATATTCTTTCAAAAGTTTGTTACAATCTCAAACTTCTTTGTGATTGATAGTAATAACCTGCCACGTCAGATTTCAAGTTATTCAGCACAATAGTGAAAGAATTCTTCTTCATCTCTCAATGCCTTGAACATTATTAATCTGCAACTTCTTGCACGATGTTACCTTCCAAACTCTAGGAATACATAAAGCTACTCATTGGCTTATACAAGTTTAGAGGAGATGATCAAACATATTACCCGGTGGATGCGGACGACGATGGTGACGATGAAGATGATGACGACGATGACGACGGTGAAGACAATGACGAGGAAGGTGAGGACGGCAACGATGATGATGGTGGCGGCAAAGCCACCGACCCCACAAAGCCCAGTGCCAAAAAGGGGCCCCCAACAGGAGGCGCCGAAGAAAACGGTGAAGGTGAAGAGGGTGATGATGATGATGATGAACCGGAGGGTGGAGACGATGATGACGACGATGATGATGACGATGAAGATGATGATGGAGAAGGTGGGGAGGATGACGACGAGGATGATGATGATGGGGAAGATGATGATGAAGCAGGAGACGAGGAAGACGAAGAAGATGAGGACGAGGAAGCCTTGCAGCCCCCGAAGAAGAGGAAGAAGTGAATGGGCTTCGAGAAATAACAAGTTAGATGGCTCTTAAGGTTGGTTGTTTTAGACTTATTTTGCTAACATTAAAGCATGAATGTTCTCTCTGGGTTGCAGAGGAGGCTTGTTTAGGATTTTATGGTTGCGTTTTCAGACAATTCCCCCCTATATAAGTATGTTTTTATGAGTATTTTGTACAACTCTCTCCTACTGTTGAGGCAATGTCAATCTTAGTTATCTGAAGTGTATATGTATTTATTTGCCTTGCCTTGCCTGCCCTCAACAGGAGGAGGAGGAGGAGGAGGATCCAATCTTTCACCACACTGGGGATTTAGTGTTGAAGTTGGTAACCTGAATTCAGATTATTTTATAATCCAAGAGAAGAGAAGGGAGGATATGAATTCAGAATTACACAGACCTGTCATAAAAAATGATCCATCACCAACTCTATGGCAAATGAATTCATGTAACTTCAATTTTTGAAACCCAGTACAAAGCAAAATATAAACTAGTGTAGTAAGGTAAAGCTATCCACTTATCCGAATTCAATTCAATTAGTAAAATGAAAACTCTTGTACCTTCCTAGTCAAAGATTTTTCACCAAAATGTGATTTTTTTCTATATCTAAAACCTGGAATAGCAATTGCCAAGCTCGTAACAGCATTAAAACGGTACTATTAATCATCATTTGAATAGCAGCTTAGCAAGTGAGGAATTTATAATCAATAAAAACAAACAGGTATATAAATAAGTGGTGCGAATCAAACCTTTACAACCACAGTGTTGTACAACTTGCATGACTTTTGCTTGCTCCGACCCAATTAGGCGCAGCGAAGAAGGCCAAAATCTGTAAAGTGGCAATGACAACACAAACAAGGTCAATCTTGAGCGTCCCAGTTTGAGATCAAACTAGTGCAAAACCTGGAGAACCAAAAGTACCAATTATAATGATCTTACAGTAAGTGAAGAAAATTGGGTATCCAAAAACTAAAAATGAATGCAATAGTGGATCCCTTTAGTACCCTTACAAGTTATGATTGACCAAAGAACATCCAAACACTAAGCACACAATACATGGTGTCCAAAATCCAAACAAACAAAAGTAAGATTCAGTTGCCCGTGAGACAATGGTAAGAGCAAACTATAGTTAAATAAAAACTGCTGAAGTTACGAACTGCATAGATTATTTACAAAAATATGAAAAAAATGACATGGTGGAAAAGCTTGTCCAAGTTTCTAAGATAAATGCCGCCATACAGATTAAAGTCTTAACAACAAATTTCAAATACCATCAGAAGAAATGCCCCCATAAAACCGTAACAACTTTTCAAAATCTCCACCAATTTTCATCCATCTCTGTGAATCCATTACCAACCTAAGCAAGAACATATCAAAGCATGTTTAAAGAAAACAATTAGATAATGTACCATACATGTTTACAGAATTTAGACTCACTAAATAAGATGATTTATTTATTTTTCTAAAAAAAAAAAAAAAAAAAAAAAACTGATAAAATGTGCCAATTGAATTACACACTAAGCTCATACGAAAGTCCCTAAGAATTAATTAGGCTGGAAAAAGCTAACAACCAAATCAATAGGTAGCAGCATATTCAGTAACAAAATGGAAAGTGATATCCTAATGTAGTAGTAGATTAAAAAATGACAGCTTCCACATTCATTCAAAGAGTGAATATATATTTGCGAAACCAATTGAGAGTAAGGAATTAGGAGCCCTGATTATGCCAAAGTGGTATAACAACCATTTCTGTAAGTCTGCTCGATATCTATCCTAATGAACAATTCTTATTCTAGATATCAATTCTATATTTAAATCTCCACCATTTCCATTTTAGAGCAGGAGATCTCATATGCAACATTGCTGTTATAGACACAGCTACCCCCAGGCACGTTGAGACTTACCAAGGCCGCCTCCAAATCATAGGATCAGAGACATTCCATACCGCCTGCTCTTAATCTCCCCAAATATCTAAACAAAAAAATCACCTCTAATTTTTGCATCGAATTGAAATGCAGCTTAGATGCCACGAGACTCCATTCGAATTTCGATCCTATGATTTAACCAGCATATTCCTAGTGTTTAAATGCTACAAATCCAACAATCGAACAAACACCACTCCACGAATCCTCGACCCTTCAACACACAGCTACCACAACCGATTCAAAGAGCGGCGGCGTTATCCACGAACAGAGAGGCCGGCAGATAAATCGCACAATCGGGATCCTTCACCACGAGCCTTGGTCGCTCCTGCTTCGTTTCCACAATTGCAACTGTAGATCCCCCCAAGTCAGATGGAACGTCAAATCCAGGTCCTTTCATTGAATAGAATAGAGATCACGATACATGTCCACACACCCATTCACAAACGACGTCGTGCCTAATTACACACTAAAAAAATATTAAAAATATTTTTATCTATCTATCTAAAGTTCCCACTGGGACTATGGACCAGCCATGGCAAGCAACACCACGTGGGCACTTGTATCCCCAAGATCCTGGGACCCCAACACCGGATCAATCCTCACCGTCCACAACATATCTCATATCTGGCGTCGACAACCCGGTTTTCCCAAAACAAAATGCCCACCATCACAGGCAGACGGCAGCAGTAGAGCACCGATAGTAGTAGAGTAGTACATTACCACGTGACCAATTCTAAATTAAGATCCGTGGACCCGAAGATTCAGATCGATCCTGACCGTCCACGCGTAACCGTAAAAGAAACACGTGGCGGCGAGAGGCCAGGGCGCTCGTAACAAACCGACCCCTTCATCCCCCTCCGATCCACTCATTAAAAATTGATGCAGTTGGAGATGGTCGGCGATGCAAACGACGACCACATAAATGCGCACGCGAGAATAAATTCCTCCAAAGCCAGCAACTATACCCGCAAAGCTCGGTACGACGATTCGCTATAAATACGCAGTAAATCCAGAAACCCCGAGAAATATCAAAACCAAAATCCAAAGCCGGAGAGGAAACAGGAACAGAAAATCAAAGAGGTATATATATACATATAAATATATTTATAGAGAGCATTGGTGGTGAGTTTACCTAATTGGATTAGTTGTGGATCGGAGATGGCGGACATAGCTCTCCTGGTCGCGGAGGAATTCGAGAGGAGGACGATCTCGCAGGAAGAGCTCGAGGCGTCGTGGTGCGTGGGAGTTTTCAATTTGGCGCTGAACCTCCGGGAGCAGGTGCGGGTGAGGTTTCGGGAGGAGAACATAGACGAGGTCCTTCTCAGGAGGTTCCTCAAACCCAAGTCCAGGATCAGCATTGCTGCTAGAAATGGCTTCTTCTCTGCTTAGTTGATTTGATTCCTACACGATTAATTAGTAATTAATTACCAATATCATCTGATTTTATTATCATCTTCTCCACCCTACTCTACTCTACTCTACTCTACTCTACTCTACTGTAAGTAAGTATTGCCTTGCTCTCAAAATCTTATATCAATCAATCCATCATGGCATTTGTAATTGTAATTGTAATTGTAATTGGAATTGCGTGAGTTTGTTTTGGATTTTCATGTTGTTGAACTCTCAGTACAACATCACAAACCTTAAAATCCAAACAAAAAAGAAACACGCTCAGGACAAAAGTAGATATCATATTTATGGCATCATTTACTTTACCTTTTCAATGCTGCTGCTGGTATGAAAACTTTTTAGTATTTTTATAATAAAAAAAGTTGGTGGTTAAAAGAACCTTAATCAGAGCACGACACAACCACATCCCAATCCCGTCTAATGTATACTTCCCTTTGTAAGATTAGGAGAGATAAATAACTATCTGAATTGCATATAACTCCCACTTTTTATTTTACAGATAAGACTTTAGAATATGATGACTTTTGTAATAAAATTTTTATCTTAACATTAGAAGATTCTTCCATATTAATATTAATTATTTATTTTCAAATAACCATAATATTTATCCGATTATTGTTAGAATTATATCATAATATTTATTTAGTCCACATTGAGCGGTGATTAGAACAGTCAACAGGCATTATTGATAGCGCGTAGTTTTTGAGGGCCCAAAGAGGATGGGTTCTAAATTCAGTGGATTCACTTCACTTTTCAAGGGCATATTAGTAATTTGATATATCATAAAGTTCCGTACGTCTACGTATCCAATATTTCATCTTAATTACTAGTATTTTGCTGATATTATTTCTATGTCGATGAATCAATTTGTTATTTTAAATTTAAATAAAAATATGAATATTTGGATATGTATATTATCTTATCTATAATAATTCTTTTAAAAATATAAATAACGTATTATTACCGCCAAGAAAATATATATAAAGGATTTAGGAGAATCGTGATAAAAAAGTATATAATATATTATTTTTAATTATTTATTATTTTTTGAAATCACAATAAAAAAAATAAGATGGAAAGAAGAAAATCAAAATTTTAAAGGGAAAAGAATACTTTTTATCTTTAAAAATACAGGTGGGGGATGTTTGGAGTGGGCGAGAAACGTGTGCAGGCAGGCCAGGCCAGGCCCATAGAAATCTGCAATTAGTTTATACACAATAATTGAAGGAGGTGATAATGTCATTAGTAATAATGGAGTTAATTATTACCTTCTGCCAACCATCTATCTATCTTAAATAAATCAAATCCATTATCTTACCAAACGCCACTACACTACAACTAAATAAATACATGAGTATGAGTTATACGTAAAAACCTGAACCTGCCGTACTGTGAGGAAATGGAAATTGATAATTAATTTTGATGGAAATTTTATAAATTCAATTAAAAAAAGAAAAGAAAATCACCATTGTGACCTGCCGACCCATTCCTAAACCGACTATCCACTGATTAAAGGGCCCAATAAAATAAAATAAAAATAAAAATCTAATTGAATGAACCCACTTGACTTGATTGCCTCTATCTTCTTCTTCTTCTTCTTCTTCCCCACTATCACACTATTCTCATCACTTTATTACAGTATATAAAGCCCCATTGATTTCGTATATCCTCTTCACCCACTCACTCACTCACACACATATAGATCTATCTCTATATTGAGATCAATTTAATAAATTAAATACATGTCTTCGGCTGGAGCAAGCTACGCGTGGCTACACGTGCAGGAGAAGCGGCAGAAGGAGAAAATGCTGCTGAAGAATAACATGAAGAACAAAAACGAGAAAGCGGAGAATCGACCTGTCCTGCAGGAGACGGCGGCGGCGCCCTACAATACCACCGGATTTAGCAGTAAGAAGAAAATTCATCCGGACATGCAATACGGCGGCTTTAATTAATTTAATTAGTCGTGAAAGTGAAATCCGTAATTAATTAGTAGCATCCGGCTTGCCTTGGTCGCCCGTCCGTGATGTGATGTGATGTCGACATGAGATCGATTGTAATACAGACCGTGTGTCCGTAGATGGATCGATGGATCGTGTTGGTGTGTAGTTTAGTTTCTCTGCTTGTACTTGTTTCTATTGTTTGTTTGTTGTTGATGTTGTTCCCTTCTTTGCCAATGGATATATATATATATATATATATTAATGGATAATTGATTATGGGTGTTTAATTAATTAGCAATAACACTAAAATTGGATTCATTCATTAATAGTAATTGTTGTGGAGTACAATTTGATTTATCAAAAACAAGCGCGTTTTTGTTTCTCAACTCAATAATAGTAGGAGTACTAGTCTCCATTCTAATACATTCTTTTGGTTTCATCACATAAAAATAATTAATAATATAGAAAAAGAAAAGGGGAGATTGGTGGGCTCTAATCATAATAATAATAATAATAATTATTATTATTATTATGAGTATCACAGACGCACTTTGTAAGTGCAGTGCAGTGCAGTGCAGATAATGAATGAATGAGTTGAGAGTGAGAGTGAGAGTCAAATGCCACATCACATCGCATCACATGGCATGTCCGATGTCCGATGTGCAGTGCAGTCCATATATCAACAACAATCAATTATGGGTGTGGCTAGTAAGAAATCTCAAACTAACGAGAATTAACTTTAAATGGAAGAAAAGCACTCAACCTTTTAGCTTCTTACCCTCTCTAGTCTAGTCTAGTCTAGTCTCGTCTCGTCTAGTCTCGTCTCGTCTCGTCTCGTCTCCTCTCCTCTCCTCTCCTCTCCTCTCCTCTCCTCTCCTCTCCTCTCCTCTCCAGAAAGAAGAAGAATACAGTTACAGTTACAGTTGCACAATCTCACTATGGCATTCGCTCGCACATCACATAATAATAACAATACTAATAGTAATAAATAAAAAGCTTTACAACAAAAACACACAACTAATCCCACAACACAAGATCAAGAAACACAACCCCCACACCAAAATTAATCAATCAATCTCCCTCCCTCCCTCCCTCTAAATCATCTCCTACTCACTCATTCCCAAAACTTTCAAACTCCAACTTCATATCATTCACTCACTGATAAGGATGGGTGTAATAGACCATACCGGGCGCCTGCAGCGGCCGGAAACTACCACCAGATCCCAATGCCTGCTGTTGCTGTTGCTGCTGCTGCATCATCGGCACCATAGGCCCCATCATGTATGGCGGAGGTGGTGGTCCAGGCGGCAGCGGAGGTGGGAGGCTACCGTAATCATACGAGCTCATCATTCCCCCGGACGGCTGCTGCTGCTGTTGCATATACTGCAGCGTGTTAGGGTTTGGGACCGAAAGATAGTGCGCTTGTGAGTTTGCAATCGTGGTCTGGGGCACCGCCACTGAAACTGACTGATAATGGCCGCTCTGAGAAGGATTGACCTGCATCATGTAAGTGCTTGGGAGGTTCTCAGATGTCAGTATAGAAGATGATGGTGTAGAAGACGCCGTTAGCCCGGCATTTTTGGCTTCCTCAGCTGCAAATGAAGAGAGCACTGACGTCATGATGTACTGGGACGAGCTTGAGGCAGTGAGCTTGTCCGCGACTTCAGCTGCAATGGCAGCAGCGGATTTTTTTGCTGTTTCCTCGGATTTTGTGTCGGCACCAGTTGAAGGTGTGGAGGGCTTTGGCTCAAATACATGGTCTTCATCCTCTAATCGGCTCCTCATGCTCGCGGCTTCTTCTACCTGTGCCTCTGCCACCTGCCATTTGGTTACATGGATAAAAATGTTTATCAGGAGGTCATAGAAACAATGTAACAAAGATTCCTACTGAGACCATGTCCACAAATCAACAATCACGACGATACAAACCTGAATATGAGTCCGAAGATTCTCCAATTCCGACTCCTGGAAGAAGAAAAGCCATCACAGAGAAAACATAAGTGACTATAACCCTAACAAAACAAATTAACTCAAATATATGCTGATGAGGTGGATCCCACCACAGACCTGCTCATTGAGCGCATCCCGTAACTCAGAGATGAGTGTGGCTCTACTTGCTTCAAGGGATTTTAGTTTTTCAATGCATTGTTTCAATACACTTTCATCGTCCTCCAATTCTTTGGAGAAGGTCTTCCGTGATGGATCTTTTGCTGCCAAAGATAGTTCAATCAATAAAAGGATTTGATTGTTTTAAAGATGAGGAAGGGTTAAGAAATTTTTTAGATTTTTAGCTAATAAAATGAATTACCTTTCGTCAATGCTACATCTACGCCTTTTTCCATTTTCTTGACACGATGAATTGCAGACTTGCATTTATCCATTTCCTGGTCTTCAGTGACATGTTCACTGAGCACCAAATGAAAAGCAGACACTATCTTTTCTGCTCGGCCACCAACACTCAATTTCTAATTTTCAGACAATCATTCTGGTTAAAAGTTGGTATATATAAACCAAAACCCTCAAGGCATATGAAAGACAGCTCAACATACCGTCCTTATTGACCGTGAATCCTTTTTAACAATTTTGACCGAGCGAGACCGCTTCTTCCTGAGCTCCAAAGGTGGAGGTAATTCTTCTCCAAGCATTGTGTCTTGAAGTTTTCGATTTTGGGAACCAAAAACTTTTCTTTCTTCCCATATAGCAACCTATATTCAAAATCAACATTTGATGAAGTAACAGTAATAAAATTTTAAAGTTTTCGGGTAAAATTATGATTTTGGATTTCTTCCGTTCAATGAAAAGGCATCAGGAGGTGAGAGGAACATGTAATCCTCTCAAGAAAACTCACTAATCGGGACACAACATTCTTCCCACGCTCATCACCTTCGTCAACTACCTCTTTGAGCGCAGATGGAAGAACCTTCCAGAACTCGGTGACAAATTCATTTCCTTTGCGCTTGCTGTTCTGCAGAATGTCGTTAGCAAGGTAGAGAAGAGGCACCTTCTGGGCCATCTCCGAACTGTGGAACTGCTTAGCCCATGTTGCAACCACCAGCTCAGCTTTACTGCGGTGGAAAATGCACCAGTGCGACAATGCTTTTCCGAAAGTTAAGGTAAAGAATTAGACACAAAGTAATCACAACAAACATGAATACAAACCATCATGTAGTGCAAAAAGAAAGGCAATACACAATTTATAAACATTAATCAACAAATGTAATTCTCCGCTCTTTTAAATAACTCATAATACAATCAAAGGATCAATCTCAACTTGGGAGTTACAAATCTCGCAAACTGAAGGCAATGGGAAGTGATGAAGAAGACATCTTGGCAAGAAATGGATACTCACAAGAAGTCGAGAATTAGAAACGAACAATTGCTTCAAAAAGAGAACATACGAGCAAGAAAGATAAAACCCCAAGCCATAGAAACGATATTTATTTTACCGTGTAGGAAACCTTTTCCATAGTAGATCAAAATTTCCGTATCTTCAACACTAACTAAACATCAAATAGATAGGTTGTCGTAGAATTTCAAATATAACAATCAAGATTCACCGTTCAACTAAAGAACTCAAAAAAGCATAAAAAAATCAAATCAAATCAAACAAAGACATAATATATACATGCATATACATATATATATATATATATAGACATAGATATAACCCAAATAGACAGCCTAAGCAAAACAATTTCACCATAGGAGAGCAAATAAAAACAGAAACAAGAGCAGAAACAGAAACGAAGTTCAGAGGGATACTTTCAATGCACTGTTGGGTGCTGTTGAGCTTGGAAAGCTTCTCCGCAAGTATCTGATCGCTGAACACGCTATTCATCCCACACTTCGTGCCCCTGCTCAGTACACGTATTTCCAAAACCCTTGCCCTAATTCAACACAAATAAACCAATTAACAAATGCGGCGAAGAGGCAAACGGCAAACGCCCACAGAATCGAAATTCGACCGGCATCGTCAAATTCCCCAGTCGAAGCAAATTAAAAAAGGGAACTTGACAAATATGGCTAGAGAATTGGAACCCTAATCAAACCCGTCTTCCGATTGGATTCTGGAGTAGGTATGGCTATTGGAGGGAAAACAAACAGGGGGGGAAACGAATAACAGCTAGAATATGATACCGGGTGTGCAAATTTTGAGCAAACGTGAGGAGATGGTGAGGGATTTGAGTTGGGCGGTGTTCAGTGTGAAGTTTTTGACAAAGAGAGGGACGTGAAGAAAGCTGTAAGCTCTCAATATAGGGATGATTTTGGAAAATCAAGGGAAGGGTTTTAAAGATCTGATGGATTGTAGCCGTTCGATTTATTGAGTTGTTGAGAATCAACGGATTTTATTTACCTGGCTATAGAGTCCTGGGATCTTAGCAGTTTCCTATGTATTTTGTCGCTCAACATTTGCAAATATTTCTACGTTTGTAAACAAAATTTTGAAAGCGTAGAACTTGTAGCTTTGTTGGTTATTAGATAAAATTAAGGATAACGATTGAATCGGGCTCAAAATTTTATACTTGGAATGGATTAGAAGATAAATTAATTTTTTTACTATATAAATCTCCCAAATAATAATAATAATAATAATATTAATAATACTGGTTTTTTTTATTCCCTTTGGTCAAGTGCTGTTAATAGAGTAATATCCAATTCAAACTTGAACGAGAGTAATACCCTGAAAATGCATACTTTCAAGGTTCTAGCGTCAATCAACAACTCCAATTTTGAATATGCATTCAATTACATACAATGGAATCTTATGACAGATTATTATTATTATTATTATATTTGTCAGTTCATCACAAAAAAACATTTGAGAATATTATCCATCACTTTGCCAACTCCAATCAACAGAGAAACATACTTTGACATAATAATCCTTATTTGTTGCAATTTAATCTTGACATGTAATAATACTATATAGTAGTAATAAATAGAAGAGCCACCAGTATTCTGTAAATTAACACAACTAGAGTTCAAACTGCTTCCCCATCAAAATTGCTCATTCGATGGCATATGCCAAACAGTAATTCCAGTTCAAATCTCAAAAATAAAATGAAATCTAAAGAAAATTAAGGGTAGTAATGGAGCAAAGCTATCTGTCTCCTCTCAGTGGTCGGCGGGCAATGACTTAATGATGTCTGAATCGCCTGCATAATGAGCATAGATCGATGAATATCAATGTATGCGAAACAGATTGCAAAAATGAATGCACGCAAGAATTCATCAGCATACCTGGATCGACAATGCTGAGGCATGACACGCGGAAGTACTTGCCGCAAGCAGTCCCCAAATCAACGTTGTCTGAAAGATCAAGGAAGGAGTGTGAGCACCATACATTATTTCTAAATTCCCTTTCTGTACACCAGAGTGTTGGCAATAAATTGAATATTAGGTATTTCAAACATTAACCTCAAAATAATAACACGACGCCCACAAGTGAATAAACTTAGTAAATTTTCATCATCATTATACGGATTCAACTATTTTACAGTGGATTTGTTATGTTCGTAGACAAGGATTAGAATTGTATAACTAAATGGTTTATCATATTACAATCATAATGCCCACAATCATGCAACCTAAAATATGTCAGTAGGAAACATCTGTGAATGTATACAATTAAATAATAAGTAACAGCAATGGCACTGCTTTAGGGGAATCTGTAAGTTGAAACTAGATGTGCATAACATAAGCTATAATGTCGGAAGAAAGCATATGCCCCCTACGGAATAATCCAATACAATCAACATTGATCACAAATCAAGGAACAATAAATGATTCAAAGCCAGAATTATAAAAATCCACGATCTAAAAAAATATTAATACTTGAAATATTAACGGTGATTCACACAATCATATTCCTTTACTAATTCTCCAAACTCGAAAAAGACCCTTACTATTTGTTCTTATTTGACTGAATTAACTAAATTGATAGAACATCGATGCAATGCAAACCAATTCACATTGAAAATCACAGCAATTCCTTAGACGTGGTTAAGTGATACACTTAAAAAATGATAAACTACAAAATAAAATCAAACTCTAACATCAGCAAGTTGGCAACTTCTTAACAAAATTCCTTTAAATACCCTACGTTGATTATGCTTCAATATAGCAGTAGATTATACTTAAAATAATATCAAACGCATCCATTCTCATTCCAAAATCCAGGCGTAGAATTATAACAAACAAAGCAATAATAATCCAGCAAGCGTATATTTTCATAGCCTAAAACATAAGTCTAAACATAGTACTCACTTCCGTTGTAGTGGTGAACCCCAACTTTTGCGAGCATGGCATAGTACTCAATCTCAGATTTTCTCAACGGCGGGCAATTGTTGGAGATGAGAATCAACTTACCTGTAATAGTCCAATCCACACAATATAAATTTCAAACACACAGCCAAATCGCATCAACCGAAAAAATACACATAAACGCAAAGGAAAAAATTGGAACCTTTGGAGCTGCGAAGCGATTTGAGCACGGTCTTGTAACCAAGAGTGTACTTGCCACTCTTCATCACCAGAGCCAACCTATTGTTGATACTCTCATGAGTCTTCTTCTGCAGAAAGTTCGGCAATACAAATAACAAAAGGTTAGTCGAAGATTGCAGACTAGAACGCTAATAAAAACGAAAAACATATATTGATAACCAGAAATTTAAGAAGTGTGAGCAAGAGTCATACGGTCTTCTTGGCGGCAACCATTGTTGGATCTTGCTCCGGCGGCGGCTATGCTGAGATGACACCAAAACCCTAGAAGAGCTGCGCTGCTGATGCCGTATGGAAAGCAAGGGTTTTCATAGGGGCAGCTACGGCTAAGTTACAAATTTACCCTTAACCGTTCTCCAATTACCAAATGGGCCCAACTCTCTAGCACTCATGGGCTTATTGGACCTTCTCACGAGCCCATTTCTATCCTAGCAAATTTGAGCCCATCAGAGCCCGATCCATTCTATTGGACCCTATTAAGGTCACACATGGATCCATTGCACTACTTTGAATTAGTTGTAAATATTATTTATTTGCATTTTTTGTTCTTATACAGCCTCTACGCGTTGTATTTATTTCAATTATTTATTGATTCCCTTTTTAATCTCAATATTAATTAATTATTAAACGAATATAACAACTCACGTACATGCAGCCCATCCACAAAAATGCCAGCAAGATTTCACCCGCTAATCATCCATCAAATTTCCAGCGTAGGATCGGTTCAGACAGCTATGAACGGTGCAGATTCAAGCGGGAGTCAGGCTCCCTGGACTCCCAAACAATTTGCGTCTGCATTTGTTAGAATCGTGGACGAGACTTTCTAATTAAACGTGCTACAATATATTTATTACATGGCCAACACTTTTATTCCCATGAAAGATGAAACCCCTCTTTCCAAAATCTTGCCTTTATTAATTTCTTAAAATTTAAAAAGGGCCATATCTGGACACTTTTGACAAACCTATATAAGTGCATAGAAAGCACAAAGGAAAATTTTCAAAACAGGTCTTGTAAAGGCTTAGTACAACCCCTTTAATTAGAATAACCCTTTTTCCTTAATTCTCCCTTTTATTTTGTATTCATAACCAAGAAAGGAATATAGTCCCGAGATTGGTGGACTCATATTCTTTAGTTAACATTTTCTTATATATATATATATATACACGTCCAAGTATGTATGCATGTGGCTGCTATCCATTTTAATTTTAATTGAAATATGGGTATAGTAGGGATTTTGGAGTACATTTGCGAGGTGATGAGCAATGGCAGTCATAAGCATAACAGGATTAGGAAGATGAAGCAATTTCAGACAGTCAATCTCAAAGTCAGAATGGATTGTGATGGCTGCGAACTCAAAGTCAAGAAAGCCCTGTCCTCCTTACGTGGTACTTGTATATATATATATATATATATATTTTTCTTGTTTGTCTGAAAATGAATGAATGAATGAATTATATTGTACTGTAGGAGTGAAATATGTGGAGATTAACAGAAAACAGCAGAAGGTGACGGTGAGGGGATACGTGGAGGCGAGAAAGGTTGTGAAGAGGGCCAAGTCGACGGGGAAGAAGGCTGAGATATGGCCGTATGTGCCCTACAATATGGTGGCTCAGCCGTTTGCTCCGGCTGCCTATGACAAGAAGGCGCCGCCGGGGTTCGTCAGAAGAGTTGATCATTTTCAGGGACAAAGATTTGATGATGATCAGGAATCCTATGTTGCTATGTTTAGTGATGACAACCCAAATGCCTGTTCGATTATGTAATGAATTTGGCGTTTAGGTATTAGTTGAGGGACTTTATTTGTTTGTAATTTCATTTCTTAATTTATTTTTGGTGCTAGTGTTGTTGAGTGAAAGTTTTGAATCAAATCTGTTTTACATAAATACCCACAGTCACTACTTCGATTCCATACTTATGTCATTGTTCATTTACCAACAATTCCAACCTATTTATTCAATACGACAAAATAATAACAATAATAATATTCTCGTATATATATACATACACAGAGAAGCAAATGTTCAACGGAAGTTATGTCCTAAATCCTCTATTTTTCGGATAACCCGACGAATCCAGCTTCCATGCTGCAGGGATGAGTCATGAAAAAGTACCCGTCGGGGATGGGAATTCGCATACACAGCCGGCGCTTGCTCAAATTTTTTTGTCACCGGGGAATCAGGCTTTTGAACACTGCATCATGGAATGGAGAATAGATTAAGACAGTTGAATGTGTTATGTAAGCTGTTTGATGCAACCATTTATTACAAGAATCAATTGAACTGTCATCCTATTAAAAAGCGCTCGAAGCAGGAGTCAAACAAAATATGCTCTGCAGCAAAAAGATCCATAGGGACACAAATAGCAAAAATGTTCAACAAAAGATCACTAAGAACTCACCCCATGAGGTGCAAAAGGTTCGTTCCTCAATACATAAATAAGGCCAGCACTTCATTTTGATCGGTTTCCCTTGTAAAGCTCGACAAAATTGACGTCATATAAAAGCGTCGCATTTGCAGGTATGTTACAGTCTCCTGAGCAAAACAACAATTCAAGTAAGACTTCAAATTTCCAAAATAATGGTATAGCGAATTTCTTGTGTTAAATGTGAGAATTCACAGTCGAACAAATAGAAATTTCACCTGAGAAGCAGCCAGCAGGTTCCGGTCCATATGCCAAATGAGGAGGGATAAAAAGCTTTCTCTTCCCGCCTGCATAAAAACAATGATCATAATTTTCTGGGGCTACCTAAAACAGAGCTAAAGAATGAGGCACACTCGAATGTTGTTAGTTCATATCTTACCGACGTGCATCGGCGGGACGCCTCCACCCCCCAAAATGCCCTGATCCAACCCTTTAATGACCTGAAGAGACGAAACAGCTCTATGAATCGAACAATTAATGTTTAGGATATATATATATCATCAACCATGGCGTAGTTCTTGCTATTTTACATATGTAATTAAACCAAAGTCTGCAATGTAGGCCAAAGAAGCCGAGACTTGAGACAACTTGGTATTCCAACACCCACCGAAGGTGTCATCCAACAGATACAATAATTGTGAAGAAAACAATTAATGCTAGTTTGATCGAGAAGGATCGGATCACTCACCTTGCCCACGCCAAGGCGCATTGTGACTGGTCGACCACGTTTGTAACTGCTGTCGAAAACTATTTCATCAGCGAACCTTGCAGTGTAGTGTACCTACATTACCAATGTCCAATATATACTGCAGAATTGGTGCCAATTCCAAACCGTATAAATAATTGAAATCAATGGTTAATGAATCGACGATGATAATGATCGTGTGCGCGTTCAATCCACCATTAGGTTCCTATTTTCACAAATTCCCCCAGTATATTGACTACTGAATACTCAGTTGTATATAAATCCGTAATTTTGATGAAAACGGCGAAATACAACAAAAACTCACATTAATAAGCTGCGAATAAGGAACCGCCTCGCCATTCCCAACCACCAAATCGCAGTAGCCGAGGCCCGAACGCACAAAACTGAGCTCGCACGAAGGCTCCGCCAATGTCGCGAAGTATTCAATCCGCGTGGCTTCCGCTTCCAAAGGCGACGCAGCGGCCACAGCCGTAGCAGCTAGAATCCCCGCGGCGAGTCCCGCCAGTTGCTTTCTCAAATCCCTAGCAAAAGCATTGGCGCTGCAGGCAGACGAAGACCTGGACTTGAAATTCGGAAGCGCGCGAGAATTTGGAGCGAGGAGTGTCAATTGTGAGGTCGTCGCCATGGCAGCGCAGCAGGAATTTGGTATGCGTTTTTTGCGCTATCTGATCTGCAGTCTGTGGGGCGGAGTGGAATTTATGGGATAATGTCTTTTATTTACTTATTTATTTTTCTAATATCCTTATCTTAATACTAAAATATTAAAATATTTTTAATACTTATGTAAGTTATTATAAGACTACACTCATCACTAAAATAGAATGAATATAAAAAGATATATATAGTCCATCAATACTCATGCTGAAACTATATGATCTAAATATAAGTATAATGATGTTTTTGACCCGCCGACTAAAATAGTAATGTGAATGCAGTTTCAAGAGATCGGAGAAATAAAATAAAATTACATCATGAAAAATTGAAAAAAAATACAAAAATAACATGATCAATGAAAAACAAATAGGATGAGAAATTCAAAACGATATATAATATAATAAAAAGGATGTCCAAAGAGCATAAGTCTTTGAGTTCGAAAATGTCGATCTCATATGATAATGTTTTCTTGCATATAATTTTAAAAATTAAACTTCTCAAAATCCAAGTCTTCCCATTTAGTTAAATCACTTTCATGCATCTTCAATGGCCAAATCATGTCATCTCCAAAGTTATCCTAGCAAAAATGTTGAATCGATAATGTTATTTAATGTTATATAACAAAACTTAAGTAATAGTCGAAAACTTTTATCGTAATTTAATACCTCCAAGAAAAGATTGTCATGGAAGAGAGAGCGCGGCAAATGATCATCGCTTTTGTATATTTCTCTAGCATCCATCTTGTGATCGTCTTCGTTGTTGAAGTTATTAAAGTTATCGGTCTCTTGCCCTTTGTCACTTGTATTCTTGTGAGCCTCGAAGGAATTATCGCACTCGGTTATAAATTTTGTTGTGGATATAAACCTATGGACCATAATTAACAATAATTCCCAAAATTAAATAATAAAAAAATTATATTATTGTACAATTCAATATGGTTATGCTATATATATATATATATATTTAGAATATTACCTTGGATCTACTGTGTTGTATGAGCACTGCGTTGACATATGACTCATATTGTTGCATATATTGGACATCATTGGTTGCTATATAGGACATGAATATTCTTTTAGTAATGCTATTAGTTAAATAAAAATAATAAAATGATTAAACATCATAGTATTTTGAAATTATAGAAAAAATGAATACCTTTAAGGGCATTTCAAGAGACGAGATTTGAGCATCTGATGATACAATAGTTTGAAAGTCGTCATTAGGAAATGTTAAAGCGCACATATTCATCAAAGTTGGAATATTATGTATGTTGCCAAAGAGTTGAGAATTGTCATCTTTAGTCGAATTTGTATTGTCAGATAAATCTTGAAGAAAATCGTAAATATCAATGCTGCAAAAATGATCAAAATCGTTAGTATAAATAACAATCAAGTAAAGAAAAATGAATTTTGTATTATTGAATTATTGCATACCAATTAAGTTCGATAGAAAGCTCTTCTTGCATTTGCAATTGTTGAATCGAAGAAATTTTCAATGGTAAATCAAATTTGTTTGTCATCGCGTAAGATGAAAATGGAATTTCATTATGCTTCTCCAATCCCATTTGATTCATCTGAATCATAACAAAATGAATCGAACAATAAAAAATAATAAAATTAATATTGTGAATAAATACATGTAAATAAAAAAATTATTAATTGAACAAGCATTATTAATCTTTCTGACCTGAACATTATTAGGTTGTCCATATGACATTTGAAAATTAATGCTCAATGCATTCTGCATTAGACCACAAAAACAACAAAAATTGTTAAAAAAAAAAGGAAAAGAAAAGGTCGTCAATTAGATATAATTGTAATAAAGATATATCCACCAACTTTTCTAGCAACGACTTTCTCAAGCGATTTTTTCAGATTTCTTTCACACCAAGTTAATTGAAATGAAGAAGGATTTTCTTCGGCTTTTGCTTCATAATTTCTACATCAAACAATAAATCGATTAATTTTGCATCAAACAAGTTTTGAGCCCGCACAATACATAGACTAAATCATTACATGAAAAAAATCTATACCTCAATTTCTCTTCCAAAACTTGCAACTCGAGGCTGCTCTTCTTAACTTGAAGCTCGAGATTCTACCATAATTAAATTGTAGGTAATATAATAAAATAAAAACATATTATTGAAAAGTAGATAAAAGCATAGAGAGATTTTTATTACCTCAATTCTTAAACCATCAAGATATTGAAGAATGATCATTTAATTGGATTTTTACATGCACCAAGAGGAAGTAGTGTTGGTTAGAATAATACTATTGTTTGAAAAAATACATCCACATTACATATAGAAAAAAAAAAATATAATAATAATAATAATAATAATAGTAATAATAATAGATCATTTTACTAAAGTCTTGAAATTAAAAATAATTATATCATAATTATAATATATATATATATATAAATAAAACTTAACTGTTTGTCCAGAAAAAATAACTTGCCGCTCTCTCCATTGATGTGGTCAGTAAGATTCCTCAACTTCTTCAATTTTCCCTTCAATTATATATATATATGAATATAATCAATACTTAATTATGCAAATTATTATAGAAGAGAAGCATACCTGAAAATTATGTACATCTCTGATTTTTTTACAAAAAAATCAAATATATTGGTCAGTACTTAAAGTCCATTAGTAAAATCAAATTTAACAAATTGTAAATAAGTAAATAAATAATTACTTGACTCGATCCTCAGAGGAAATGTTGATGTAACGAAGGAGCACGTCTTCGATCCTGTAAAATTATAAAAAAAATATATATATAATAAGAACAATTAATTTTAAAAAATAAAGATCAAAATATATAATTAAAAAGGAGGAGTTAGATGGGCCTTTTTTCGCCGGAAAACTTGCTAATTCGACCGGAAGGTGAAAATGCAACAAACGCCAAATCCACATCGCAACACACGGCAAGTTCATTTGCCTTTTTCATCAGATTGCTACGACGCTTCGAATATGTCACCTGACATTTCGTCGAATCTTCTATTTTTTTCATCTCGATTTTGCGCCTTGGCATCGAGGTAACTCGCTCCGAACACAAGAGTCAAAGAACAAGATTTCGGAGAAGTATGGAGAAAATAGTTAGCATAAAAGAAGCAGAGATGAGATAGTTATATATATATATACAAATATTCAGAAAATATTTCATTGATTTTTATTTTTTATTTTTTGAATAAATCCAATGCATTTACTGCCCTTTTACTGAGAATCCGAATTGCCAAAGAACAATAATAAAAGGAGTATATACTAATTATTAGCCATGAGTTTTTTTACCATGTCCTCAAGGCCATGTTTGGCTAAAGTTTATTTTATGGTCAGCTACATGGATCTCCTCTGATTTCAAAAATCAACTTTGGGCATCTTTTATTATTATTATTATTATTATTATTATTATTATTTCTTCGTGAAATTTTATAAAGATAATATTTTGTGGATTTTATTACAAGAAAACAAAACAACTAGAGTGAGAATGCGATAATAATATATTGTATAGGAAAGGGGATTTTCTATGTACTTTTTTCACAACATTATTATTATGAAATGATATTATTTTTTATTGTGTGGATATTTATAAATACATATATATATATATATATGATATTTTGAAAAAAATTGAGGGTGTGTTTGTTTTGTAAAATGGTTGAAAGATTTTTATATATATATATATGAAGTATAAAAAATTGTATAAATAATATAAAATAATGAATATATACAATATATTAATTTTTTTTAGAAATATATGTATATTTTTTTAAAAAAAAAAACACACTCTGAGTATACTGTAATATACTCCTATATTTTTTTCAAAACTATTGTCTGACCATAGTGTAGGCTTTTCTTTGCTTTTACTTTTTATTTTAATGGATAAGCTTTTTTATCACTTTGGATTATGGGGAGGAAATATTGTTATAGTAATATTATTTTAGCTTTTCTTTTTTTTTATTTTATTTTTTTTCGTCAGTTAACAGATATAAAGAAGGACGTAGGAAAATGGAATTGGAGAAAACAGTCAAAGGAAAAATCTCAAAAGAAACTTACTAATACTATTGCTTTTTCGACAACATTAATATGGATAATGTTTGCTTTATCCATCCTAAGCTACTGATATAAATTCATATGAACTTTGTTTCAATAAAGTTTACTAATATAAATTAGCAAATTATGTGTTTGGTTTTTGTATAAATTAGGATTCTGATTTTAGTTTTGCTATTTTTCATGTGATATTTTTTTTTTCCTTTTTTTAAAAATATTATATTTTTGAATAGTTGTGATTTGGGTTTGAAACACACCAAACAAATTCATAAGAAGAAAAAAATTTCACTAACAAGAAGAAAATAAATAAATATACTTATTTTATCTCAATTTAAAGTATCTGTTATCTTCGTCAATTAAAAATATACGGGCAAAAATATTTAAATTTTTTATACATTTTTATTAACAAATAAAATACTACTATTATTAATTTACTATAAAACTCATGGGCCGGAGTGAATTTAAATTATGGTTGGACTTGGGATGGCCCAAAGCCAAAAAATAAAAAATAAAAAAATAAAATTAGTGGGCCACACAGCCCATAATCGATTTTGGCAAATTCCCCAAACGTTCGACCCCTTCTTCGAAAACGACTCCCATTCCCATATAGAAATGGGATTCTATGTGGCAATGGAAGGCCCAGACGCCCGGATTATCTGCCCGGAATCTCAACGCCGTCCACCCGAACGGGTGCACCACCACTGTGTTCTTCATGATCGGGTCCACCAAATTGAATTTTCCGGCGTCGCGCGACCAGTTGAACTTCCCGGCGCCGTGGGCCAGCACCCAGAAGTCGTGCCCGTGGAGGTGCCACGGGTGCGACTCGCTGTTGTTCACGTTCATCGTGTTGGCGTTCTGGAGAATGATGTCCACCGTCGTGTTGAACTTCAGCCTGTACGCGCCGTCGCTGGCGGTGGCGTTCACGTTCTTCGCCACGCTGTAGATGTCATAGCTCGCCTCGTCGTAGCCTTCGGGCGGCGGCGTCTGGTCGAACGCGCCGGTCAGGTTGTGCTTGTAGGCGATCAGGTACGGCGTGTGTGGCAGGTTGTACGTCACGTTGTTGACCGACCACCGAACACGCCCGTGTTGACGGTTCTGCGTGTTCAGCATTGTTATAACACGGTCGGATTTCTGAGGCGGCGTGTGGATGTATCCGCGGTGGGATTTCACGGCGGCGCTTTGGGACTCCCTCGCCGCCACGTCATCCCAACGCGGCCCCGCCGGCGGGGCCGTCGGCGGGCTCCGGCGGGGGTGGTTCGGGTAGTAGTTGAAAACGGCTAAGCCGTTGGGCGTGGTGCTGTTGCGGCTAACGACTTTGGCGCTGAGCCAATAGTTTCTTGAAGGGTTCTGATTGGCTGTGATCAGAACAGAGTAAGTCTCTCCAGAGTAGATGAACAGATTCTTGACAACAAACGGCTCCACGTAGTGACCGTCGGATTCGACGACAGTCATGTTATGGCCTTCAATTTCGAGGCTGAGCGCCGCCAGGGCTGTCAAGCTGCCGACACGGAGCCGGTATGTCTTGCCGGGTACAACCGTCAATGCATACGGTACACACTCCGGGTTGGTTGCATTGCAACGGCCTGATTCAATCCCTGGAGTCGTGCAATCGAATCTCCCTTTCCCTTGTATCAAAATCGACTGCACAATGATTAATAATTTTAATTAATGTTGTCAGATTGTCGGAAATACAGTTAGAATTAGTTATAGCAGTTGGATATGATCGTGTTACCTGAGGCTCCCCAACCCAGACAAAGGGGATTGAGGAAAGACCTGCAGCTTGTTCATATGTGCTCTTGTGGTACCAATCAGTGAGTATTATACTTCGATCATAGTCGTATGCGAAGGGCTCCGACTGTCCCTCCGGAAGCGACACTCGGATCGAGCCGTATAAGCCGGCTTCCCTTTGCATACCGTAGTGTGCATGATACAGATATGTCCCGGGCTACATTAATTAATTAAGTGTTAGTTTTTATTACATTAATTTGTTTGCAAGAACTATAGTATATATATATTAGTAGTATAAATTTAAATAACTTACTCTATCCACAACAAATTTGTAGACAAAAGTTTGACCGGGCAGAATGGGGCATTGGGTCACCCCTTCAGTCCCATCCATCCATGGTGTTCCAATCTGCATCATTATGTTATTATTCCCACAATTAGGCCAATTTAATTACATCCATAGATGTAATAAGTATGTACTATACACATATATATATATTATATATGTATATACTTACTTGTCTGATCCCATGCCAATGGATGGCGACATTCTCGGTGAGCAAGCTGTTCTTGAGCTCGACGACGACGGTGTCGCCCTGGTCGGCGACGATGGTGGGGCCGGGGGTGGCGCCATTGATGGTGATGGCGAGCTTCTTGAAGCAATCCGGCGACTTGAACTCGTACCTCACCTCCCATTTGTAGTGTCGGATTCTGCCCTCCACCATGGATGGAGCTGTAGCAGCACCTAAAACAATAACTGCCGCCGTCAAGATTAATCTCATCCGGAAGATCTCAGCCATTGATCACTTTCTTCTCCGTATTACGAATTCTTCGGTGATCAATTGTTCCTCCAGCTGTAATGATTCTTGTATCTATCTTTAGTTTCTTCACTGGCATGATCAGCCATCAGGCCTATATATATATATATATATATGTATAATGGATTTGCAGACGCGGAATTAGGAAAGAGGTAGCTAGGGTGTGTGCAAGAAGCTGACCTGGTCCTACAAATTAGGGTTTAGGAATTGGGGAAAATTCAGAGGTGATATACAACAGGGTCAATTTGATCGACTAGGGTGAAGTTCTTACCAGTTTCCTCGTTCGGACTGGTTCACATCACATCAGCTTTATATATATTTATATATATAGTCAGACAATGGAAACTCTCTGACTTTGTATATCCTCTGGAAGAGGAAATGAAAAAAAAATTGCAATTTGATTAATAATCTTTACCGAAAGAATACAAATTGATTTTTGTAAAAAACAAATATCTTCAGACAAGTTGCAACACTGCTGAGGCTGGAGGTCAATGCGATATATATGTTTGACCAATGTCCAAATAGTAGTTATAATTTAGGAAATTTTTATTTAGTTAAAATATTCTTATATATGGTATATAAGTTGATAAAGCAAATAAAAGAATTTATGTATAAATCAGTAGTATATATGAAACTTTTAGAAATGTATCACTAAAATTATAATAAAGGACATAAGGCAATTTTTCACTAAAAATTACTACAATTTATTATTTCTTCATCTCCAAATAAACAGAGTTTTTAGTTTGGCTGACCCACCTTTACGTCTAATCCCATTCATCTTCTCCACAATCTTTGAATGATTATTCCATCCACAATAAAGCATTAGATGAACATTAGGAAAAAAATAATAATCATCAGGTGTAATTTTTTATGTTAAATAAATAGTTTATGTAATTCTGTAAAAAATAATATATTATCTAGTGTAACAAAATAAAGAAGAAGATATATATATATTTTTTAAATAATCTTAAGAAAGCCCACTTCAGAAGGTATTTGTTTTGCCAAATAATCAAATTAATACTTATGCATTGTAAGATTAATTTGAGTATATTCCCATTCACACTTTAACCATGCATACCACCTAATATTAGGATTAAATCGATCTATAATAATAATAATAATAATAACAATAATAATAATAATAATAATAATAATAATAATAATAATAATAATAATAATAATAATAATAATAATAATAATAATAATAATAATAATACACATCTTTCAATCTTTGATTATTTCTAACATGTACGAAGAAGAATCAAACGTAAATGTAACATGGTCTAAGATATATATGTAAAGAGAACTTAATATAAATACTTAAATCAAATAATTAAGTTATCATGGAAAATAAAAATCAACGCAACATATTCCACTTTTTATGCAAATTAAAATTATATTATAAGTATATTACAATTTCCAAAAGTGAATTAAATTAGTGCAATTAACTTAATTAATTCGTTATGTTAAAGAAAGTCACATGGTGCATGTGAGTAGCAAGATGATAGCACTCAACTAGAACAAACATATCATTCATTTAATTACAGTATTAGTGGACTTTTATTCCAATTTTGGTTATTGCTAGATTAAGAAATACTATAAAAGTGAAAATAAAAACAAAAATAAATGAGTTGGGAAAGGTTAATACATAAGGTTCCAAAGCCTACATATTTATTTATCGAAAACTTGCAAATGTTAAAGAGGTGTGTGGTTTACATTTTGTCAAAAAGTATGTATATGTTGCGTTGCTTTAATATTTAGGAATAACAACAATTTTGTTGCTATCGCTAATTATAGAGAATCGTCAAAATATTTTTGTAAGAGTAAAAATGCTTTAGGTCTTTAGGCGACAGGCAAAACCTGACAGCATTGGGGTTTACCAGTTTAACCCTATACTACCAGATCATTTTTTATGAAAATTTTTTTCTTTTTCTTTTATTATTATTATTATTATTATTATTATTAATTATGGGTTAAAGGGTACACTTTTGGGTTGTCCACCTAATGCTTTGCTTAGATGTGAAGAATGAGGAGCAGAACGGTGTAATTGGTTTCCATATTTATTTTATATTTAAATACTTTTTTATACTAACTTTAAAAAAAAAATTATAATAAACATATTAAAAATATAATAAAAAAGAACATATAGTCTAAATCTTACCTAGGCTGTCATTGTACACCAACATTGATATAATTTTTTAGTTTATGTTTTTTAAAAAAATAATTAAAAAAAAGCAATATTATGCAACTTTATTAACTATGATGGTAATTGGATTGTATTAAATAAAAGATTGTGTCTCAAAATGTTTGGGTGTCTGATGCTTATAAAATAAAATAAATGATCCCAATATATAATCAGAAAAAATATGTCTTAGTAAAACTAAATTATACGGGTTGGTAGAATCATCTTTTAAATAAAAATAAATATTTAGTTTGATATTTACCCTGAATGAATTGAAGGTTTAAATAGTTTTATAATAGTTTAAAAAAATAAATAAATAAATAATAATAATAATAAACTGTAGAATTGGGGCTTTGGTTTGGAAAATGGGCTAACAAAGGGATCTGATTAATTCTTCTTATGGGCTGTAGGCCCAAACAGAAAATAATCGGCCTTACTTTTATACTTGACAGGCCTGTCTTTGATTTTACAAAATAAATAAAAAGATATGCCCGTTGCGTATAACTTATACTAATATATATCCATATCATCCTTTTTCTCACAAAGTTATATGGTCTAAAATCATATCAGTAAGTAACACATGCAAAAAATAATGAGACACAGTGAGTATAATATAATATACATATTCATTTTATACTATAACACGTTTTTTTGGGTAATTTTTTAGTTATATATTCATTCTAATTTGTAAAATATTACAAATATAAACAAATTAAGATAAAATAAACGAAAGAAAGGCTCATTTATTATTAATTAATACTCAATATATACTGTGACAAATATAAAAATTTAATTATATATATATATTACATGCACTATGCCTAAAAAGATATATATATATATATAGATAAATGCATAATAGTGTTGGTCAAGCTGCGGCCGCAGTCTCCGCTTCTGGCACGGCGGCGGTCAATTCGAGGCTATGGCTTTCACCGCCTTTAACAACCGCCATGGCCGCCGCGGCAAGCCGTTCATTTCTTTCATCTTCATTCATTTGTTGTTCTCGACATTCAATGCTACAAAATGCAGAGTTTCCCCTACAATAGTTTTTTACGCACATAAATTTAAAATATCACAAATAATTCCAAAATATATCTAACAAGTTATGTATATTTCGATTCAATACTTATTTTAGATTAAAGAATTAGGTTTCAATTATTATTATTATTATTATTATTATTATTCATTTAAATTGAATTGCAATATAACTTCACTAGTGTATTTTGCATGCACATGAATTGAAAAAGTGAATAAACGTAAATACAATTACATAAAAATGCATATTTCATTTACTTACTTTTTTGTATTTTTTAAATGAAATTAGTAATTTACTAAGATTTTAAAAATAAAATATAAAACATTACAATATCTTTACTAATAAAGTGAATAAAAACGATAAACAAATTTATAAATTTGAATAATAATTTTAAATAGAGGATTTATTGCCTTTAAAAAAAAAATAGTGAGAAATATATATATATATATATGTGTGTGTGTGTGCAGGTCCGGCCGCGATAGTGATACCAGCGCCGCCGCCGCCGCCGGTGGTCAGCGGTTGCAGAAAAGTAAAAATGTAAGGCAGATATTAATCAATTACCTATACATGTAGATATCACGACCAGGCGACAAACGGCGGTTGCAGAGGCTGCAGCTTGTTAAGAAATCCGCCGTCTCCATATCGGAAGAATAATAACTGCTCCTAAAGTACCTCGGCGATAAAACGTCATCGCATCCTCTCCTCCTTCCGCCGATCGTCGAATCCGTCGCTCCTACATCGACGTCGATTTCGTTCATGGTAGTTGTTCGTCGGAAAGTTTGGCGGCCGCGCTTTCCCAGCATCTAATTTGGGGGAAATGTTTGCAGTGTCTCTGAATTGCAGAGAGCACGCGTACTGATAAAAGAGGGGTGAAAGTGAATCTCAGCCGTTCGATATAGTCGACGAGGCCGTAGGTGTCCACGTAGCCTATTGTTTTCTTCTAATTTAATAGGATTATTATTATTATTATTATTATTATTATTATTCCTGTAGGCTGTAGTATGGAACGATATATGTATATATATGTGTACGTATGTATAATTTATGATTTTTAAAGTTTCTGTATCTAATTTTTATAATGAAAATATATAGGGTTTGTTTAGATAGAGATTTTTGGAAGGTTTTGAAAATTTGGAAGTTTGAAAAAAATAAAAAATTAGCATTTCATTTAATATTTTGTGAAAAAAAAAAATGTATTTGATGTGATATTTTTTAAAAAATAAATAGTATCAAATGAATAAAAGTGTGTCGTGTAAACAGAGCTAGTGTTTACCTATATTTTGTCTATTTATATTTTTTCGATAGAATAATTATTATATAGTGATTTCTAGAAAAATAGTATGCTGATAACAAATTTTTTTTTTCTAAAAAAAAAAAAAAAGAAGTAAGCATATGAATTCATTGACTATGGTGTTTTATTTCCCTAATTTTTATTATTCGATTCTATATATTGTTCTCTAAATACATCATAAGTAACACTCCTTTTGCTTAACTATTAAAATAAAAGGGGGGTGGGGGGTTTCACGTTTTATTATTTTATTTTATTGCAAAATCACCATGGCAACTATCTTATTTCTATTGAAAATATTACGTCCAACAATAATTTTATTCTAAAAATAATAATAAGAAAGACAAAAAATGACAGCTAATAGTTTGTGTATGGTGACAGCTGAATATCATTGAACACATTGTCCTAAAGGAGCATTGCAATTTTGCAATTTTGTGTCCATATATTCTGTTGCACTTAAAATTGACTGAAATTGAAATATTTGTTTGCAATCATGCCAATAATTATGGCTTATGCCAAATTGCAGTAGAATGTGTGGGTGTGTTTGTTGGGAATGTTTGAATTTTCTATTTGAATTTTAAATAGTAATTAATTTTGAATTTAAAGATATATATATATATATATATTTAATTTGATAGTAAAATATGAATTATTTTATAAATAGTAAAAATACATTTACGTAATCCCAAAACCAAAAAAACCCCACTCCTCTATGTATTTAGGACAATAAAGTACTGCAAACACGTGTAAGTCATATATATTTGTAATTTTTGTTGGTTTTGTATTTGTCTTTTTTTATTATTAGTAGATAAAATAATATATTTTTTATTAGAAAATAAATACAAATAATAGTAAAAACTTCAACAAAAAAAGGTACAACTTACTTGTGTGTGTAACTGTGTATATATATACAATTTTATTCTTTTAGGGGGAAAAAAAAATCTTTCTATTCCGATTATTGAGAATGACCCATTGAATTATTAGTAACGTTTATTACATAAAATAACGTACAAGACCAGCCATAGCCAGCTTTGTCTAAAGTCTTCAATATGATTTTCATCAATAGTTACTTGACAACAATTAAATAAAATAAATATGTCAATAATTGAGGGCCAACCCTACAAATATATAATTGCAAAAACAATTTGAACAATCACTACTAAACCTGTGATCGTGACACCCTAAACATTAACTAAACAAAACTAATAATTGTATCTCTTTTATAATAATAATAATAATAATAATAATAATAATAATAATAATAATAATAATAATAATCAATATATATATATATATACACCTTGGTTTTTCTTTTTAGATTTTTTTTATGAACTTAAAAGAATTTGTATAAAAATTAACTTGAAATTTAGTATTCATAGCATAACCATAAATTTGTGGTAGACAAGGCTATTGACAAACTAAATTGAATTTAATTTAATTGTTTAGAAAATTGAATTGATTGTCTATATATATATATATATGTATATATTATGAAAGAAGAATTTTGCGGTTTGTCCATCTTTATCTAACGGTCCCATTTAATCTAAGATCACATATAAAAAGTAAAAATAATAAAAGCAATTTCATATATTTTATTGCTATCAAACATTTATTTAGGTGAATCTCCTTAAATTATGAAAAGTTGAAAACCCAGACCGAATATATCATATGTCAGATTCTTGTGAAAATTTAATATTAGAGGAACTTATTATTTACAAAATAAATGAGGAAAGAAAAGGACAGTTGAACAAAGTTTTATTATGAATATATTTTAAGAAAAATAATTAAAAATTTGGTCAATATATAATACACTCACAAATAGTTTCAATGATTAAAAACTTACAAAATTATATATGTATATCATTATCAGAAATTAAATATGTGTTTGTTTGTGGTAATTAGTCATAATATAATGTCGAAAATGACTTCACTAACAGTCTAAAATTGCATTTACCTACTTTCATTTGTCACTATCAACCAATAATAATTTAGCATAAGTCAATTAACTCATTCAACACTTCATTATTATTCACTCGTGATTTTTACACTAGCTTTTATTATTGTTGTTGCTATTATTTAGACTAACAATAATTTATTGTCACAGTATTACACATAATAATTATTTTATATTTAAAATTTTATATCCAAATAACAATTCCACCTTAATAACGTTACAACGTTTTTTAGGAAAAAAATAAAAAAATCTCAAAAAATTGTGTTTTGTTTTACTTTTATTATTATTAGTAGTAGTAGGAGTAGTAGTAGTAGTAGTATTATTATTCGTCTTAAACTAATAGTATCATTACCAAAAATATTAATTATTATCCTAATTTTATAACAAAACTATCTTCAGATTTCTACTATATTTACCCAAATATTATTACAACTAACACTTTACCCATAAAAAAGGTAAGGACAAAATAATATTTGAAGTATTATTTTTTAATACTATTCATATAATATCAATATTTTTAAATTTTACAACCAAAAATAACATGTTTATTCTTATTAAACAAAATTATAAACACATACACAAGTAAAAGGGACCATTCATATCTCCCCCATTTAAGAACACATTAATTTTGATATAACTACACTTGTATTTGAATATAAGTATATAAAATATTGTGTGTAAAATGCTATAACATATATAATGGACTAAAATATTAGCTAAATACATATTGAGACTCTTTTTATTATTATTATTATTATCATATTTTCTAGAAAATATTATTATACTATTATTTATTTCTTTCTTTTTTCATTATTAAAAAAAATGTATTTTATTTGCAGAGATGTGTAGGGGCCTCACTCATAGAGGTAGGGCTAACATGATTTAATTTGTGATATTGATAATTTATATAATGGGGCACATATTCTAATAATAATAATAATAATAATAATAATAGTAATAATAATAATAATAATTTTAATAATAATAGGTGATGTTTCCTAACAACTTGGCACACATCCATGATGTCCTAAGTCCACATTCTTTTGCTTTATTAATTTCTAGTGCAAAATAAATAATAATTATAAGAATAATAGCAAAATTGATTCTTAAATAATAGTAAGATTCAGGTGCAAAAAAATTGTTATACTAAAAAAACCCTTAGAAGTCGGCCTAATGTTTGGCATCTTTTATGACCTAATATTTAAAAATGATAAGATAAAATAAAATAAATACCCCTCCACGCACCAATCTATGTACAATAATTATATTTATTTTTACGTTTGTTTCATCAACATTATATCAAAGGATTTTCTAATAATAAATTTAAAATTATTATTATTATTTTTATTCATGAATGAAATTGAATAAGAAAAAAAAAATAAATTGAATTTAATGAATTTACAAGATATATTTTGTGAGATGTTGTTATTTTGGTAAATAGAATTAAAAAAACAATATTGCAACTTACAAATTAAGTGATAATGCATAGACTATAAAATATACTTTCCGGATAGATTGTGATTACTGTAGATATAATTAGTAAATAATAAAAAAAGTGTGTCAAAAAAATAATTATTAATTTTAATATAACTAAATAATTTAATTAACATTTAAAAAATTATAAAATTCAAAATGTGATTAAAATGTATAATTATATTTCAATAAAGGAAATAACAAATTATATACAATCGGACGAAAATTAAAAATATAAACAATTTTTATGAAACGGAAAGAGTAATATTTAGCGGGGACAATCTTACATACTGAGACAATTCACGTGGAACAAAGAGATCGGTATATATTTCACCTATTCCAAATTTATTATTGTTATTATTATTATTATTATTATTTTAAATATGTTATTTCTTAAAAAAAAAGTCTTATTTTGTCATTGTAAATACAATTTATATAAATATTATAAACAAATATAAAGGCAACGCATTAAAAGTATCAAACTAATATTACCTAAAAATATTTTAAAATCAAAACTAATCAAATAATAACACATTAATATAATTTGTTTTTATATTTCAAATCAAAATTCATATTATTTGGTCGACACAATTTCAATGACGACACATTTTTATTTAAACTAAGGGTGTGTTTGATTGGTGTTACAGATACAAATTAAAATATTCAGTTCATACCGATTTTTTAATAAAAATTATATCAAAATATATAATTTAATCAAAATTCAAATACAAAAAAAAAAATAAAAAAAAATAATTAAATAGTACAGTAAAAAGTATGTACAAGTATAATTATGCATGGGCTTACACAGCCGGCCCAGATAATTATGCATAGGCTTGCCTTACAATACAATGCTTAAAATGGGCTTGCAGTTATTACTTTTTAATAATGAGCCTACAACTACTGTGTTAATTTTGCAATATTTACTTATTTTTAAATAATGTCTTAAATACATAATAATTTTCTATTTAAAATTTTGAATAAAAAATAATTTTAAAAGAATATCATTTCAAAGTCAAATAAATCCATACATAAATGCTACATACTCCTTCCTTCTGCTATCTATTTATTCATATGAGTTTGAGTTTTGTAAGTATATTTTAAAATATTAATATTTTATAAATAAACAGTAAAATTTTAAAATATATATATTATTACATTTATTTGATTTTATCATATATTTTAATATTATATAAATTCTAAGATATTTTGCTTTAAAAGAATTTATATAATATATATTAATTATGTAAATATAAAAATGGTAAAATAGATCAAATACAATAGCAGATCAAGAGTGGACAGAGTGGGGAAAAGGGTTGTTTGTCTGGGGAAATTCAGATATCTGTACAAATTTAAAAGTCAACATATGTCATTGATTTGACAATTGACTGTCGGATTTTATTTTATTTTTCCTATTTAATAAACATTTATAATAAGTGTAATTTATAATAGCCAATTGGAAATCATTATCATTATTTAAATTCAAATATTACTTTAAAGTTACACGTAGTAGCCATTTTAAAATTGTCATATTGTTTTTTTCCTGAATTTTTGTTATGTATATTTCATTTTAAATATATGCATTATAGTCATTTATATAATTTATTTATTTATTATTTTAAATATGATTTATAAAAATATTTCAAGAAAATAAAATAAAATAAACAAGTAGTACTGTTTTTTTTCAACCTTTATAATTAATTATAAAGTTGGATTCAATTTTCATAACAAAAGGCATAATAATTAAAGTAAAAATATAATTACAGAGCGCTTTAGAAAACGTTTAAAAAAGCAACAGACCAATCATTAAAAGAGTTTGGTGCAAACTAACAGAATCCAAAGCCTATCATAACCAAAATAATGGTACTTATACATATTTGTTTTAAAATAAATAAAAAAATCAAAAGATCTATGGAAACATTTAAATTTAGTTTGTGTAAAAAAAAAATAAAAAAAATAGATATTTAATTTAACAATTTTAGAAGGAAGAAAAGTGATGAATAATAAAAACAAAATCAACATTAGGCTCTATTCTTTAAAATTAAGTTCGGTTTTGAACTGCATTATCCATAAAAACATTTGAATGTGAAATTATGGGTGTTTGTTTCGTATTTTTTTTTATTAATTTGTTTTCTATGTTAAGTATAAGAGATTAGGTTGATAATATAAAAAGTAACAATTCTATGGTAAATTGTTTATTTTTTTCGAATAGATAAAGTATATGAAGTTTATTATATATATATTACCTTAATATGTTTATATTATATATTTTTTTTAATAATATTTAAAGAAAAACATGTCACCTAAAAAACCCTATAAAATCAAATTACTTATTTTTTTTATTTAATGCATTACATAGAAACCAATTTATTATTTAAAACACACATTAAATATTTATGTATATTAAATTTTATATATTTCAATTCAAAAAAAAAAAAAAATTACTTACAAAATTTTCAATATATATAATATACTCCCTCTCTTTGTTTAAAGTATACATTAGTTAATAAAAATATATAAGGGGATTTTGATATTTTTGCTTTACTTAAAAATTAAAGATAATTTTATATTAATAAGTAATTACTTCTACTATAATAGAAAATATATATCTTTGAATGAACATACAAAAATAGTAAAAATAATACTTTCATTTAGAATAAAATGAGTATATATCTTATTCTCTCACAAAATATTACTACCAATGCAATTACTTATAACTCATATTAAGAACATAACTCAAACTAAAGCACCAAACAAAACTCCTTTAATATTCTTAAACTTGACACTACCAATGCAATTACTTATAACTCATATTAAGAACATAACTCAAACTAAAGCACCAAACAAAACTCCTTTAATATTCTTAAACTTGACACTCAAATTCAAAAATCCAGAATCTTGCATGGATTAGTGGTGTGTATATATATATATATATATATAGGACAGGTGTGAGTGTTCCATAAAAGTAGAAAGGAGTTGCAGTGCAGTCCAGTTCAGTATGGTGTGTTAAATATACAACCTGCATTGCATTGCAGATTTGCAGCCTGCTATTATATTCATGGCTATTGGCTAGTGGTGTGAGTGTTTATGCATGTGTGTTTCCTTCACTCTCCTTCACTCCCTCTCTCTCTCTCTCTCTCTCTCTCTCTCTCTCTCTCTCTCAATCTACAAATTACCAAACCAGCAAGAACAGAAACACCATCCATCATTGATCAATTAACATATATATCATCTGTAGACTACTGTAGTAGTAGTAAATCATGAGATCAGACTCAGACTCAGAAGAGAAAATCCAAATCCAGGTTGTCTACTACCTTTCAAGAAATGGTCTTCTTGACCACCCACATTACATGGAATTCGCCCATCACCACACCCACCCCACCCTCAAAGGTACCTACTTCATTTCATCTCATCACCAGGGTTTCTTTCTGATTACCTAATTTAATTTGCAGATGTAATGGAAAGACTCACTCAACTCAGAGGCAAAGCCATACCTTCTCTCTACTCCTGGTCTTGCAAGAGGTCATTCATTTCATTTCATCTCATCCATTAATAATAGATAATACCCCACTTGTGTTGTGTTTCATTTCTGTACAAATCAACAACAACGAAAGAAATCATTATTATTATTGTAATAACACAGGAGCTACAAGAATGGATATGTTTGGAATGATTTGGCTGAAGATGACCTCATTTTCCCATCTGAAGGAGGTGAATATGTGCTCAAAGGATCTGAGATTCTTCTAACCTGCACTGGTATTTTACTTTATTTATTAAGTTATATATTGATCATAAATAATACTCCATTAAAAGAATCAATTACTACTGTTTAATTTTTCTTAAATATCTAGAGAAGCTGCAATGCCTGCAACTGCAACTCAAGCAAGACCCAAGCTTTCACCCAAAACGCAAACTTTTACTCTCAAAACGACATCCTCCTCAGCAGCACAAAATACCAAACAACCAACACGAAGAAGAAGAAGAAGAAGACGGAACAGAGAAACAGACCAGCAAGAGCTGCTCCAGAGGCGTCTCCACTGATGAAATTGAAGAATTAAACACTCAGACACCTCCACAATCCGAGCATGTCATCGACGCCGATTCCTCGCCGCCCTCGGCTCGTTCAGAAAATTCGTCGAACACCTTGGACGCGCTCAATCCGACGAGATTCGAGGACGGCGATCCCATCGGAATCGAGCCAATGCTTAGCCGGAATTCGATGCTCCTCAGCCTCATCGCCTGCGGCGGATCGAGCTCGTTCAGGAAGAGCTTCCCTAGTCACGACGAGATTCCGGCGAGGAAGAGCTGCAGCGGAGCTAGCCTGCACAAGGCAGCCGTCCTCAAGGCGGCGGCGGCGGCGGCGACGACGACGACAACGGAGAAGGAAGAAGAGGACGAGATCATGATCAGATACATGTCGGAGAATCCACGGTTGATCGGGAATTTCCCTGCGGAGGAAAAAGAGTACTTCAGTGGAAGCATCGTGGAAGCCATGGGCGATGACGTAAGGCTTGGTAGAGATCAACGGCCACGATTGAAGAGATCCTCTTCCTTCAATCAAGACAGGTCCGCCATTCTCTAAACTCGTCATTAATTATTTTAAACATTCATTTGAAATATAATTCGGTTTATTTATTAATTAAATTTTGAATTTTAATTTCAGAAGTGACACGACAAGAGAAGCAGCAGCAGCTGCTGCTGTAAGAAAAGAGCTGAATAAGGAAAAGTCCAAAATGAAAGGAAAATGCCTTCCCAGGAAAAAAACAACTTCTTCATCTAAAAAGAAGTTCAAAATTCAAGCCCTCCATTGATACATTTCTGTCTGTTTTTTGGAGGTTGGATGCATTTATTGAGCAATTTTAATGTGGACAATTTATTATTCCAGTTACCTAAGCAACTGCCCAAAGAAATAAAACAGCCTTATCATAATTATATGACCTTTTTTTATTTCGCCTATATATATATATATATATCCATGTAATAAAGGCACAAGATATCGTTGAGATACATCCTATCATGTCCTAAATGTTATGGACCTTGAAAAAAAATTTAGAACAATATTTGGGCCAACAAAACACACTGGGCTTTCAAATTAATTTTCTTCAAATTTAAAATGATACCACTGCGTTATAATTTAACTCAGGTTCAAATTAACCCTTGGGGTGTGTTTGTTTGAGGTATTTGTTTAGATTTCAACTATTCATCCTATTTTTTCCTCCCAAAACAATAAATCAAACACCTATTTTTCATTTTTTATATTATACTAAAAATCAATTTTACATTCAAAACATCACATCAACACCTATTTATATCACATCATACAACTATTCAAATTCAAAATTTTTACTATTCAAATCCCAACTCAAAATCCAAACACACCCCAAGATTACTTTGCTCAAGGTCTCATTTCATGATGACCCTTCATTACCCTAATTATGAAACACTATCACATGTAACAAAAATGAAAGTGCACTATGGGTTTGAAGAGTCCACGTCATTTAAAATCAATTCATTAAATTAATTAAAATTTATATATGTAAAATTTCAATAGAAGTATAATTTAATTAATTATTTAATTCCCCCTAATCGTGTCTCGATTGTCCCTACCTCGCCAGCATATCCATAATTGCATTTGCATGTGACAACAGATCTGTTCTCTACGTTAGGACTTTGTAAATAAGTTATAGTCAAACTTAAAAAAAATAATAATAATAAATTAATTAATTAAAAGATTTGAAGAGTACTCACCGCAATCTGTTAAGCGAGAGTGGCAAAGCATACGCACCAGGACCTCAGATCCTAACATCCATACCGTTTATAGTGCATATCTAGCATCATCAACGTCTAGAAATACACCTGGACTCCGAACGCCCGAAACTCGCTGAAAACTAGAGACAAATACACGGCTGAAATTGATTGCTTCCCAGGAACTCAAAACCAATTGCATCATGAACCGTTTATGCTCCGCACCGAACTTCATCAACGCTGTATAATACGTACGGTGTACGAAGTCCCGGGACCTCATAGTAAAGAGCTATGATCACGCGGCGGAGATTGATTGCCGGTAAACGCGTTCCCTTCTTTACCCTTTTCCCCTTTATTCCGAAGAAATCCGTGTGGATCTGCGCTGTAAGCCAGCACAATCACCGCCGCCCACTCTCGCTCTCACTATATCACGCCCTGCCATTGTCGGCAATTTCATCTAACTCCACAGACGACGACAGGAAACTGAAAATCCATCCATCGGATTATCGGAAGATGAATATGGCGAAAATTGTGTTTGTACTCTTCGCATTGTGTGTTGCACCTTCCATCGTCACTGCCAAATCCAAGGAAGATAGCCCGCTTTTGCTCAAGGGAAGAGTCTACTGCGACACCTGCCGCTGCGGCTACGAGACCTCCGCGTCTACGCCTCTCCCCCGTGAGTACCTTTTATTCGCCGCTTTCATATCCAGTTGTGCTCTATGCTTGTGGGTTTGTACCTTCTGGAATTGGGGTTGTACGCTAGGTTTTAACCTCGCATTCTATAGATCTGGCTTTCAATCAATTGTACCGTCTGCATGTGTGGTTGTACCTCGTCGTGTGTTGGGTAACAGCTAGGGTTACCATTCTTCAGAATTTCAGATCTGCCTTCTAATTTAGGGTTCTCGCAAGTTGAGGCGCCGCGGTACCGGACTTGGTGTTGATTTCAATTCGATTTTAACTTCCGATGGTTGATCGGCAGGTGCGGTCGTTGGAGTGGAGTGCAGAAGCAGGAAGAGCTCGGAGGTGACTTTCAGGAAGGAGGTGGTGACGGATTCGACCGGCCACTACCAGATTTTTGTTCACGGCGACCGCGGGGATGATATGTGCGACGCCTTGCTGGTGAAGAGCTCAGATCCGGAGTGCAGCACGCCGAACGCAGGGCGCGACCGTGCGCGCGTGATCTTAACGCGGAACAACGGTATGAATTCCAACACGAGATTCGCCAACGCCATGGGGTTCCTGAAGAACACGGCGTTGGACAGCTGCCAGCAGATCCTCCAGCAGTACCAGGAAACCGAATCGGAGGATTGAAGATGGTGTGGTGAGGATGAAGAAGCTTCGTGCGATCACTGGGGTTAGATTCGTCATTTCGCACGTCTTTGTTGCTGATTGTATTTCAGTTATATAATTATATACCTTGTTACAGTGCATAGCGTTTTGTGCTGTAGTATGCAACTCCGAATTATTTTATCTCTGATTACATAAGTTGGATACATTTATTTAATTATTACTGATTTATTTAATCAATTTTTGTAATTCTACCACTAAATTCATTTTCTTGCTGACTTCCCAGATCTCTACGGTATTAATGTATATTCTCTTCAGTTCTCCATCGCTTGTTGCAGCTGATGATCTCTTTGTCCGCTCGAAAATTGATCCTTTATAATTTAACATTTTAAAATTTTGAAATATTACATCAACAATAATGGTGGTGGTACATAGTGTATGTTCAAGTAACAACCTTAAAAGCCTATTTTCGTGGTAGTAATAAAAATTCAAATCAAAGTTTTAAGTAGCAAAATGTTTCATGTGTAGTAAATTTCAATAAAGAACACACCCCGCCAATTCCATAGATCTCTTTGGCAAGCTTTCGAAAAATCAATCGCACCATATTTAGTACTAGTATTACATTTTGTAATGTTACTAACAAAAATACATTGTTTTTATCTCACAAAATATCAAATTAATTTTAATTCACAATCAAATAATTTTTAGGCAAAAAATATCACAGCCCTCGGAAGGAAATCCAGTGCAGAGTATAGTCACAGTTAGAGTTGTGAAGTAAGTCGAGCATATTTGAGTATCTGTTGTTCAAACTTGATTCGAATTTGTTAATGGTATTAATTTGTTAAAAATTCGAGCTAAAATAATGACTTGAATTCAAATTCCAAGTCTTATTCTACTTGAATATTATACGTATTTTATACACTTTTTAATATTTACATTAATTATATTTAATTTTATTCGTAATTTGGTAAAATAAAATATTTAATTTTTTATACAAATATATATATATATATATTATCAATAACAAATTCAATTTATGCTACCTGCAATCAAATTCAAACTAAACTTGTTATCTCTATAATCTATAAACTGTTAAACCAACTAAATTGATCCAACAAGAACCAACCCCGCTTATCTCTATATAAAGAAATCGAGCCAAATCGGTTAACTCAATTAATAAATCAACATATAAAACCAAATCTCAAATGAATAAATCTAATATCTACAATTTATTTTCTAAATTAATATGAACAATATAAATATTTATATTCAATTTTTTATATAATTAATTAATGTTAATATTCGAATGTATATATTTTATTTATATTGGCAACTTAACAAAATCATAATAGGAGCGACGGACGCCACTCGCGCCCGCCCAAAATTTGCGAATTCAGAGGGGAAGGCGGTTCAAAGCTGCCAGGCCAGTCCGCCTCCGCCGCTCTCAAATTCATTGCTTTCCCGCTCCTCCCTCCGCACCCATTTTGCCTCACTCTCTTCTCTCCACGCTACTGCCTGCACCACCCCGCCATTGGAGCTCTACAACTAATCAAACAGCGCAAGGTCAGTTCTAGCATTTTGCTTTTTAAATACGCACGCCCTATGCCTGTGCTTTTAATTTGAATTTCGATTTGAAATTGAAGTTACCCTATTCTATCGAGGATTTTATGTTCGTTCGTTTGTTAGCTTCTCTCGCATTGTTACTCGCATTTATGTAATGTCAGTTCTTTTTTGGTAATAGCTTGGGGATTTATCTGTTGATTCGTGTTTTTGGAATTAGGTCGAGACTGGATTCATGCTTTGGAAATTGTGGTATTTGCTTTCTTCAAAATATAATTAAAACTGTGCCCTGATTTCGACAATGGCGGATATCAACTCTTCCGACGGATTTCCCAAATCGAGGGCAGTTTTGGGTGAAATCACCAATCTGCCAACTAAAAGAGGGTTTCTGGACATAGAAGACCGTGGAGTTAAGAGATCGAAATTAAGTGAAAGCCAGTCTGTGAAAAGAAGCCTTGTTGAACCTAATCCATGCACAGATGTCCGTCCTATGAATAAGAATTTGTTGAATTTGTCCAATGACAACAGTGATGCCAAGTTGTTTGGGCTTGGGTTTGATTTTTCAGTGGGAAGCACAAAAGAATGTAATGGGAATAAGTTCACAGATGTTCCGCATTTTGGTGGAAAAGCTGCTGAGTGTCATGCTTTCAAAATGGATGAACATGAGGTGTGCAGTCCGAATTTTGACGGTCCTTATAAAACAGGTCTTGGAGCGGGAAGAGCTGCGTTGAAAATGGATGGTGTCCAGAATATAGTTATGATGAAGAGCAATGATGTTTCAACAGCTGCTGAAGTTTTGACTAAGGGGAAAACAGGCGTGAATTTGATCAATCCAGCCATGGGAGATGCTCTTGAGTTAGCTAGTGTTGAGACTAGTGACAAGTTTGGAGAGAGCTGTCATGTTCCTGCTGATAGTTCAAGAACAGTGAGTGAAAATGGCGGTGATGGCTCCGGTTTCCATGGGGGGAACGAACTTGATGCTTATGAGTCCAAAGTCATTCATACAGACTATCACACTGATGGAGATGATCATGGTGCTGACAATTTTTACTCGATTCAGATGGGATCAACTGACTGCATGATTCTACCTGAGTCGCAGGAATCTAGAGTGTTTGGAGTGGAAACACCCATAGAAACAAAGAAACGTGAGGAATGTGCTGATGGGAATGACTCTGTGAAAGCTTGCTCTTGTTCCTTCTGCAGTAAAGGTACCAATAGTATGTATGTATGATTGTGTTATGACCATAGATCAATCTAACTGTCTACATTTACTTGATATTCAGCTGCATATATATGGCTAGATGTCAACTACCAAGACATGAAGGAACGGATTTCAGGTTTGCTAATGTTATTTCATGTAACAATATCCGACAAGAGATTGAGCAACCCATAAAAATACAATGTAAAACATCAAATGTTGATTGTTGAACATAGTGTAAATCTCATTAACTATGTTACGAAATTTTTGAGTTATTTTAAACTACATAAAACATTTCTTAACTTTGTACAAAATATGCTGAATCACAATGGGGTACGAATCGTAGCTCTATGTACAAGGATATGCCAATTGGCTAAATGTCGAATGCCATTTATGGAATAAATTGTTTCAGAATAGAATAACTTTAGAATTAGCTTTAATTTGGAATCATACTATTTTATTCTTTTTCCTAATGTACCATGTAATTATATATCTTATAATTTATACTATGCAAAACTATTTATCAAAGTCATATTGTAACTTTTAGACATTCAAGTATATTATGAGTTTTCCTTATTTATCAACAAAAAGTATGTATCATAGTCTAGTTATCGAAGTCCTTAATTCATGAGTAAGAGGCAATTAGAAGTAGCTTCCCAGATTTTTTATGCAAATTACTCAGTAGACAAATGTTGAATCGATCAATCCAATCTCTTCAAGAATGGGTTATTCTGATTTAACTGCTCATTTCTAACTTGTATACTGCATTAAATGTTGTCGACAGCAATGAAAAAGAGCCAGAAAAATGCAACCACATTGGCTGAACAAACTACCTGGCACAAGACAATTGATAAGCATGGCGCTGAAAGCTACACAGGTCCTGTTGTTTCCGACTTAGCAGGCAATCTGATGCATCGTTGGAGATCCCTCTTTCAGGGTGTCGGCGACTTACTCAAGGAAGAGATCAACCACCTGGTAAGCTCACCACTATTCATTTCTTACAACCATCTTCAGACATAATTCTTTTGTATGATCCTGCTAGTATGTATTGCAACAGGAGGCGAGGCTGCAGCCGCTGACTGAGTTGAGGGGAAAGCACAGTGATGGGACCAATGCTGCATTGGCTGGACAGCAATGAAACTTAACATTCGTAAGTCGAATAGCTTTTCTTACACACCTTTACTAGATTTGCTTAAGTCCTTGAGTTTCTAAATGCTTGCCATATCAAGTTGTTGTTGTTGTTGTGTTATTGTTGTTCAATAGGATCTTTTAAGATTATGTTTTGCTTTCCAAGATTTTATTTTAATATATATATATATTTTTTTTTCTAATTCAAGAATTGATTTGTTCCATTTTAAGTTATGACTCCAGGAGTAGTTTATCAAATTGTTGGAGGGTGATACTTAGATAAACATGAATGACAGCTAGGGCTCGTTGCGAGATTGCTAAAAACAGGCCCAAGATTTTTTAAAGACCCAAGTTTTAATATTGCCATATAGAGACACTTCATTTGTAAATAGCTTTATATTTTTTTTAAAAAAAAAACTTATTTTTTAGATGAAAGATTATACTATTTTTTAAATTTATTTTTCATTCTAAAAAAATACATGTTATATCAAAACCCCTGTTAAAAGTAAGTGATTTATTTTTCGATGACATATGAAGCATTTCTTACTTTGGTGATGTAGTTTATGAAATTAAAAGAGTAGTAGCGTCTTTAGGTTCCAGCTGTTAAGAAAAAGCCGGTGAGTGGAGTTTTATTGATCGATATGGTGAGGGTTGACCGTTAGCCCACTAATTAATTACCACTCCAACTTAGCAAGCCCACACACCTTTTGCGTTTGACTTTTTTTTAAGGTTGGCATTTCTTAATATTATCATAACTCATAATGCATATTTTAAAAATATCTCATTTCATCATACTTCAATTTATTATTATTTTATTTTCTCGCTATTTATTTTTGCTACCATAATAAGCTCTTCATATGATATATCAAATGTTTTGACTTTGCTAATCCTTAATCACACTCCACTAAATAATTATATTATTCCAACCCTCAATTATTGTTACAACTACGCTTAAAAACTCAATATGACATATGTGCTTACAAAATTGCCACAAAAGAAGCGTAAAAGAATATTTGTATAGCTTTAAATATAAATAACCTAATTGTATATTTTTCTTTTTATGTAAGTCTTGTATGAATTTGATGGCATTCCCGAGCAAAGTGAGAATTAAATATAAAAGAGATTGGGTTTTGTTTTATGTGTTAATAGGAACAAAATGCGCTTTTAGGTCATATATCATGAATTTTTAAATAAATATAAAAAAATTCTCAAGGCGCACTTATGAATATTAACGACTTAAATAGGTGGCAATGGGTCGGCGTTAATCCCTTGCTTTGGAGTATTGTGGAGTAATTGTTTTTCCATTTTCTAATAAATAATAGTAATATTAGTAATTTATAAATAAAAATAAATAAAGTTTTCAATGATTTATCAAATGACAGTTCATTAGCTACAAGAAATACTAGTACAGTAATTAATTAGCCACGGGACGTACACTCCCTGGTCCCGTCCTTGTCGCGTTAGTCACGTGCCTGTTGTTTAGATCACCCTCACCCATGCAATAATACAATGAATCCATTTAATCAAGTCAAATAATAGATTACCTTCCACAATACATAAATAAATAAAATTTACAAACCAAAGGTACAAATAATCCGTGTGTATAGCTGCATATAATATATATATTTTAAATGAAGTATTTTAAAATTTTAAAAATATAGTCATTTTTTTACATGAAATTAAAATTGATGTTTTTTTTTTTTAGTATTTTTATTTTTGTATTGAGTATGATTAAGCTCAATAATATAAAAATAATGTTAGTGTTGAACTTTAGACCTTTTTATTTCTTTTGTTGAATTATTAACCTTTGTTTTATTTTGTGTTTGTATACTGCAATTTTTTAGTAGTATTATTGTAAAAATATGTCTGAATTCGTTGCTGGATTAATAGAACTTTAAAGTGTTTTTTTTTTTTTTTTTTCACTTTAAAAGAAGAATGAAAAAAAAAGGGGGGTGGGGTGGGGGTGGGGGTGGGGGTGGGGATGGTGGAGGTCGCTTGGCTTCAAAGTGAAGTATTTGTTCCTTCTCTTAATTGGAAATCCTAATTAATTAAATCGTATTTTCATTTTCTTTTGACTTTGGTAATCCCTAATCGCACACCACTAAGCAATAATACTCTTTTTTATTTTAATATATATTTTTTTCCAATACCCTCTACAGCTCTACTTGTCAATTAAATATATGCGAAAATCAATAGTACCATATTTGACTTTTGATTTATTTTTTTTATTCACAATTTTATTATTAAATCTATCACTAACAAGTATATTATATTCAAATTTTATTTAAAATATTATACGTAACAACTATTTTTACATCATAAATATTAAATAGTTAAATTACTGCAGTAATTTCACATTTCATCAAACATAAAAAAATATATGAAAACTTGTGGTAGTAACGTGTACTAATCAATTTACGTGATTTGATTCACTTTGATTATATTAAATGTCTTTCACTTGAATTTGTCTTCACTGAAGTGACAATAATTCACTTCTTAATTTCATTCGACATAATTGATTCTAGAAAAACAATTTATAAAAATGCGTGGGACAATATAGAAACATAATAATTCACATTTGTTTATTTATTTTTTGTGTATATATGTTTACTGAGAAGTTTAATATAATATGTTTTGAAAATAAATAATTTCAATATATTCACTAGTCCATTTTTTTTAAATATAGTACTACTTATTTTTATAAAACATCATGGCAAAATACTATTAAAACAAAATAAATAAATAATAATAATAAAAAAACTCGATTCAAATCTAAACCAAACAAACACTAAATACTTTCATTGATGAAGTAATTAAGTACCAATAAATGAAGATAAGATTTATTAAGACAAGTGGAAATTATGTAATGGTTAATTTAATATGGTAATGCAAATAACAATGCCCTTCACTTGTCTGCTTCTTAATAGTTTAAAATTTTAATTAAATCAAGAGTATAATATTATAGTTTTAACAATATAAACATCATGTAAAATATTTGTATCCAACCCATATATCTAATTTAAAATATAGTATTTAGCATTGAGTGACAAATTTAAATTGAATATATCTCAGATTTATATGTTTTATTTTTATCTTTTATTGATGAAATTATAATAACTTTTGAGTAATAGTAATAGTAATAGTAATATGAACGCATAAAAGACAAGTATTAAAAAAAAATAGATTTGTTATGCTGTCCACAGTAAGTGGGCCCAGCAGATATATAGTAGCAGATTGAACGGTCCAGATTTCTGAAGGTTAGGTAAGCGACGGTGATCCTTCTTTAGTCTCATTCACTTTATTCGTGGAGGATTTTCAATCAAAAAGAGAATCACAATATGCATATTATTTAACTTTTTTTGTTGTTCAAAAAGTATTTTTATTCATTTTTTTTTAATATTTTCTCAAAAAAAATTAGAAAAAAAAAAAAAAACCAAAAAGATAAGCAGTATAACCTACCACAAGATTAACCAATAAGAACCTGCCACGTCTAAATTCGTGATAACGTGTACACGTGTCATCTTGGGAATGGTTTCTTTAACACCAGAATTTCTGATATTTTGTGGTAATGCTACTGTAATCATAAATTGACTCGGTCCAAATAAATCTCATAATTAATATTTTGTTTTTGTTTTTATTTTTGTTTTATAGTCCAACCACTAACAAATAATTTCTAACCTTTTTTTAAAAAAAATTAAATGCGGCAGCTGTCCAATTTAATGATCATATTTCGTAGAATATTATTGAAGAAATGAAATAGTTCAATAATTATGCTTGTTTTTCATTTAAGTTATGTTTATTTTTTATTGTTGGATTTTTAATTTTTTTTTTCTGTTTTTTTTAGTAAACAAACATCATTTTGTACTTGTAACTTTTTACTATAAAAAAAATTCTATTTTTATTTATTATTTAAAATATTTGTATCCGATTAAATAAACATAAATTAATTTTTATGTACATTAAAATAATCCATATACATAATTGAAAATAAATTGGATGTGTAACGCAAGAATATAATTATGAATGGAAACAACAACAACAATAAAATTTCATGCATTTCTTAAATTTTGAAATAAACTTTGATAGTTACATTTTTTTTAAAAAAAAAAAATTAACTCTCGTCTTATAAATTTCAATATTTGATTAATTATTTAGTTATGTTTATATGGTATTCATGATTCATACATCTTTTGTCCATGTATAATTTTAGTTAGTTTAATATTTCATTTTTATTTTATTTAAAAATTTACATATTTTAATTTATAATTTATTTTGATTTTAATTTATAATTATTTTTATTAATATATTTTTTAATTATTTATTAATTATATTTTTTAAATTTTCGTATATGACATGAGAGGGAGATAGTGTATTTTTCAATTTGGACATTATTCATTAAAAATAATATATTAAAAAATATTCTTTTTTAAAAATTATTTTAAGATAAAATGATAAGTTTAAAAATATTACATCTATCACCTCTTTAATTACATAGAAAATAAAAATATAATTGGATTATGTAATTAATTATGTGAAGTTTATCTAAAGTGGGTCAAATACGCAAAGAAAATTCGCAATTAAAAAAATAAAAATAAAATAAAGGTAAAGGAAGCTACAGGCTACAGCCATGGCGGATTGGCGTTTATATAAGACGATAAGATCTGCAGCAACATCTTCATCGAGAGAAAAAAAAGTAGTAATCAGTGAGGGTGAGGCCACCACCAAAACGAGTGTTTGATTTCCATTTTTTGTTTCTTTAATTTCTTCCCCCCCTTCAATCCCCGCTTCTTCGATCCCTTTCTGTCATCGTCTGTCTTTCAAAAAAAAAGCTGCGATCTGAATTTGCAAACCCTAATTTTAAAAGGCTTCATCTTTTTATTCTGAAAGCCAGATGATTCAGAACAGAGATCAATTTTTTATAAATTTTGTCAAAAATTTCAAGTTTTAGATTCCGATTGAGCCACGAGGGTTTCGTTTTTTGTCAATCCCTCAAGTTTCTCGGATTTTTAGTTTCTTTAACTTTGCCTGAAAGGTGTTCGACAAATTGCCTCTTAAAAGAAAAGAAAAAAAAAAAAAAGGAATCTTTTTTAGCCTCTCACCTGTTCTTCAGTTTTTAGTACGAGAAACAGGCTGTAATTTGTGGTTAATTTGATCTGAAATTTTCTTTCTTGTTTCCTTAATTTTCATGGATATGTATTGTTCTTCAAGCAGCAATCAGTTCTTGTCTGTAGATCCATTGAGAGAAGAGCTAATGGAAGCTCTCCAGCCGTTTGTTAAAAGTTCTTCCATTTCTTCTCCAAACAGCTTCTGTTCTTCATCTTCTTCACCCTCATCTTATCTTGATTCTTTCTCTTCTGATCCATCAATGGCGGCTGCTTATCCCCCAATCCAATCAAGAACCTTTTCTCCACTCCCTCAACCCCAATCATTCGATCTGCAATTCCATCTCCAATTGCTGCAACAGGAGCAGCTGATCAATTACCAGTTAGCTCAAAACCAGACCTTCCATGGCCGATTTCTTTCCCCCAAACCTGTCCTGATGAAACAGTCTGCAAATTACCCCAAGCCTGCCAAGCTCTACAGAGGAGTGAGGCAGAGGCATTGGGGAAAATGGGTTGCCGAAATCCGGCTTCCGAAAAACCGAACCAGACTCTGGCTCGGCACCTACGACACCGCCGAGGAGGCAGCGCTGGCGTACGACGCCGCCGCCTACAAGCTCCGGGGAGACTCCGGCAGGCTCAATTTCCCGCATCTGAAGCAGCAATTGTCGCGGGATTCGTCGACAGGTGGCCTCAAGCCTTTGCATTCCTCCGTGGATGCTAAGCTTGAGGCCATCTGTCGAACCCTCGCCGCCGACGATCAGAAACAAAGGTCCCGGAGCTCGAAGAATTGCAGTAAGTCCGACGAGGCGTCGGAGGTGGAAGAGGGATTGAAAGTTTCGGAATTGGATGAAACAGTGAAGGTAGAGCCACCGGCTTCGCCGGAGTCCGGGATCACTTTCCTCGACTTCCCGGAGCCGTCGTCGTGCTTCGACGAATGCGATAATTTGATGCTGCTGCAGAAATACCCTTCGGTTGAGATTGATTGGGCAGCTCTGTAATAGATATGTTTTTGTGTTTGTGTCATCATCTCATCTGCAATGGAGTTTTTGACATGTGCAGATGGGATTGGATTGAATCTTGTTTTTGTGTAATAGTAAGGTAGGGTTGGTCTGAATCTGCATCTGCAATTGCTTGTGGTTTTTGTTTCCAAGCATTGCAGCCATGGCAGGGGAGGGAGATCCAGTTTATTTTTTACTGTATTTCTCTACTTTCTTCATTACCTTACCTTCAGTTGTATAAATTAAGAAATAAATAAATTGCTCTTGTTTTTGTGAAAATTTTGTTTCATCTTCAACACACACACACAGTTTAAAAATCGACACAATCGATACTAAAAAATTAACTAATTTACATAAACACAGTTATCATTTTTGTGTCACAGCTTGTGCCTTGAAATGAGTTTACTAACAAAAAACAAAAAATTGTTTGGTGAGCTTTTCAGTGCTTGATTGATTTTTTCATAAATGTAATTCTATTTATTACTTATTTTCTTAAATCAAGTTTACACTATAAATCAATTGAGTTTGAAGTTAATTGATTGAATATATACATATATGATCAATTATTAAGTTAATTATTAATCCAAAGATTCCATAAACAAAAGCAAAAAGCCAGCCCTACGATTGAAAATTCGACCAAAATACATTTAAAAGTATAATTTGACTAGTATGATTTGTCTCTTAAATTTAAGTCCCAAACTATTAAGTTTAATTAAAAATTTATCCAATATACATTAAAAAAATTAACGTATTCCTGCGTTATATATATAAAAGACTATTGCAATGCCACTATCATAAAAATTTATACTATTGTAATGATCTGAATAAAACAAAAAACTAATGCAATGCCACTGTCATAAAAATAAAAATAAAAACTATTGCAATAGTCATGAGTCATGTGTTCAAAATAGCATGTTTCAGGTCACTTGTCATTCATGGTTCGAATAGTGTGGTCTTCCTGTCGAACCTAGTTTGCAGGGTATTAATTTCGGCTGAAGTTTAGCCGGTACGTATTTTTGGATAGCAGCCTGCGAATTCTCACGTCATTTAAACAAAACAAAAAAAAAAAAAAAAAAAAAAAAACATAACATGCATTCCTCTAATATGATTTGTCTACAAAAAAAAAAAAAAAAAAACGATTGCAATGTAATAATGGTTGTGTGCAAATTTCGTTTTCTTTGCTAGTGTAGATATTTTTGTAAGGGTCGAAAAGTCTAATGTATGTAGTATGATGATTATGATGATGTGTGTTTTATGGAGTGATAGAATGAATGAATGACAAGTCAATTATTGGATGGAAAGTTGATCTGTTCGACCTAAATTTTGCATCCACATTTATTATAGCTATTGGATAGGACACGTGGACATTGATGAATAAATGCATGAATTAATTGCATTTATGAGTAGTTTGACTTTTGACTCATTCAACACACCAAAATAGTGTGTGATAAGAGTGTGCGTGTGTGTGTGTCGTGTCACTGACACATCATTTATCTTTCCATGGCACGAATAGCTATTGCTCATTCTCAGCATTTCATTCCATCCCTTTGAATGATTAATTATACCATACTCATAAAATTAAATATATATATATATATATGTACTGATTTGCATTGTCTATAAGTATAATATTAATATTTGAAAATTTAAGTAAAAATATTTAATTGAATTTTTTTGAATGATATATATGTATAAAAAATAACACTAGTTAAAAACATACACTTGTTCGAGCCTCCTAAATCTAGTTGTAGTGGGCTGGGCTGGTCTGGGACTGGGACTGGGACTGGGCCAGAGAGCCCAGTAGACAGTTGATCTTGTAACAAATTAATTATTTTAATAAGCTTAAAAAATATTCAACTTCTAAATTATGAATAATAATTAAATATAAGATTATATATTTCAAATAATCTTAAGAAAGCCCACTTCAGTATTTTTGGGCCCAATTTAAATATTCATAAGGTCCAAAATAAGGAGCCCATGGTTTGCAAGCCCATCGATTTCTCTTTGATCATCAATAAAGTAAAATAATATTTTAGTACATTTATGATTAATTACCAATTTTCTCCTACAATTCACATAAAGTAAATTTTTTTAATAAGTTAGTTTCAATATATATATGATAATTTAATTGAAACGTATTCATGTCCAAAAATTTAAAATATTCTAAAGTGAAATATTCATTTGAAGCATTGATTGGAGAATTACAATCGACAAAATATTTCTAGTCACGTGTTACAGCACATGATGCTTCTGATGTTTGAATTTCTTTTTTGCCTCACACGTCTCTTGTATTTACAATTAGATTCCTCCACCCATATTATATATTTTAAACTAAAAGTCTAAAATTAAGGAAAACATAATTTATTTTTGAAATATAAAAAATTTATTATGTTTATGAGTGGAAGAAAGTAAAATTATTGTTAATTTTTGTATATATCAAAAGATCTTTCTACTTAATACATAAAATAAAATAAATTTAGTCTCTCGTATAGATCAAACATATTAATTGAACTGAATTATTATATATTATGATGATATTATAAAAAACAATTCATTTAGAGTGTATATTTTGAGTTAAAATTTGAATAGTAAAATATATGAATTTGAATAATGGTACGAGTGATATAAATAAGTATGATGCGATGTTTTGAATAAAAAATTAATTTTTAATATAATATAAAAAATATATTAAATATTTAATTGATGTTTTTGGAAGAAAAAATTTTGTAGAAAAGAATGTAAATTTCTCAAAATCCTTCAAAGAAACACACTAACATAACTTTTTAAATTAATTGCTTCCATAGTTGTTTGTAGCCACCTTGACATAAATTAAATGTTCTTTCAAGGAAAATTATCTAAGACATATACCATTTTTTTTTTTTTAAAAAAAAAGAGAATAAAATAAAATTACTATAGAAATTGACATGATTTCAAATAAATTAATGTCACAGCTATAAATTAAAGTCATAATTGAATTATCTGACTTAGAAAGAATAAATAGTTGAATTTCAACCAACAACCGAATTTTAACTTCTAACTTTACTAAATGGGATAGTGACTTTAAAGAATATATATAGTTGTAGATTCATCATTTATCTTTATAGTTTCTAAAAATATATTTGAATGATAAAATTCTGCATATAAATGTAAATGTCTATATGCCCACTTATATATTCTTACTTATTTGCTTGAAATAAATTGATCAGTTTCAATGAACAGAATATTGAAGTAACTTTAGAAGAATGTAAATACTTTAATTTCTCTAATCACAATTATATTAAAAATGAATTATCCATAAAATGATTCACTAAGGTATCCTTAATTAAAGAATAAACCATACATCATCGTAAAAAGAGTTATTTAAAATGTGTATATATATATATATATATTCTAATTTAATATCTAAATAATTAAAACATGTCACTAAAAAAGAAACTTTTGAAGATATAGAATTATTTTATAAGAGATAATTTTCGTAATATTGAAAATTTTAAAGCACGTTGGAAAAAAATAGAATCTTTATTCTCTTGCTACCATCTTCGCATTTATGCTGAGATGATGGTCACCGAACAATTTATATCATTTTGAAAATAGTTGATCGATATTGATGCTCTAATTGAAACCCTAGATTGTTTAGAGTCACATTGAATAATTAATCAAATAAATTATGCCTATGATTGTATGAATTATTATTATTATTTATAATTTTACTAGTAGAATGAATAATTAAAATCTTCTCGATGTTTATTTTTAAAAAAAAAAATGAAAAGAAATTTCGAAGTCATGCATGTGCTTGAACATAATGCTAAGAATCTCAATACATTTTCTATGGTGTGGGTTTATTTATGGTACAATAATTCTAAAACTTTTCAAATGCTGCCTTTTTTTTCCATATAATTGTAGAAATTTCGTAAGAACTTTTGAATAATCAGAGTTGATAGGAGATTCTTTTCATTTTGTGTTCATTACTATTTTTTTTTGCTCCGTTGATTGTTTCGATTCTCTATTCAAAGCTTATAGAGTTACAAATGAAAGTACGAATTCTTGGAGTTTATTCTTTTGTATTTTTATTACTATTCATCTTTTAAAAAAAACGTTACATCTTAGAAAAGTATTACAAACTGTTCACATTATACAACAATTAGTGCAAAGAAAATTATACTTCAAGACTAAGTTATTTAAAACAATCTCCCAAACCATATAATATGTAGTGTATATATATATATAGATATTAGGATCTATGATTTGTCACAATATTAAATAATGCAGAAATATCAGCAATATATAATATTAAAATATAATCATGTACAACATTATTGCTTTTAATTAGACTTAATTAATGGTACACTTGCATGCATCATGTCAACATTATCACTAATTATTTCAATAACCACCTAATAGAAAAACACACAGGCACACATCTATTATCATTTTTAATATTATAAATATATAATTTGAGTGAAACAAACCCTAATATGATAAAAAAATAAAATTAAAGAAAATTAAAACTATATGCATATACATTAATTAATCATCATAGTTTCACTATTCGCACCGAATTTTTTGACCAAATAAAATAAGATAAAAATTTTATATGTTTCTACAACGTATATAAGACCGGAGCATAAAATCTCTGTTCAATGTTTTTGTTTTGCAAAATATTTTTATTATTGTATATCATATATCTTAAATTCTAGACAACATTATGATATATATATACATATATTTCAAATAAAAAGGGTGAAATATTCATTAATTTACAATAAAATTAACAGAAAATTATAGCATAGTGACATCGAAATATCATTTAAGACACATAAAATTATTGACCTTAGTCATAGGTACTACATCATAGGATGAGCAATAAAAACTCAATATTGACTTCAATGTGTTTACAATTTCTAAATATCAAAGGAAATTGTATAGGTTTGACTTTTATTTTGTATGTCAAATTTAAAATTTGTAAATTGAGCTCACCTCGACTAAGAAATACAAGCATGATATTACTAAATGGTTCATAAGTTGTAAGATATATATATATATAATGCAGTCATATAAATTTTTATTGAAAAATATATAAGAATATATATATATATATATATGCATATGTATATGTATCTCATAGAGAATAAAATAAGAGTAAAGAGTTGTTAGAATTGAATGATATAAGTATAAATTTAGGAAAATATAACATATAGTAGTTAATATGTATCTAACCTATGGAAAAATATAAATACGAAGGATTAATTATGATCCTATGTATGTGTGTTTATTAATTATTATTTATTTTCTTAAGTTTACTTTTCTTTTTTTTTAAATAGATGTACATATGTTCAAATTATTTCATATAATAAGTTTAAAAATCACGTATAGTTTATTTACTGTGACAAAATATAAATTAATAATACAATTAAACCACTCAAACAATTTATTTAGAGAAAAAAAATGTTACCCGTGGGATGATTTTTCCGTTTTATCTTTTGTGCAAAAATTATTTGGTAAAGTCACAAATTCCTTAATGAAATGCTATATGTTCGTAGATATTTTCAAATATACTTATAATGATAGGAGCTCAATAATATTATGAAAGAATTTTTTTTATATTATTTAGAAAATAAATAAATAAATAAATAAAGTATGATGCTGCTGGTTTTCTGCGCTGCTTGTTTCCTAGTAATTGTTTTGCCCTTTGCAATTTGGGAAGGTCAGTTTATTCAATAGGGGTAAAACAGGTATTTCCTTGGTTGAGTGTTAGGGCAACTGCACGTGGCACGACCCCACACATGGCCACCCTCCGACTGCCACGTTTCAAAGCGACGACAGAGATACTGACACGCTGGACTGAGCCCACTCCGACGACTATATATGACTAATGCCTGCAGAATAAATCTACATCGTTGATATCGTTGACCTTAGAAATGAACGGTAAAGATTAATTATGGTGTTCAGATCCCGGAGTTGGTGTTAGTTTGTATGCTCCTTGTCATCGCTGCAACTATAAAACGAACCAGACTGCGTTACAACTTCCTCACACATGAACACTCCCTTCTTTCATTGAGCCTCTTATTGGCTGCCGGATTCTTGATTTGAGCGGAGTTTTTGATTTGTTTCTGTCTCTCTTTCGTCTCCAATTGCTTCCGCGATCGAGCAGTTCATCCAATTTTCGAAGATCATTTAAGGTGAGTTCTGAATTCGAACGGTTTCAATTTGAGGAATTGGGGTTTAGGGTTCGTTGCTAGGGTTCTTAAACCGACAATTAAATGGAATGCGTTAATTTTGTACGTAATTCTATCAGGAATAATCATGACGAACCAAAATGTGATGGTTGCCGACGCAAAATCGGGGATCAACGTGGCGATAAGGGTGGCGGTTACTGGTTCGTCGTCGTCGCTTTTCCCCACGCCGGCGCAAAAACCTCTCGCCGGCGCGTACATCACAATCTCGAAGAAGAAGCTCCTCCTGCAGGACATCAACGCTGGCTCCAGATCAATCAACGCCTGGGTTGATTCAATGAGAGCTTCCTCCCCCACCAATCTCAAATCCTCGTCGCCGCCGCCGCTCTCCGGCGACCAAATCTCCTGGAATGTAAGCCTTAACTCATCATGTTTGCTACAGAATTTCACTCGAAAACAATTTGATTTACAAAATAAAAATAAAAAAGTACAGATATATCATCCATCTGCACTCAACATGTTGGACGAAATTGCCAAGGCAGCAAAGGGGAAGCAAATCGTGATGTTTCTTGACTACGACGGCACTCTTTCGCCGATAGTCGACGATCCCGAAAAAGCCTTCCTGTCTGACTCGGTAATACTTCATTATATGTGGATTTCTTGATTAATTATGGCTAATTTGGATGTCTATTATATACAGATGAGGACAACAGTGAGAAAACTTGCTAAATATTTCCCCACTGCCATAGTGAGTGGAAGGTGCAGAGACAAGGTTAGTTAATACACTTCATATTCTTAATTACTTAATAGTTTAAACACTATAAATTAAAATATTTGGTGTCTTTCTTGGATGTGTAGGTGTACAGTTTTGTGCGATTGTCAGAATTATATTATGCTGGAAGCCATGGCATGGATATCAAAGCCCCATCTAAAGGCTCCAAATATAATAAAGTAAATTATTAAAGCTATTGATATCATTTTTCATTTTAGAGTCGGATCAATTGTGTATAGTTAACTGATATGATTCATATGTTGTGTGGATCAAATTAATCAGGAGGACGGAGGTGTGCTTTTCCAGCCTGCAACTGAATACCTTCCCATGATAGATGAGGCCAGTTTATTTTTAATTAATAATTGAATAATGATTTGATTGTGAATGATAATAATAAATTTGAATTAACGAGGAATGTTTATATGGATGCATGCAGGTTTATAAAGCACTGTTGGAAGTGACAAAAGGCACTTCAGGTGCTAAGGTGGAGAATAACAAGTTTTGTCTCTCTGTACATTTCCGCTGTGTTGATGAGAAGGTAAAATTAATTTACAAACTATTTCTTGTCTGGTAAATTTCCAGAAAACCCTTATTCTGATTAGTAGAATCTTGAGTCTCTTTTGTAATTTCTATAAAATAAAGCAACTTTTAAAAAAATAGTAACAATAATTAACTACAACACACTGGACATATATGCATATATTAATGATCGATAGGCTAAAATATTAATTAAGTATATAAGAAATGATTGATGTTGTTTTTAACAAAAGAAGAATCTTAGGTTGTAGACATATCAAACAACCAATTTGGCATTCACCTTTATTGACATAGAACCAAGTCATGAATGATAAAGACACATGCTTAGTAGATTGTTTTCTTGACAAAACCATGTCCTAAAACGACAACTTATCATTTAAAATCTGATAAAGAGTTGCAATCTTGTCGTTAATGGCAGAAATGGTCTGAACTTGCCCAGCAAGTTGGATCCGTGCTGGAGGGGTACCCAGCCCTAAGGTTGACCCAAGGAAGAAAGGTATAGACACTTAAATATAAATAATATAATTATTCAGGGTTTGCACTTATTTGATTGACCTAATTATTTAGGTGTTGGAAATTCGCCCTAATATTAAATGGGACAAAGGGAAGGCCCTTGAATTCCTATTACAGTCTATGGGTAAGTTTTTTTTTTTTTGAATGTGGTCGTCCATACTTGTAAGGAAGTATTACTTAATTGTTTAGTCTCTTCCATATTCTATGTATGCAATAACAGATTTTTAGTGAACATCTTGAATTTATATTAGGGAATTAGGTTCTCTCGATTGCACTACAGAAAAAATAGTATGTATATTTGTAACGGAATTTTGTTCTTAAAGTTTACGTAAGTAATTTATGTGTTGGATTTATATTAGTAACACGCAGCTGTAACAATCATTCTAAATCCAAACTACAATTTTGAGAATCCGTTTTAAAATCTCTAATTTATATCATTGATTCCTCATAGGATACACCAACTGCGCCAATGTCTTCCCTATATACATTGGAGATGATCGAACGGACGAGGATGCTTTTAAGGTATACCAAATTCAACATAAAATTTACTCTAAGAAAAACAATATATATATATATATATTATAGTTTGACTCGATTATTTAAAATTTTTATTAGGTCTTGAGAGAGAAGGATCAAGGATTGGGGATTCTAGTTTCCAAAATTCCAAAAGATACCAATGCATCTTACTCTTTGCAAGAACCATCCGAGGTATATATGTTTCCTCTTCTAAAGAATGAGTTATAATTCGATTACAAGGTGTATATATATATATATATATATATTCTTACAATATATCGATAATTAATTTTTGTATCTTATAGGTCATGACATTTTTACGAGGCTTGATAGATTGGAAGCAATTTGTGATAAAACGAGAGATGAAAATGAAGAGTCGACTCCAAAAGATAATAAGTCAAATTAGGGGTAGTAATTAATGTTGTAATTGCAATTACTGAAAGCTAACAATCCTTATTAAGGGAGATATAGGAAGTTGTCCCTTCCGTGTGTGGTCTTGTATTGTCCTGTACAAGGGCATTATTGTAATTCTGTACAGGGTTAACTATGTAAATACAAGCCTATTGTCGTTGCCTTAGGATATCAAGGTGAATAACCAAAGTTGTTTATAGAGAACAATTGGAACATTAATGTATAAATTTGAAGGGAATTATTTAATAATCATAGCAAGAATAATACAGATTTTTTTTTTTTTTGGATCTTTCATTTAAAAAAAGATAAAATCAAAGAGCCCTTTTTCTATTGAAATAAAATAGTGTATAAATGGAAAGAAATCATATATACAATCTAATTCATACTAACAAGAATCACAATTATATTATAAAAGACACACTACAATTAAAAGTGGACATATATTATATCTTTTGTTTCTTGTACTATACCATATGTAATTTTATTTTTCTTAAGAAATGGGATATCAAAAGTTATGAGATGAATTAAAACACCAACATCGACAGAAAATATGAGACAAAAAAGAGTTCAATACAATATCACCCAAATAAGTATTGATGTAATGTTTTGAATGTAAAATTAATTTTTAGTATAATATAAAAAATAAAAAGTAAGTATTTAATTTTATATTTTTTAATGAAAAAAATTGTTGAAATATAAGGAATCCCATAAAATCCCTCAAACAAATAAATGCTGACGGATATGATATGTACTATGATTAAAAAAACGTTGATAAATAATTTAAAAAGAAAATTAAAAATATAAAAGTAAACAATTTGGTCATTTTCACAAAATAAGTATTAATTTTATTTTCAATAAAAATATATTATTTTTTACATATTTTTTTAATAAAAATAATAAAAATAAATATTTTAATAGCACTCGGCACAATTTCTAATAACTAACAATAAAAAATATTTATAAAATTTCTTAAAAAGAACGCAACCTTAAATTTTAGATTGAGTACCTAATTTTTACTATTTGACCCTTTGATCCAACTTCAACACTTTTTTTTTTTTGTTTTTTTTTGTTTTTTTTTTTTAGGTTTTGAAAGGGAAGCCCATCCACTAACTACAACTATCTTTTCTTTTCTTTCTTTCTTGTTTCTTATATATATATATATATATATAAATAATGTGCAAATGAGATGTTGGAATCCACTTGCAAGTTTCATGGTTTTTGTGTGTTATAAGGGATCTTTTAGGATGGGGCACTTCAAATTATATTTGTATGACAACCTTAGGATGTGTAAAGATGGTGTCCATTGTCCACTACACTTGTCCCCATCATGCCTTCTTCCAACATATCACTTAATAAGTTAGGGTGACCTTTTCTCTAAAAAATATATATATATTTGTTTTAAAAGTTACAAAATCGTGTAATCTTTTGTATCTATAAATAATTGTTAATAGGTATAATAGATTTTAAAATAGATTGTAAAACTTTAATTAAAATACAAAAAGCATGTTCTTTGATATGTTCAATTATTGGTGCATTGCCAATTGCACCATAACAATGATAAGATAACTAATTTTTAAAAGTAATACTAAAAGTAATGTGGAAGATAGATAGTGGTTTATCTTCTTTTTATTAGAACCCTTTTATTAAAACTCATTTAAAAACAATATATATATACATATATATTATTTTTATATGTTAAAAGTAGAGAAAATCAAGTGCCCCATTGGGATAAACTATTGTATTTACAAATTTCTTTAAATATACTATCACTTTTTGTACATTGATTTATACATTGGTAGCATTTTTAAAGCTTTCAGTTTCTTGTAATTGAAGAAAAAAAAAAAAAAAAAATCTTTATCAATTTTATTGAGGATTTAGTTTCAAGACTGCGCGTGTACACTATTTATGATCATAAGTTTTCATATCTTAGTAAAGAATAATATATTTGATGCCCCCAGCATTTTCTTTTAATTATTATTTTGTCTTATTTAAAGGAACAAGTTAATAATATTGACCTCAATTATTAGTAAGAAGTTAACACATGTTATACAAAAATAAAAATGAATTACATTTAAAAAGAAAATTAGATCAATATTTATGTTCTTCCCATCTCTTCTTGATGCCTTTGATCGATTTTCTTGAGCTGATCCTCTGCCTCTTCCAACAACTTTCTTGCCTCTTCATTTTCCGAACATTCCCTCAACACTACTTGGCAATCTTGTATGCAATCATCCCAATTTTCCATCTATACCAATAAAATTAAATTTCATATTAAATCAAACCAATGTACCTATATATAAAAAATGTATTTATACGTGCAACACTCTCACGTACAAAGTTTTTCACGCTAACCTTCGCATAACAATCGGCACGACGAAGCCGGGCCTTGGTGTGTCCGGGCCGGGCTTTGATCGCCCGACCGCAATCATCTATAGCTTTATCGTATTGCTCGAGCTTGCAACGGCAAGCGGCCCGGTTCCCCAATAGGACCGAATTGCTCGGGTCGTGATTCAACCCTTCGCCGTAGGCAATGCACGCCTCGGCGTAATTTCCCAACTTGAAGAGGTCGTTGCCCGTTGACCGTGCCGTCGCAACCGCCCTCGCCTTCCTCAGCAACGGGGTTGCATCCCCGTTGTTGGGGTCGAGGCTCGTCGCACGTTGAGCACTTGATATAGCATCATCGAACCTAGTTTAATATTAGAGTTAAGTGTATGGTTGATATGAGCTAAGACATTTCTAACGAAACATTCAGTTTGTTCACTCAACACAACAATTACCCGTACATCTTATTAAAAATATACACATATATACATATATTAATATAATATATATTTATATATTATCCACTAATAGAAAATCAATCATTCAACATAAAATATTATTTTTTATATTATCAACACAATTTCTTATATCACACGGAAAAATCAATTCATCTAAAAACTCCAAGTGAATAGACCAATTCCTTTTTTTTTTCTTTTTAATATCTTCAAGAGCTAGAGGAGATCGATGAATGAACCTGTCCTCGATCATGTCGACTTGAGCGCGCGTGACTAAGAGTGTTGCACTCGCGATAGGGCCGAAGAACTTTGTGCATTCATTAGTGTCAAACTTCGGGCCTTTCGCCATCGTTTGGACGGCTTCTTGGAGCCGGTTGAGCTTCATCAAGGCCTCGGCTTTCAATGCGAAGATCTTCATCGTTGAAGAGATTGGTAAGTAAATCTTGTAGTTTCATGGAGATTTAAGTGTTATTCAAATCTATTAAAACACAATATAATATGTAATTAATGATGTTTTTTTGTATAAACTTAATTTTTATTTAAAATGATCATTTAACATTATATCAAAGCAAAAAGTCTGCTTTGTATACATGTTGAAAAGTTCATGTAAATTTTTAAATTAGAGGATCATTTAACAGAATCAAACAAAATGAAGATAACTTACCAACGGCGCAGAATCAGCGCCGGCAACTATAGAAAGCTCGGCTTCTTTCTCTAGTCCACGCCAATCGCCTCGCCTCTTTGCCTCTGTGCACTTGTTTAAATGAACTAGAACTTGCTTAGCCTTATCCATAGAATCCGGATCGGCTTCTTGTCCGGCCTGCTTGAAGTGATACGTCGCCCTTTCGGCTTCTCCTAACCTGTCGAAGACAACAATGACAGTCACAAAAAACACGGTACATAAGCTTCTTCACTTAATCGAATCAAATTTCAAGTCATTACCTCACCAAAAGAGTCGCAAGCCTATTATGCGCCCGTTGGTAAAATGGATCGATCCTTATGGCTTCCCGGCACTCGAACGCGGCTTCAAGAAGCCTCCCTAATGACGTTAGGGCGGCGCTCTTATTGCTCCGGTAACAGGCCTTATTCGGGTCGATAGAAATGGCTGTATCATACAATGCCAGGGCTTCGGCAAACTTGCCATTCTTGTAATCCTCATTGCCCAAAATTTTCAGGTGCTCGGGATCCATCCTCGTTGACAGGGCCCTGCAGAGGGAGCCTGTTTTGGCAGGATCTTGATCTTTCTTCATCGTCATCTCCAAATCGGGCCTGGTTCGTGGGACATTGTCCGAATCCATGGTGTTGCCATTTCCAGGCTGTTTAAGGTTCCCCAAATTTCCATGCAACATTACGTTTCCAGAAGAAGCTCTGACCATTCCGGCAGGCCCTTTCGATCTCTGATGATCGGCGATCATGCTGTCGAGCTCCCCCGACAATCCGAGACTCGCCTCGGGGTGTTTCCGGACGGCCTGTTGGGTTCCGGACCGGGGATTTTCGGGCCTGGATTTGTTCGAATGAGAAGGATGCAGGTGAGGGTGGTTGACAGGATCGGGCCTGGAATATTTCGGGCCTGGACGTTGCACGATCCTGTCAGGCTGTTTTTGATGGTTTTGGGGATTGTAGGAGCCCTGGAATTCACGATCCCTGTCAGAATTGGACACATCTGGAGAGGGGTTTCGATGGTCCTTCTTTTGGGAAGACGAGGAGTATTTTTTCGGGCATTTTTTGGTTCGACCTTTGAAAACTGCTGTTAACAGGCCACATCCTGGTTTTTTCTGATCAGGGGCAATGTTTCCCATAACAGAATTAATTAGTGGTAAGAAATCTTGAATTTAGTACGTGGAAACGAAAACCCTAATTTTCATTTTGTGAATGATCTTACGAGGATGCAACCTTGGAGAGGCCTGAATTTCATGTTCTCTCTTCCTTGGGTGGGTGGGGGAGGGGGGGGGGGGGGGGCGAAGAGATGATTGAGAAATCCTTTACTCCCCAAGAATGTAGGAAATAACTTTTCTTCTAATCGATTTTCTTTCATGTGAGAGGATTTAATTTTGGTGCTTTATTTTTTTTTTTTGGTTTATATTTAGGACAAGGGAGAGCTGATTGTTGTCTAGGCTGGTTGGCTCTCTAATTCCTTCCCTTTTTTGGTGGGATTCATTTCATTGTGCAATTAGGTTTCTTACCAACATATTTAACATAGAATTAGAAATGTAATCTTAATTCACAACATTATACCTAAATTGGGTAGATGATAACTTGAGTTCAAAAGATCCATCTGTCCTCTGCCTTTGGACAATCTTGATCATCTTCCAATTCTCACTCTCTCTTGGCAAGTAAATGTACCGTCTTCATCCTGTTGATGGCACTCGCCGGATCCAAGCTTTTCGGACATGTAGCCGTGCAATTTCGTATAGTCCTACATCGGTATAATTTTGTATCATCCTCCGTTATTGCTTGCAACCGCTCTTCGGTATAATCATCCCGACTGATCATACAACAAACTAGACTTAATTAATTTTTCTCTAGTCTTGAGCTCAAGCTAGAGTAAGAATACAAACTAGTCCAACTTTCAACTAAGAGGAACAAATAAATATACATAGTTAAAAAGTAATGCGAATTATAAATAGGTAATTCTACTAAGTCGAAGAAACTTTTGAGCTTAGTAGGTAAACTTATTTGCAAGGTTAGCTCATGCTCAACATCAATCACAAATTCAATATGTTCAAACTTGGAACTTAATTCATCACTATTGTATCATTGTATCCTATTCTCATCAATTAATCTAATGCAAAAAACATAACATAAATTGTCAATGAAATACTTACTGTATCTCATGTTTTCGAGTAATATTGAGAGCTAGAGTCAAGTTTTGGGCAATTTTGTTTGCAACTTAGCCTAGTGTCTTGATTGAAAATTAGTAGCAATATATATATATATATGACCTGTCGCTAATCCATCGATAAGCATGAAGAAGAGCCGCAGGGCCGAGAAACTCCTCAGGGTTCCACCAATAGGAAGGGCAAGAGGTGGTGCAACAAGCGCAAAGTATGCACTCATATAGCCCGTCAAGCCGCTTCCTTTCGGCTATGGTTTGCCTATATTCCCTCATGTCCGGCGAGGGCTTGCTCGTCTTGAGCCACGGCTCAATCGACCTACGGATCATTGCCATAAAAACAATCAAACAATTTGAGATCCACCAATATGAGAATTAACCAAAAGGTACCGATGGCTTCTTAATAACTATAGCAACAAAACGAATGGCAAATTGGATAGTTTGATCATATATGCATATTGATTGAATAAAGAAAACTTGGAACTCACTTGTATTGCTGGTAAAAATTGGAGAGATCGACAACTAAATCCTTAATCACATACATATGGGGCAGAGGTGTGATGATAGTAGCCTTGCTAGTGTCTGTATCAATCGGCTTGAGGCATGCGACTGTATTAGTGCCATCAATATTCATCGCGCATGATCCACAAATTCCTTCTCTACAAGATCTCCTATAGCTCAAGCTCGAATCATCTTCCGATTTTATTTTTTGTAATGCGTCGAGAACCTATGCAATTACTAGGCATAATTACTGTTGGAATATCGTTATGTTAGTTTGCAGTTCATAATTAGTGTTTTTGCTAATGTATTCATTCTTATGATCATTATGCACACAATCAATCAACATTTTTGCAAATGAATAAACCTAATTTAGACATGCTTTGAGTGATAAGTGCATAAATCATTCGAAATCAAATTTTCAAAAAAATAAAGGAAAATTGATCGACGGTAGAGATGAACTCCGTACCATAGGTCCACAGCGGGAGAGATCCACGAAGAAGGACTGAAGAAACGGCTTCGGACGGCGGCGATCGTCGGGGCTCCACCGGTAAATCCTGAACTCTTTCTTCAGCGACCTAACTCTTCCTTTCAGAGCCTCGTGAGATTCCACAGCTTGCTCGGCATGCTTCCGCGCGGCGGGGTGACCTTTCAGAGCGGGAAAATCCCTAATTTTCGGGATTATTTTGCCGCCAATTTCAGACACCTTACTTCCATATTTGTTCCTGAACCAGCTCCTCCACATTTTCCCCTACCTCAATTCGACCGATTTCAAAAAAGGTTCCCCGATTATCTTCGAATTTTTTGGGGGGATTTCACCGCCATGATGTAATCTGTCGTAGGAGAGGGACAGCTGGGCGGTTGCATGGCTAATACGTGTTATGATTTTGAAGGGTTCTGAGATATTTATAATTATAGCTACCATAAATGGGCCTGGGCCCAATAAATTTTATCTTCACGGGCTGTACATCGTTGGGCTTTATATTAATTTGGGCCATATGCAAATGCTTCATTTAATAATAATAATAATGATTTATTTTAAATATTTCAAAATAATTACTACTAGTGTTTAATTAATAATTAGAAATATTATTGGTGTTATCGTTATGATTAGTATTTAATTATGACAGCAGAAGATGAGTCATGTATGAAAAGAAAAGAAGGAATATTTAGAGAAGCAAGAAACCTAAGTGCTGTCTAATCACTTTTATCTGTTCATGTATGCATACAAAATATGTATCTACATATATAATACTCCTACTTAGTATTAATATTTTATTGTTTTTTGAGTGATGATAAATCCTTAAAATAATGGAGTCATAATTTGGGTTTGGGTTTGGGTTTGGTAAAGTTTGAGTTATATTAAATTTAATTAATCCAACATGTCTTTACTTCTACGGCATCCCTTGAGTCCATGTCACTGTTCTAAATAACCCACCTTTCAAATATCTATATCTATATCTATATATTATACATATATACGTTTTTTTCATTTTCATTTTACCTATTGTATTTAAGGAAAAAAAAAAATGTTTTCAAATCTATTTATTATAAAATCCATTGATCTCAATAAAGTTTTGTATATAAAATATGAGATCCAACAATTATTTTACATAATAAACATAAAAAAATACACACAAATAATAATATAGTTAAAAGGAATTATTACTAAATGAGCACACCCTAATATATCTACATCAATAATGTTTATATTACTTAAATTATCTTTTATAGTGTAACTATATAATACTAACTAATTAGAATTAATCAATGAAAACAATAATGTGATATATATTTATTTATCTATGTATTATAAATCATGCATAATTTATTTCAACTTTACGTTTTATTTTTTATAATGCATCTTACTCGAAATGCATTTAATACAAGTTTCTTTTTATATAATATGAAACGTTGGAAATTAGGATGTAAAAATCATATTATATCCTAAATTTTAGATGAGAATGATTTATCGACATAATGATATGTATTGTAATAAGTTAATTTAACCTCACAATGTAGAACCTCTTTTTCAATTACAAAAAACAATATTCAACGATTTGGAGATTATTTTAAGAATATAAAGTTAATGTCATGATAAACCATGAAAGGATTGAAATTTTTTCTTTTTCTTTTTTTTTTTTAAGGTTGTCCATTGAATTAGAATTAAGAATGTTTAAATAATTTGTTTATAGTAAGGACAATAAACTGATACATAGATGGATGTGTTTTTATCATTGGTTTAAAATTGTGTATTTCCTATTTATAAATAATGATAATTTTTTAGATAAGGTAATTGTTTTGACATAAAAAGACGAATAAACAATAATTAGCAAAATTGATTTGCAATTCTGTTTAAAATATCTATAAATAATTTTAAGTCATTATAATAATGTGAACTTCAATTCATATTTTTATTTAAAGAAATAGCGTGTTCCTTTTGTCCTTTTTCATTTGTTTTTAAATTAAAACGGAGTTATTTAAAAATGAATATCTTGTAAACTAGCATTTGTCACCTGCTTGTACAATCTTATAATAACATTTATCACTCAATAATCACTTAATGACACACCTAACATTTTTTAATTACACTTTTAAAAAAATGACTAGAAATAAATTAAAGATTCTTTTAATTCTGCCGGAGGATTTATCCAATGCGCACCTTTCGAGTAGTAACTGCGAATTTTCGTATCATAAAAATAAATTAATTTTATACTAGTTTAAAATTTTACGGAAAATAAATAATAATACGTTCGGTTACCGTACTGATTGACAAATGTTTATAAAAAAATTAGCATATATTAATATAATATCTAAAAAATATTCTAATAACAAATTATAGAATTATATGTAGCAAAATATAATTTTGATTTCACCGTCATGTTTATATGAGTCAATAAACAAATATTTATAAAAAAGTAGGACATATTAATATAATATATCAAATATTTTAATAATAAATTATACAATTGTATATAACACTATATATGAATTATTGCATGAAATATAACTAACACAACATATGTTATTTTTCTTGTGATAATTTGTTAATTATTTCAAATTAATACGTTAATTTAGTAATATGTTAGGTGGTGATAATTTATTAATTAGTTCAATTTAATTTGCTAATTTGATAAATCAACATGATGTTGATTTAATATAATATGATGCATTTTTTAGGTTTGTTAGTATTAACTAGTAAACAATGAATCTTAAGAGGTTGAAGATTGACAAATATTGTACCACTGCATTGTGTTGTATCTATTTGTCATTGATTTCTTGTGTCTGTGTTTTCTTTCAAATTTAATAAATTTATGTGATTCTGATTCGATCAAAATTCTCTAGCGAGATTAGACCGTATATAGTATAGGCGAGTGTTCTAATGTGACCGTTGAGAGTTTTGCAATATGTATTGGTGAGGATCGAGTATTTTCAATCGCTTATATGCATTAGGATTTTTTTTTTTTTATGACAAGTTTTAGGGTTTGTTTCGATTTTTTTATTTTTTTTGTGACATCGGTCTAGACAATCTTATTGAGACAAGTTTTGGGGTTTGTTTCATTTCTTGTGTTTCTTTTTGAATTTGATTCAATACAAATATTTTATATCTAATCTTTTTTGTTTCTTTAATTTCTTAGAATTTTACACCCTATAAACACATCTTTTTTTAATAATAATAATAACAATATAGAATGACCTTTTTGGTTCGACTGTTGCATCCAATTTTGGTGAATTGTTCAACCAATCCACCCATCATTTCGAGGGGTAAAATAGTCAATTAACTAAGATCACAGATAATTAATTAAAAGGCAGTTGTATTATCACTTTTAATTTATTCTAGCGGGGGGAGAACATTATATGTATACGTAAAGTTTAACTTAAACAGACAAGTATAAAAAATGGCCGGAAAATCTTTAATGAAAATAATAAATTACATATTTATTTATAATTCCAACTAATATTATTATATATGTATATATATATATTCGTCAAATATTTGAAAAAAGAAATCGATTTCAAAACTCAATCGACATTTAATAAATTATGACACAATATGATCATTTAAATGTCCAAAGTCCTCTGTGTGTGTATTTTTATGAATATTTTTTTTAATATCATAAATAAATATTAAATTGAGAATAATAATTTGGACAGACTTAAAATATATATATATATATATATTTGGCTAACGAATGATTAAAAAAATGATTTTTTATTTCTGGGAATTTCTACAGCTTTCGTATAGTTTGACTTGGTCAACACTGAGGGAAGTAATCATATGATGCAGGTGTTGTGCGCCCCGGGAATGCAATTCTTCTGCTCATTTAACAGAAAAAGAAACTGGCACAATTATTCTCCCAGCATGTTCCTAGTAAAAATTTAATACTCCATATAAATATGTACTATTTAATTTGACAATATACTACAAATATTTCTATTACTATTATAGAGGACAGTTACTTACAACAATCAAATAAACCCGACATATGCATATGGAATTGCTTCGAAATTTATTCAATTTTAATATTATATAAAATTAAAATTAAAACTAGTATACGTGTTTCTGTGTAAAGCAGTGGAAAACACATCCAAAAATACAATCGAGTGCACTTTTTATTATTATTCTTCTTTTTACAGGTTTAATTTTATGCCCATATAATTACAAATCTATTGTTTAAAATCTTTTTTATTATTGTATATGTAATGCAAAAAAAAATAAAAATCATGAAGAATATCTCCCATAATGATCATCCACTCCACGTAGCACAACTCCTGGATGATCCACACCATTGATCGACCTAGTGAATTCAACGGTCAAGATCATCTCTGGAGTCGAGATCCTGGGATTTCTTTTCGGTTTGACTTCTCTCTTAGAACACAGTTCCTCCTTTCATGGCTGCCCCCACCACTCCCGCTATATCCTTTTATTGCATAAAAGCATCGTCTCTGAACCCACGCTTCTCCTCTCTCTCTCTCTCTCTCTCTCTCTCTCTAGATTACGAACAGAATGAAAAATCAAGCTACTTCTCTGTCTCTCTCATGATGAAACCCTAATTCTGTACACAAACACATATATTAAAGAAGAAGAAGAAGAACAAGCAGGTTTTCTGAATTACTGAGAAATATTATATCCATATCCGATTGCTGGTTGATGTCTTTGCTGCTGATAAAGAAGAGTGGTGGAAGAATATCAGCTGTTTAATGGAAGCCGTGGGTCTCGTCTGAAAGCTCGAAGCTTTTTTAATCGGGAATTCTGTAAGAATAATTCAGTCTTGGTGTGAATTGCAAATATCTCTGTGTCTTCCATTATCACACGTTATTCCGATCCTTCTTTTTCAACCCTTTTTCTTCATTCATTACTTTTGTTTAATTTTCTGGTTTGATTCAAAATAATTTTACCTCTCCAGAAGCTGCAACTAATTGCTAAGAAAAAATGGACTCCGGCAACAGCGGCAGCCTCCAGTCCTCCAGCGGCGGCGGCGGCGACGAGGAGTTCGATTCACACGCCGCCGACTCCTTCATCATAACTTCCCACGCCGGCGGCCTCCCCATCTCGCCGCCGGCGTTCGATCCGATTTCCAGCTATATGCAGTTCGGCGGGCAAAACCCGAATCCATTATTCCTCAATCCAAACGTCATATGGAGCGGACCCGGACCCGTGAGATCCGACCCGATCCCGAGCGGTCCGCATGAATTCAATCACAACCTGTTGCAAACTGGGTCGCCCGTTTTCCAGCCACCGGCGACTACGATCGCGGCGGATGCTCCGGCGGCGCTGAACCCGCCGAGAAACCCGAGGAAGAGATCCAGAGCCTCCCGGCGGGCGCCGACCACCGTCCTGACGACTGACGCCAACAATTTCCGAGCTATGGTCCAGGAGTTCACCGGAATCCCGGCGCCGCCGTTCGCCAGTTCATCTCTGCCGAGAAATCGGTTCGATCTCTTCGGCTCGAGATCCGCCGCCGCGGAGCCGTCGTTCTTCCGCCGTCCCTTTCCACATAAACCCCAATCACCGCCGGCGCCACCGCCATTCTTCAATCTCCCAAACCCTATCCTCAATTCTCTTCTCCAATCGACCCCCAAATTCTTCCCTCCAAAACCAAACCTCCACGATTCCTTTGAAGTCCCTCCCGCCGGCGCCAAAATCGACTGCCTGGAAGACTTCTGCCTGTCCTCCGGCGGCCACACCGGCCTACCGAACCTCATTCCCGGCGATCAAATCGGCGCACATAAAAATCCCGATCATTCCGCGACCTGGAAGCACAATGACGACGTCGTCGTCAATGGCGGGTACAGCTTCCCGACCGGGAAATCAAACGTGGCAGCGTCGTCTTCGGCGGAGAAAGCGCCGGAAAACATTGGCGGGAGAGAAGGTATGATGGAATCATGGATATGTTCATCAGAGTAGGAAATGATTACGGCGGAGAAAGTGAAATTGAAGTAATGATTGAAAACAATGAATCAGGGTCTCCTCTCTGAAATTTAAATCTTCATCCTTAATTAATTTTAACCATCTTTCTCACAATTATGGTAATTAATTAACAAGTTAGTTAACTTCAATGTTATGTATTATTACCCCTTTATTTGTGTAGATATTTATAATAATAATACTAATTATTATTATTATTATTCCTCATCTTGCATGATCGATTGTTTTAGTATACATAAAAAAGAAAATTATTTACATGTTTAATTTATATGAACTTAAACTTTGTGTTACTATTTATTGTTACAAATAATTACATTCAAACTTGATTTGACATAGATATATATATATATATATTTATGCTGTTAGTATGTAGTATTATTCATCAAAAATACTATTTTAAATTTAAAATTAACGTGGAAATTATATTAAAGAAGACTTTTCTTTTTCTTTTTTTTTTTTTTCAATGTTCAACTATAAGATTCTTCTTTGAAATTATGTTTTCCTTTTTCCAAAAAATAATATATTGAAATTACTGTTTAAAATATTAAAAATAAATGACCAACAAAACACAATCTAAGTTATAATAAAACTATAAAAACAAGCAAATCGTTAAAATTGTAATAATTGGAGCCGTTTATATTTTATTTAAAAATGTATTAGAATAATTAAGTATTTAATTGATCGTATAAAATTAATCAAAGCTAGTAATATCTTATAAATTCATATTTTTTTCAAAACTCAATCAACATATAATTGTAATCCGAGCAATGGGCGGCGAGATTAAGGGAGTTGTTAGGCGCCGCGGCCACATGGCATCAAATACTATTATTTATTTATTTTAAATATAAAGGTACACCACCGAATAATCTTATTAGACATGTGTTTCGTAAATCAATTTTTTTTACCAATACAATTTTGGAAGTTTTAGTATATTTTTAAAGTATATATATCAAATATGTATTTTCTTTTATGAAATATTAAATTAAATATTTAGTTTTAAGTTTGTTTGATTTTGATTTTAATAGTGTAATGTTTTGCAAATAAATAAATAAAAATAGGAGTATAAATAATGTAAATTTGTATTTGAAACAAAATATTGAATAATAATCAAATAAATTTGAAGTTGAAAACCAAATAAAGTTTCATTAGAATAGTCACTCGGGCTTACTATAAATGGAATTCTTTCACATCAAATTTTGAATAATGGAAAATTTAATAAGGGTTATTTTTTTCGTATTAGGCTATTAATTTCTTTAATTAACATAGATTTAGGTATTCAATTTTGATACATTGGGATTGGACAAATGCAGCCTAACTTTTTATTAGTATTATTTTGAAGAGATAGAGATGCTTATGGGCACACACATGCATAGCCACAATATCTATATCTATACATACCTACATTACTTTATTTATACTCATTTAATTGAAAAATAAATAAATAAATAATTTTATACATCCCCGTATTTATGTAATTTGGTCAAAATCAAGTATACAATAAATTGTGCTATTTATTACTATAAATTGTACTAAAATCAATTATATATTGTATTGTATTTGAGAATGACAAGTAGACTTTATTAAAGAGCATATTCTGTTAATTATATATTACATATGTTATGATTTTATATTACATATATATTGAATTTAAAAAAAAAAAAAAACGATATTGATTTTTTTTTTTTTTTTCATTCAGCACAATAATGGGTTCTATAGCAATTTCAATAATATTACTTGGTTTATAATTAAAGGTGAAATTTGTGTTGTACTTCATTTTTATTTTTTCCAATATACAAGTGTACTTTAAAGAATTGATTCAAGAAATTTTCAGACATATTTGAAAATTTTATAGCATGTTTTTCTTTATATAAAAAAAACCATATAAGTGTGCATTTATATATTAAAAGATAAAACGACAAAAAGGCAAGGACAAAAAACAATGAAGTGAAAATTTAAATATGTTAATGGCAAAAGTGCAACTCCTTTACGCAGTTGTCTAATTATTGTTTTTCAAAAAAAAAATATATATATATATATATATTGAAGAGGTTATTTATTTTGTTGTATTTTTTAAATTTAAATATATTGCTATTATTTTTTTAAATTAATTTTATTTAATATTAAATCAAATATATATCATTCAAATTTGTATTGAAATATTTGGACATAATTTTAATAAATATATATAATAATTATATTTTTTACCATTTATAATAATAAAAAAATATGTATTAAAAAAATTAAAAAAAAATTATGACAATTCAAAAGAATAATAATAAACATAAATATAAATATAAATTAAATAGCACATTTTTATTTATAATATGTGTAGTCTTACCTAATTATCAAATTATCAGAACTTTTATTTTTATTTACTAAAATATCATCATATATGTATAATATATAAATTTAATTATACATTTTAGATTTTTCATCATACACAAACTCATTTGAGACTATTCAGCTGTCATGGAGAGAGTAAAGTAATTATATTTATATAATATTTATTTTTATTAATAATTGATACCCTTTTTTTTAATTAATGTTGCCGGAGATGTGGATATTAATATTTTCCAATATTTTAATTTATAAAAAAAGTATTATATGTATATTGATAAAATTATCATATTTCGAGATACATCCAAAGTTTGATTTGAAATTTGAAAGGAAAATAATAGCATAAAAAATAGTAATAACAGCTTTGTTGTATTATTTTTTAAAAATAAAAAATAAAAAAATGAGATGACATGATTGCAATTAGATTTGGGCAACTTTTTAAACCAGAAAGCAGATTGCTTTTCTTTGTCTTTTCTGCTCTTATCATTTTATTATTTTATTTGAAAGTATATAAAATAAAATCTTCAACATGTAATTAAAATATTTATTTTAAATAAATGGTATTGATTATTACAGTAATAGTGTTAGGGATATAATTAGATATACATATTATGGTACAGCCTATACAACAAGGTTAGGTGATATTTTTAAACCTAACATTAATTACTTAGGAGTGTAAATTACTCAATGGATTATTATGCTACACTATAAATAATTAAATAATACTTTAGTATATTTTTATACCTTTAATAAGGGTTTTTAACTTTTGATCTTTTTTTTTTTTTAAAAAAAAAAATGAAATAAAATTTACTGTACATTTTCAGAGTTCATTGTACAAGCAAATAATATATATATCATATTTAATAATTATTTAAGTAATAATATAAATTCCAAAAAAAAAAAACAGTACAAAGTGAATATTTCTATAATAAGGTAGACGAAATGAATTTAATATAAATTCGGATGTTTTTGTAACATATATTATTATGCACTTCAGATTTATTAAAATAGGATATAATTATGAATAATTTTTCTTATTAAAGTCATTTTTTCCCACAAAATAATGTATTGTGTAATTTGAATACAAATTTAATTAAAATATAATAAAGGATCATTAAATAGAAACACATAGTGAATAGTGTACGAATACATATGTACTAATTATAAAGGTCCTAAATTCGTGAAATTGAATGAATAAAATCAATAATGGAATAATACAGTATTTGATGAAATATATTATTTTATCTTGCCAAAAATTATATTAAAATAATATTTAAATAAAAATTCAAAGCAAAACACCGATTCAATCAAAACCAACCAAACAAAAAGCTAAACTTGTAAAGCAATTAATAAATTCGCCATTTAATTTAATTTACTTTAATTTTAACGAAGTAATTAATAAAGTCTTTTAAATACACCGTTTCAATTTTAAACACGCACTACATGTAATAAACACCATTGTAATATAAATTACCAGCAAATATGAATTACACATTATATAAATAATCATTTTTAATATTTCATTAATATATTTTTTCTAAAATAAATATCAAATTCAATAATTTTGTAAGCTTTAAAAAATAAATAAATAATGTCAAGGATGTTGGTTTGTTTTCACTACATAATGTCATTGAATGTTGATAATTCTCAGTCAATGGTATTACTACTATTAACAATATTCATATTTTTAAAAAAAATAAAATAATAAAATCATAATTACTCTTTTTTTAAGAAAAAGAAAACACTTTTGTAAAAAATTTCCCACCATTTCTATCCAAAAGTTTTGATTATTACATATGCATATATATATGGACAAATTTTATATAGACAAAAGGAACTAAAAAAATATTGGCAATATTTTACATAGCCCATCCAAACTTGTAAAAAAAATAATTTATCCATAATAATAATAAAAATAAAATATTTCAATTTAAAAATACGTATTTGTCGAAATGATCTCCATACTCGATTCGATACCAATATTATATGAACATTTATTTAATTTTATTTTTATTCGATTTTTTAAATAATGTATACATATAGAATTAGTTGACCTATTTATATGTATGTATGTGTATAGACATGTAGCATTAATAAATGCATGTCTGCAAAAGGAGAATTATCCCCTCATGGGGGGGCCTCTTAGATCACCAACGTGGCGGGGGCCACCCCTCATTAATTTCTTATGACTATTTTAATTTTTTTTATAATTAGAGTTATTAGTATTTCATTTTTTTTATAAATATTGATTAAATTTAATAGTTTAGATAAGTTATCCTATTATTTTCCTCTACAATAAGTACCGAAGGAATATAAAAAATTAAACTAATAGATTATATTAATTTACAATGTAATTAATTATATTTATTTGAGTCTTACGTCATTGTCAGGTCAGGCTTACCTACTACGTCTATAGGCCCAAGATCTACCCTGGGAGGCCCAATTTAGACAGGATGGGCCACGTGTCACCTTAGAGCGAGACTATTGGGCCCACAAGCCCAATCCAGCTGCCGGTTGTACGTAAAGTGTAGATTGACGGCCGACACAAGCAAGCTTTTGCTTTGTCTTTAATTTGGAGTGCATTTTTATTTTATTTTATTTCTTTCTTTTAGTTATAGTTCTAATTCAATATAACTTTTTAATAATGTTTGAATTTAAGTATATATATATATTTATAATACATTCACAATTAAATAAACTTGTGTAAAAAATTATTTATTCTACCTACAAAATTTTGACCAGAATATTTAAAAACAAAAGGACAGGTGGATATGCTTCTTTTGTGCCCAACAATGTTTTTGTTTTAATTATGTTTATGAAAACAAATGTTTTTTAATAGTGTCTAATATATTCATGCACAATATTTTATTCTATTTACAAGATGAATATTGAATATAATACTAAAAAATAATTCTATTTTATTATAAAAATATTTAATCTAAAAATAAGATCAAAGCCCTTTAAAAAAAATTACCCCCTAACTAGTATTCTAATCCAATTACCTGTCCTCCACGCATTAATGTCCAAACTTAATTATCTATCAAAATCCAATCAATCAATTTAAATTAATTATATAAAAGTAATGCAATTTGCATATAATTATGATTTGAGATTTGATGTGAACTTCCACCTGACCCAATAATTATAAAAAATAAAAATAAAAACTAAATATCTAAATAAATAATCTTATAATTATTCAAATTTATTGGGCTTAGATTCAACTGGGCCTATTGGGCTAAAGGATAACAGTTACAATTGAGATTTGAATGTAAGCCCGTAGCATAAGCCCAATAAATTACTATTGAAATTGGATCAAAATGGTCATTTTTTAAATCCAATCAAAGTCAAATGAAATTACTCCCAAATGACGTGAAATTTTTCCTAAATTCAACTCCTGACAGCGGTAATCTTGGAGGCATATAAATAGAAATTCCCACGAATTCCCTCAGATCAGTCCGTACTGTTTAGTCAGACATTCACACCCTATGAGTTATCACTTTCCTATTGCTTACCTTCCAAGCAAAGTCGACCTGCTGGATTCCCCGCCGCCGGCGCCGCCGCCGGAGATGAATCTATAGCAACGGCAGTAGTACTTTTGATTCGAAGTTCGATCGAAGGATCTGGAAGCGATGGGGTCAGAGACGGTTACTCTGGTCCTGGTCAATCTGGCCGCGATAATGGAGCAAGCCGACGAATCTCTGCTGCCGGGGGTTTACAAGGAGGTCGGCGCCGCGCTGCACGTCGATCCGACGCGGCTCGGCTCGCTGACGCTGTTCAGATCGATTGTGCAGTCGTCGTGCTACCCGCTCGCGGCGTACCTCGCCGTCCGGCATAACCGTGCGCACGTCATCGCCGTCGGAGCGTTCCTGTGGGCCGCTGCTACTTTTCTTGTCGCAATCTCGTCTACTTTCGCTGAGGTTATCGTCTGGATTATTTTTTTATTATTATCCTTATTTTATTGTGGATTGTGTAATTATCTGATTGGGAATGCGATAGAGATTCCGAATTTTACTCTGTTCTAACATTAGCTGTCACCTAAAAGGGTAATATGACTATAACTTTTGTCTTTCAAGCGTTTATGGCAAATATTTTGTGGCCAGAAGAATCACTTAGATTGTTATCTTCACCATGGTTTTTAATAATGTGCTCTGCAAAACATCACCAAAAATGATGAAAAGTACTGGTGTAAAGCATCCTTTACAAATTACAATCAGTAGTTACTGTTTTTACATTTTACAGTACAAGTGAGCCATTTCTTTATTTTACAGCCTCCTCTGCTGTATTTGGAGTTTTGGATTTGGGATGTGTTTATATGAGTTCTTGTATTGAGCTGCATCCTCATCCCAATTGCGGTATTTTGCCATTCAATAGGTGGCCATATCAAGAGGCTTAAATGGGATCGGTCTGGCTATAGTGACGCCATCAATCCAATCCCTTGTTGCAGATTCAACTGATGACACCAATCGCGGGACTGCCTTTGGATGGTTACAGCTGACAGGAAGGTTAGGTTCGATCATCGGTGGTCTAATCTCCGTCCTGATAGCCTCCTCAACATTCATGGGGATTCCTGGCTGGAGAATTGCTTTCCACATAGTTGGCCTCATAAGCATTGTCATCGGCATTCTAGTCCGCCTCTTGGCAAACGATCCCCGATTCTCTGATATAGATGGCAAGCCAAAGGCTCGATCTCCTCCAAAACCTTTTTCCGAAGAAGTGAAGGACCTGATTAAGGAAGCCAAATCAGTTATCAAGGTCCCGTCATTTCAAATCCTTGTTTGGCAGGGTGTATTCGGATCGTTCCCCTGGTCGTCATTATCATTCGCCCCAATGTGGTTGGAGCTTATGGGCTTCTCCCACAAGACAACAGCAACCATATGGACTCTGTTCAATGTTGCTGGATCATTGGGAGGTTTGTTTGGCGGGAAGATGGGCGATATTCTTGCAAAACGTTTGCCAAACACCGGAAGGATCATTCTCTCACAAATAAGCTCGGGCTCTGCTATCCCTCTAGTAGCCATTTTGATGTTGGGGCTGCCCGACGATCCTTCTGCCGCAGTGATGCATGGCTTCATGTTCTTTATTACTGGGCTCTTTATTTCTTGGAATGCTCCGGCAACTAATAAGTAAGTATCTTAACCTATTTTACTTCTGCTTAATAGATGCGTAACGAATTACAGCGATTTTGGATCATCTTTTGCTTGCTGATAGTTTCTGCATTTTGCTCTTGCTCATTCTATTAATGTAGCTTAACAGTTTGGTTTGATCATATCCTTTCGATCGCATGTTGCAAATCTTTTATACTTTTAAATAAAATTAGAGAATAAGCTGCTGCTGCTGCTGCTAATGTTTCTGCTTATTGATCTTTCCTTTGACTAATGGTAATATGGGATTTGTTTACTACGCATTTTCTGTTTGTTGAGATATTTTAGATTTAGATTTGGTTTTATTCATAAATTATTATTTAGATTTGAATCTGTTTTATGTTGTCTATATAGCTACTTATTTTTATGATCAAATAATGCAATTTTCCAATTTCTGTAAAATATTTTTACACTATTTTAATTTCGGCAGTCCAATATTTGCTGAAATAGTTCCTGAAAGAGCTCGAACCAGCATATATGCACTGGACCGATCCTTCGAATCAGTACTGTCTTCATTTGCTCCGCCAGTTGTGGGAATTTTAGCTCAGAATGTTTACGGATACAAGCCTCCCCCGAAGGGATTGTCGACAGACTCAAAAGTGATCGAAACTGACCGGGAAAATGCAGCATCGCTGGGGAAAGCACTCTACACTGCCATAAGCATCCCTATGGTGATTTGCTGTGTGTTCTACTCCTTCCTCTATTGCACATATCCAAGGGACAGAGATCGCGCGAAAATGGATGCTTTGATCGAGTCTGAAATGCAGCAGTTGGAGACAGAGAATTTTGTCGAAGAAGAACACACAGGCTCGGGACAGAATCAGCTGCTCGAAAATGACAGAAGCGTGATTGATATCGATTATGAAAAGGATGAGAGTGTTGATTTTGATGAAAATGATGAACAGAGGCTGCTTCAACACGAACAATCGCATTCGGACACAAACAGGTCGTGACACGATCCCGGGTTCGCCTTGCAACGCATCTGTTAAGGTACGTACTATATATATATATATATATTACATACATGTGTATATATTTCTTGCAGAGTTTTCACAATGTCCAGATTTGATGATTTTTTGAGCTTCAAATGCAGATATGTTGAATGTTTGTGAGGCAGGAAACTTCATTGAGGTAAGTGCAGAAATCATGTAAGAACACTTTTTATATGTTTCTTCCCTGATTGTAAATTTGTTAGAAATAGAAAGATATGAAAATTTTGTGTGTAATTTGTACTTGATTTTATTGTTTGTGTTTCCACTCATGTTATGATAAAGCCCGTTCAGTTTTTTTGAAAAATTTCTGAAATAATAAAGAATCAATTGTTTAAGGAGAAAAAGACAATTCTATCAAAGGTTGGTAGTGTTTATTTGCTACATTTTAAATTATTTAAATAGGATATTTTGTTAAGTATATTTTATGAAGATTTATGAACGTGATGCACTTTTATTGTATTGAGTAGAATTAGCAATTAAATAGGAGGTTCGCGTGCTTTTTAATATATGCATATGCATATGCATATGATTTTGATTTTTTGGTTATTATTATTATTGTTGTTTTTTTACTCGTAATATAAATTCATTAAGATATATGTATATAATCGAAATGAAATTTTAAAAATCAAGTAAGAATTTATTATTTTAAAAGAGTATAAGTATAAGATAAAAACAGTAAAAAGTATTTGAGAGTGGTGGTACTTTTCGGATGTATTTGTTTGTGAGTTTTGAGTAATATAAATGGATTATGAATTGATGTTTTAATTATTGATACAAGTAAATAATAAAATTATGAAAATGTACAAAGAACTAGAGCTTGATTTAAAAATATCTGGTGATAAAAAAATAAAAAATAAATACAAATATAATTTACATGCTGACAATCGAATACTTTGACCCATATGAAAAGTCCACAAAATCAACGATTTAAAAGAATGAATTTCATAATACAAGTTGAGATTATTTTTAGTTAGTGGTATGAAAGCCTCAAAACCTCCATCTTGCTTAAAATCTCTCTCAATATATATAGTAATTTCAATTGTCAAAAACCCACATTTAGTTATGGATTATAACAATAACAGTATACTCTAACCTAGTAAAGATTTAATTCAAAACTATCCCTCCTAAATCAAAATCAAGAAATTTAGTAAGTAAATCAGTTACACTAAATATTATCTCATTAATTACTCTGTAATTACTAATTATCCCCAACTGTCAACAAACAAACAAACAAACAATCCCCTTTCTATATAATTAAATTAAATAAATACATTAGAAATTATTATATTATTAATTAGACCCTAAAACATCCCCACACATACTTCCAAAGAAACCGCGTGGACTACAATGCACACTTCTTGGCCACTCCATGGACCTCAACTCCTGAACCCAACCTCACCATTCATGTATTCCTTCTGGACTTGGAATCCATGGACTGCTACTTAATACCACCCCCTCCCCCCCACCCCGTCCATGTGAGACTATTCATTACAAAGTCTTCCACTTCCCCTCACTCACTCAAATCCGAATCCCCATTTTCACACACCAATCCATTCTACTAACCTCTGCAATAAATCCCCCATTTATATTTATTCCCTTCTCAAATTCAGATCCAATCAAGAATATATACACATAGTTTCAATACACATATTTGAGAGTAGCCGTTGTTTCACAAACATGGCTCCACTCCATTTGCACCTCCACAAGGTACTTCTCTTTCTCCTCATCCTCACTTCAACTCTCATTTCTGCCCACAACCCTTCCCCCAAATCAAAATTCTTGTTACAGTCCCAACAAGATGATGATAATGATGAACACCAAACACAAGATCAAGATCAAGATCAAGAACACCCACTACCATCCATCAAGAAAAAACCCATATCCAAGAACCTCACCAACCCCATCAAACCCACCTCCAATTCTGATTCCAATCCCAAACCCACTAAACTTTCTCCCAAGAAACTCAATTCCACCTCCAATTCTAATTCCAATCTCAAACCCACTAAACCATCTCCCAAGAAACTCAATTCCACCTCCAATGGTGTCTCCTTAAACCCACCAAAATTATCCTCTCCCAAAAACAAAACCACTACAAAGAAAGAAAGCAAAGCCCAATTACAAAGCGAGCCCAACAAACCCAAATCCACTCCGGCCCAACAAAGGCCCAATTCGCCCGCCACCGGCGGCGACGACGAATACGACGTCGTTTCCGATTTCCGGAACCTTCCGGTGAAATTCCAGGAATCATTCTTACCAGACTTGGAGAAGATCACCAAATCCTCCAAAACCTACATCGCCAGATACAACAAGGAGTTCGCCAAGGGATTCAAACCCTACGTCGGCGGAAAATACGCTCCGGCGGCCGCCTCCGCCGTGTCCCTGGCGTTCGTCGTCTTCCCCCTAATCCTCGTCTCCCTCATCTTCAATCGAATCAAGGCCTATTTCTCCCTCCAGCGCCTGCTGATCTTCATCCAGATCTACCTCGCCATCTACTTCGCCACTCTCTGCCTGTCCTCCGTCGCCACCGGACTCGAGCCGCTCCGGTTCTTCTACGCCGCCGCAAAGTCCACCTACGTCGCCGTCCAGGTGGTCCAAACCCTAGCTTACGTGTTGTACCTCCTGCTGCTGCTGATGTACCTCGTCCTCGTGTTTTCTACGGAGACCCCTCTGGCGACGAAGCTATTGGGCCTGGCCCAAACCTTAACGGGCTTATTAGTGGGCCTACATTATTATATGACGGTATTTCATAGGGCCGTGCTACGTCAGCCGCCCAAGATAAGCTGGAAAGCCCATGGCCTTTATGCCACGTGCTTCTTTCTGATTTGTCTGTTAGCGAGAGTTGTTGACAGGAGGAAGAAGAGTTATTATTTGGAGGATGGAGGGGAAGAGGGTAAACAAAGTTAGTTAATTCTTTTTCTTTTTCTTCTTTTTTTTTTTGTTTAAAATTTATATTTTTAATGTAATTTTCTAAAAGAGGCGTGACATTAAAAATAATAAAATGAAACGAATGTTCTTCTGGTTTTATTTTACACAAAGATGTATGGGTTGGACTATTGTAACAAAAACAACCAAAAAATCAAAATTGAAGAAATTGCATTGTGTAGTGTGCTACTTATATTTAAAAATGTTACATAAAATATTATTTTTATTTAAGATATTGTATCAAAATTTCAAAATTTATATTTTAAAATATTAAACTAAATATTATTCATTTTAATTCTAATTTTTATTATTTATAAAAAGAATACAAAACATAACAATCTTGACTGTAAAGTCAATAATTGCATAATATATAATACAACTAATCTCAACATGCAAATACATGTAAGAAAAATATATATATATATAGATAATAATCTACATAATACATATTGTATTAATTCAAGCTATGTGCAGACAATTTATATTTTATATGTTAGATTAGAGATAATCAATGACATAGGTAAATTATATAATACTCTTGTAGCTTGATTAGATAGAAGTACGCACAAAATATCATTTTTGAAAATTTTTTGCATGTTTTATTCTAAACAACCAACTGCATACTACCAAAAACAAAAAATTAAATTAAAATCATCACAGATGCAGCCTCAAATTGAAATATTTGTAAACAAGTGAGCCACACTATATATCTAATCCAAATAAATTTGCAAGAACAAAGTCACCAAACAACTACTTCGGTGGCAGATATTAATGCTTTTCTTATTTCAACCTAAGTTTAGGCAATAAATAATACTCTCATTAAATTGATCATCAAAAGGCTATTGTTGTTTTAGGTCAAATATCTACATGTCTTTGTCACAGCTACATCTATACACACTACATACATAAACACATACATGTGTGTGTGTATATATATGTATGTATGTATAACTCCCATATGTGTAATGTACATTCCTCAAAATTTTCCTGCAGAAAGCAGGGCATTTAAAACGTCGACTCAGTATAGCACAAGATGTAACAACACAAATTACTCTAGACTACCTTCTGTAGATGTCTTATTCCGACAGATCATTATTGTCGAAGAGGTTCAGACAATAGAGCAGATTACGTGCTTACCTTCATTGCTGCTGCATTGCCTGAGTTAGCAAGTCTTCCCTAGTTAACTGAAAAATCACCATTACAATACCTGCAGAATTTAAGATTATGGAGAATGGTAAGAATTTCTGAGGCAAGTCATGATAGAAAGGGATAAGAACATAATCTATAACTCGATAAGCCTTAGCAAACTATGGCTGCCGAGCCATAAGAAGCTTCTATGTGATCCTAAGAAGTGAACAAAAGAGTAAAGGGTAGTCGGACTACCTTTCGCTAAACTTCTCGATGGCTTCAGATGCAAAAAGAAGAGTTTCGCTGGCTTTCTCAAGAACCATGTAAAGTTCCTTTCCTCTGGCTAACCGGGCTATTACCCAAGCATTGTTTTTTGCTCGAATGCATACTTCAAGATCCTTTTCAGAATTTTCAGATTTAGATCTATTCTTTTCCAAGTCAACCTCCTCCCGAAGTTTACACAATGCAACCAAGGAGTCCTGAAGGACACAATCACAGAAGTGATCAAAATCAAGCTTATAGTTGTTAAAACAAGAAATTCGATGCAATCTGTATACCAAGAGAACATGTGCAAGAATAGAGCCACAACAAATAGGAGACATAACTATATTAAATGATCACTGCACCTAAAAGTTTAAACTAATGTATCATTCTATCCTATATCATATTCAATTCCTACCAAAAATCGTCTCATTCGCATATACCACTCTAATACTATGGGTGTGTTTACTTATGAGGTTTTACTACCGATTTTACTATTACTTCATTTTCCCTCCAAAAATATCAAATCAAACACTCAATTTTTATATATTTTATTACACTAAAATCTAATTTTACATTCAAAACATCACATAACACATATTTATATCACATCAAAACAACTATTTCAATTCAAAATCAAAACCCAACACTAAAACCTCACAAGTAAACACACTCTATGTTACTAAAAGAGTTAGCTATTACACAAGTACATACTTCTATGTGTATTTACATTTAACTTCTTCAACAAAGACTATACAAATGGCATTTGAAGGACTGTGTCATTAATCCCAATCTTCCACGGGTAAAGAAGATACACATCTGATTAACCAGGCAACTAGGCAAGTATCTTAAGCCGCATATGTGAAGACATAGAGGATCATAATTATACTAGAAGCTGGGAAGAAACAGCAATCATTACAGAAGGAAGTTTGGAAAAAAACCAACCTTGGTTAAAGTTGTTACTTTTCCCGGAGGAGAGGCTCTAGAAGTGTATATATCACCATCTACAAGCAAATAGCGGTATCCACCCACATGATATGCATTTTCACCACCCCAACCTCTTGATAACTTATCTTCAACTTTGGATGCCTTTTTTGATACCTGGGAAATCAGAAAATTGCAATGATCTAAGACATAATCACTGAGACCAGTAAAAGATACTAAACTGTTATAATTTCACTTTCTAAACAAGAATGATCTTCTACTATATCCATGACCATTTATTTCATCAAAAAATGTAAATAGTAATTTGAAAAAAGAATTATTGGGCAAATCACAAGAAATAACAAAGAGAATGAAAATCACAGAACAAACTAAATTAAACTAACATTTTCAAGAATTTGTTGCTTCACCAAAGCAACTCCCTGCTCCTCATCAACAGATGATACTGGAATAAGAAGTATAATAGTGAGCCCACGATGTTGATAAGGCAATAGATACATCTGCTCCTCCTTTTGATGAAGCCAAATTGTTGGGGTTTTAGGAACTAAACTATTGACATCAGCACCCCAAATGTCAGTCCCAAGAAAACCATCCTTTGCCTTGGACCATTTGGAATTTTGTAAGGGCCTAACAACAAGATTCCCAGCTGGGGCTGTATCACTAGAATTGTGGTATAATTCTCCAATAGAACTCGAATTCGCCAGTACAGCACCTGTAGAAGTATTGCAAGTGGTGTTCGCCTTGTGTGTATAGGACCAAGAACTTGCTCCCGAGGACAGTGCATAGGGAGTTAACCTTAACACAGCATAAGTAAATAGGCCCACAGTATCAGTCTGAAAAAGAGAAATGATGATTAATTATTGCTATAAAGTTTCTCTGCATAGAAACAGTTTCCATGTCAGTGATGTAGAAACATGATTGAGGATAACTTTTCCTGTTTCTCTCTTAGTCTCGTATCTCTATGGGACAAGAAAGATGAGAAATGGAAGTATAAACGAGCAAAAGACAAAATCATACAGGAGAAAGATTTGTGGTGACTAGTAGATCCTGGAACATCGTCATTGAATAGCATTGTGTGCTTCCAGCGCATGATTCGAGCATTCTAACAAGTGACTGGCAGAAATCAGATGTTAGATGGCATGTTCCACACTAAATATATAGTATCATAGAAGTACGGAATCTAAAAGTAGAAACTCTGAATCATAAAACCCAATTTTCAAATTATGTCTGATGGATCGGAAGGGTCTAAATATCCCAAAACATAAAACCCAACCAAGAAATATGATGCCCATCTTAGTGTCTGTGAAAGAGAAATGGTTATTCATTTTCTGCAAGAGTAGTGATTAGTGTCTGTGACTATTGAATAGTTTAAAACAATGATGAAATCTGGAATAAGGACTCCAAACGGATGACTTGGACATTGAGAAAGTGTGAATGATTTGTAAATGTGTTAGTTGAATCACTCCGTTTAAGGAAATGGATGTTATTAATCATATTTTTAGTCTAAGATTCCTATTTAATCATAATGAAGAAATGGTTATACAAATAAATTTTCAAAATTGAGCAAATTCCAGCAGCTACATTTTGACAGTTTCTACTACTTGAAGTATGATTTTTCTCAACATGAAGTCCCTTGAGGTCACTTAATGATTTGCCACCCAATATCTCCAACATGTGTTTTTCGGTTCAAATCCATTGGGATGAGGTTATGAGAATCCCAAGCAAATGTCTGGTCCATAACTGTATAAAACTGTTTCTTGTCATGAACACTTATCCTCAGAGAAGTTGCAATTGCAAGTTAGCTAATGTGATGCATCAGAAGGGTCTGGAGTGCTCACTGAAGTGAAGATTTCTACCATCCTTATCCTAAGTTACAGAGAGAATACCCAATGATTTTAATTAACCCAAAGGAAGTATATACAAGAAAAGTCTGTGTGTAACTTCATTTATCTCATCTTGTCGACAGAATACATTAAAATTTTCCTCATTTACAAGCAAATCTAATAATACACAAGGACTAACCTGAACTTCAATAGCAGCTTCCCGTCCTACAGTTAACATCTGTACAGTTCCTCGTTCTTTTAGAGAGTCACGGAAATTCGGCAACTGAAGCTTCTTTCCAATAAAAAGATCTGCTCCAAACAGAAAATGCAAGGTGTGAAAATATCAACTTCAGATTGCTCCAAGTGCACAAATGAAATGGGGATCATTTGATGCGGCAACTTCAGCATTACCCCAGCAGCAAAAGTCCAGAGACGGCTTTTCAAATGCTGACAATTAGTGGCTTAAGTTGGAACATTTTAAACAATCACAACAATTCAAAATTCAAGATTCATCAGTGTAAAGCTTAAAGACCATATGCACATTACTTACTGCTTAAAAAATCCATGATGAAATAATATAAATGACTTCGCACAAGTCCACCAGTGGGTTCTTTATCAAGAAAATCCCTAATTGGTCCGTGAAACATCACAAAAAGGGAATGGATTTCTTTAAGAACTCTCTTTAAAGCATCGAAGCGCCAAATGGATTCTGATTCTTTGTTCTTTTCAATCACCTACAGAGGGTAAATGACACAACAAGACGCGTTAGGGAGCTGCAAAATGGTACACCTAAGTTTTAATTATCACTAGTCGACTTCAGTTTTTTACCTCAAAAAGTTAATTTATGCATTTCTGTTGAACTAAAATGCTCAAACAGCATTTCAAGTAACTATTCAAATATGAGCAGAACAACCATCCTACTATTTTGTAATGATACGACAAACGAAGAAAACATATTAAAGAAAATGAAAATCAAAAGCAAACAGAGCCCTGGATCAGCATCCAGTCTTTCTAATCCTAGCTGTGATTTTCTATAAATGAGGATAGTATAGCCATCTTTCCAAGTTCAGAACATCACAAAGAGAGCGAAAAGGTGCATAACATGGCAAATTCCAACCTAAACTCATAATGCATGTAATCAATCACTGAAAAACAAAACTATAAAATCAAAGATCATATAGATGAAACATGTAAACAATATTACTCCTAGATTTATTCAGTACAGTGTCAAAAACGAAATATGCTCATCATTTGAAGATAGTAGAAGTTATTATGCAGAATAAAAAACACACCATGACCATCCACAAGTCAGGTTCTGCTTCATAAAATACATGAGAATGCATCTCTGCTTCAATAACCTCACAAGCAGCATCTGGGGAGAAAATTCTGCAGACCACAAAAAAGCCACATCCTAATCATTTTTCAGGCTCCTATACAACACTCCACAACATGTTAACATATATACAGCCTAATCAAATAATCTGTTATGTATAATCATATAACTTTAACACGTTGTCAACATCTAGGAGATGGAAGTAGATAAGTGGAGGCATATATATTCATAATTTTATCTTAAATAACCAAAACTTAGAACCCAACATGCAAAGGCAGATGCATGCTGCCTGCTAGTGCTTATATCGGAAATCACATTTCACTATATTTCTGACCGGGGACAGGGGATACGAGTAACCAAAAGTATAGCAATACTGGTCAGTCCATTCACGCAAACTCGACCACTGTTCTACAACTAAATTCAGTTTTAGTCCCACAATAAGAAGTTGCTCATAATAATAGAGCAGGATTTAAATTTTTAATTCCACAATCTTTTATGCCATTAAGATTGACGGGAAAACGTAGAGTGGCACAATGTCCTTTCCCGTAAGTCTAAATGCTACTTAAATTCCCTGTGAATTTCAACTACTGCCAAAATTATGAGCTTTACTAATATTTGTCTAATATGGCATCAACTTATTGTAAAACTGAATGTTTTCTTGTGGGACTAAAGTCTAAAAGTGCAACTTTTCCTACAGACTTTAAGAAGGAAGCTTATAGATTAAATATTGACAAATTGTCAGAGTGTTTAATAATCAACCTAGTAAAAGTGATGAGTCCTTCACTGAGACCGATGACAGAGAGCTGCACTGTAAGGGGCAAATCAGCAGGATAGAAGAACAGTATCTTGTCCAGCTCCTGCCCTTCGGTTTGTCCCCTCCTTAAATCAAATACACATAACTTCATTGCTTCATTGGTTGTGCTCCCAGATGTCAATCCCATTTAAGGCTGGCTTTCTACCACATTTACAGACAAAACCATTTCTCATCAGCTAAAATACTTAAAAACAACAACAATAATAACAATCACATTCTTAACCAGTAAAAAGGAATCCTCTTAAGCAATAGGATTTTAGACTTTACACATAAATTGCAACAGGCAAATCACGGTCTTTATCCTAACAACGACATAACATTCCGAATTTTGCATTAATAAATAAATTGCTCTTACCACAAGAAACCTAACAGTATCAGCGTAAATTAACAATTCCGGGAGATGTCCACAATAACGGCGATGGACCTTCTACTAGATTGCCTATAAAACAGCTGGATCGACAATTTCGCTGCAATTATAAAAAATTCGAAACTAAATCAAAATAATCGAGAGAGCTCAACCCGATCATATGTTCAGGATCAAAAACCAGGAAATAAAAGGGAAACCAAAATCACTGGAGAATAAACCATACTTGTATTAGATCGAGCCAGCTGCAGATTTGATCCCTTTGCGAACGTCAACCAGAGCCGATCGAATTTGGCATGTTAATCGAAGTGTCAAATGAAGTGAAAGTTCTTAACCCTATTATGTCAACGTTCCTCAAAACTTTTTACATCAAATTTTATAACTAATATTACTCGGGGCAGATTAATTACCACTAAATCTGTGATTCTCTTCTGTTTTTTTTCTTTTTTTTTTTTTCTGCTTATTTTATGCTCCCATAATATTAAATCTTTTCCATTTTTATAGGTTAAAATTTATTACATCAAAATTAAATAAATATAAATAACTTAATTAATTATATAATATTATAAATTATTTAGATTCACTTAAAAAAATTTATTGTTATCTATCATAAAAAAATAAATAAATATTTATATTTATATTTATACTCCATTTAAAATTAAACTATTTTATAAAATTAGTTTATAAAAATTATAATTTATAAATAAATAAAGTATTGTATAAATCATTGTATATAAAATAATATATATTGCATATAATTTTTTATTACGAAATTATTTTTAAAATATTTAAATAAATATTATAAATTTTTAATTATATTTAAATTTTATTTTATATATTACAAATAAAATAATACTTATTTCATTTATTTATTTATTATTAAAATAACTAATTTTATAGAAGATAAAAAATTTTAAATGTAAACAAAAGTATTTATTTATTAAAAAGACATATAAAAATAAAAAAATTGAATAAGTGTTATTATGATTTATAATGTTATAATTTATAAAATAAAATAAAATAATTTGTATTTATTAATGATATTTTGAATTAATAAATTTTATCAAATATAAAAAATATCACTTATTATGAAATAGTCTAAAAAATATCTATATAATCTAAAAAATATCACTTATTATGAAATAGTCTAAAAAATATCTATATAATCTATTATTAGACAAATATATTAAATTATTTATTATTATTATCTCATTAGTCTACTAAGATGCAAGTGCATTGTAGCTTAATTAATGAGGGCAGCAACTTTCAACCACCCTATAAATGAATTACTAATTATATTAAACTCTAGATGGATTAATTTATATCTTAGACATTTTAAAAATTTCACTATATTATTATTATTATTATTTGTTAAATTTTGAAATTTAATGAAATGTTTTTTTTTTTTTCTGCTACAATGACATTTTTTCTTTTTTTTTGTTCTTTATAAAAAAATGACTCATTTTTATTTTAATCAAATTTATTCGTTTTAAATATACTTAGCAAATATTAATTAATTTAATTGATTTTTTTAACTTCCTTTATTTTTATCTTTGGTCCGTAAATAAATATTTTTACTCATATTTAAAAGTGATCATTTTATAAAATTAATTATAAATATATATATTTTATTCTATTATATAAAATTTTATTATTTAAAAAAATATTCATAATACGTAAATACAATTTTAAAAACATTTATAATACCAATAACTTTGTATAAAAAATAATAAAATAATATTATAACTGATTATTAATAATATAACCACTTAAAATATAACAAAATTATTATCTCTTGTGCCGACAGAAAGTGTACAAAATTCAGAGACTAGTAGCTATAGTTCTATTTATATACATATTTTTTTAAAAAAAAAAAAATTTACATTAAATATTTATTTTTATAATAAATATTCAATATAAAAATACATTTGTTTTATTTGTTTTTTAATAAATAAAGCCTATATTTTGATCTGTAATAGTAACTTTTTTATATAAAATATCTAGATTCAAAAGGTACAAACAATTTTATTTTTTTTAATAAAACCAAATTTCAAAATAACTATGGCCACGGTTGCTTAATTAATGAAAGGAAAAAAGTTTCAACTACCTTATAAATGAAGCACTGATTAAATAAAAATTGGATGGATTTATTATAAATATATTGAGAAAATTTGTCTATTTTTAAATTTTTAGTGAAAAATTAAATGTAAAATTATAAGCCAGTATTTATATATATAAAAACTTATTAAATTCCTTATAATTGCGCAAAATTCAGCGGTTAAGCTATAAAGGGAAATCAATTAAGAAATAAATAGAAGAATTTAAATAATAATAATTATTAGTAGTATAATAACTATTTAGTGAAACAAATATATTCATACAAGTGTCGTGTTTTTTTTTTATCCGCATTAAACTCCTAACTAAATATCAGTAAATTGTTCAACCCAAAGTTTTGACATGCTGTAGCCGGTGTTCATACACCAAAGAATAACAGCCGTTGGATTGAATCCCCTACTCCGATCAAAGTACAGATTTGATCAAGATGAGTACGATCCGACGCACCTGATTGAGCCTCCAGATTCCCTGTTAGGAAACTAATTAACTCTTCCCGAGGGCGAGGAACAGAAGCTAAAATAACAATTAAATAAAATTATGGAGAAGCCTCAAACCCCCTCACAAAATCTTCATCAGAGCTTCTCCCTATCACCGTTCGCTGGGAATCTGTTTTCCATTGTTTGCGGAGTTGTTTGATCATGCAGTTGGCTGCATTTTGTCGGTTCGGAAGCTGTGCCTTGTGGTGTGGGGGAGTTTGGTTGTACTGATATTTTTTTGGTGATTGTTACTGTTACCTGTTTTTGTCGATTGTGTAGTTGGATTGATCGTTCGGAAGTTTGAGTTATTGTATTGATTACTTGTGCTCTTCGGAGCGACGAAGAACGGGTGGATGCCGTTCTGCTTGTCGAAATGATCAGGGTAGCTCAGAGTCCGGAGTGACGTTCTGCAAATCAGTTTTGCGGAGATCACTGAATTGACGAGCCGTTTTTGGTTATTTGAGGTGAGCGATGAAAAAAATTTTGGTGTTTACTGAGTGAATGGATCTATGTTCATGATCCTCTCTCTCTCTCTCTCTCTCTCTGTTTTTTGTGTACCGGTATAATATCTCTCTGTGTGTTATTTCTGTGTTTGAATATTAAAATCTTATAGTTGTGTGTTCTCGTTCGTGATTTTTATCTCTTGCTCTACTGGTTCATGTTCTGTATTCCCACACCATTTCTGGAGTATTTCTGAGGTATAACTAGAAGAAATTTCAAGGAATGAAGTTCCTCAGGTTGCTTAGAGAAATCTTGTATGTGCACTGGGGGTAATGACAATTAAGCAAATTATAATAACTAGTCAATATTAATAAATACCCATTAAGTCCTATCGCAACCACAAAATAGTATTTGCTGATGTTTAGATCTATCCAGTGACAAAGATCTCTAATCTTTGGAGCCACCTGCTTTCTCCAATCTGAATTTGTTTTTGTCCCACAAAAGGGTAATAAATTTGAATTAATTTTGGGTTAAGTTATAGGAATTAATTAGATGAATAAGTTGTACTTTCTGTGTAATGCCAAGAAAAAAAAAAAAAAAAGAAACCACCAGACTTCCACAATATTGACTTGAAAACTTTATAGTGGTCCGGCCAAACGACAGTTGCAATATACTTGAATATAGACACACTCTCTAGAATTTTGAGATATAGGTGAGTTATTTTTGAAAACTAGCGTTTGCTGTTAATTATAGATCCATTGTATCAAGAAGGGGATTTTGTTGTTTAATATTATAAGTCTGAATGAACTACTTAGTGACAAGTGTACCAGTATCTGGCTTAAACAAGACTACATTGATGGGTTATTTTTCCACATCCTATTTACCTAAAATTAGAACAGTACATATTACACCATGGACCCTCGTATCTAAGCATGTGTAAAAACCGTCTGGGTTGTTGCAGGAGTTTCTGTATATCTGTAGATGCCAGCGATAGCAATTTAATCTATTTTCAGTTGAATTTCCCATGTTTTTGGAAACATTTATTGGAAATAAATGATGGGTCAATCTTATATATCTATGATAGGTTAGATAAAATACAATGTTTCCATGATGTGGATAACTGGATATACTGCTCCCCACTACTTCATTGAAATTTTTTCGTTCTGTTTGTGTCTGTAATCATAAAATTTGGGATGAATCTTATTGGTAGTCAATTTATTTCCAAATTATATCAGAATATGATGATAAAGTGTAGATTCATTTCTCTGAAAGGCCTTTCTATGGTGTCTACAGGAGCAAACAAGATGATACAATCATTGTTGCCATCTCCTGGGAAGTATACTTAGCCACTGGAATTTTCTTTCCACTTGAGGCTGCATTAATCATGTTTTCTCCTCAGCTTCTGCAGCTTACTGAACGTGGGAGAGGACTTCTAGCATCTAGAAGGTTGCTAATCTTTAAGTTTTATTACAAGAATCAGTATTATAAACTATTGGATAATACATCATTAAAGTGCATTTGTACAACAGATCACATCTGTGTACTAAAACATATGTTGTTCGCTCTAAACTCCAAGGGTGCACATAGGATTATCAAGACAGAAAAACATGGAAAGACTGGTTGTAAACGAGAGGGAAAAAAAATGCAAACGCAAATTAAAAAAGGAGTTCTAGACCCCTGAAAGTCATGGTCTGTGATTTAGGGAAAATCCGTACTTATATTAGCTGAATGTGCATTCAAATTTTGCAATCTTCTGGGTGTGTTTGTTTGGGGGTTTGGATTTTGAGTTGGGATTTGAATAGTAAAAATTTTGAATTTGAATAGTTGTATGATGTGATATAAGTAGGTGTGATGTTTTGAATGTAAAATTGATTTTTAGTATAATATAAAAAATAAAAAATAGGTGTTTTGATTTGATATTTTTTGGGGGGGGGGGATTAGATAAATAGTGTAAATCTAATCCAATCCCCCAAACAAACGCACCCGAATGTCTGTTGTCTCATATGTCTTGAACAAATTGTCCACATATCTGTGGAGTTTTACCAATCTTTTGGATGATTGAAGGTTTGTGTCATATTCCACCCATATGCTAAGTTTTTTCCTACGGTGAGGAACTGTAGGCATTTAAATTCTGCTTTCTGATATACAATGAACTTATAAAAAAAAAAAGAAATCCTTGAGAAACTACCACTAAAAATCTAATTTGTATTTTCAGATGCCTTTTGCATATTATTTAACTAGTTATGACTGAGTGGTGAATAGGATGTCATAAATTATTGACCTCCAAGAGCAAATGGAAACAAAGTATGACATATTTTCTAAATAATAGGACAAACACATCATTTCAAATCTTTGAACAGAGCAATTTTCTCTATTACATGCTTTCAAATCTTCTTAAAAGATGGAAAGAGCAGATTTTTTACATCGAACTTTCCTTGCTAACCTGTAGTTTATGTTCTCATGCTGATTGTCTTCTTTTTATCATTAACTACCTCTGCTCTAGTGAAGACATACCACATGCATAAATATCATGGGCCTTGTATATTATATTTTTCATTTTCTCAAAATTCCTCACAGGAAAGCTTTAGTTTTAGCCTCTAGCATTGCTGTTGGTGGAACTGCTGCTGCTTTATATGTGCAGTTACGAACTCGCGCCCAAAGGCACAAATCTTTTGATCATATTAATGGAGATTTGAAGAACAAGGAGCAGCCAAAACACTTAGTTGTAAATGATGATAATTTAAAAAAGAGTTGGCAAAAAAGAGGACATTTGAGATCTCTCCAGGTTTTGGCTGCTATTCTGATATCTCGTGTGGGGCGAAAAGGTGCAATACAACTCTTATCTTTGGTTGCTATAGCGGTAAGTCTTTTCATCCGATAAATAAGATGTTTTAACTTTATTCATTGGAGAAATTATCCTGAAACTACTATGATTAGTGACCAATTTTCTCTTCTTTTTGAATTTGTTTTAAGCTGCTTTTGTAATTCTTTTCCTTACTGTTATTCTAAATGAGAATTCTGGCTACTAATTGAACTGTTCATATTTTTTAACTTATTTATACAATTCAGGGATGCTTCATTTGCAGTTTCTCCTTGTCGAAATTTTGACCATCCGCATGGCGTCAGTCATGACTTGTCTGTGAATGCTTTGTTTATGTTTTTTTCAGGTATCTCGAACTGCCATAACCAACAGACTGGCTAAGGTCCAAGGTTTCTTGTTCCGCTCTGCCTTTCTTCGGCGTGTACCCGCATTTCTTCGCCTTATTGTTGAAAATATCCTCCTTTGTTTTCTCCTCTCAACATTGGATTCCACTTCTAAATACATAACAGGGACCCTAAGTTTACACTTCAGAAAAATTTTGACTAAGCTTACACATAAACAATATTTTAAGGTAATATCTTGATGCCATGTAGTGGCAGGCTGACTCTTCAATCCCTTTGATTACTTGATACTTGTCTTAATTATACTTGCTTGTTTATATTTTGGGAAATTAGGACATCTTGATCATAATTACTAGAGGGTTAATATTTATTTATATTGTTTGATGCTCCAGGAATTTGGCTACTTCCCATCATTTGAGTATAAATAATGGGATTATGCGACCTGTGTTTTCTTGGTATTTATTTTGATAAATAGTGTAAATCTAAAATTATGGAGTTGGCTTGTGTGACATTGTTTCACAAATTATAGTATGCTTGAATTGGGTATTGAAGCACAATATATAAAATAAATTATCAAGGCAATATAGAGTGTACTATTTGCTTTTAGTGTGGAGTTTGAAACTAAATATGTTGGCATAAGAAAGGTTGCAATCATTGAAAACATAGTCAACAAGGAACAATATTCATCATATTCATAAGAATTGTATAATGCATGTACGGCTTTCCAACATCATGTTGCATCATTGAAAACCTTGTATGCGTATCAAGCTTGTGCTGCTTGCCTGCCATATGCAATTTTGCTATAATTACCTTTCCAGTCTTCAACGTATAACTATATATGTTATCTGATTATTTCTTGATCACTGGGGTTACATTTGCTTCCACTTCATCCAGTTATGTCAGAATCTGCTGTAATCTGTTAGTGAAAGCATAGTGTAAAAAGAGCCATCTCTAATGCTTCTAGTTTGATTGATTAATACCTTCATGTAATTGTAATCTCTATTTAAATGTAATGTTCTCAACCAGGTTCTGAGTATTTCTTGTCTTTTTTAATTCTCTTGTTTGGTTCAGAATATGGTGTACTACAAGATATCTCATGTTGATGGCCGCATAAGCAATCCTGAGCAGCGAATTGCAAGTGATATACCGAGGTTCTGTTCAGAATTGAGTGATCTTCTGCAAGAGGATCTGATTGCAGTTGCTGATGCATTGCTTTATTCTTGGCGTTTATGCTCATATTCAAGCCCAAAATACATATTTTGGATGCTGGTAGCAAATTTCATTTTATCTATGCATTTGATTCTAATAAATTGAAAGCAGTTAATTTATTAACTGTTACTCTATTGCATCAAGCAAGTAATATCTTCCTGTATTATCAGGCTTATGTGTTCGGGGCAGGGATAACAATAAAAAATTTCTCACCATCATTTGGAAAACTTACATCCAAAGAACAACAGCTGGAAGGAGAATATAGGCAATTGCATTCAAGATTAAGGACTCATGCAGAAAGCATAGCACTTTATGGTGGAGAAAAAAGAGAGGAATTTCACATTCTAAAGAAGTTTGAGAATCTTGTTCAACATATGAAAGTTGTTCTTCATGACCATTGGTGGTTTGGCATGATTCAGGACTTCTTAGTCAAGTACCTTGGTGCTACAGTTGCTGTTATCATGATTATTGAACCCTTTTTCTCTGGAAAATTAAGACCGGACTCTTCTACGATAGGGCGTGCTGAGATGTTAAGCAATTTAAGATATCATACAAGTGTTATAATTTCATTGTTCCAGTCTCTTGGTACTCTTTCTGTAAATACAAGACGACTCAACCGCCTAAGGTATTCTTTCACCAATTGTATCTCTAACATGCAATAAATTCCCAATAAAACATGATTGTAGCTTTTAAGTTTCCAAGGTTTTTGTGTGTTATTTTTGTCTCAATAAAGCATAGCAGACATCCTTTTTTAAACATATCTATTAACATGGTGTGCCATGATTCCATTGCTGTGCATGCATACTGCTATTTCAAATGGTTGGTTCTTTACTATAATGCTTCTACTGCCTTGAGATGGTTGTTGAATCTTTTAAGTGAAAGATACTGGTAAGCATAAGACCAAGGAAAGCTTTACTCTTCTGTATGCAGCCATGCTCTTCTGTATTTTATTATTGAAAGGCTGTCGTTTGTTTTGACCATTTAACTGAAATGAATCACCAAGAAAAAGAAAGTATGTGTTAATTGTTAGCTTATGACTAATTGTGCTTGTTAGAAGATATTTAATATATTAAGGCTTAACACTACTAAACAAGCGTGCTATATTGGTCAATTTTGGATTCATGTTTTTTCCATTTGTGTATTATAGATTACTCAATCCAAAAGGGAGTCTTGCTTATATTGGAAATGGTAGAGATTAGAGCACTAGGTGACAAATCTAGTTATCACATTTATGATACCTGCTGGAGGGGGAGACCCAATATTATACCAGCATCTCTTTCGGTTCTTCTTAGAATTGATGATTTTAGGAAGCCAATGCCTTAAGGGGTTTGTTTTTTAAAGCCTAAAGCAATGGAAACTTAATTAGTTGGTAGTAATATAAGCTATTAAGAATGTTACTCACTGCAACAAGTGATTACATACATTTGGGGGATGAGCTAATCTTGCTAGTTAGATTGTAGTCCATATGGTTATGATACAAATTTCTGCTTTTGATGTGCAGTGGTTATGCTGACCGTATTCATGAACTCATGGGTGTATCTCGTGAGCTTGCTGTAAGAGATTCATTGTCACAACCAGCTGATGGGAGTGGAAACTATGTTAGTGAGGCAAACTACATTGAGTTTGACAATGTCAAGGTAACAAGAAATATGTGTTTATTTCTATTCTTAATGTTCTTCCTTTCTGCAATAAATTTGGCTCCTTCAGGTTGTTACCCCTACTGGTAATGTATTGGTAGAGAACCTGACACTAAAAGTTGAACCTGGATCTAATCTTTTGATAACAGGTATGTTCTGCTTTAGATAAGTTGTTTGCAACTTACTTAATGTATTTTTAATCCACTCAATATCTATTGTATGTCAAACTCATTCAAACATGGTTACATTGGCATGTGAAATACTTGTATCTTCACTCTACCATGCATTTTTTGTGCACCCATCAGCGGGTACATAATATATATATATATATAGTAATAATGAAGAGACATAATATACACATCTATATATCAACACTTACAATCACAATTATGTCAAGTTCACATAATCCATTCTAAGGTCCAAATGGAAGTGGAAAAAGCTCGCTCTTTCGAGTTTTGGGTGGACTTTGGCCTCTAGTATCTGGTCATATTGCAAAACCTGGAATAGGATCTGATCTAAACAAGGAGATCTTCTATGTGCCACAACGACCATACACGGCTGTGGGAACTCTGCGTGACCAGTTAATTTATCCCCTAACAGCAGATCAGGAAGTTGAACCTCTTGTGCAAAGTCAAATGGTTGAGCTCTTGAAAAATGTGAGATGATTCAATAGCATTCCTGTTTGTAATTTTCTCATTCTGCACTCATCATGACAAGGATAATTGTACCTTGTTTTCATACAATGTTTTGTGTTTGTTAGGTAGATCTTGAGTACTTGGTGGAACGGTACCCACCTGAAAAGGAGGTGAATTGGGGCAATGAATTATCATTAGGGGAGCAACAAAGATTGGGAATGGCTCGTCTATTTTACCACAAGCCTAAATTTGCTATCCTGGATGAGTGCACTAGTGCGGTTACAATTGATATGGAGGAACGGTTTTGTGCAGAAGTTCGAGCTATGGGAACTTCATGCATCACAATTTCCCATCGTCCTGCATTAATTGCTTTTCATGATGTGGTATTATCTTTGGATGGTGAAGGAGGATGGAGTGTACATTATAAAAGGTACAGATTTTAAGTTAGTGTCAGTGGCCAATTCCCCTTTCAGATGGTTGAAATCGATCAGTTTCATCAATCTATAGGATGGATTCTAGAGACCTTGCAGAATCCGAAACTTACAATAAAAGGAATTCTGAGTCTTCTGACACTGAGCGAAAAAGTGATGCCATGACTGTTCAGCGTGCATTTGCTGCTGCAAAGGTGTGATCCGCATGTTTATCTTTCAGATATATATTACCTCAAGATGTATCTAAAATGCTTTTTGAACTTTCTTGGGGCATCATAATTACCAGGATACAGCATTTTCAGCTTCTAGGTCCCATTCATCAGTATTAATAGCAGCATCTCCAATTGAAAATGAGGACTCTTCAGTGCCTGTCTTTCCACAGCTGCAAATTCTTCCAAAGACATTACCTTCAAGATTATCTTCCATGTTGAAGATCTTAGTAAGTGTTTAGTGCTACTGAAATTACCCACTCTTTGAAACTTCATTCCTTGTAGATTATCTGTCATTGTTAGTTGTTCTTATAAGTATGGGAGCTAAAGTCTGAAAGTTGGCTATCTTTACTCAAAATTTTCTATCTCTTTTATATTGTTTTGCACACTAGGAAAAGCAATGATCATTTTTATCTCTAGCTCTTACGTATTGGCTACTATACATTGCAATTGTGGATGTTGTCAAAGTTAATTGTTCATTGAGCCAGTTGGAGGAAACAGATTGGTCAGCAGATTCCCTTAACTTGTTTTTTTATTATGTGAAGTATTGTCCCTCATTGGAATAATGTTGGAAGCTCCCTTTGTTTATAAGGGTGAATGGCTCCTTTTATCCCCAATTGATTTTGAGAGGGAGCCTCAGATCCTTTCTTAATATGATATCAGAGCCATGTATGGATCCTAGTTAGGATTTGGTTTCCAGATGGATATCATCTCTATGGGAGAGTGTTAAGTATTGTCCCCCATTGGAACAATGTTGGGAGCTGCCCTTGTTTATAAGGGTGAGGGAAAACTCCTCTTATTACCGGTTTTGAGATGGAGTCCCAGATCCCTTCTTAACATATAATTGAGTCATGTCATTGGGCTTCCATATGGCATATACACTATGTCTTTTTAACTTGTGTTTCTTATTTTTTCATGACCCTTGCAATTTTATTGAATATATTGTTAAATTCAGCTGTCTGTGCTAGTCTGACTTATTTTTATTTTTTAATTTTTCTCAGGATGTAGTATATGTGTACTTCTCTTGCTGACTTTGCATGTTTTAGGTACCTACAGTGTTCGATAAGCAAGGTGCACAGCTCATTTCAGTTGCTGCGCTAGTGTTATGCAGAACATGGATATCTGATCGGATTGCCTCTTTAAATGGTAAGCTATAAATTATTATGTTAGAATGGCCGCCTTTTCCATTTTTTTCTATCACTGGAAATCATGTGCAAAGCATTTAAAACAACATGGTATTCTCAGGGACAACTGTAAAGTCTGTTCTTGAGCAAGACAAAATTGGCTTTACGAAGTTGATTGGTGTTAGTGTTCTACAAAGTGCTGCATCCTCTTTTGTTGCTCCATCTTTGAGGTACTTATGCTTCTCCTGAAGATTTTGACATGGAAGTGTGTGCTTGATCTCTTCAACTACATATCATAAAGTGAACTTGTGCAGCCTGCAGTCAAGTTTTATGGAACTTTTGAGAAGTAAACATAAAAGAATCTGGGTGTTCTTTGTGTTATATTAAAGGCTTGTATTTTTTATTAGGGTGGGCATGGGATGTGACATCCCTATGTCCTGTCCCAAAACATTCAAGGCAATATCAGTAGGGGAAAAAGCGAGCAACAGTAGAGGACCGGGGTAGAAATTTTTGTCCAGACAATTTTGAATGGGATCGGACATCCCACCCTGATTCCCAAGTCATTATTTATAATATAATTATGTAAAATATATTTCCCTTTTGAACTTTTTATTAGACAAAAGCTAAGGATCTAGAATTTCATCATTGAATTTCTTGGCTTTTGTTTTCAGTACTGAATTACTGACATATATAATTGCTAATAATTAACTTTCCTTTGGACTAAATGATTAGGGTTCTTTTGTATTGCTACTGAACTCTTGCTGCCATTCCTAAATGATCTTAGTATCCTTTTATGTGTTCATTGACTGAGACTTCATGATGAACATGCTTGAACAAGCAGAACGTGATGTTTCTGTCTTGAGAAACATTCTGGTCTGGCCATGTTTTCTTTGAGAGAGAGGATAAATGCCATGTAATTAATTATCACATCATTTGATGGACCTTTATCCTTCAAAGTAAATGCTTATCCACTCTAATGCATACTAAATATGTCCCTTTGCTTCAGAATTGTATAGTCTGAAACATAACGATGTCAACTTCTAGCATGAAGTATGTTAATTTATCACTTTTGGCCATTGAATGTGTAATATTTTCTCAGATAGCTCTTATTAGCCTTAGAATATACATGCTTGATGCTGAAGCTTCCTTGTGTAATTTTATGTTTCATCAAATATTTGTTGTCTTCTCTTATTTACAGGCACCTTTCAGCTCTACTTGCTCTTGGGTGGAGAATTCGTCTGACTAAACATTTGCTTAGAAACTACTTACGAAAGAATGCATACTATAAGGTAGTGAATATGAGTTTTACCAAAGTTCTCATGCATTTGCTAGTAATTGTTTTCTCTCTGGAGCATCTTTTGAAAGAACAGAAAAAATTTCATAACATTTGAAAAGTGTCTCCCACCAAATTTTTACTTATCAACATTGATAATATCTTCACTAACAACCAAAGTCATCAACATAAGGAAAATATTTTGAATGTGAATCGTTAAGCAAGAAGAGTAGCATTGAGTATTCAAGTGTTCGATCTTACAACTTAGAAATATAACCCCAAAGTTGAAGCTCCATTAGTCAACGAAACAATGGAGCTAAGCTTGAATCTTTGTATTCCACTTTGCCTCAGGTAAGTGTCATTGATAAATTGATATATACTCAGATTTGTGTGGATCGATACAGAAAAGCTCTGATATTATGCTTTCCAGAGGTCCAAATAATCAATATAAAAATAAATAAAGCATGGGGTTCTTTGTAGGTATTTCATGTCTCCCGGATAAACGTTGATGCAGATCAGAGGTTAACTCAAGACTTGGAGAAGTTAACAACCGATTTGTCTGGCTTGGTAACTGGAATGGTGAAGCCAGTTGTTGACATTTTGTGGTAAGCTTGCATCAATCAATTATTCTGTTCATTGTACAGAGACATTCAATATTGAAAGAACCCTTGGGTCTGCAGGTTCACCTGGAGAATGAAACTCCTAACTGGTCGAAGAGGAGTTGGTATTCTGTATGCGTACATGTTAATAGGTTTGGGTTTCCTCAGGATTGTTACACCAGACTTTGGTGACCTCATAAGTCATGAGCAGCAGTTGGAAGGAACTTTTAGGTCTTTTCACATTTTGGTGTCTTTCAGTAGCAAGACGCGATCAAACTAAAAGAAGCAACTTAATTCATTTATTTTTTATTTTAATCAGATACATGCATGAAAGATTGCGGGCACATGCAGAATCTGTTGCCTTTTTTGGCGGTGGTTCTCGAGAGAAAGAGGTAGATTCTCTATTTTTTGCTACATAGACTGATGACTAGGGATATAAATAGATGAAAACTACAGCTAGATTGACAGATCAATGTTTCCCCTAGCATTGCTCTTACCGAAGTAATTTCGGGATATGTGGGAAGGTGATGAGGGGGATCTTTTATGACAGCTTGGGCACTTTGGCCAAACCATGTAGATAAACACAAATAATTTTATTAGACGAAATAGCTACTGATTCTCGCCTTAGTATATTATTAATCCCATGGCTACTGTTACTGTCATCAGCTGCCTTCCTTATTTTATTTAATTGCCTTCTATTCCTTTTACTCAGATGATTGAATCAAGATTTGCAGAACTTTTCAATCATTCAAGATTGTTTCTTAAGAAGAAGTGGCTATTTGGCATAATAGATGACTTCATCACAAAGCAATTACCACATAATGTGACATGGGGATTGAGCATGATGTATGCCATGGAGTATGCAGGAGATCGAGCCTTGACTTCCGCTCAAGGTTACCGCTGCGCTTCAAATTTTCAGTATCACTTTTTGTAGTATTTTGTTACAATACATATATCATTCCATTTCAGGTGAACTTGCACACGCGCTGCGATTCCTAGCATCTGTTGTATCTCATAGCTTTTTGGCTTTTGGTGATATTCTTGAATTACATAGAAAATTCCTTGAGCTTTCTGGTGGTATCAACCGAATTTTTGAACTTGAAGAGCTTCTGGATGCTGCTCAAACTGGTATGTATCCACCCTTATTTCTTTTTCTCACAGAAACCAATTTCCTGTTTTTATTTTTTTTTCCCACACCCACCCACCCAAAAATGCATTCCCATGGCTATTAATTTGGGTCTGATAACTGAATAAATGAGTACTGTAATGATTGCTATTCGACACTTGTTTTGGTGTTGTTTATTCCCATAGGGTTAATTTATGATCACAGTTAAATTTCTTATCAATCAACTTAGGTGTGTTTGAATGGAGGGGTGGGGGCTGGGAATAGTAAACATTTGAATTGGATAGGTATTTGATGTAATGTTGTGGATGAACAATTAAATTTGAATGTAATATAAAAAATGAATAATACAAAAAAAATTGTTTTTTTGAGGGGGTAAAAATTGGATGATTAGTGGGAGCCCCACTCACAAACCTACATCCAAATGCACCCCTTAGTTGTTCACTTAAGATAGTATCAGCTTTTTGGTGGCCACAATTTGACAGGCACTTGAGATAGGAATTGGTTTGGCACCTTGAATACCAGTGATGCATGTTCGTTTATGAGGTATGGATTTTGTCAAATTAAGAACACAAAATATGAAAGTTGATTGATAGTCTTATATTTTTCGGGTTCTATTTGGAAATTGTGGGCTTTTTTAGGAAAGTAGGAGTATATAATTCATGGATGACATTGTGGATTTAAAGCAGTGAACTCCAAATGAAGGGTTAGAATTGGAAGGGTAAAAGAGGTGAATTACCTTGGGGTTGAAAATTCACACTACAAGTAAATGAGTACATATAAAGATGGTGATAAATGGATAAATTTAATTCTACACTAACTATAGGCATTAATCGAGTGATAATAATGTGTATCATAAGAATATAAACTCGAATAATTTGTTTTTTGCTTTCAGACACCTGTGTGCTATGGATATAGCTACAAGAGGCATTTTTGTTGCCCCTCCCCCCCCCCCCCCCCCCTCATTTCTTGCCAAACTTTGTTTATCTTGCTGGTTATTTTAACAATACGTCCTCTAGTTTTATCTCAGCAACTTTGTTTGTAAGATTTTTGGAACTATGATAATTTTCAATGTAACGCTGGATTCTAGAGAATGTGTTGTCTATGAATGTTGGGGAAATTTCTGGAGGTACACTCCAGCTCCTTGGGACGTTATTTAATATCATTTTGGATAAGCAACCTTCCTGAGAAGTTAATAACTCGTCAGTTTGGAGCACTCATTAATTCAGACTGACAATTTGTTAGGTTCAGTTATTGTAATGGTATACTGTGTACACTGACGTATGCGTGCCTCATTGCTGAATACAATAACCTTAAAGCATAGCCTAAAAGTTTGGCTTTCACTGAAGCCTTATTCTAATGTGGATGCATTTGTGCAGGATATACTGATGGCTCTTCTTTAAGATCTAAACTTACAGAAGCCCAGACAGATATTATTTCTTTTTCAAAGGTGGACATTATTACACCAAATCAGAAAATGCTGGCTCGAAAGTTAACTTGTGATATTGTTTCAGGGAGAAGCCTCCTTGTTACTGGTTAGTATATTTGACTTATTTATCCCAGGCTATTAAATCTGTACAAAAAAAATAAAATTCATTGGGATTTTTTTTTTTGGAATTTTACTGTTTCAAGGTCCAAATGGAAGTGGGAAGAGTTCCATTTTCAGAGTCCTTAGGGATCTTTGGCCTGTGGTTGATGGCAGGCTCGTGAAACCACGAGAACAAATTAATTGTGAATTTGGATGCCGCCTTTTTTATGTGCCTCAGAGGCCATATACATGCTTAGGAACCCTCCGAGATCAAATAATATATCCTCTATCTCTTGACGAAGCCGAGAAAAGGGCATTATATTTAATTGAAGAAGGTAACTACACTTCTTTCTATTCTTTTTGGTTGGTTTCATGGTGTTGTTTCATGTTTAAAACCAGTCAATCTGCTAAATTTGCCTACGTGATATATATTGACTTACACAGAGCACATGCTGTATTTATGTTTTCTCCATTTGAGGTTAAAAATGGGTCATGTGACCCACTCATATATTTTCGCTATACTTTTCCATCCGTCTTGAGAATATTTAACAAAAATTGCATGTAAGAAAATGATGAATGAATTGATTTTTACAAAGCCAGAGTAGATGCAGCAAAACTATATGATATGACAGCATTCAGCTGCCCCTGTCCACAATGATTGCAGAAAACTCTGTTCACCTTTCTCAACCTAATCACTTAACCTACCAGGTGGCAAATCGCATTGTAGCCATATTGCAGTTGTCGCATATGACCAGGATCATTATGAGTTATTACTTGTGTTTATACGTTAAGTTCCATTACGAGTTATTAACTTAGCTGTTGATCCCCTCTAAATTCATTCACTTATTTTTCTGAAAACAGGTCCTGAGTCTCTCAATGCAAAGGACCTTTTGGATGCACAGTTGAAAATTATTCTGGAGAATGTAAAATTGTTGTATCTCTTGGAAAGAGAAGGTGGCTGGGATTCATCTCAGAATTGGGAAGACATTTTATCACTGGGTGAACAACAGAGATTAGGCATGGTCAGTCACATTCTTCTAAGCATTTATGTCTGAATAATATGCATAATCAACAACACATTTCACAGATTAGGCATGATCACTTACCTATTCACTTTACTGTTATGTCAGGCCCGTCTATTCTTTCATAAGCCCCACTTCGGTATCCTTGATGAGTGCACCAAGTAAGATCATACCCATTGCTTTGTTTGAATGCATTTTTTATTTTCTGTATGTTTCCATTGATTTCAATAATATTGAATAGCTTTTACCCTAAAATATGATTTGACATATATTATTATATAAAGCATGACGGATAAATACTACGATAGTTCTGATTGTTTTAGCGTAAAGGTTGTTTAAATACAAGTGAAATTAAATTAGTAGATATGTATTGATTGAATGGTAGTTATATATATTGTCGAGTTTAATGTGTTGAAGGAGAATATATATATATATATATTTTGGGTCCGATAAGGCAAGTCAACCATGAGTGGCAGGGGGTTTCATCAGACCATCCCTTCCAGGACGGAGAATATATTCTTTTTGTGAAAGTGGTGTTTGGATTTTGTACATTTTAATTTCTTATTGTCTTCAAAAACTTTTAAATGTTATGCAATTCTTCTTCCCTTTGAGAACTCAAAATTCTGATTATTCTCTCATATTAACATCACCTCTACACCATTCGAACGCAGTGCTACCAGTGTTGACGTTGAAGAGCACCTCTACAGCGTCGCCAGTGACTTAGGAATCACAGTCTTAACATCCTCACAGGTACACTTGCAAACATCTTATCTTACCATTGATGTCACTTCATGACAATAAATGTGTACATTTGCTATTACAGCGACCTGCTCTTATACCATTTCACTCCATGGAGCTGCGTTTGATCGACGGTGAGGGTAAGTGGGAGCTCCGTACAATCGGGTAAGAATACTAATCTCCAAACTTGCAGTTTGCTGCTTACAATAAAATTACCTCAAAACTAAAATGGTCATGTATATAATTATATTATTGTCTAACTGTGAATCCAAATGAAGAAGAAGAAGAAGAAGAAATAAGAGGACAAGGTTCACTTGGTGGACTAAAATTTTAGAGAAATATTTGATGGAAGAGTGTTCTTCCTTGAACTTCAATATGATATAATTTGATTCGTTATAATGTGTCTTCTTTCTCTATCTCTCTCTCTCTCTCTATATATATATATATATATACTAGCATTTGAACAGGACGAGTGTATATATAATTAAAATATTTAAAAATTAATAAATGAAGTATAAATAAATCACTTGAACTTTGTTAGCGCGGTGGAATTGAAATTAAGTTAAAAATGGTATAAAAAGAAAAAATAATTTGATGTTATATTTTGAGTAAACCTTTTTTTTTTTTTTTAAATGTTAAAATAAATTTTCTTATGTAAACTGATGAATGATTCTAAGACATTTGAAAATTGAAATCCAAACAAACAATTTGGAAATGGCGACCATCGTTTGTGTCGCTCATTTCCGAGAGAAGCATCAAAGTCAACCTCTTTTGGGATCCACGTTCGCATCACATATATCCCCTCAAACCGTAAGACCATTTGGAGGTTATTTTTCAAGTTTTTATTACTAGGAAACTACAAGTTTTTTTTTTTTTTTTTTTTTTTTTTTTTTTTTTAAGTTTTGATAGTAATATTTTGTAATAATAATAATAATAGTAATAAATTATGGAAAAACTCAAAAGGAACAAATCTATTTTTTGAGTTTTTTAAATTTTAATTTAAAGAATATTTAAATATAGTATTACTATATTTTTAATAGAAAAAGTTGATTTGAAAGACAAATTAAATAAATTCATTCTATTTCTATCTTTCTTTTTCTTTTTAAAATATTAGTATTATATTTTGGATTTAAAATGAATTATATAAACATATAACACGTCTTATTTGTACATATTTATAATTTTTTTTATGATTTAATATATAAAAAAATAGATATTTATGTTATGAGTATATAATTTTATTTATGCATCGTATATTAATTTTTACTTCCTCTGTTTTGCAATTGCAAAAATATATTTATTTTTATCATTTTCATTAGTTTTTACTAATCATTATATTTTAATTAAATTTTTTTATTACTATTCTTGTAAAAAATATAATTTTTTATTTACATCTTTGTAAAAGATTCCAAATAATATTAAATTACTATTATTTTTCTTAATGTTCATGCATAAAAATTCTGGGCAAATTGAGAGAGTATCATATTTCCGTACGATTTTATTTTTTTTTCGTTGCGACTTTAATAATTGATTTAACGTCAATACGACGTCGTCGAGGTTCATTAATGCTGACGGTGCTTCAATAAATTCAAACTGCGGAGATAGAGAGACACACATCAGAGACTAGTGAGAAAGCAGAGAATGGAGAGAGCCACGCCTGTACGGAAGCCTCACACTTCTACTTCAGATCTGCTCACCTGGTCGGAGGCTCCGCCGGTTTCCGCCTCCGTCTCCGCCGCGGCTAATCGCCCCGCACCTCGTACAAGCCAGGTACCACTGCATTACATCATTTTCTGTCTGTCCAGCTCATTTGCCACACCAATTCTATTTTTGAGGAAATTTTCTTTTTTATCTCATTTATCAGCCGTCGGATAGAATCGGAAAGGTTCTGTTTGGAGGTCAGATCTCCGAAGAAGAAGCTGAGAGCCTTAACAAAAGGTGAGTTGAAGCTAAACTAAAATTTTTACCGGTTTTGTAATTTGATGATGGTGAGGTCTTATATATATATATATATTAATATATATTTGTTATTGATCAATTGTTTATCTCTAGGCTTGATTTTGCAATTGTTAGGTTCTGATAGTTTGAATTCCGAAAGGCAATTTCTGTTGACCCAAACAATAAGAAAAATGACTTTTATTAGATGTACTTTGATATGGTTGCCAGGAAACCTTGTTCAGGCTACAAATTGAAGGAGATGACCGGCAGCCAAATATTTTCGGCAAATGGAGAAGATGATGCTCTCGAATCTGGAAACTCTGACGGTAACTTTAACAATCGGACATCAGTTCGTATTGTGCAGGTATCAATTCATCAATCCATTCCCCTTTCGGAAACATCCATTGAAATTTATAAATCTAAATATTTATATAGTAAGAAGTCAAATTTTGAGTTTGTCTTTTGCTGTTACCAGAACTGAGAGAACTGCACATATTGTTTGTATATGGTTTCATTTACATACTGAGACTCTAAATTTGAATTTCAAAAACTGTGTTGTTTCCTTACCAGCAAACTGCCCACGGCTTAAGTCAGATTTCGTTCAGCACCGAAGAGAAAATTTCACCCAAGAAACCGACCACACTGACTGAGGTTGCCAAACAGCGTGAGCTGAGTGGTACATTGGACAGTGAGGCTGAGAGCAGAAACAAGAAGCAGCTTTCAAACGCTAAAACTAAGGAGCTCAGTGGGAATGACATCTTTGGCCCTCCATCCGAAGTTCCTCGTCGTTCATTGGCTGCTGCACGCACCATGGAAGTGAAGGAGAGCAAAGATTCTGATGAACCTGCACCCCGAGCTTTGCGCACTTCTGTGAAAGTATCCAATGTGAGTTGATGATAGCTTGGTTATTTCTTTTTGTGCTATGGTTGCTTATTCGAGTTTGAGTAGCTAGTATAGCCCGTAAATGCCTTCAATTTTAGTCCCAGGGTATGATGATATTTAATTCGAGTATGGTAATTTTGAATTTGATTGTAGTTGGTCATTTACACTGTCAATTTCCTTCATTCTCACAATGCTCAAGATTATAGTATCTCCCAATCTTGTTTAATTGATACAAAATACTTGATAGCTCGATAAGGCTTTAACTTATCGAGCCAAATGCTCTCAATTTAATCTACATTGGTAGCTTCAATTGCCTCAACTGAACTTGTCTTGTTATTTCAGCCTGCTGGAGGTCAAAGCAACATCCTATTTGGCGAGGAACCGGAGGTAATGACAACGAAAAAGATTCACAACCAGAAGTTTGCAGAGCTGAGTGGCAACAACATCTTCAAGGGGGAAGCTCCACCGGGATCTGCTGAGAAGCCACTGAGTGTTGCAAAGTTGAAAGAAATGAGCGGAAATGATATATTTGCTGATGGAAAGGTTCAATCACGGGATTACTTTGGTGGAGTACGCAAACCACCCGGTGGCGAGAGCAGCATTGCTTTGGTTTAGGCCAAGGTAACTTTTCTTAACTTCCTACTTGAGCTATATTTTCCTTGGTTTCATCATGACCTTAGTCGAGCTATAGGATCGAGTAGAAAATATGGCGATCTAGTAAACATTTCTGGCTTAGGATTATGATTATGATTATGATTATGATTATGATTATGACTGATTATGGTTACTTGTTTTCTAATTTGGATGACTGGTTGGAGACTTTAGCCTTATTCAGCTATTTATTTTATTTAATTCAGTTTGGAATCTTGAAATTATAATCCAAATGCATCTGTGTTTTCAAATGTGTAGAAATTTTGAATTTGCTTAAGGTTTTGGTAGGGACAAAGTTGAGTTGAATTGATTAGGTAACTACATACTCAATGAACACCAAAATTTCATCATACATACATGTATGCAAGAATACGACAGAGCCAGAGTTTTTGTGAATATATATTTGACTTATGTAAGTAGGGCAGTTAAATGAGTCAAGCAAGGTCGAGCTTTGCAAAGCTCGGCTCGAGTCTAACTCGAATTTCATACATAGTTTAATATATAAATTAGATTTATTTAATTTTTATCACAATAAATATCACAATTTCATTAGTATATAAGATATGATAGTGATCTAAAATCTTGAAATATCCAACAAGTATAATATAACTTAAATTATATATATATATATGAAGGGTGTTTAAATATATGTATATATATAGGTAAACAAAATAAATAATTAATAAAAATTAAAATGAGCGACAGTCGACTCTGCTGGGGATCGAACCCAGAATCTCTGGTTCCGTAGACCAGCGCCTTATCCATTGGGCCACAGAGTCCAACTGGTGATATCAATCACCGCCCAAAGAATATATAATACTATTAATTAACCGAAGAACTCATTTATTTTTTATTGTTACACAAGAAAAAAACTAAAAGACAATTTTACCTTTATATGTTTGTGATATAGTTAAATAATAATAATATTTTTTGATTTTATATAAATACATATTGATATAATCTTTAAAATATAAAATAAATTATAAAGTGTCCAAAAAACATGAAGACAAATTATACAAAAACAATGGATGGTTTTGAAGATAGTAATGCATCAACTACTCATTAGTTACCATCGTCAGGACATAAAAGACATACATATCATTTATGTATGCCTCTAGAATGACTTGAAAGACTAATGTTCCAGTTCAAGTTCAAGTTCATTCATATAATGATAATAGTAGAGTTATAAATTATCAGTAAAACACCACAATCAAATAAATATTCATTCAAACATTACAGAACCGTGAAAGCATAGCATATCCCATTTGGTTCTTTACCAATATCATCATCATCGACACTTAACATAACCCTTCTCAGGAGGAGTTTTTGGTGATGCCAGGAACCTCTCCACTCTGTGTTTTTGCATCATCATCATTATCATCATATGATGCAATGTGAACACCCAGGGCAGCCCGCCCCGACGGGTCGAGATTCTTCGACCACGCTGCATCCCATTCTACAGCCTTTGCTGTGCTGCATGCCACGCTCGGCCCTCCGGGAACCGTTGATCTTGCTGCATTCTGTTACAAAGATAGCCAGAGGATCTTTACATTCCCAAAAATCTTGTCAAATCTTAATAATACTGTGATATAACCTCACACTTGCCACTTTAATTGCATAATAAGTATGCAACACATAATAATAAAGCTCACCATTCAATCATCACTAAATGGTTGAAGGATTTATAAAATTTTCTACTATTCGTCAAATTTTTTCATTCAAAACATCACGTCAATATCTATTTATATCATATCATAAAACTATTCAAATTCATATTTTTACTATTCAAAATCCAAGCACCCAGCCAAACACACCCTTAGTTTAATCGAAAGATTTGCAACTTCAATTTGCTAAAAAGGAAATTTAGCAAGTTAAAGAAGACAAGGTTAGGACGAAACTTCATCCTATATGCTATTGAGGAAATCGACATGTTGGTAAAATAGTGAATTTAGTTAACAAACTTTTGTTTATACGAACTTTTTTATTGTGCTAAGTAAATGAGCGAGCTTTCGTGGGCTTAATGTCTCAAACATGGAATTTCTGCAGATTTAGTCTTGTTAACAATTCTAAGTTCATTACCCCAACTATAATTCATTATGCTCACGAAATAGTATTTGTATATGTGAAAACCAAAAATAGTTAAATTAACTAGAAAAATCAAAATCCAACATCTGCGATATTGCTTACCTTAGGAAAGAACCTCTCGAAAATAGTCCTGTAGTAGTACCCCTCTTTTGTTGTCGGAGTATTCTCAGGGTATACAAAATTAGCATTGGTAAGCATGGCATCTGTAACCTGTCCATAAATGAAGTACATCGAATGATTAGTGCAAATCACAAATGAAAAATGTGTTCATTGAGATAGATGTAATTTAAAAATATTGGTAGCTGCAGTTAGTGATCACCTGTTGGTTTGCATATTCTTTCAGCCCATCGATCCAACTGTATCCGACTCCATCGCTGAACTGCTCCTTCTGTCTGTACAATATGTGCTGAAAGTCGACAGAAGGAATGGGTTAAGAATGCCAGAAATGGGCTACCTTAAATTTTAAAACAAATTGACTTGCTCTTTCTTACTGTTAAGAGGCAAATAGTGAGAATTGACAAATAACCCTTCAATGATCTTCTTTAACAAACAGGAAATTATCTTTTACTGGCTAACATGTATTCTTATAGGGGGAATCAAAATGGTAATAGTAACCATTGGTAAAAAAGTAGAGGTTAAAAGAAAACCTTAGGCAGATATGGAGCTTGCTCATCGTCAAAGGCATTGCGCAGAATCCACTTCTCAATTCTTCCAGGTTTTATCTGCCATTGAAAGTTAAATAAAACTCTCGCAAGAAAAATCAACACAATTTTCGCATTAGTTAAACAAGGTTTGATTCTGACATCTCATTTGGAATATAGTCCAGACATCCATTTAAGTTGTCTTGACAATACCTGGAAAGAAAGAGCAAAATCACAAAATCAAATCTTACCATTTTCCATTGGGGATCAATACCCATTGCGACGTTGATAAATTCCTTGTCTAAGAAAGGAACACGAGCTTCAACCCCCCATGCACAAGTAGCTTTATTAGCTCTCAGACAGTCGTAGAGATGGAGTGCTTTGATCTGGAAAAAAAAAACATCAGAAAATTGTATTATTTCTGTCTTGCTATATGCGAATAGCTATCACAAATATCTTCTCGGTACATTAAAAGGTAAGAAGCAAATACCTTTCTGCAGGTTTCTTGGTGAAACTCGACCTTGTTAGGTGCCTTGTGAAAATATAGATACCCTCCAAAAATCTCGTCAGAGCCTTCACCAGATAGAACCATTTTGACTCCTAAAGATCTGATCTTTCGGGACATGAGAAACATTGGAGTGCTGGCTCTTATAGTAGTTACATCATACGTCTCAAGATGATAGATGACTTCTTCTAATGCATCTATTCCTTCCTGGATTGTGATTGAAAGAATTAAAAACAAATAAAGGCCGGTCTGAGGCCACTGAAGAGCTTATCAAATTATTATGTACTTCTGGGAGAATATTACCTGCACTGAAAAATGGAACTCATGATGGCGAGTATGGAGATAGTCTGCAACTTCTCTGGCAGCTTTTAGATCGGGAGAACCCTGATAAAATGGGACGTGGAGTACGAAGAAAACCACATGTTAGAAGTTGTCCATCATTGAAGTGCAATTTACAGGCACGGTAAAAGTGGTAAAACCCTGGACAGGAGATCGATGCCCACAAACTTAGTAGGAGGAAAGTACTGAATGCTAATGCTAAGTATCAAGAAAGAAGTAACATAACATTTTAGGAAAATGTCCTATGAAATTGACAAAAATAGAAACGTTGTCTGAATGCTTGAATGGAAGTAGAATAATAAAGAAAAAACAAATAAATGTATGAAACGAGATATTGAGAATGATAGAACCTCTAAACCAATGCAAAAGGAGTGTAATTGAGTTCCCCACTGAGCAGCTTGTGAATTTTCCAAATAGCGGGAAGCCACCGAAGCAACTAGGGATGAGTCTAGCCCACCGGATAGAAGTACACCAAAGGGTACATCCGTCATAAGCCTCTTCACGACGGCCTAAAGAGCAGAAAAATAAATAAATAAATAATTACTGCTGAAGATACTGCATGCTGTCAATGGAATAAACAGGCTGGTTTTAATGCGCCCTGGCCCGTGTAAGTCATGATGAAGCTTTTGCAAATGTGTCATAGTCTTTACTACCAAGAATCATTCATATTGCATCACAAATCACCACAAACACAACATTTACTGAGGTGATATAATAGTAGGAAATAAATAAATAAATTGCCGAACAAAAGACTCAAAGGACTTTGGAGGTTAACCATTGTCAAATAAGGGATCAGGAGAGATTTAAATGAATCTAATAGCAGAACATAATATAGTAGTGCAATAAGCAAGGAGTTATTATATTATTGTGATACTTGATGACATGAGAAATTACGTCAAGCTAACCTTCTCAAAGGCCTTTCTTAGGACAAGGGGGTCGTAAGGACCTGAAGGTATAATATCTTCTGTGTACCATGGTGGGTTGTACCATCTTCGTAGCCCTCCTGTAACCACCATCTAATTAGAATAAAGATACAATAAATCTGCAGGAAAGTAAATTAAACAGAAAGGGCATTAGCATGCTTAAACATTTCTTTATTAGTAATTTTCCCAAACTAAAACATCATTTCCAGCGATAAATAGTCATTGAATGCCAACAACAAAGGGCTCCCAACACCAACATATCCTCAAATATATATTTAATAAAATCAATAGCAATATTATACACAAAATCAAACACAAGTGCAAAATTCTATTATATTTGACTATTATTGCCGAGAATTGTTGGACACAGTGTAATTATGACCATTCTATTTACAACTTTTGTCAAGTGTAACTCTTAAGTTTGCCCAGAAAACTTCACTTAAATGTGCTTAATGATTAACCACATCAGGAATGAGCAATGACTGTCTCACACACTTAAGATTAAGTGCAAGGCAGCTACTCAAGCAGAGTTTGGGAAAATCAAAACATATAAGAATATAACCAAAAGTTTGTCCATACCTTTTTTGCTCGAATATATATGGCCAGGAAGAAAAGGGGTGAAACGCTCACAATCATCGCTCAAGGCTTTCATTTCTGAAGCAAACCAGGTAGAACCTGCAGAGAAATGCAATATTTACACATGGATTTAAAATATCAAGGCAACCATTTCTATAAAGGCAAATGATAAAATGCAAATCATAATCCTACCCCACATAAAAACAAATTCAGTCTCTGACTTTTCATAAGAACCCGAAAAATCAATGCTGTGTAAAAACTAAAAAGGTCACATACCATCAAGACCCCAGCCCATGTAGAGTGGAGTAATACCAATGGCATCCCGGGCAGCAATGAAACTGTTATCACGGGTGTCGAGAAGCACAAAAGAAAACATTCCATCCAACAAATCAACGAAATCTTCACCATATTCTTCATACTGAATGAACAAGTAGATTGAGAAAAGGACAGATAAGAAAGTGAAAGCTACAGTTAGATATTAACAACATTGAATCGTGCAATTTCCGGAAATGCTAACTTGTGCTTCAGTGCATGGCACTTACCAAATGAGCTATAACTTCACAATCACTTCCTGTTCTGAACACATGAGACTTCAATCTCTCCCTTAGTTCCTTATGGTTATATATTTCACCATTAACCTACAAGCACAATGTTGTACAGTAAAAAGAGAATGTTTAAATACAACATAAATTTCAAAAATAGCCATTAAGCTACAAAATTTAACTGAAATAAACAATAGGTTTGAAAATATAAACCCAGAAAATACTTAAAGTTAGGGCTGAGGAGATCAAGAAACTCCTGGAAGACAATCTGTAATAACATAAAGACTTCACCTACCGTAACAGCAATGGTCTTGTCTTCATTAAACAGAGGCTGATCTCCTGAAGTAGGATCAATAATAGCTAAACGTTCATGAGCAAGATAACAATTCTGATGACAATACAGACCACTCCAATCAGGTCCCCTGTGCCGCAATCTAAAATTTCCCAATTTAAAAAAAAAATAAATAAAAATGTACATCACTTCCATACAAAATTTCAGTTGCATTTTCACCAACATTACCAATTAGAACGAACCGGATGAAAACGAATACAATAAAACATCCTAAAAAGCGCCAAAAACAAACAAATCTGATCGCAAAAAACCTTCAAATACCTCCTGGAGAGTTCAACAACCCTCGTCCTCTTCCCCTGAGGGTTCTCGGCGATGCCGAGCACGGCGAGAATCCCACACATGGCTGCGTCAGTAACAGTTATGAGAGTTTTTCACCTACTGAAGATTGATCAAAGAGAGGAAGCAGTCAGAACGGACTATCCACACGATGGGACGATCTCAGCCGTCAGTGTTTGAAAGATTCGGAATCTGTTTAGGGCTTAAGCGCCGTTTTTCTTGGACACAAAGATTCATTAGTACTTGTTTTCGGCGGCGTCAAATTCCTTTTTAATATCTCTCATATACCATGTTCACTGGTAGTTTTCTTCGCTCTACCGTAATTACACATTTTTAATTTAATTTTAAATTTTTTATTTTTTTTTTAAATTTTAATTAAACTAATTAGCTATTTTAATATTAATTTATAATTATTTATATTATCAAATAATTATTTTCATTAATATATTTTTAATTATCTACTAATTACACTTTTTTTTAAATATTACACCCTTTCTAAAATACTGTAACGGACATAGGAGTAAATAAGTTAAATAATAAATACATATAGAATTTTGTTTGTCTGTATTCTTAATTTGAAATATTTATTTTTATGTGCTCAAATTTTTTGGATAATCGTACTTTTAATATGTCATTTTTATAAAAATAGAAATATTAAATATGCTTCTCTTACTAAAATACTTAAATAAAAAAATGATCAAACTGTTGGTAAAAGTTTCACGGTTAAAAACACGATTATGGGCCCTAATATATATATTTTAAAAAAGGCAGCAGATCATACTATTTATGGGCCCTATTAGGCCTTTAAAGTGGAACGGCCCAAAGATGATGGTCCCGAGCTCTAAGCGGGTCAATTTGGACTATGAATTGGCCCAAATTAAAGGGCCCATTTAGTTGCAAAAAGGCCCAATTTTGAGTCCTTGCGTTAGGGTTTATAGCTCAACGAAACAAAAATTCGCCATAGCCAAAGCTTCACGAAACGACGCAGAGGAAAATGGGAAGCAGACTGGGAAGAAGAGTCGTCCATTTCGCGAATCTACCGATCAAATTGCTCATGCCATCTTCCTTCACCAACATCAGAGAAATCGCCCTCAAAACCATCCCTTCCGCTTCCAAGGTAACGGAGAAATTTTCGATTCCACGCTTCTCCCGTCGATGTCCATGAATTGAATCCGCATTCGCTTTTGTCTTGGTGTTCTGATCATTTCCCCTCGATCAATTGCGCAGATCGAGATCAAAAGAGTCCTGGAATCGCTGTACGGATTCGAGGTGGAGAAGGTGGAAACCCTAAACATGGAGGGGAAGAAGAAGAAGCGAGGAGGACTACTGATTGCGAAGCCTGATTACAAGAAGGCGTACGTCACGCTGAGAAGTCCGCTTTCGATCAATCCAGGTCTGTTTCCGATTCCGGCGATCGAGGACGATAGGAAGAGAGCGAACAAGCAGTCGGAGACCGGCATTGTTGAGGATCCGGACGCCGCGAAGAAATCTCACTGGCTAGACAATACCCGCGGCGGGAAGGCAAGCAATAGCAGGACGGAACGGCGTCGTTTTGCAGGACGCGGCCGTGGGAGCGGCGCAGAGAGGGCGGAGGCGGCGACGCCGGCGAAGTTTCCGTGGAGCAGTATGAGAGGTTTAGGAAAGTAATTTGATAAGAGAGTGTAATTCTGATGTTATTTTCTTCATCAGAAATTGTTCTGGAAAATAGGTTCCGTCCCTAAACTTTTAACAATTGTTCTGATCATTATTTGTATTCTTAACTCATAATAATTTACTATAACGTCTGAACTATATATATATATATATATAATCGTTCCATGTGACAATAATAATAAACTAATTAATAACATTTTCTTTCAAAAAAGACATTAGTAATAAACTTATTTCAAAGAATAAACTATTATATTATAATTAGAAAAATAATGTCGGCAAAAATGAAAGTGTAAGTTGCTATACATAGTGGTAGAGCATGGGGAGGAGGGTTGGTTGCGTAGCACTTAGCCATTAATCCATTAATCAATCCATCGTCTCTTACCTCTCTCTTTCTCTTTCTTATGAGATCGGATCCATCGTCGCCGGTGTTTTCATCTTCATCTTCATCTTCTTCATAATCTCCTTGGATCAATCAATGGCCGTCGTGTCGCCATTAGCCAAGTACAAGCTGGTCTTCCTAGGCGACCAATCCGTCGGCAAAACTAGCATAATCACGCGTTTCATGTACGACAAATTCGACACCACCTATCAGGTACTTTTTACCTTTTCAATCAATCTATCTGTCTGTCTTCTTCCTTCTTCTTCTCTAGAAGAATCTCTATTTACCTTTTTTCTTATTTTTGTCCTCCAATTCTCTAAATTCCAAGTCGTTTCGCCGTTATAGGCCACTATCGGTATCGACTTCCTGTCGAAGACGATGTACCTCGAAGATCGAACGGTTCGATTACAGCTCTGGTAATTAACACACATATTCCATAAGAGAACACGTCGCCATGGCTGAATTTTTAATCAGTATGCATTTTATTGCTTTTTGTAGGGATACTGCAGGTCAGGAGAGATTCCGGAGCCTTATTCCTAGCTATATAAGAGACTCGTCCGTCGCCGTTATTGTATACGACGTCGCAAGTCAGTTCTCTAAATCACATTTTCTAACCATATACCAATCAAGCACATTAAAAATGATGTATTGTTTATAGTAACATTATGCAGTAAATTAGCACAAGTTGTGTTATAACACAGTGCAGTGCTGAATTCATTATGGTTCATTTACAGATCGACAATCATTTTTGAACACTTCGAGATGGATCGACGAAGTGAGAACAGAACGAGGCGGAGATGTCATTATCGTTCTAGTGGGGAACAAAACGGATCTTGTTGAGAAAAGGTGAGTGAAAGGTTTCATTTCTCAACATCCTTCTACATTGTCCTCGCACAGATTCTAACACATTGGTAAGATGATACACTACAGGCAAGTTTCAATCGAAGAAGGAGATTATAAAGCCCGAGAAGTCGGAGTCATGTTCATGGAAACTAGCGCAAAGGCCGGTTTCAATATTAAGGTAAGAAGAGAACAATAATATGCAATCAAATCATGCACTATAGCTGGAAAGTTTACCCAATTTTCGCCCGTGATTTAGAAGCTATATAAGGTTCCTTCTTAGAAAACATTGCACTTGAGAATCTTCGTATTTTCAAAAGTATTGCACAGAAGCTCCTCAGAAAGAATTTTTGTGCAATATTTTAAAAATTACAAATTTCATGCAATTTCTAAATCCCGAGGAAGAATGGCGTAAAATTTTCAAACTACCTTTTGAAGTTTAACTCAGCAGCAACTTCAGAAAAATGGGTAGCAGAAATATTGATCTTTAAATAATTTTTGCAGCCACTATTTAGGAAAATAGCAGCAGCATTGCCAGGGATGGAAGCACTGACCTCCACAAAACATGAAGATATGGTGGATGTCAACTTGAAACCTACTTCCAACACATCTCAGGCAGACCAACAAGGAGGAGGTTGTTCATGCTAAGACAGCCACACACGCATAACCGAAGACCAATTTATCGACAGGTGGAGCCAAAAAACAAATAGGATTTAGTAGAAAATGTTGGGATTCCTACGTGTACGAACATTTTTTATGATGAAGATGAACATACATTCCTAACTAACATGAAACAGAGCAGTAAGCTGCAGGAATTTTCTGCAGTTATGAATATTGTTTGTAGCTATTTAAATATACAAGAAAGAATCTTTGCATACGAATAAATCAGCTAAGTCGAGACACACTATTTTGCACTTTCACGTAGATCTCATTGAATTGTCAAGAAAAGTAACAGCATTCTAAGCAGAAAATTAGTATGCTAAGGAAAGCCATCAATTGATAGATCAGAACATATGTTGAATAAATATATACATGGGTGAAAACATGCGGACGAGAATTGATAAAGCCAGAACATATGCTAACGAGAAAACAAATGCAGAATGGAAAAAGCTAACATTACTAACTAGATTCATTCACAAAAGACACAAGTATTTCTAAAGGTTACCGGATCTGTCAGCTATTTGCTTCACTCTCAAAGTCAGATATATCAGAATAATAGTTCCCATGCTAGACCTGAGAAGAGTTCAATTACAATTATTATAAAAAAGATGGATTAAAAAAGAGAAGGTTATAAACTTGAGGATTTAATCCAACAATGCACTATAATTGAAGATATGCAACTGAACTTGTTTTTGTCTCTTTTGAATGATCATTTTTTCTCGATTTCAAAATATTGTGTTTACAAGTAGAAGGGTACATGGTTTGGCTGGCTTACAAGACTGAAAACAGGAGAACCACTCTTCTTGAATTGAATGAGGCAGATCGCTTGTATTTCCGGGATCTACTAGAAAGTGTGTCGTGGACTCTCTCTGCCACAAACTTATCTGCTGCAAAAGGGAGACAGTACTCGTCAAATTACTAGTATTATAAAATGTACTCGATGGTAAAATCATTGATCATGTAATATAACATGTGTATACTTTTGGTATGAACAAAGAACAATATAAGATGCACTGTATGAAGAATTTGTGCTTGCATTGAACTTCTAATTTTTTGGGCATTTTCCCTCAACAGTATTAAAATGTGTAGGGTACTTGTACTAACAAAAGGGATTGATTTGATGTTTGTAGAGATTATTGTCCTATTCACTAAGATAAAGAATTATCAGAATGGTTGCAGCTGCTTAACCTCTTGAAATGAACTTCGGTAAGTCTGTCGTGTGGTTCATCAGGAGCTGTGTGAATTTTCCTCCCATTTGTAACCAAATCTCTCTCTGAAACACCCTCTGTTAAAATGCTACATGTTAATTACAGTTCAATATAGTGGGCATTTTCAAGGGCTTGGAACAAATAAACCAAAAGTAAAAAGAATGTATAACTGTACCCCTAAAGAATCATCAGATTTCAAACAGGTAGCAGATTCTTCGATGGACTTGGAAATTTCTGCCTTCCCTTTCTCAGCATTTATGTCCAAGATGCATGCATAGTTATTTGCTTTATCTACTTTTAGGTTGGTGTGAGCTGGAATGTTTGGTTCAGAGTTTAAGCATGATTCGCCTTTCATCAAACCAGGTTCACATGGATGGCGAATCCCTCCTTCATCAGTCATTACCACGATGCTGTGGGCAGTTTGACACTGAAAAATATGATATGAAAGTAAATCACATAAACAAATTAAAGAAACCTAAGTAGCAAGGTGTTGCAGGAATTAAGAGATTTGACAATCATCAACAATCACAAATTGTGAGTCAACAAGACAAAATGATACACATCAACCAAAGTAAGTTGAAGTTAGATCTAAGTGATATTTTCTTTAATATGATGCAGAGAATGTGGTGCCCAAGTAGAATTCGGAGTTCAGATTCTTCCATATTTCAGAAGAATATATGCAGATAAAACCAATAAAAACGTCAAAATTAACAAACCATGCTTATCCACAAAAGAATACTCTCCATACAAGTTTATCACTGTAAGCATCATCAACTGTGAAGTCAATCAGTTATCATATTACACCCAAACCCCATATAGCCTTTGAGGACATCTTTGAAACAATTTTGAGGGGATTGAATTCAAGGATGCAAGACAATGTTACTGTGTATCAAGGACATAAAAGTAGCAAATAACAAAGCAGAAAGTCACTCGATTAAGTGTTTAATGGTGCAGAAATTGCATTCGAGATTAGGTGCTGCTTTTCTCTAATTAGAAATTAACAATAATCTGGAACGATCGAAAAGTCACACCAAGTCACGGATCTGCTGTCGTGCATCCAGTAAAGCTCAGATAGAGATGTGTCTGGGAGAGAATAAATCTCATTTAACTTTGACACCAAACAAAAAATTATTCTTATTCTTTAATTAAGAGAAAGGAAAACGAAGAATAGCTCTATATACACAAAAACATACTAAAAACGAAATATCTTTGCTTACAGAGGAGATAAAGTCAGCAGTCGGCGAATCCAATGATGAAACAAAGCTATCAAAATTTCAGAAGCAAGAAAAAAATCTTTAACGAAAACAAGCAGCAGCGCTAGGTCGCATGAGGTAACATCCAAATCGGAGCAACAGAATCACATTGTCGCACTTCAAAAAACAACAAAATCCGAGAGACAAAACACAGCTCAAATCGAACGAAAAAACCAAAATGCCAAGCTTAAACTCCAGGAATTTCACCTCTTGCTAGAATGACGCCATTGCAAGTTTGCAACTATTAAACAAACCTCCAAAATCCACGAAAACAACGAAACTACATAAATTTTAAGAACAAACACCACACCAAATCCTCGACGAAAACGCACAGACAGCATTGGCGAATTCGCTTCAGTTTACCAAATCAGAGCAACTGAATCACATTCGAGCATCAAAAACCAAAAACTAAACACACAGAAACGCCGAAGCTCAGATACTCCGGACATCAGTCAAATCTCACCTCCTCACGGGAATCGACCGCCATTGCAACAACAAGAGGCGAATAGAAACAGAAGAAACTTCCTCTCCGGCCTGAAATCTCCTCCGCCTCTGACGGCTGCTGCAATCGCACCCAATCCAGGAGCTTATATGCATGTGTGCAAGTGTGCGTTGGAAACAGAGGGTGAGGTGGGGCTGCCGAGTTAAACAGGCACGAACTGCCAGGAAAGCTTCTGATCACGACAAACATATTTCAGCTCTTTTTCCATCGGACACTTTTGCCCTTCCCAATGCTGACTAATGACCGTCACCAAGGAGTGGGGGGCATATTCGTCATTGTACTCCCTCTCAGATGTACGTTAATCCATATAGCGACAAGACGTATTTACTTTTTATTTTCTAAATTTTCCATAAAAGTACACGTCAGTAAAATAATTTCAAATATAATAGTAATAATTTTTAAAATGCAATATATAGAATTAAATAATACAATAATTAAAAAATTGCAAGCAAAGAGCTCGAATCCCGATACTTGTTATGGAAATAAATAAATTGTTATGTCTGGATACGAGTTTCGAAGAATAGTTTAGTGAAAAAAGTATTTATGTTATGTTTATGTTTTAATTAATTAATTATTATTATTTTTTTATTATTGAAAATAGTAAGAAATTGGGTCAAAGGACGTAACGGCTAAGAGAGCGTCGTGTAGCGTCATGTGATGCGAAAGTGATGAGTGATGGTGGAGTCACGGGCGGAGGTCTTATTGTACTGATTCTGCCAATGCAACGTACGTAAGTAACACAACGCTCTATATTACCCTATATATTCATATATCTCCCAATATGAAAATGACTTCTTCTGCTATTATACTCACCTTAATTAAATACTTTGTTATGTGTTCTTTTTATTTACTTTTTCCTTAAATTGTATAAGATAATTTTAATATTTTTACTATTTTATTTTAAGAAATATATTTTTTTTTAAAAAAAACAATCAAATATTTATTTACTTCCATAAAAGATTGTATTAAATTTTAATTTTATATTTTCCAAAAAAATCTATTTAAACGCCATTGTGCCTTATTCATCTGTAAAAGTCTCATTCACCTATTTTCCAGCCAACCTTGATCGTCTGAAAATCAGACCAACTTGTCATTTGGTGGCCATTAAAAATATTACTCTTTCATTCTTTTTTTTTTTTTTTTTTTTTTTTCGCTTTTAAGGTCACATTTATGTATTTAACATTAAAAATAATTTTATATTTGTATAATTTTTTAATAAATTTTACATTTTTTATTTTTATTTGTACTATGTTTTGATATAATAATTAATATTAAAAAATCAACACACAAAATATAAATGAGACTTTAGAGCAGGACGAAAATATTATTATTTTTTAATTTTTTACAATAAAAGGTAAAAACTATTAAAGAAATATAAATCAAAATTCTATATATTTAAAATTCATGTCAAAAAAATTTTAGCACAAATTTTTAAAGATGAAAGTATTTTGAATTCATTCACCTGCTTCGGCTAACCTAACATGTCCGACAATAAAAAGATATTTGTTTTCTTTGATTTTTTAAAAATAATATTAATAAATAATATGAAAATTTTTAATATGTTATATAAACACAATTGAGATTCATTCTTCTATATTCAATTTACTTTTTAATAATTAAATGTAATAATTTTCTTAAATAATAGAAATTCACATTAAAAAAATAAAAATCATTCTAATAAATGCCAAAAAAAAAAAAAAAAACTCAGAAGGAACATAATTTCCGTGAAACTTATCATCGGTTTGGTTGCCAATGACGTTACTATGATCATCCATTGAAATAGTGAACGAGACCTAAATTGAATATATTTAAATAATTTATTATAATTAGATAAAATAAATAATTCTATAAATATCCCAAAAACAAATTCTAACAGCAATTTATTTTATTTTTTCCCCACATTGGGTCAGCAATGCAATAATTGCTCATGCTATATATATACACATCCTTATATAGCATTTAATTAAATTATTTGCTAAATGTAGTGTTTGAAAAGTAAAGAATAAAGGACACATGCTCGTGTTTTGAAATATATATATATATATATTTTGTGTGCGTTTTTATCTTATTTATTTATTTTTATTGAAGTTAGAAAAAGGAGAAGAATTAAGTATACTACTTTATATAGTATATGATTTTAGTTAAATTAATGTAATATTTCAAATATTTTACCATAAATTTTAAGTGAATTTTGTTTTGGTTGAAATTTCAAATTATCAACCAGCCCCACTTTTCAATCTACATTTTACTTTTACTATAATACAAAAAATGTATATTTTTCTAGTGAAACAATAAAAGTAATATATATATATATATTTTCAACTAGAACAAAAAATAATATATATATATTTAGATAATTTGGGCGAAATAGAAGTAATAGTATATTATGTATATATAAGATGCCAATACAAAATACTATTGAATAATATTGTTAAAATGATTAATAATAATTTTTTAATTAATAGTATATTATATTATAAATGATATACTTATTATTTATATTTCTACTTGGAACATATAAAATTATCAATTTCAAGTTACAGAAAAACTTTAAATATAAGTGTTTTCTTTAAAAATGGACACAGGCCCAGTAATAACAAATGGGACCTAAATTTCTGCAAATTTTTATTGCAAATGGGTCAGGGTTTTTCACTGCTTAGACAGACCGCTCATTAATTATTGCTAGCTGGTTACATTAATTATAGTAATATACTCCAATATCTATTTTTTTCGGCGGTAATTAATATTTACATCATGATTTAAATATTACTTTTTTTAAAATATATTTAATTAGGTATCCCTAATTAAAGTCGCGTTCGTTTCATGCTATTGGCAATGACCGTACCGCTTCCATGACTTGTACATCTTAGCAGCGAACAAACAGCGGTACAATTCAACAAAGCAGCAATTGTAGGCACTTTAGGAACTGCAGGAATTGTAACTGCAGGGATCATTACCGCCCGCCGCCCGGCGATGGAAGCAATGACCTGAACAACTGTTACGAATCAGGAATCATTCCCTTCTTCGATATCATTGTTCCTTTCTTTTTCAATCCCATTGATTTCGCTGTCTTCAATTTTCTCATATATATATATGCACACGCATTCTGTATTCTGCGCACAAGGAATTCGTGGTTTTTTCATCGGTGTCAGGCGCTAATTGGTTCTGTAATTCCCGCTCCGAAATGCTGAGCTTGGATAACTGTTTCAGGAGCTTAGTTTCGGTCAACAATGATTTCCCGAGCAATAATTTGCATTGGATCGGCGGATTGTTTCCGGAAGAGTCATCGCCGGCGTCGTTCGTTTCGTTGATTTCTCCGCCGGCGAAGATTCGGTGCGTTTCTCGGAGGAGCCGAAGGAGAGGATTGATCGGCGGTGGGCCAGGGCGGAGGGGGTTTCTGTCGGTTACTTTGTCTTCGATTGACGGTGATAGCGACGGTGAAGGGCGGTACGGCGGCATTTCAACGAGGGGAGTTTTGGAGAATATTGGGGAAAGGAGTGACGGCGAGAGAGAAGAGGATGCGTTTAGAGAGGTTGTCAGGGAAGAGAGGAGTGGGGCTTTGCAAGGAGTTGGTGGGAGCACTTTGAACACCGCCAAGCATCTATGGGCTGGTGCTGTTGCAGCTATGGTCTCCAGGTTTGTGCTTGTTTGTATTCCCTCACTGTCGTTTTCTTTGCATCTGCATCTGTATGTAAGTACCAAAAATGGGTGTGATGTGGTAGTGGTTATTGATTCTTACGGTGATAGGGATTTGTGATTGATTGATTAGATTCTTCGTTAATGGAGGAATGAAACACATTACAATTGCCTGTCGGGATAGCAAGCCATAATGAGCTAACATGTTGCATTAACACTATTTGATGTGGTAATGTTTGTGTAACAGAAGCACGTGTAATATGTAGATTGATCTTAAATTTCATCCTTTGAATGGAAGGAATTGAAAAGAAGAATTAACGAAAGGAGAACATTCCCCTTGCTTTGATATAGATTTTCTGTATAATTTTGATCCAGAAGTTCTTATTATCTTTTCCTTTATGAAGCTCTGTGATTGATTGGCATAGGGCAAAAGATCTTTCCTTATTGAAACAGATGGAATTCTCCACAGATTCTTTGTGCTGTATTTGTTTAAAGCCGAAAACAAGTAATTTTTGGTTGTGAAGATGATCTGTTGGTTGTTCTTCCATATTGCCTCAAATTTAGCTCTTGTATTTGTTTGGGTAATTTGCAATATGACTATCAAGAGAGCCCAAGCAAAACTTAGGAGGACGCATATGTCGACTGGCTCAGTCGAAGGTAAATTCACTAGGTGTGTGGTGTGTAAGGCTGATTTTAGAACAGGAAGTAAGTCTTGCAATCATCAGTTGTCGCATTCAATGATTCTCTCTAGCTATGATCCTAAACCAGTGTATTGCAGGTTCAGAATGTCACTTTATATATATGTACTCTATAAAACATCAACTATGTGCATTACTTTGTTTCTAGAGTGGAATAAATCTGTATGATTTCCACTTTCCTATCATATACATCTTTCCATAGTTTATTGTCTGTCCCCTCTTATAAATTTTGCATCTAGATATGATTCTCGGCACTTTCTATTGACAGTTAGTAGTCAGCAAGGTCAAATACTAAATGCAAGTCTCATATAGTGAGGAATTGTCACATAGTTTATCACTATATTTTGCAACATTCTTCTGGGACTAGGTATCACTGCCAACAAGAAGCTCAGTTATAGTTTCTACGACTACTTTTATCTCAATAATCGTCTTTCTTAGTTGATTCAAACCAATCAGCATTATACATATACAGCTAAGGCAAGTTATATAGTTTCAGCTGGGAGAAAATTTCGAGTGGAATGAGATTTGATTACACCCTTTTATGACCGGAGTATATCATAATGAATAGTTTTTTGACTATTGCTAACTGCTCATGTGCTCTATGTTGTAATCTGCCGTTGAATTTGTTTAACCATTTTGCATTTCCTTTTCATGCCAGAACTTTTGTTGCCCCTTTAGAAAGATTAAAGCTGGAGTATATAGTTCGTGGTGAACAGAGGAATCTTTTCGAGCTTATTAAGTCAATAGCAGCTTCCCAAGGGATTAGAGGATTCTGGAAAGGCAATTTTGTCAATATTTTGCGAACTGCACCGTTTAAGGCTATCAACTTCTATGCTTATGACACCTACAGGAGTCAATTGCTCAGATTGTCTGGTAAAGATGAGACAACAAATTATCAAAGATTCGTTGCAGGTGCTGCCGCTGGAATTACAGCCACTGTGTTTTGCATACCTATGGACACTGTGAGCAATTGCTTCTTTCATTCTTAAACAACATTATTCTTGAATGATTAATCAATTGCTTGAGTTTCTTGAAGCCACATTATTTTCTTTTCATACCTGTGATTGATTGCGTGACTGATAGAGCTTTGTCTCAAAGCCGAATCTACAAATGATGGTTTACATCAGTTATTATTGGAAGGTTATGTTTACAATACTAATGGCAATGAATGATTTTATTGTGATTAACTTTGTCTAGAAAAATCGTGCAAATAATTAAATTTATGTCATGTTTTAGAAAACTAATGAGCTGCAAGAAGCACTCCCCCGTCCTTTGAGCTTTTAGTTTACTACTACTTTTATTTTTTAAGTGTGGTTATAAGCTTCTGTTTAAGCATTTGCAAACCCTTTGATCGAGATCCAACATGAACACAATGTTATAAGCTGTGCTGATGTTTCAGATCAGGACAGTAATGGTAGCTCCGGGAGGTGAAGCCTTGGGTGGAATCGTGAGTGCTTTTCGCCACATGATTCAAACCGAAGGATTCTTTTCTCTGTATAGGGGCTTGGTTCCCTCGATAATAAGCATGGCACCTTCAGGCGCTGTCTTCTATGGAGTTTATGATATATTGAAAACGGCATTTCTGCGTTCCCCTGAAGGCCAAAAAAGGCTTCAACATATGAAGCAACAAGGCGATGAGCTGAATGCTATGGAACAACTTGAGTTGGGTCCTGTCAGAACTTTAATCTATGGAGCGATAGCTGGTGCGTGTTCTGAAGCTGCTACTTATCCGTTCGAAGTTGTCAGAAGACAGCTCCAGATGCAAGTTAAGGCTACAAAGATGGGGGCAGTACAAACTTGTCTGAAGATAGTCGAGCAAGGTGGCGTCCCCGCACTCTATGCTGGATTAATCCCTAGTTTGTTACAGGTATGCACTGAAATGTGTTTTGCTCCTATGCTTCAAAGGTACTTGCAAAAACTTCTGCTTTTGCCTTCCTTAAATGTTTGAAATAGGACTATGAGTCATTGCAAGTAGATAGAAATGGTTGATTATAATGTATTTGGCTTAGCGAAAATTTGATTCTTATACTTAAAATTTTGCCTCAAAAAACATTTTGAACCTTAATCATGACATAACTGTTCTTTATTGGGTAAACTGTATTGAACCTTAATCATGAAATATTAATTTGTTTTATCATAAATATACAAAATACCCCTGTTTTATTTATTGTGCAAGTATTATTTATATTTCAAATAAAATTATTTAAAACATTTCATTCCCTTTATTTAGCATAATTAGATGTGTATTGACATGAACAAGATGTTTTGTGTATAGTTTAATACTATGATACAAGGGAATTTCATGCCGTAAATAAAATATGAGTAAATATGATTTTTGTTAGATGATGTTAACGATGATTTTATCTAAAAAACTTAAGCTTGCGATACACACTATTTATTTATTTTTATATTTTTACCGAAGTCAATCAACAATTTTTGTAAAAACTTTACAGGATTTACTAGAAATCCCGGAACACCTGCACAACGGCTGGTTGATTTTATGGAGAGATGTTTATATTATACGCATGATTACATCATTTGATGTTTCTTTTGATAGGTTTGTAAAAGATTTGCTTTGACTTTAATATTATAATAATGTATGATAGGATGTTTTTGTGAGGAAAAAATATATTTTTTTCGTAGAACGTAGAGTTCAAATAATAAAAACTTGAGTTTTTTTAGGCAAAAGAAACAAGAGCATTTTGGGTAAGAATGTTTTAAAGTTTTGTGTTTCGAAGTCATACCAATCTGATATGCTCCTTGACCTTGATGGTGATATAGTTAGACACAGTTTGTAGATCAAACAACAATTGATCTAAATATTATTAACTTATGCATCGAAGCAAACAAGCTCTAATTTTGCATTTCTAAATTTACAGGTGTTGCCGTCAGCTGCCATTAGCTACTTGGTGTACGAGTTCATGAAGATCGTTCTCAAAGTCGAATAAGAATGTATCAGAACTTCTTGACTAACCGAGTGAACTTCTCATAACATTCGACGACTAGACTCACAATTCTTGTATCTTTGCCGCGGTGTACATCCCATACGAAGCTTCTGATAAGGCCGTGTTCGGATTTGCAGATTCTTTCGTTTTGCTTCCAGCAGCACATTGGAGGGGTAATATATCGTACAGCCAGTATTTGGAGAATGTACGTGGTTTCGAGTATAAAGGTCAGGTTTTGTTACCATGGCCATGTTATTCTTGTGTTTCAGATATGATTCGATCAGTTTGGTTGGCGAAGATCACGTCATACAATTGCTGCTCGTGCTTTTCTTTTTTAAGGAAAAGATGGATGAAAATGAACTCCGATGTAGGTTCGGACATAATCTGGTTTTTGTTCGAATGAGGGAGTTTTGATCAAATATTAGATGCTTAAAATGACAGGCACAAGTGAAGAGATGCTTATGGGGATATGTTTGGTTTGTATTTTAATTTTAAGTTTTGAGTTAAATAATGGAATTCTCAATAAGCTAATCTTGCATTAATAATGAAATAAGGGGTTTATTAGTAAGACTAGTACAAACTAAATAAATTCAAATAATAACAATTTAATCTAATGAATTTAACTGAATAATAATGACTCAAATTAGATAATAAAATTCTAATTTGAATATTTAAAATATTTTTTTTTTATATCCTTTTGTTTCAATTCATATAAAAAAAATCCGTAGAAAAAATAAATTTTGTACCAACTAAAATATGGTATTATTACTAGAACATATTGCAAATATACATTGTATATATATATATATATATATTGTAATATTATAGAATACATGTAAAAAATTTGGTTGAAGAACACACTCTAATTTATTCTTGCATAAAATATTTGTCAATTTTTCTCATTTGTGTTTCTTTGAAATAAAACCGTAAATAATTTTATTTTATAAGGAAGAGGATATTTTGTCCCTTTCTTCTTTAACTATACATTAACTTCACGTATTATTTATTTATTTATTTATTTTTTGATAACTTCACGTATTTTTATTCCTTCAATGTACGTAGATAGTTGTATTTATTTTAAAAGTTAAAAGATATTAAACTATGTATATTTTAGTACAAATGCTATCGATACTTTGTTTTGTACTTTTAATTTGAAATGTTTTTTTATATTAAATATATATAAAGAAATATATGCAGTGTTTTCTTAATAAAATGTATGTATACATATTATATTTTTTTGTGACATTGTGATACAAAATATGAATTTTATAAAATACTACTATAAATTGAAACAATATAAAATGGCTGCAATAAATAAATATTTATAAATAATACTCCCCGCGTCCCATATAAAATGTCTATATATTTTTTTTCCGATTGTTTCACATAATTTATCATTTATTTTTTTATAATATAATTATACTATATTTTAATCACATTTCACATTTTATAATTCATAATTTTTCTAATCTTAATCAAACTATTTATTTATCTTAATGTTAATTTATAATTATTTATATTACACAATATTATTTTTACTAATACAATTTTTAATTATTTATTAATTATATTTCTTCTTATATCTACGTTAACGTGAATAGTTTTAATGAGACAAAAGAAATATTAAGGTGTATTATTTTTGTTTTTTGTTTTTTTTTTCACACTTCAAAAAAGAATACGTTATATATCTTTATTATTTTTATATTAGCTACGTAATTCTTTATATTTCACATAAAAAAAAAAAAAAAATTATTTCTTCAAATTATTTTACAAAACAAATACAATATAAACATACATTTGTGTTTGCATAGCTCTCTCTCTCTCTCTCTCTCTTTCTTTCTGCTTTGGACTTTAAGACAGATCCAGAGGAAGTTGCTTTCACATTATTAAAATTTGTTCCCTTTCTTGCAAGGGCACACACACCATGCTTATCTATCCATACATATACATATATATAGCTCTAATCGTGATCCATTTCTCCTCAATAATTCACATTCATGTAATTTGATTTTACTTGCATATTACAATCAATATCGATCAAATTAGAAGCAGAAGCAGAAGCACTGGAAATGAAGACAACTGTCTCTCAGTCAGACCTCTCTACCTTCGCCTCCCAACATGTTCAAAACTCTCTTCCTAGGTCAGTATAATATAAATAAATAATTTAGGATTTTCAAAATATCACATTATAGACCGATAGAAAATAATATAAATATATTCGTACAAAATACTTACAAATAAGTATAAAAAATATACATATAATTTCAAATAAATACAATATCCAGGTTCAAGATGGCGGAGAATTCGATCCCAAAGGAGGCTGCGTATGAGATAATAAAGCACGAGCTGATGCTGGACTGGAATCCCCGTCTGAACCTCGGCTCCTTCATTACCTCATGGATGGATCCCGTATGCGATAACCTCATCTTCCACACCATTAACAAGACCTACACCAACCTCGACGAGCATCCCATCACCACCGATTTCCATGTAATCTATATACCCTTTCATCTTCTTAAAAACATGTTAATTTTTTTGTATTTTTTTCATGTGGAACTTAGAAATATTTTTATTTGATAAAAAATTATATTTCATATGTTCAATGATAAAGTATATTTTTTTGTTTTTTTTTTAAATTTTCATTTATCTACGTGGTAATAATAAAGTGTATATATATATTTTTAGTAATTATGAATTTCACTATTAATACAAATACATAGAGTATATATTTACCATTATGTCATTATAATCTCTTTTTTATATAGTTTATTACTATAAAAGATAAAAAAATAACATATTGGATTTCACTTACTTTAAAATATTGTGTCCAAAAGTTTGAGCCGAGAGGGAGCATATTCTAAGATAATAAATCGAATATTTCATTTATTTCAGTTTTTTTCTCTAAATTTTATCTTCACTTCAAGATACTCTATTTTTTTTCCTCTAAAAGAATATTTCATATATTCCTTATTTTAAATAATTAAATAACATTTATTCAATTTATTAACTTCTAAAATATTTTTTTTCCATAAATTAAATTTATGTATAATATAATGTTAATTTATTTTGTATTATGTAATATTTTAATAATATGTATGTTTATTGTAATATTCAGTGTTAATTTATTTTATAAAATTGAAGGATCCAAAGGGAAAATAAAACAATCCTCCATATTATTAGAGAAATGCTACTCCATTTCAGAGGAATTTGGAGAATTCCTTCATTTTCTGAGTCTGCTGAAGAACCCTAATAATTCTAAAATTTCTTAATTATTAATAATTCGATTGATCTGATCTGATCTGATCAGAATCAGTGCGTTAACATGATCGCCCGCCTCCTCAACGCTCCGCTGGCCGCCGCCGAGCCGGCGGCCGGAACCGCCACCGTCGGCTCATCGGAGGCAGTAATGCTGGCCGGCCTGGCTTTCAAGCGCAAATGGCTTAACAAAATGAAGGCTTTAGGCAAACCCTACGACAAGCCCAACATCGTCGCCGGAGCCAACATCCATGTCTGTTGGCTCAAGTTCGCCCGCTACTTCGACGTCGACCTCAGACTCGTCAATCTCTGGCAAGGCCACTACGTCATCGACCCCCACAAGGCCGTCGCCATGGTCGACCAGAACACCATCTGCGTCGCCGCCGTCCTCGGCTCCACCTTCAATGGCGAGTTTGACGACGTCGAAACCCTAAACCACCTCCTCATTCAAAAGAACACTCAAACTGGGTAATTAAGCAAAATTCACATGTAAATTTATGAAAATTGCACAAACCTGTTGTTTAAAAATGAATTGCAGATGGGATACTCCGATCCATGTGGATGCTGCGAGCGGGGGGTTCATAGCCCCCTTTCTGTACCCAGATCTGGAGTGGGATTTCAGGCTGCCATTGGTGAAGAGCATCAATGTGAGCGGACATAAATACGGATTAGTTTACGCCGGAATCGGATGGATCGTCTGGAAGACCAAACACGACTTGCCGGAAGAGCTCATCTTCCATACAAACTACCTCGGCTCCGATCAGCCCACTTTCACTCTCAACTTCACTAGAGGTAACAAACAAATCAATCAATCAATGATTGATTGTCTATGGTTGATCGAGTTTAATTAATAATTGGTGTAATGTAGATGAATTTTGATTTGTTAGGTTCGAGCCAGGTGATTGCGCAGTACTACCAGCTGATTCGATTAGGGCAGGAAGGGTACCGGAAAGTGATGGAGACCTGCCGGGAAACCGCCATGGTGGTGAAGGCCGGTCTGGAGAGAACCGGCCGGTTCAACATTGTTTCTAAGGACGACGGCGTCCCGTTGGTGGCGTTCAGCCTCAAGGACAGCTCCCGCCACGACGATTTCGAGGTGTCGGCGATGCTCCGCCGGTTCGGCTGGATTGTGGCGGCCTACGCCATGCCCGCCGACGCCGAGCATGTCACCGTCCTGCGCGTCGTCGTCCGGGAGGATTTCTCCCGGACCCTCGCCGACCGCTTCCTCGTCGACGTCCAGAAAGTCCTCCACGAGCTCGACTGCCTCCCCGCCGGCGAAAAACAGAAGAATACGGTCGTCGCGGCGCCGCCGTGACAGGAAGTAATCCGTCGGCGAGAGGAAGATGACGAATGGCGTTTGCTAGGGCAAATGTATTATTAATTAATTTTAATTTGGGAATTGATATATATATACTATTAATTAAAATATATTAATTGCAAATTTTAGAAAAGGCCCAGGACCGGGACCAGGCCCAGGCCCAAATAATATAAATTTTAGATCATCGTCTTCCTCCGATCAGTAACTTTGTGTTGTGACCTCCACGAAAATGGAAGAGAACAGTTCAACGGCGGCGGCGGCGGCCATGGAGCGTAAGCACGCAGCAATGATGGAGCGCCTATCCAACCGTCACACCGCTCGTGCATCCGGAAAACAACAAGATCTAAACTCCTCATTCGCATCCACCAATTCATTTCTCTCTCGATTCGCGGAATCCAAGCAATCAATCGAATCTCAGATCTCAGAGATCCGCTCTATTACCGATCCGAGCCCTAAGCCTCAATTGGAATCCATTTCTCTCGAAATATCCGATCTAGAGAAACTCGTCGCGGAGAATTCCTACGTTCTGCCGCCCTACGAAGTCCGGACCTGTCTCAATACAGTCGCGCAGCTCAAACACTCCCTGGATGAAGCCACCTCACTCATCGTCCCGAAGAAGAAATTCTCCTTCAAAAACAAAACCTCCAAAAAGGCCACAACCACAACCACAGCCACAATTCCAGATCAACAAAACGGCGTCGTTCTCGAAACCAATCCGAAATCGGGGGAGCTAGGGTATACCGAATTGAACGCGACTGCATCACCTGGATTCCGAAACAGAGAGAATGAGGCGTTGGCGAAGGAATTCAGCGGCGGCGAGTTCATGCTCTCGGAATTGAAAGGCTGTGAGGTAAAATTGAAGGGATGCTTAAGGGCACTGTTTGTGGACAATTTGATAAATTCTAGGGTTTATGTTGGGGCAGTGATGGGGTCAGTTCTGATTGAGGGAGCCCAAGGATGTGTTTTCATTATAGCTTCGCATCAAATCAGGATCCACAATGCGAAGGATTGCGATTTCTATCTCCGGGTGAGGAGTAGGCCGATAATTGAGGATAGTAATGGCATCAGATTTGCTCCATTTTGTCTGAGGTATGAAGGGATTGAGAAGGATCTTGGTGAAGCATGTCTTGTGGAGGAGACAGGGGATTGGAGCAATGTCGATGATTTCAGATGGCTAAGAGCTGTGCAGTCCCCAAATTGGTCGATTTTGCCAGAGGATCATCGAATACGAATGGTGGATGTATGAGGTAATTTGTTCTGTTTCAGATTTCTGCAATTCATTGCATTCTCTCCTTTGATGAAGATGAAGATGAAGATGAAGATGAAGATCGAGATATTGTTTATTTTTGATATATTCTTTATCTCAAAAAAATTGAATATTTTTGAGAAAATTGAATACTGTCAATTTTTTTTGCAGAGTCTAACATAGTAGGATTCCAAACCCTCTGAAATTGGGCTTAGAAAACAAGATTTGTTTATGCTAAAAATATGGGCCTCAACAAACAAGGCCCGAAAGTAATGGGCCGGCCTGAATTAAGGAATAAAATTAGATTTGAACAATATGAAAGATTGTATACAAGAAACAGTGAACTACACTATAAGAAATATAAATAGAAGATGATAAATTTGGGAATTATAAAATTAGCAATTTTTATATTATATTATTATTAACAAATCCAATTTTTATATAATAATCAAGTGTCAAAGTCAGTTCTCACCATCAACTTTGCGTTAGTAATATATGATGACGTGTCACGGCCAATTCATCCGCCAAATAATCAAGGGGGTTTGGTTCAATTATAGATCTTAGATTATATGTGTGTCTATATAAATTTCTATTAAATTATTAAACTAATCACTACTTAATGAATACAAATCATCACTCTACTCAATATTCAAATAATGGGAATTGTTATTATTTAAGTCTCCAAACAAAGGATCTGACAGTTGGGAAAATTGAGACACAATCAAATATTAAAATCAATGTCTTGTAGGAGACTTTACCTGTCACAATAGTTTTTATTTTGTGGGTGGGGGGAAAAAACGACAAGAGTCTCAAGTGTCACTTTGCATCAATTAATTTAATTATTAGTCAAAATGGACTACATATATTAATTATTGCATCAAATATACAAATTATATTGATTGCTACAAACTACAATAATATCTTCTCACACAAAAATTTAACATAAATTAAATTTAAATGTGAACAACACAATAATTAATCTATTTGTACTTGTTTTTAAATATTAATTATCAAACTTGCATTATCTGTATAAAACACATTATTTAAACTAAAGGGGGAAAAAAATTATAATGAAAATGAATCATGAATGGCCATGTAGTGGTAGGGAGGGATTAATTTTATATTAAATGTAATATATATATATATATTCATTTTATAATTTTAATTTCATATTTTATTTTATACACAACATTTTAATTATATACAATGCACACTTATCCATACTTCATCTTTGTGTTTAAATGATTTTTATAGACGATATTGAATTATATAAATTGTTGCCTTTTTTTTTTTAAAAAAAAAAATATTAATATTTCTATCCTGTATTAATATATAATGAAATGCAATGAAGTAATATATTTAAAAAATAATACATATTTTTAAAAATGTATATATTCAAATATTCAAATAATATATATAATTATGAATACCGTGCTTAAGAATGATTAAATCCTAATTATAATGTATACATTTACACGTTAAATTAATGCATTGATAACTAGTTAAATTGAAATTAGCCTCTAAAAATAAATGCATTATTTTATTAATAAACTAAAATATTTATTTATAATTAGAAAAAAAAAATAATATTTTATTTAGATATGAATTGGGTAGAAGAGTATGTCAACAAGCAACTTAGTTTGTTTAGCTAAACACTAAAAAACAAAATTTGTCATTAATTTAATAATCACTTTTTATTTATGAATTTAAAAATATTAAACTTCCATCCGACAGGGAACCTTACATCAACAAGCAATATGGTGTGTGACATTTTTGAATTTATAATATCAATTTTATCAATTAAATTTACAATTTCTAGTAAAGTCTTAAAGTGTGAAGCACAAGATTAGAGAGAGGCTTAATATTCTAGTTTAATTTACTTATATATATATATAATTCATGCACTCAAGTTGGCCACTTTATAGGAGTAATTATTATTATTATTATTAGTTTTTTTACAATGTATTTGCTTTCGAATGTTAGAATATTCTTCAATAGTTTATGTAAACTTTATTTAATATACATTTTTATTATCATTATTATTTCATGTTAGTGTAAAGTGTACACAAAACTCCTATTGCCATAGAATTTATGGACAAAATTTGTAGGAACATTAATTAGTTGCCTGAAAAAATACTTCAAGAAAAAAAAATTGCGATGAATTGAATTTTTGGTGTGTGACGTGAAATTTTTTATAAAATTAAATAATTAATTTGATATTTTCAAATAGAAAAAATTTATGAACAATGAAAAACTAACAAAAACCCACAAACAAGCACACTAGTGTTTATATAGGTTTTTAGTATTTTTGTTATGATATATGAAGAATTGTGAAAGTATTGATAATAGAATAATATTTTTTGTATTTTTGTTAATTTTTAGGATGTGTTTGTTTTGCGAAATCATTTTTAAAGATATTTTATAAGTGAAGTACAGATAAGTTTGTAAATAATATAAAAATGATAAATGTGTGTAATATATTATTATTATTTTTTTATAAAAACGTACACACTCTTGTATACATTATATATTAATTTTAATACATTTATTTTTGACAAAAAAAAAATTAACAAACTTTATTATTATTTAAATAGTAGTTGCTATTATTAAATTATATAAAAATATTTATACCATTACTAAAACTAATGGTAATGTAATATTTATGATTGTAAATTAATAAATATAAAAATATGAGCACTTGTAATTGGTAGTAGACTTTATAATTAGTAACAAAAATGAAGTATTTTAGACAGAAAAATATTTTATATGTATATATTATAGATGAACAGAAGAAGTATATTAAATTTTTTAAATAATATATTTTTATGAATTGTATATAAGAAAATATTATATGAATAACTCTTAACTTTTTTACTAACCAATAAGGTATAGTTCATGTGGTTGAGCATTCTTTGGTATTTGGAAAATTTAATCTCTGGAGTGTGGGTGGGTAAAAAAATAATAATAATAATCTTTTTCTTATACAATTCTCGTTATCCTTAATAAGATATATATATATATATTTTTTGATAAAATATCTCTCAAATAGATATACTAGTTAAACAAATGCAAATGCAAATGCAAAGAAAATACAGTGAGTTCAAAAAGTCCAATAGGTCTTACTTCACCAAATATATTTATCTGTCATATAAATAATTTTAATTTCAAACCTAAACTGATCATATGATTATTTAATTTACATTAATTTAATTTGTATGTACTAATAAACTGTCAATTCATCCCAATTACTTGAGTCAATGGATCAATGACGTTTCCTACTCAACTTTCTCAAGCCACCCCTTTTTTAATAATAATAATAATAATAATAATAATAATAATGATGGTAAATTATATAACAGTGATTTAGTAAAAATGCACGAAATACTATGTATTTTATTTATTAGGTGAAATTTCATTGTGTTAATGTAAAGTTTGCACAAAACACCCTATTGTCCAAAACTGATATTTGGTTATAATAAAAGATCTAAATTACGCAAGTTTTATACAAATAAAAAACATAAAATATTTTAAATAATTTTTTTAATAAAAAAATAAAAAAATAATTGATCAATCATATAATAATCTGTTTCCAAAAACTATAAAATAAAAGATTAATTAATTATTTACTTATTTATTTTATTAAAAAAATTATTTAAAATATTTTTTATTTTTTATTTTTATTAAACCTGCGTAATTTAGGTATTTTTTTTAAATCAAATATCAGTTTTAAATAATTAGGAATTTTTTTGCAAATTTTATATTAACACAAGAGAATTTCACACAATAAATAAAACACAGGGTATTTTGTGCATTTTTAGTAAAACATAGGTATCATATAATTTACCCTCGTAATAATAATATCTTTAAATGAAATTTCATTATATATACTCATACATTTTAGCAATATAAACTAATCGTAATTAATTAATTATGTATGGAAATTAATTACTTAATTAACTAATCAAATTAAAATAGAAACAACACAACAAAGATTTATCTATCTATTTATTTATTTATTGCATTATGCGTGTAAATCGATTAATCCTTAATTACTTAAAGTCGATCTGTCGGCTTAGGTTTTGTGGGCCATACACAGCTCATACAAGTGCCACGTAGTATGTTTGTTTTCATTTTGTGTAAATATATGTGGTTTTTTTTTAAAAAAATAAATTCCTAACACATTTTTTTTCCAAAAAAAAATATATATATTATAGATTATTATTATTTATATAATTTTATATTTTATATAAAAAAATTTCTTTTAAATCAAAATACAAAACAAACAAGCAAACTGGGTTTTTTTTTTTCTATTAGTATAATATTTAACATATATAATATATATTTTCTTAAAAAAATTATATTCAATTCAAAATATTTATTTAATATCATCGGTATGATTACTTATATTATAAAAATATTTCAAATTAAAATATTAAATAAATACATTCATAGTATTAAAAATTAATGAACCACACGCATTCATTCAACACATCATGCATCCATTCGGGATCAAATTCGAAACCTTGCCATACATGTTATTGTGTCATAAATAGCCAGGCGCAATATTAGTCTCAACGAAATGTTAGTTGAAACTACTTATGAAGTGTGTTGTGTGAATATATTTTATGTGCCACAAAATCAATTAGTAATATGTGGTTTTTTGAAAAATTATTATATATTTTTAATTTATGTGTTGCATTTGTATTATATTAACATAAATAATACTCCCTCCGTCCCATGTAATATTGGTATATTACTGTAGACACGAGAATTTAGGTAAAGTATAATTAGTAAGTAATTAAAAAGTGTATTAGTAAAAATAATTATAGATTAAAATTAAGATAAGTAAATAGTTTAATTAAAATTAAGAAAATTATAAAATTTAAAATTTAAAATGCGATTAAAGTGTATAATTATATTTTCAAAAATAGAAAGAACAAATTACGTGGGACAGCGTAAAATAGAAAATAAGGACAAATTATGTAGGATAGAGAAAGTATAATATTATATCATATGTTTTTTTTTATATATATATACATATACAATGTGATGTCAGCACTGTGTTTAGAACAGTAACTGTCGCCTAATAACATACACATTGTGATGATAAAAATATTGACATATATTGCATATAGGTTATAATCATGTATTGTTAATCATAATATTCATTTTTTTATGTGTGTACTTACTGTGCCGAAATCAATAATATAATAAGCCAAATGAAATTATGTCATGTGCAGTCAAAATATGTATTGTATATTTGATTTATCATAAATGTGATGTCGGATATGTATTTTTTTTTCTTATATACATACTGATTTGACCCAACCAGTAACGTAACTGAAATAATACTTCCTCTGTCTCATATTTATCTATGTGTTTACTTTTTGCACAAAATTTTTAAGAATATTGTTATTATACTGGGGGTGTAGTAGGAATAAAAGTAAAAAAAATTAAAATGTCCTCAAGATACAAATTTATTTTAGTGGTATAATTGTAATATAATGTAAGTTTAAGGTAATTGTAACAATAAGTAGGTATTAGAGTTACTAAAAAAACAAATAGAGATTTTATTTTTGAACGGACAAAAATAAAAAAATGAATATATAGTTAATGTCCGGATATGAGTATATATGTATATATATGGGTAAATTATTTTTTTTAGTCCCGTAACTGAAAGCCCTTATCATTTTAGTCCTGTAAGTGGAGTCTGTTGCAAACTAGTCCCATAAGTGGAAAATTTTTGTTGTTTTAGTCCTCCGGCACCAGAGAAACCCGCGTGGCTCGCCGGAAGCCACGTGTCCGCCAGGTGTTGCTGACATGGCGGACACGTGGCCCACGTGGCTCGCCGGAAGCCACGTGTCCGCCAGGTGTTGTTGACCTGGCGGACACGTAGCCTCCGGCGAGCCACGCGGGCATCTCCGACGCCGGAGGATTAAAACAGCGAAAAATTTTTTATTATAGGATTAGTTTGAGACAGACTCCACTTACATGACTAAAATAATGAGGCCCAGTTACGGGACCTTAAAAAAAAAAACAGTTTAGCCTGTATACATCAAATAACAAATGCATTATGTCTAGATATAGGAACAGTTACTAACAAATGCATAAAAAAATAAAATAACAATAAAGGAAGAAGAAAAGAATGGGAACGAAATAGAATTTATGGGAAGTTTGATGCAACAACTTGCACAAGGTAACCTACACCACTCTCTATTTGGTCAAATTTTTAATTTCTTTCACTTCTCTCTCAAGTAATCCTTTTTTTCAATATATATATATATATATATATATGATATTAATGTGCCTAATTCAATTATAAATTCAATATAAGTAGACTGAGATATTGTTATATATATATATATATAATTCTCTGTATACTTGGAGCTTAATTCAATTCTTTTTTTTTTTTGAATTACACACTTCTCACGATTTTCTCTAAATATATATATAAATATATATATATTTCTGAAAACATCACATTCAAGGTATAATTAATCAAACCAAAATATAGAATAAAATACAAAACAAACCCTAAGAAATGTATTTATTTATTTTTGTAAAAAATCTCTCTCTATATATATATATGTTATATGTAAGGAAACAAGATTATGGGGCCCTTAGTGCATGTGTTCTTTACGCTTCGTGAATTTTTATTTTAAAAATTGTGTACGAGTTTAATTAATAAAATATAAAAATAAAAATGTATTAGATGGTTGAATAAAATTAAAAATCTGCCATGCAAAATCGTGAGTGACGAAAGGCTGCCCCTCTGTTGCGTGCATGCATGGGATATCGCTACGTAAGTATTCCTCTGACCAAGGGAGAGGGGCTCACCTTTAGAAGATCCAGGGGCCTCTGAGCCAGCACACCAGGCCGCCAATGTAATGGTGTCAAGTGTGGACGCGTTTAGATGCTCTAGTCCCTGGACCTGTAGAACCGGGCCCGTCATCACTTGTCTCCTCGTTTTTGCTTTTATTATTATTATTTTGGTTTTTATATAGTGACTTGTTCGATGATCGATCTTTGAAGCACATTAATTAATTCGTCAATACTTTATTATAAAAATCGAAATTTTTGTCCTAAAGTTTTACAATCCTATTCAATAACTTATGCTGTCTTTGTTTGAATTTTTAGAACCCAGATTCTGAAACTTTACATTTTAAGTGAAAATAGACTATCGAATTAATCACATATTACATATAATATATATATATATATTACAACACACTACTTATACCCATTTTTAATTAAAATAATTTAATATATATATATATAAAAAGCGTAATTTAATTATGTCATTTTAAATATATATATAAATATATACACACATTAGATTCTTTTTCACCTTATAATATACATTACCACATTTTTGGGCTAGTGTAGGTTTAAGTTTGGTGTATTTAGAGTTGGGAAAAACTGACCCGACACAACAATTCGACACAACTCAACACGAAATAATTGAGTCTGGGTCTAAGATTTCAATCCGATTATGTATATGCGTTGACACGAATCCGACACGATAATAAACGGGTCGGATTAGGGTTGAGACTCTTAACTCGAACCCGACACGACAACCCGATTATAATATATTAATATTTATTATTATATTTATTATATATGTAAAATAATCATAATTTAATAATTTTCTCATAACTTAATTCAAACTAAGTTCAATTTTAAGTAATTCAACCTAATTTACGCTCAAATCAATAAAAACTAACATACCACGACAACATAACAAAAAATTATTTAATTTGAATCAAAAAATTCGACTTAATTATGTATACAGGTCAAAACGAGTCAACCCGAACCCGACACGATAATAAACGAGTCGGATTAGGGTTGAGTAATTTAACCTGTTTAAAATATTCAACCTGACACGAATCAACCCATTGTCAGGTCTAAGTGTATTGACCTCTCATTTGCCTATATTTACATTACATTCTTTTTTCTTTCTTTTTTTTTTTTTTTTTTTTTTTGCTTTTAAAAGTTTTGACATTATTCATAATTTTATTTTTTTTCTAAAAAAAAAAACATCAAAAACCAACATTTTATTATTTTTAGAATTTAATTTCCAAAAGTTCAAAATTCTTATATAAATAAAACTTTAATAGATACACATATATATATATAATTTACATTTATATTCATATGGTTTTCGAATTTTCGAATCATATATAGTAACCAACCAAATTTGAAGAAGGGCATTGCAAGTAGAAACAATGGTGTCATTTAAAAAAAAAAAGAAAATTTACATAAAAATATTAAATATAACATTTATTTATATCATAATATATTATTTATTTTTTAGTCTAAATTTTTATTATTTTCAAAACTATCTATGAATGCAAGGTGAAGGGTATTCTTGTCATTTCAAAAAAGAAAGATTATGTGGGGTCCCACCGAAAGGCCACAATGCATGGTGATGATGGTGATGATGATGATAGAAGAAGAAGACAAACCAGGGAAGCAAGCCAGCCCAAGCCAACAATATATATATATATATATATAGTGATCGATCCCTACTCATTTGGTGGGACGACTTCATCTTCTTCTTCTTCATATTCCTCTTCTTAATTAAGAGGCAGAGAAGGAAACCACAAATAACATCAACTACTACTTCATCTACTCCTATTCCTATACAGAAAAAAAGACCAGTGAAGAAGAAGAAGAAGGAACTATATATTATCATCCATATATTTGTAATTTATAATAATTAATATAAATTAATTAATCAATGGGGAGGTCTCCAATGAGCAGCGGGAGCGGGAGCAGCAGCAGCAGCTGCAGCGAGGAGAGTGGGGTGAAGAAAGGGCCCTGGACTCCCGAAGAAGACGACAAACTCATCAACTATATCCAGAAGCACGGCCATGGCAGCTGGAGAGCTCTTCCCAAGCTTGCTGGTATTTTCATTTTATTTCAATTTAATTATATATATACATATATGGATTTAATTAATTTAATCAATTGAATGAATTACCATGGATGCACGCAGGGCTTAATCGCTGTGGAAAAAGCTGCAGGCTTCGCTGGACAAACTACCTAAGACCAGACATCAAGAGGGGCAAATTCTCCCAGGATGAAGAGCAAACCATTCTCAATCTCCACGCCATTCTTGGCAACAAGTAAGTAATTTCATATATATTTGAATTTTTTTTAAATTTAAATAGTATCTTTATATCATATGTTTTTAGAAAAAACAATATTGTATTTTATTGAATATCGTAGGAGGTAAATAAGGCTGATTTCAAATTGAAATACTGCTTTCTTTAGTAAAAACATAATTTTAGTAATACTACTTTCTTTTTTCAATGAAATTAAAGAAAAATTATTTATAATATGAATTATGGTTAAATTTACTAAAATAATATTAAGAAGAGACGAAAATAGCAAAATATATACATTTTGGCGAGACAAAAGGAGTATTAACTATCATTATTATTAATACTATTACATAGATGGTCGGCTATTGCGACACACCTGCCGGGAAGGACAGACAACGAGATCAAGAACTTCTGGAACACTCATCTCAAGAAAAAGCTTATCCAAATGGGCTTCGACCCGATGACTCACCGCCCCCGCACCGACTTCTTCTCCGCCCTCCCGCAGCTCCTCGCCCTCGCCACTCTCATCGACGTGCCGCCGCCGCCGCCGCCGCTAAATTGGCCAGAATCCGACCCCGTCAACATCGCGCGTCTAAACCACTTACTCCACTCCCTCCTCCAACCCTCGCCATTTCCTCCTCCGCCGCCGCCGCCGCATCAGCCCCTTGCTTTTTCCGACATGGTCGCCGCCTCCACCGCCGCCGCCAATTTCGCGCACCTCGAAACGACGGCGGCGGCGGCGGCGGCCGCCATGGGAATGGAGCAGCCGATCGACGAGTTCTCGCATCTGCCTGACTTACGAAGCGTCGGCGATCGGAATTCTGTGGAGGATTTCGGCGGGGAGAGCTCCATGTGGATGGAGAAGATTGATTTACAGCAATCGCCGCCGTCCGCCGCGGCGGAGGCGGCGGCGGCGCCTGCCGAGACGTCCATCAGCACGGTCGGTACTTACGGCGGCGATCAGATTTGGGCTGAGCTTCTGGATGATCCTATTTTCCATGACATTGCCTAATTTTCTAATATAAATATTATATATATAAAAATAAAATGTGTTAATTATTTTAGTTATTTTGGAGGGAAATTAAATATATATATATATACATATATACATATATATAACCGGGTTTGGATGTTAATTCCCTATTTCAAAGAAAAAAAAGGTTTTTTTTTTTTGTTATATATATACACATGAATTTACATTTCCTCGATTGATTATTTTAATTTCATATATACACATGAATTTAAATATATATGTACTACAGATGGACACAATTTAGCGATTAATTGGCTGATATATAATTTTTATATTTAATTAAATTTCCTAGGATTTAATTTAGAAATTAGGGTTTCTATTATACACATAGTGCGGTGTATAAAAATGGACGTCAAAACGGTGACGTATTGCATGGATTCTCAATGATAAGAGTGGGTCCGAAAGTAGTTAAGAAGCAGCGAGTTTATATAAGAATTGGTACATGTCCTTTTCTTACCAACGATAATGAAATTGATGGTTCCATTTATTAATTTCATGTTGTCTCAAATTACATAACTCTAAAATAAAACAAAATTATATTTTATGAAAAGTGAAATATTTAACGTTATATTTTAATTTGTGAAAAAACTATTGTTAATAAATAATATTAAAAGTTCTGAAAATTTATATGATTGAATTATGAACCACGATAATGAAATTTCTCAGATTTTTGGATAAATTCATTTATATGATTGATACTATTTAGTCCAATACATGGGGAAAATATATATATATATATATATTTTTTAAAAATTGATGTATTATATTGCTGTTTCATAAATAATTAATTGGTAGTCACCTACTTCATTTTTGTTTTCTTATAAAACTTAAATTAATAGTCTTAATTACAACATAATGAAAAAGATAATGGATGATTGGAAACCTATTTCACGACAGTAATTTTCCTTGAAAAGATCTGTGTAATATAAAATTATAAACTGTTATATAGCTTCTGACAAATATATATGTCATATATTTTTTATTTTTTTTTCTTTTTAAAAAAATTGCATCTTTTACGGCAAGTAATTAAGTCAATTCTTATTTTATATAAATTAATTATCTGATAAAATTTCTTAGTAACTGTGGAAAAAAGTTTATAAATTGATGGGACAAAAGTTTTATTTATTGACACACGCAAATGTTAATCATTATAAACAATACTTGAATAATTCTTAGAATGATGAAATTCATTTTCAAATTGGAATTTATGTTAAAATTTGAGAGTAGGTCCTTGTTTTTTTCATAATTATTTGAACAAATTTTATTTTATTCTACTTGATACTCTAATAAGGATTTAATTCTAATAATTTCCATTTGGTACCATGACAAAGGAATACCTTTTGTGATATTTTCAATTTAATTGTTTTTGCAGTGTAATTCCACAATTTTATATCAAAATATATTATTTTCACTAACAAAAACATAACATCCAAATTAACTACTATAAAATACAAGTAAATAGTTTGCTTTGATACCCTGATTTGATATTTTTATGTAGAATTTATAATATTTATTCCACAAAATATCCCCATATTTATTAATTGAAAATTGATTTATTTATCTTAGAAATGGATTATTATTATTATTATTAACAGATTTCATGTACAACATAACATTGATTATTTTTTATATTAACGAATTACATATATCATGACGTAAATTAAATAATAGTGTAGAGATTTTACAGTGAATCAATTCGGAGAGTAACAGAGAGCCGATTAATTATAATTAAGTGATTTTGACAAATCAAACTATTGGTTGAAACGAGTAGGTAAATATTGCTTCATATTTTCTTACAGGAGATTGACTATTGAAAGCCACTTAAATTACCAAACCCTTAAATATAAATAAATGTTCTAGAACAGTATATTCATTCATATATAAATTATAATTACATACAAACAAAACAAAAAATATTTGTGTGTCAATGGACTTCAATATATATATATATATATATAATTGTAATGACAAGCTAAGGTTGAATAACTTCTTACAAGCAATCCACACACACAACACATATCACTAAATTGTAGAAAAAATAAAATAAAATGAAATGAAATATATATAATGATTTAAAGTCAAAGCATTTCTTGTCAAACAACTTTCGAACTGTTACATAATTTATCAATAAATGCTTAGGTACTATCTATATCATTTACATGAATTGTCACTACCTAATCCACCATTATTATTATTGTTATTAGTATTATGTAATAATATAATTTCCTCTATATTTGGCTTTGACAATAGTGAATGGATTGCGTATGAACTATATGAGACTTAACTTAGATTGAAATTTACTTTAAGAGTCAATAATTTCTTTTATCGATAAAAATAGGATCGGGCATCAAAAGAAGACAGTTTATTTTGCTGATCATACAATATTTTGCTAAAGTTTGAAGATCGATATATAGTTATATTTCATATTCAAAACATAAGCTCATCTTTAATTTTAGAAATTCTTCTGAACTAATTACTTATCATTTTCACTCTATTTTTATGTGCTAAGATTGATGAATATTATATTTTAATGATAACTAATAGTATTTTATATATGTATACTATTTTTCTGTTAATGTATAAACAAATATAATGATATGAATATAAATAAGTATAAATTTAAATATATTTATTATATATGTATGTTGTGAAATTTATAGTTACTAAAAAATAAAAATAAATATTAATTTAAAAAAAAAAAACCCTTTAAGATCAACGGTTTAGGGTTTGTTTATATTTTTAGATAAATGTGTTTTTAGCTGTAGGTAATTGTATTGATAATATAAAAAATATTATTTTGTATTGAATTGTTGATTTTTTATAAGTAGATAAAAAAAATATATATATTTAATAATATATTTATAAGTAATCATTTCATTAAGAACAAATGACATTGAAGAAGTCAAGATGAAGATCACATGAATGTTGAGCTAAAATTAATTTTCAAACATTCTATTATATATTCTTAATTGTATTCAATTTCATTTCAAAGATAACAAAAACACGTCCGCAATTGTGTTCATATTTATTGAACGTAATTAGTTTAAATTAGAAGCATGCCCGATTTTGTTATATATATATATATATAATTGCATTTTCCTACCAAAGAATAAAAAATAAAATAAATCTCATTTTAGAAAAAACAACTTATAAAGCATTCCCATCTCCATATTTACATTCTTTAAGGAAGAAAGGCATGTCAAAATCGCTCGAAGCCCTAGCCATGTCCGGCGCCAATATATTGTTGTTGAGAGGTTGCACGTTGTCTATAAGGCGAAATTAGACATGTTAATATATATTAGATCATTTTAATATTTTGAAGATTTATTAGTGGATATATCCACATGTAAGATTTTTATGTTTTATTCTTATGGATTTGTAAAAAATTGAGTGTCCAATGTAGATATTTTGTAATAAAATCTGACTGAGTACCACTTGTATTATACGTAGATCTTTTGACAATTAATATATGGATATGTTGTATATATGTGTGTGTGAGTGAGTGAATGAGTTCCACGTGATTAAATTGTATATATATAACGCCATAATTGTCAAAGTAAGTCACGTTATACTTGTGGCCTTTAATGCTATAATATCAAAAGGACAAGATTAATGGGATACAGAGTTTAAATTTAATTATTTTCACCTCATAATACAAAAGAAATATTCTTCATTAAGTTAAAATTTGCTCAAATACTATGTTAATTGTAGCAATATCGAACTCAAATATCATAGGCATAATAATAAAATCAAAACAAAAGTCACATGATTGTTGAGCAAAAATTATAATTCAAGGTCAATTATTCTATTCTTTGTTCAACGATTATAGTTATAATTTCTTCACTCGGCGCGTTCATACAAGTTGAACTTTGTTTGAATTTTCTAAACTAACTAACTATATATACTAGCATACTAGTATGCTTTCATTTTCCATATAGAACAAATACTTCATACACACAAACAAACTTTCCCTTTACAAAAGATTCGAAAAATTCCCCTTTTTTTTTATTTTTAATCAAATTAAAGCAATGTCGATTTCACTAGAAGCCCTAGCTATGTCCGGTGCCAATTTCTTCGAAGATGGATTTGATATCGAAGAATGGGAGCTAAAGGAGTTAGAGGTTCCTCACCATTTGCTAGCCGAAGAAGAAGAAGAAGAAGAAGGTTATCAAGAAACCCCTATTTTCTTGGAATTACAAGATAGTAATTCAAAAAATTGCTACAATTCAATTCTCGAGGAAGATTATGAAAATGATCACGAGAACAATGATATTGAGAAGCAATCGAGGAAGCCCTATTGGAGTTTCGTTAAGAAGATGATTTTGGATCGATCATTAAGCTATGCCATTGTAATTCTTTCGACTACGGTTTTCTTTCTTACACAAAAGTATAGGAAATCCAGAAGCTCGTGCAACATAGATTGCTTTCGCTTAATCGTATATGTTCTTGTTATTAGGATGATGTATTATTTCATGTGACTAGCAATTGTTCATTTTGTAGGGTTTTCTTTCATTCATTCATTTGTTGAGACTTGGTTGCCTCAATCTTTGTAATAAAATTAATTAGGGTTTTGCATTTGTATACATTGCTCAATTAACATCAAATTATTATAGCAGATTATGACAAAATAAACATAATCAGTTCCCATTTTTTAAAAAAGAAAGAAAAAATGGTAAAGAATTTATTGTGACCTGAATTTCATGTGTTTCCTGTGAAATTTTGATTGCATCATCATATACATGTCCAACCTGTGAAAAAACTTTCACAAATCACAATTTCCCCTATTTTAAGTACTAATTGAAATCTGATATGAAAACTTATGTGAAAATTGTGAAATAATAGATTTTTAGTAATCTTAAAAGTCTCATATTAGTAAGAAAATTTTAAAAAAAAAAAAAATCGCAAAAATAATCAAAGCATGAGATATTGTTTGTGTTAGTATGTGTGGTTTTTTTTTTTTTTTAACTATTTAATCTATAAATTATTTCATATAAAATAAAATAAATAATAATTACGTTCAACACTTATTTTTTACTAAAAAAACATAATATCAATCACGATATATTTTCATCTCAAAAATACAAACAAGATTAAACACAAAAATGAAACACCCCATAAATATCCATGAGGGGACTAGGTTGGAAATATATCGAAATTAATGAAGCAGAATAATAATAAATCAATTTACAATGGCCAAGATTTAATTAAAAAAAAAAAAGTGAAGTTTTTCTCGTTCATCAAGGATTGTAATAACGGCCGCGGCAGCCACACCTCCACACGAGTGGCTTGTAATTGGAGCACCCGCTTTCTTCCGGGTCCGGGTCGACCCGGGTAGTGTATCCGGGCAGGATCGGAACTTGCACTGCCTTGCATGGCTGGCACTGATTGCAACTGTTCCGACAAGCCGGTGGCGATGATCCCAACCTCGCCGATCCCTCCACCTGTCCATATATACATACATATACCCATCATATATATATATATATATGTTTTAATTTTTACTATTTTTAAATGAAATAGATATTGAATTCAAAATTTTTTATAAAAATAAATATGTTGATTAGGATTATAATGATGTGTTGCATACAAAATTAAGGAAAAAAATTGTACCTATTGTATGTGTATATATATATATATATATATAATTATTTATATGCATACCTTGCAAATTGGCGTGGGGTTTGACAAACTCAATTGGAAGATGAGGAGGAAGAAAATCGTAATGACGAAAATTCTCGTGTTTTTTATTGTCATGACATGAGATGAACGAGTGTTCTTTTTATTTTTTCCTTTGTCAAGAGAAGGGTTTTTCTTGTTGAATGAGGAAATGATATATATATAGTTCTAGCTATACATATATATATATATATAGAGAGAGAGAGAGAGAGAGAGAGAGGGAGGGAGAGAGATAATTAATTTGAAAGATTAGTATCCAATTATCCATCCACCTTAGTTACATTACTCATTTATTTGAAAGAGACAAATGAAAAGTGTTAAAAAATCCCTTCGTCCCATAACTAGATATTCATTCACTTTTTGCAAGTAGGTTTAGGAATATTAGTATTATTATATTGAGATATTGTAGAAATAAACAAATGACTAAAATAACCTTATTAGTATGTGTGATATAAACATAATGATATTTGTGTAATATATTGTAAGTTGCAAAGGTATTTGCAATGTTAGGTAGACAGTACATTTACTAAAAACAAGAAATGGATACTTTGTTATGGGACGAATGAAGTATTATAAAATACTAAATTAAATATTTATTTTTTATTATAAATATTAAATAAAAATAATGCAAAGCATGTTAGTTGATTATATTATAGTCTCAAGAAATATGATGATTGATTGAAGAGTTATGGAATATATAATTTGAGTGTAAAAAATAGTTATACGAGTGTACATTAAACATAGTATGCAATTACCAAAAAATTATATCTTGACTGAGTCAAATAAAATATTAATTTAAAATCAACAGCAGCCCCAATTACTAAAACCAAATTGGTCTTAAATTTATCACATCACACATATAAAATAAATAGATTCTAAAGGATTATAAGTTATTTGTCAAATAAGCACATTTGCAAGATTATATTAATTTTGGAGATAAGATTTTTTAAAAAAAATGAAAATGGTTTGATTTGATTAATAACTAATATGATATGATTTCTTAATTAAGAAATAAATAAATTGAAGAAGATTGTAGGGGTCTCCTAATTTTGTTAGTTGTGAAAAGACATGCTTCATTAGAATGCCATTTAACTCCCTTAATTAATTTAAATAAATTGTAGAGTAATTTCCACAACTTCTAAATTATTTAAATATTGTTATCAACATCCAAATCAAAATTTAAATCCTAGATTTTGATGTCATTTAATGTCAACTGCAATCATTCATCCCATATTTGTTCTATTTTGTTGGAAAATAATACGTGGCAATCATCCGTTCAGCCACGTCATCATCCAATTTGGTCCTAGTATTTTGTTTTGACCCATTCGAAGGCTGCAAGAACTAAGAAACATCGACACTCATTTTATCACCAAACATCGATTCGTTGCAACAATTATTGCCGTGTAATAATATTTTCCCTAATTCTAATTTTATTAAAAAGATATGAGAAAAAAAAAAAAAAAAAAACAGAATTCTTACAACTCTCTTTAGCCAAGAGAAAAGCTTCCTGTGGATGTGAGTTATGTCATGTTCTAACACAAATTCCTTCTAGAAAAAACGTCGAAAATGTTCGAGTTTCTCTACGAAAGCTCCGCCTTGGTTTGCTTCTGCAGCTCGGGAGTTGGGGTCGGGTTTATGTCCAGCTTTCGACCTCGATCTGCAGATGATTTAGAGGGATCGGGCGATGCTTTTGGATCTTTGGACAGTAAATGTTCGTTCTCCCACAACTTCCCGGCTTTCCCTATTGCAAGAATTAGCTCGAGCTGTTTTCTTTGTTGCTCCTAATACAAAACATCGTACGAGATAAGATCAATGAAAAATATTTCGGCCACAGCTATGAATCTAATCAACAGTATATACATTTACATACATATATATATATATAGATCACCTGCATAGCCAGGAGAACCTTCTGGATTTCGCAAAGCTCCTTTTCGAGAATGTCCTCTTGGGCTGCCAATGCTCGGGTAGCCTCAGAATTCTTCTGCGCTAATGCTGCCATCTGAGAACAATATCATCCATGAAAATCAGCATAAACACGATTCAATAATCATTAACCAGAAAATCACAGGACAGCTAAATTTTAGACCAATTTTATTAACCAGCAAAATTGATCGAATCAATCCTCAAAAGGGGCATCGATGATGCTCTTCACATTCATGTTATTGCCTAAATCTTAGGGTGTGTTTGGCTTTTGGGTTTCAAAACCAAATCACCACAATTTAGTCTGCTGAGTTCTTCACTTACAAAACATCCCCAAATTAAAATTTCAATCTCAAACCAAAATCAAGCAAACCCGTAAAGCTCCTCCTCTGCACTCATCTTCTTTACTAGCAAACTTTTCAAGAACTTAATAGACAGACAAGAAACGAAGCTTGGGACTTTAGTTTCAAGATCAAAGTTGAAATTTCTCGCAAACCAAATCAGTTTACTCAAATGTCGAACAAATAAGCACTATAACTGAGCTACCTTGAGTACCTATTACCTCCTAAGAGCCAAAAATGGCGCCTGTTAACATTGAAGGTATAAAAATCAGCTAAAGATCATACAAGGGATTCATTTTGCCCTAATTAGATGGCAAATCATCATCTCTGTTAATAATCCCAATCAGTGACTAAAGCAATGAAAGACAAGATCCTCAATGCAGTGAATCAAATTTATCATTGATCTATAAAATCCATATTCAAATCATCATCAAAGTTACCCATTGAAGAAAATCACACAACATCGAACTCTTTTTCAAACAAAGGTACCATAGCCACATTTGGAAAGACAATAAAATGGCAATTTGCTTTCATTGGAATCTTTCTTGAGAATGTATAAAGCAATTTCGAAATTACCTCTGCAATGGGTTCTTTGAGCGTCTTCCGGGTGACCCGAACCCGAATTCCGAGCTTCTCAACCTGCCTAGACAAAACCCTAATTATGGTGGCCGAGCTCCGGAGGTCCTCCTCCAATTTCTCCACTCTTCCCAACAAATTTGCTCCACGAGAGCCCGATCCCTCCGAAAATCCACCGCCGGAGAGCCTCCGCCATTGCCGCCGCCTTATAACCGCTCCAATCGCGGCGGCGCTGGCCAAAACCCCAAACTGCCAGACCAGAATCCCTAATTTTGGGAATCCGTCGCTCAGCGCCACGTAAACGGAAATCGCGGCGGAGGAAGCGAGGCAGAGGAACTCGAGAACGTGGAGCAAGCCGTCGAAGTTGAAATCATCGATTAGGCTCTTCGAGGCGCCAAACGATTGGTCGAAAGACGCCTTGATTTTCCGGACGGGAGAAAGGCGGGACTGTGGCGCGGAGAGCGTGAAGATCGGGAAATTCGTTCTGGAATTCAAAAATGGCGGAAGTTTGGGACTCAACAAATGGATCGGCGTAAACAGAGCGCGACGAGGAGTAGCGGGAGGATTCCTGTTGGCGACGAAGGATTGAATTGCCAGCGACATTCTGCGGCACTTTCGGATTAACAGATGATTAACCACAACTGATGTAACAATTGCATCATTTCTTGGATGAATCGCTCAGACTGAGACTCAGAGAGAGAAAGAGAGGGAGAGGGAGAGAGAGAGAGCGTTCAACGCTCGACGACGAAGAGAGTCCGGAGGCACACGTTAGCATTTCTAGTGCTGGATAAGATAAAATGCGCCCATCTAAAACTACACGCATTATTTTTCAAATCCCAAGGGCTTGTTTGTTTAAATTTCATACTAATATTCTCTCGTTCCTTTTAATGCATTTTATAAATTTTTTAATAAATTGAAAAATAATAGTAATATTTTGTAGAAAATATATATTTATAATTTAAATAAAAATTAAAATATTTTGATATTAATAATATAATTTTAAATATATATATATAGTATTCCCTCTATCCCATATAATAAAAACCAACATTTGAATTCCGATACAAAAATTTAGATGGCCTATATATCCAACGGGGAGGAATATTATTTATTTTAAAGAATCATAAAATCAAAATTACTGGTTTAACTTAATATCTAAATAAAAAGTCATCATTTTGTAAATTGTAAAGCGACCAATTTCAAATCAAACTCAATTATCCAAGAGAATAAGATCTAACAAGTTCGACAACGGCACTAAATAGTTGTAGCAAAGTTCAGTCCAAATTGAGTGCAACAAGTAACTACAAATACATGTCCCCCCCCCCATCGATCAACAAATAATGCTGCTAAAAGTATCCGACACATCAAGTTTCATAACATTCGCCGATCCGAATACTCGTCAAACAAACACACGAGGCACAGTGGAACAAGCACAAATCGCGCCTGACAAATTATATAGCCAGACTCATAAGGCGCTAATTTCAGTTGTTACCTCAGTACAGCTTGCTTATTCTAATCAAAGCGACATACGTACGTTTGTACTACTTCAGTAATAAGGCATGTAGCGCGGCGCACGCCTGAACCTTGGAAACTTGCTGCGCCAAAGATGAGAGACGTGGATTGGTTATCGAGATTATATTTGAGATTAAATCATTGGAAGAGGACAAGGAACTCACCCATAACCGTAGGAGGGGTAGAAATACGGGGGCGGATAAGGCCTCCTGAACCCGGAAAGGTAAGGATTGAATCTTCTTGGGCGATACTGTTTCATTCCCGGGACATTAGTTCTTTTCACCATAACCTGCAATTTTAGGATGATAAATCGATTGAGTGACAAAGCACAAAGGTGTAGGCATGTATAATGAGCATTAGATTTGTTGTAACCTTCAGCTGGCGTCCGTGTAATTCGGATTCATTCAGCTGCAGGGCTTCCTGTATGGCTTCTTGTTCGAGAAATTCGACATATGCAAATCCCTTAGGCTGCCCAAACTTGTCAGTCAATATAGTCACACGATTTACTGTTCCGCAGGATTGAAAATGCTGCTGAACTTCCTCTGGAGTACATGCATAATCCACCTGTTATATAAACTTAAATTAGTGGCAAGGCGAAGGGCACAAATAATCTCCTATTAAAAAGATTGAATGAAAGACGATCATATGATACATTCACCACGATTGTTCCATTTCCAAAGTAGCTAGTGTTATATTATATATAGCCTAATCACTAAATGAGAATATCCTATCCAACTTCTCTGAATTCGAAATTCTAGAAGCAGAATGAAAATAAGACCCCATCTGTCTAGCAAGCCTATATAAGTTACTAATGAGAGCGTGGCGAGCTAGTAGTATAACACAAAGCAACTATGTAGATCAAGAAAGAACAATGTTCAAGCATTTCATCAGTGGTCAGATCAATTTGGAGCTATGAATAATAAAAGAAAAAAGTCAAGAAATTTGGGCTCCCTTGTCTTGCTCCTGTCGTTTGTGGCAAGGAAACATTTTCTAATTAGCAATACCTAATACTTGAAACTCTTTCCATAAGAAAAAACGTAAAACCCTATCAGAGCCAACTCAGACTTTAATCAGAATTGACAAAACAGTTCAATGAGAACTGAAAATTTACATTTATATAGATACGTATAGTAAGAAATGTCCCCATAACTTAAAATAATAGGGTACCAATCATGAATATTTTTCCACTGCAAATTATTCTTGCTAAAAAACAAATTATAAGTTTATATAGGTGTGCACTCAAAACACATCAGAGGTGCTATAATGTCAAAGGACTAATAATGAAAGATATGAAAATCAATTAAACCACTGCAGTAATATGTTTTGCCTTCTACTGGAGCAACAAAGATAGAAACTGTTTTTCAAATGTCATGGGAATTGACTAGGTAAAATGAGGACGAAGCAGATTTGAGTCACAGACACCTCACCACACAAGGGTTCATAACCAACCAAAACTTGAATAATGCATCAGCAAGCACAATCAGCAATCAAACCAGGGGATTGGCATGGAAATCACCAACGAACCTTCAAAGGCACATGTTTTCCTCTTGCAGAATAGCAGGACCCTTTAGGGAGTTTTCACATGGTCATATTTGCCACAACAATCTTCAATGTATCAAAGAATACAAAAGTAGCTTCCTCTAAATTGGACAAAACCTTAAAACTCATTTGTATTCTTTCAATTATTCTCTTTCTTTTTTTCATCTACTTCTTCTTTCTTCTTTCTTTTTTGTTTTTGTTTACTCTTCTTCTCCCTTTTTTTTCATCCCCATTCTACTGTTAGATATTTCTTTTATCATTTTTACATGGGGAAATCACAATTTTTTTCTTTCTTTCCTCTCATAACTATTTAACTTTGGATTAAAGACAACCATTTTACAAGGCAACATACAGAGATACTACAAAAACACGAAATAAGGTTGCTGGAACTGCTTTCAGCATCACTAAACAAGGCTAACCCCAATGCTACTCAGGGATATGACCGACCCTGCGATCATAGTGAGAGGGATTAAGTTATTCAGGTAAAACAAAAGAAAACATGAGAAATAGAATTCAAATAGGTTATGAAGTCAATCTCCTCCTAATGGTGTTTTGCGGAAGTGAAATGATAAATCTTAGAAACAGTTGATGAAGCAGCATTATAAGCAGGGCGAGTATACAAGAGAAAACATGCTGCATTGAGATTATCATGTTTATTGCAAGTACACGTTCCAGTATTACTGTAACCTCAACCCCTTCAACAATCAGAAAATGCATCATTTGCTTTGTGCCCCATTCAAAATTTTAACACCAAATAAAAGTATTACTTAATTTTGTCACATCAACAGCATCTACTCCATTGACATCCACTGCACTATAGAACCACAAGAACCCTTTATCATTCTATCTCCTTATATACTAATGGAAGTGAAAGTTTCAATCTACTCCACATTTAGAACCCCACTTAAGTGTCAAACTATGCAAATTGCTACAAAGTACTTTTCTAAGGTGGAACTCTCTTCAGCGTCAAAAACATCTCAGAGACTCAGAAAATATTATCCAAAGACAAGCAATATGGAACAATATGAATATGCTGACAATATTTTATGTGTTGTTGTAAACTGTGATTCTGCATATGCAGTAAAAAGTAAGAAATGGTCATCAAAGAAGAATCCCAGATTCAAGAGCCAAACATCTCACTATCGGTAGGGGGTATAGTGTACACTGTTGAAGGTGTGAATTTTGTCAACGTTCAAGTAAATAAACAGCAAACAAAAAATGCAAGAAATGCTTTTGTAGACCATATGATAGAAGAAAGTTTCACAACAATCAACTTTAACTACAAGGTAGGATGAAAAGGTTTCTGGAAAAATAAAAAAATAAAAATGCATTGGGTAGAGTATTCAACAAAGAGTTAAAATAAATAGTTGAATCATACTGAGATGAAATCCACAATTGTAAACTTTAGCCTATTAGATAAAGTTTCTATACTCACATTGCCAACAAAGACAGAGCGTGAATCCACTTCCTCCTTATTACCCTGAGACGCAGAAGATGTGGCGGGATCTGAAACAACAGAAAGGTATGTAAAACTGGAGTTAGCAAAAAAATAAGATCTAAAAAGCATGTTAACTCATAACTCCTCTGGAGAGCCCTTCACAAGCTATAAAACTCCTTTTAGAACATATCTTTCAAGCCATAATTCCTTTTCTACTAAGGCTGTCATACTCGATTCCTTTCATTAACATGTGTCCTGCCAAGATCATAGTTTGTTCTTCATCATTACAACAAATATTTACCCCGCAGTCGTTTTATCGTTTACCTATATCTATATATTGCCGCATATTCATCATATGAATCTAAACAAAAACAACAAAAACCCAAATATTCCCTTTCTTAATCTGCTTTTTTCCAAATGATCATACTAATAATAAAGTTAAGTTTCTTTATATCGAACAACAAAGAAAATGATCTGGAATCAGTAAATCCATAATTCGACCATCGGAAGTTAAAAAATGGCAGAAAACCTTGTGCGGCGCCCATCTCCTTCTCAACTTTCGCCTGCATTTCACGAAGAGCCGCGGCTTCCTCCTCCATCTCCTTCAACCGCTTCTTCATCTCATCCAATTCCTAATAGTCACAGATCCAATCAAGCTTAAGCCCACAAATACTCAAAACTCTCCACCCCTTCTCAATTTAAAAAATAAAATAAAATAAAAATTGAAGGCGCACAAACCTTGGCGGCGGCGTCATCTTCGGCTGCCGCCATGTCGACATCGGCATCGCCTTCCATCTCGCCCTCAACCGGTATCTCCCCGCCGTAGACCTCATGCTCCTCGTCCTCCATATCAATTTCTCTCGTCCGATTGCTCGCAGAAAGAGGCAACCTCCGTTTGCCCCGACTGCATTTGTATACACGTGGCTTACTTGATTGGACTAAAATACCCTCCCTGAAATTCACAATGACCTTAATGGGCCATCAGTGAATTTGATTACTATAATAGACTGAGCCCATTTATGCCATTGGGATGGATAAAAAGTAGACATTATTTAGATTTTATGTTATTTCCTTAAAATTCAAATTTTTGAACGAAGTAAAAAAAAATTTAGAAAGATTATATATTTAAAAAAAAAAAAAAATCAAAGCAAAAACAAGCAAAATCCAAATGTGTGTTTACTTAAAGCTTGGTTTTGATTTTTTATTTGAAATTTAAATCTAATGCTATGTAAAATGAAAGAAAGTAATGTGTCATTTAGAAGTTTTGCAAAACCAAATTTAAAAAGGAAATAGTCCAATGCTATTAGTATTTATCATAAACACTACAATGTATCTTTGGTTATTATAACATATAAAAATATAACGGACATTTTGGTATTAGTATAAATAGTAAGATTTATTTTATATGTATATTATAAATTTATCGTATGTATTGTTTGATATATATTATTGTGGTATCAGCATAATAATCACCGCCGTACAATGTAATTACATCATTCAAAATTAATTTTATTACACTTCGAAACTAGTATTACTACTACTACTACCACTTTATTTGTTCGACCCTCCAATAAAAGCTTGAACCATAGGCTTAAACATCTCTAATCCTTTATTGATACCTAAGAACATTAACCTATACAAAATTACCATACCTATTAGTATGGCAAGGTCGATCCATTTCGAGTGTCCCATCTCCACTTGCCAAACATTTCTCAAGATCTCATCGCCATCGATCGTAGATGTTCCATGATCGTTGGGAAACGTTAATCCTTCAAACTCGTTCTTATATAACCCTTGATTCGCGTACTTATGAAACGATATATAGTAAATAGGATACTTCCATATAGGGCCCGGGAGATCCTTAGGCAAACGAAAAAAACCACCATTGAGCATCATGATACCTTGTATCCCGGCGCCCGTAATAATGCCCATTAGGTAGTCGGGAACAATCCTCGCGACAATCATCATTAGACTCTCCACAAGTATCATGCACGCAAAGAGTAGAAGCGCAAAGTAGATAAAATGATCGGCGCTCTTTTGGAGGCCGGTGAGGTAATAAGCTAAGGCTCCGGGGACTATTGAGTTAAGTAAAAGATATGGAATCGAAGATGTTGTGTTTGCGAATACAAATGCAGCTACTCCATAGTGGCCGTTGAGTCGTTCTATTGTAAATATCTGCAATTTAGAGTGTATTCACTTAGTGTTTTGTTCTTACATAATCTAAATAAATATTCTCTCCGTCCGGTAAAATCAGAGCATTTGTGTCTGACATGGAGATTAAAAAATATAAATATTGTATTGAAAAAGTGATAAAAGTAAAAAAGTAGTAAGAGGTGTTTTTGAAAATTTAGTTAGAATAAAAAAAATTGGGAGAAATAATGTAATAAAAACAAAGACATTTGTTCTAAATAAGTATTGAATGAAAAATAATAATTAAATGTTATTTATTGACTTTGTCAAAAATTAATAATTTGGTATATTTAGTGGACAGACTACAAAATAAAAATAAAAATAAATTTGAGGAATAAAAGGAGTATTATCTAAAAACATATCAAATATCATTATTTATAATAGTTTTAAGATTTTTTATACTTCACAGCAAAAACATCTAAAACTATAAATACAAAACAAGTACATTCCTAGTGAAAGAAATGTATTACATAAACGTGTGCTCTTATAGATATATGAAATATATTATAAGAAAAAAGTTAATTTGAAAATTACCTTCATATCTTCAACAAAAGAAGGAAATCCTCCTATGGCCATAAAGGTTAAAAATGTTGCAATGAACATTAACATAGAACCCCTTGCCTGTAAATTAAGTAAAAAGGTAATTTTGAACAATTTGTAAACCGGATAAATCTATTAAGATGATGATTTCATGCTCATGAACATCCATTTTAAAAGAATTACCTGAATTGATCCAAAACTATGGCCTATGTCGAAGAATATTGTCCCGACACACAAACACAAGGCAATATTTATAGCGAGACGAAGCCAATAATAGCCTAAATCACGATACATGTTCACGAAAGATCTTCGTGTTAGGACAAGGCATTGCGTGATGAAACCGGCGTGACTTTCTCTCTTTCCCATCGGCCCGTCATTCTATAAAACATGCAAAAAAACTATATAATTTATATGTTTCTCAAATTTGTCATTATGTTACAAATTAAACATTAATTTGCGCTAAAAGTTGAAATACATCAAGTGCTTTGTTTACCTTAGAACATATTTGGCGAACTTGTTGTTGGACATGTTGGTACGCATCGGACAATTTATATGACTCAACAAGAACATTGATAGCTTTAGTGGCGCTTATTATGTCACTGTACCCTTGCTCTACATCCTGATTCAAAGAATAAAGTTTATCATATTGAATATTGTAAGAACTAATACAAAATTAATAGTTTAAAAAAAAAAAATCTTTTGAATACTCACCATGTCGAAATCTTTATTAATTGTTCTTAAATAATGGTCAGATGGATTCCTCATCGATGGACACGGGAATCCATTTGAAGCAAAAAACTACCATAGACATAATCTCATTAGTATTTCATATAAATATATATCAATATATATATAAATATTGTCATTTTTTTACCTTATTTACATTTGAAAGTGAACCGAAGTAAATCATTTTTCCTGTCGATAAAAGACAAAGGCTATGAAAAAGTTCAAAAACTTCTGCACTCGGTTGATGGATGGAGACAACAAGAGTTCTTCGATCTTGTTTCGTCAGTTTCATTATGCGGCTCATGACATGGTAAGAAGCCGCGCTGTCTAAACCACTTGTGGGCTCGTCGAGAAAAAGAAGTTTAGGTCTCGTCAAGATTTCTATACAAATGCTTACTCTTCTTTTTTGGCCACCACTAAGTCCCTTTACATTCCATCCTCCGATTCTCGTATCGATGGCATCTTGTAAGCCCATATCGATAATAGAAGCTTCGGCTCTTTCCTTTTTCTCGTATTTGGACATCGTGTCGGGGAGTTGAAGAAGAGCTGAATAGTAGACGGCTTCTCTTACCGTTAATGTTGTCATAAGAGTATCTTCTTGAGTTACATATGCCTAATTAAATATAAAAAGTTAATTTGATTCAATATTAATAAAAATTAATTGCTCTAATAATATAGATATCAATGTTCTCCACAATTTATTTGTCCACAATTTATTTTCTTTTAATAAAATAGGATTTCGATTTTCTTACTGAAGTGCCAAATGCAAGTTTTTGCTTGAGACCATTGATGAGAATGTCACCTTGTTGTCTTGTGCTTGAATCTAATCTTCCTGCAGCTCCCATATTATATTAAACGTATATAATTAATTACGATTTCATTTATACATAAATTTTTAAAAATAATAAAAAGATATACATTTGATTTAATTAATATACTTTTTCCATCCTTTATAACTATATAAATTAGTTTTCTTTGTTAGTTTGTACAATCAATTAATAGTAAACAATTTCATTCACTTACAATTATTACTTTTATTTTAATAAATAATAATAATTTTTTACTATTTTTTTTTCTATTTGCCCATCATTTTTTTTATTAATTCTTTATTAAATTTCTATAATACTCACTTTGTTTTTATCTAACTTATTTTTATATTAAAATTTATTATTTTTCAATTTTTATGCTCAAATAAAATTGTATAATTAGTCGTGATAGATGAAGTACTTGATGTTATATTTTTTTTAAAAAAAATTGATTAATAGTGTTAAAATTTTCAAAAACATGTATATAAATGAATTTTTTTATTTTTTAACTGAAACTAAAAAATAAAAAAAGTAGTATTTTTTTTTTTTGTCTTCTAAAGATATATTTATATTTTTGTCATCAAATAATTTTTTGTCCTTTTAAATAAAAAATACCATTTTTTTTCTCTATTATATAAAAAAATTATTTTAACCCCACTTTTCTTAAAATCATCCAATTAAATCGATATAAATTTTGAAAATAAAAATAATATATATATATAAAGAAATTTATTTATGAATGATTTGTTTCTTTAATTTTAAATTTCAAATTTTAGTATTTGAGCTCTACTTTATTTCAAACAAATATATATTTTTCTCACCCAAAATATTCTGTGGTAGATTATTTTAATAACACAAACCAAAAATTTTCAACTGCTACGTCAAAACAAACATACCTTAGATAATTGATTATTACCTGCCAATGCATCAAGCAGCGTTGACTTTCCACACCCCGACGGCCCCATGACGGCGAGGGCCTCCCCCGGCGCCGCGTATCCGGTCAACCCCTGAAGAATCGCCCGCCGTCCCTCCGCCGCCGCCGCCGCCGCCGTCACCCACAAATCCTGCCACGTCAGATATATTCCGCCGCCCCCTCCTCCAGACAGCGACGGCGGCTCAAATCTCATCGATGCCGCTGATCGGAAGGACGCCACATCGGACGGCTCCCGATGGCCGACGCCGCCGCCGAATGGGAAGCCCAAACTCGCCGCATCGGAGGCGACGCTGTCGGAGTGGGTAATCGCCGGCGCCGGCGAGATTAGCTCCGAAGACGCCGCCGGAGTCCATAGCGGAATACTGTCGGGACTATCCATCGTCGATAACGTTAAATAGAACAAATAAATTAATACATATAAATAAAAAAATAAAAAGGAATAATTCGGATTATATAAAAAAAAAAAAAAATGAAATTAGAAGCTTTTATAGACTGCAGGAAAAGAAATGGCCTATTTATAGAACGGCCAACGTTCCCATCCACAAATAGGTATATATTAATTTTATTTAATTAAGTAGGTCTGTATTAATTTAATTTCTCTATGGGATCAAACGGTGGATTATTTCTAAATCGTTGGATTTATCTTTGATCTAAATTGTAGATAGGCTAGGGTGCTGATTATAACTATACTATAACTTTTGTGTTCGAGTTCCATTATTTTCATTTTAAAATATAATATTAACATATATATTTAAATTTAAATTTTTAAATATTTTCAAGCCAAAAACCCACTCCTAATAAAGTGAAAAATCGCATGTGTAGGTGTAGCCATTAATTGTTACTCCATCGTATTATATCATCGTAAATAGGAGAATTGTAAAATATCACTATAAAATAATTATAAATTAAAATTAAAATAGTTAAATAATTTAATTAATATTAAAAATATTATAAATTATGAAATTTAAAATTTGATTAAAATTTATAATTAATTTTTTTTTAAAAAAATGTAGAAATAACAAAAATAGAAAAAAATTGATATTTTATATGGGATGAAAGGGAGTATAAAATTACGGTTTTATATTTGATTTGGATCTGAAATTAAATTTTTTATTTGAATTTTAATTTAAATATTTTATTCGTCTACCGAATTTATTCTCACTCTCATTTTAGTCGGTCCGCTAAATTTGTCATATTATTAATTTTAGCAAAATCAATAAATCAATATTTAATTATTACTCTCTATTCAACACTTATTTATAACAAATATCACTCATTTTATTACATTATCTCTCTTCATTTACTTTAATTTTCAACAAAATTTTCAAATATACCTCCAACTACGTCTCTACTTTTATCATTTTGTCAATAAAAAATTTATTAATTTTTTAATTTTCGTATCGGTCAAACTATGCTAATTTTCATGGATATAATTTTCGGACAAAGTATGCTAATTTAAAGTGTGCTAATTTTCGTATAGGTCAAAATATGCTAATTTATTAAAAAAATAATATAATTTTATTGAAAATAAATAAATAATTTGATTTATATTTAAAATGAAAACAAACATATCAAATTCAATTGATGAATGTAAGAATGCCACGTCATTAACATTGCATACATTGAACTCGTGACGTGAGCATGACTCTAAGAGCATCTTTAATCCACGGAGCAGGGTTGGCTTATTTGGCATCCAACGCCAGCGTTGTTTTATTTTATTTTATTTTATTTTTTTAATTTTTAAAATTATAAATTTGACTTTTAAATTTAATTTTTATTTTTTAAAATTTTTAAAAATTTTATTTTAAATTATAAAAATAAAAAATTATTTAAAATAGTAGAAAAAATTAAATATTTGAAGAATAATAGTGAAAAATGAAATTATAGTTGAAGTAAAATTATTATAACAATTATATATTTAGAGTTAAAAATGGATAAAATAGAATTGATAGATTGGAGATACCCTAATCGAAATTAAACAAAGCTGATCGTATTCTGATGGCACCACTTCAATCATAAATACCTAATGTTCCCACCCCTTAATAAAAAATAAATAAATAAATAAATAATGGTTATCATTATTCAGAGTTTGATTTTAATTTATTTATTATATAAATTTGTAAAAATAAGTTTTTTTTATAAAATATTATACTCCCTCTTGCCCGAAATAAAGATGATGTTTGTTTTTTGCACATATATTTTTTAATATTAGTATTATAATGGATTGTAGTGAAAATGATGAAAATATAGTGTAATATAAAAGTAATGACATTTGTGTAATATAGTGCAAGTTGAAAGAGTATTTATTATGCTAGATAGTTAATACAATTACTAAATTAGGAAATGATAACCTTATTTTGGTACGGACAAAAATGGAAAATGACAACCTTTAAATGGAACGGAGGGAGTATTCAAAATTTTATTGAAAGAAAACTTGTAACAGCTAAGGGCCTGTTTGGTTCAAATGAAGTTGGGGGAGGAGAGGGATTTTAATAGAAGAGAGGGGAGGGAAGGAGAGGCGAGGAAAAATAGTATTTTTGTGCTTCGTTATAATTATTTTACTATTTTATCCATGTATTGTATAAATAAATAAAAAAAATAAAAGTATTTAATAAAATTTTATTAATTTATTAATAAAACATCAATTTTGATATGAGTGACTTAGTTTGTTTTAAAATAAGTATATATATATACTTATATCATATAAATAAAACATAAATAAAAATAAAATTATATATAAGAAAACTGAATCTATTAATAATAAAATAATTATTTTAACATAAATTTTATTTATCTAAAATAAATTAAAAGATAAATATCATTCATAGTGTTAAATAAATATAATATATATAAATATATTTTATTAATTAAAACTTAACTCTTAAAGGTCTAGATAAATGATTAAAATAAAATAAAATAAATTTAATTTAATTTAATTTATATAAAAATTTGTTTTATAATTTAATTACATTATAAAATTTAAAAATATTAAATTAATTAGTAATTATAAAATACGTATAATATAATTTATGTATAATTAAATACAGATAAAATAATATATAATATTAAAGATATAATACTCCTCTGTCCCGTTGGAAAGGTGACGTTTGCTTTTTATACGTAGATTTTTTAATATTAGTATTATATTGGAGTGTAGTAAAAAAGACAAAAATACCCATATTAGTATGGTGTAATATAAAAGTAATGACATTTGTGTAATATATTGTAAGTTGAAAGGGTATTTATTATGTTAAGTAGGTAGTACAATTATTAAATTAGGAAATGGTAACCTTGTTTTAGTACGGACGAAAATGAAAAATAGTAACCTTTCAATGGAACGGAAGGGTAGTAATTTTATAAAATAAAAACACAAACATTTTTCTCTCCCTTCCAAATTCCTCCAATTTTGAGGGAAACAAGTTCATTTTATATTTCCTCCCATCCCTTTCCTTCTCCACCACTTTGTTTTTTTGTAATTTTTTTCATTTCCTCCCCTCACTTCTCCTTTGAATTCCTCAAAGTGTTACTTCATCTGTCTCATAAATATAGTTTCAATTGAGTTTGGCTGATATTATATTGGTAGTTAATAAAAAGTATGGATAAAAGATTTTTTCTCTTCCTTGTGAGTGTATTAGTATAAAAAGTAGTGACAATTGTGTAATAAAAATAAAAAAATAGGAGTAATTTTATGGTGATATGGTTATTTATGAAAATAAAATTATTATTTTGGGACATACAAAAATAGTAAACAAGACTATTATATTGGGACGGATGAAGTATTTTATTTTATAAAATATCAAATTAAAATATTATTTAAACAAAAAGTTCAAATCAAAATTTTATTTCAAATCAATTTCAAATCACAATCAAACAATTCTTAAATCTTAAATAAACAAACGGTGTATTTTCTAAATAATATCAGTAGATAGTTTTTGTTCTTATTTATTTCTATTTTAATCATAACAAAAAACATTCATATATGTATTTGTGATTACATACAAATATCTAAAGAAAGTAAATTTTCTATAGATATCTCAAAAAATGAAAATTTTATTGCTTATAAATATATATATATATATCAATAATTTTCGCAAACTCAAGATATGATCAAATTTTAGTTTTTAAAAATTATTAGAGCAATTAATTTAACTTAAATTTGTCAAGAGAGACTTAAAATAATGTAATTAAGATCATCTACAAAGTCAAATTTAGAATCAAAATTCTCAATAAAATTAGTGAGAATTGTAGTTAAAGCCTTGGGATCAAGTGCTGATGTAGTATAAAATTCAGCACAAGTTGAAATAAATCTTCACCCTTAATTTAAATTTAATTATTTTAATTAAATAAGTAATCTAATTAATTAATGATGTAGATGAAATTCAGCACAGCTGAATTCATTAATTCAGCAGCTAATCCAACCTGGTAGTTAAAAACAAAATTCTCAACATAATTAGAATCAATTTAGAGCTCCCAGTGAGTTATAATTATAAACAATGGTTATAAATTTAATTAAATTAATTAAAAATAGATATAAAAACAAAAGAGGTTTTAAGTAAGTTATTAATTTACATTTATTAAATCTATCTAATGTTAATAAATTCATTAAAAATCGTAAAATGTTATAAATAAATTAAAATAAAAAAATGGCAACGGTTATGGAAAACGAAAATAATGTTATTTTTTTCGTCTTAGTTCAAAATACTATTTTTATCATTTTCGTTTGACTAATTCAAAAGTATTCGTTTCTTTTTTTACTAAAAGTAATCATATATTAATTTTAAAATATCCGTACTTTATTCATAAAGTTAAATAGCAAAAATGTCAAATTTTTTTATATATTTTTATTCATTAATAAAATATTATTATTTTTTAATCTATTATAAAACCTCAAAAAATCTTTCAAATAGGACGAACGGAGTATTTATTAATAATATTTTTAAAAATATAAAATTATATTTTTATTTCTCAAAAAAATTACTATTTATTACCAAACTTTTTATTATTCCTATTTTTTGAAAAAAAATAAAAGAAAAAGGAAAAAGGAAAGGAGAGTTGTGTTTGCTATTCAGAGGACTGTCATCATCACTCCAAACATGTACCCTATACCCCCACAACAAACTCATCCAACGGGGTCCTTCACTTTTCCAAAGCACCATGGACCTCAAATCCCGAAAGATCGACACCATTCATTACTTGGCCCCCACCTTAATCAATGGTCCAAATTCATTTCCTTGGCCCCACCAAGAATCATCCCCTGAAACAAAACTTCAATCCCAAAAAACCCACCAAACCTATATATTGTCGACACGTCTCCCGTACAAAATAAAATTTTGAGTTGTTTGTTTAATGTTTTTCTGCCATACAATATTTAAAAAAAAAAAAAAAAAAACTTGAAAATGTATATTTTACAATAAAAAATATTTAAAGTTATAAATATTAAATAAGGAAAGAAAATATCATATTCAAATAGTATTGAAACAAAATTGCACCTCATCCGTTGTCGAAATTAAACTAATTTATTTTTTATACCTATTTTTTATTTTATATAAAACAATTTATTCAATATAAATAACTTTAAATAAGAATATATTATTATTATTTTTATATAAATTTTAATATCAAAATATTATTTAAATTTAACTTAAAATAATAATACCTTCTTCCCACAAAAATAATAACATTTGATTTTCCACGTAGATTTTTTAATATTAGTATTATATTGGTTTACAGTAAAAAAACACAAAAATGTCCCTGAGGGATAAAAAGGTAATAGACGTTTGTGTTGCAAGGGTATTAATCACGTTAGGTAGGTAGTAAATTATTAAATTAAAAAATAGTATGAACAAAAATGAAAAATAGTATCATTCTTATTGTACAGAGAGTATTATTTTATTAAAAACAATATAATAACAATTTGGATTTGAAAAAAATTAGTTTGAATTTAGTATTAAAATAATATTTGATAAGATATTTTGTGAGAAAAAAATATATATATATTTTTTTTGAAAAAAATAGAATTTAAATAGTAAAATTTGAGAAGATTTGGTTAAAGAAACAAACAAAGTTTTATAAATTTTAAATATATCCATATTAATAAAATCTATTTTATTTTCAGAAATAAATGCAAGTATTTGAAAAAGAAACACTACACACGTCTTAAAAAACCCATCCCGGCACCATTTCTCCACTCAAAACCCCCAAACTAAAAAAGAATAACAATAATAAATTAAATTAAAAAAGAAAAAATGAGTCTCACCATCTTCCTTTTCCTCCTCCTGACCTCCGCCGCCGCCGAACTCCGGCGGGGATTCTACTCGGAGAGTTGCCCGGCGGCAGAAACGATCGTCCGGGAGGTTCTCCGGCGAGCGATGGCCAGAGAAACCAGAAGCGCCGCGTCAGTGATGCGACTGCAATTCCATGACTGCTTCGTCAATGTATGTATACATATATATCTGTAATAACAATAACAATTTTGAGAGAGCGAGAATAAGATCGAGTAAATATTTTACATTTATATATTTTATAATTAATTTAATTAGGGCTGCGATGGATCGGTGCTGCTTGACGACACCGCCGAGATGGTCGGAGAGAAATCGTCGCTGTCGAATGTCGACTCGCTGCGGTCGTACGATGTTGTCGACGAGATTAAGGAAGCTCTGGAGGCGGCGTGCCCCGCCGTCGTTTCCTGCGCCGATATTCTCGTCATGGCTGCAAGAGATGCTGTTGCCCTGGTACTAGGGTTTCTTTCTCATTCCTTTACCTTTTGTCGAATTGAATTAACAAAGACTTACAAATCGCACCTTCTAGAAACTATTTCTTAACTGCGAAATGCATAGACACAGACATTCTTGGTTAGCAATGTCGGATGAATCGCTAAGCCGACGGAAAATTATTTGAATGTCCTTGAACGTTACGCCAAAAGGCGAAATTTCCTTACCACATAGGCCGATAGAAAGGTGTTCGAATTTCCTTGAATGTTACGCCGAGAGGCGAAATTTCCTCGGGAAGTAACTTGATTTTAGGCGAAACTCGACTTAAATTTACCCGTTATAACCTTCGGAGAAACTATCGATGTCTTAATTTCTTGTTTTCGACTTTGGACAGAGCGGGGGACCGAACTGGAAAGTAAAGCTCGGAAGAAAAGACAGCCTAACAGCAAGTCAAGAAGCGTCGGATGCGATAATGCCGAGCCCGCGAGCCGACGCTGCATCCCTAATCAATCTCTTCTCTGGATTCAACCTCAGTATTCGCGACCTCGTCGCCTTATCCGGGTCCCACTCAATCGGTCGAGCGAGGTGCTTCTCCATTGTTTTCCGGCTGTACAACCAATCGGGCAGCGGGCAACCCGACCCTGCAATCGACCCTACCTTCCGGGAGGAGCTCGACCAGCTCTGCCCACTGGGCGGTGACGAGGAGGTCACCGGGGGGATGGATGCGTCGCCGGAGAGATTCGATAACCAGTATTACAAAGATTTGGTCGACGGGAGGGGGTTCTTGAATTCAGACCAAACGCTGTATACATACCCGGAGACGAGAGGGTTCGTCGAGGAGTTCAGTAAGAATGAAGACGAGTTTTTTGCCGCGTTTGCGGAAGGAATGGTTAGGATGGGAGATCTGCAGTCGGGATTGCCAGGTGAGGTTCGGAAGAATTGTCGTTTCGTTAACGGGTACCGGCCAGACGAGGGGTTGGTGAAAGATTCCTGAGGTGGATACATTGATGTAATATCGAACGGTTACCTTGCATCGAGCAATAAAATTACTATGATGACAGAAAAAACATTGCGGTAAAGCATAGGAAAGTTTCATAATATAAATGTCGACTGTCATAATGTAAATCTAAGGATTCAACACTTAAAAGTAGCATTCGATCTAAAAACTCATTTTAGGCAGAAATAGGGAAAAAACAATGCCGAGTGTTGAGGATAATCATGAAATGGGCTTACGCGGTGGCGACGGATGGTTTCGAGGCTGCGGAGAGTTTGGATCTTCTCTTAGCCAGGCTCTCGCTGCGCTTGTCCCTTTGTTCCTTCAATCGGCTAGCGAGGAGTTTCTGGTACTCGGCTGCCTCCGACTTAGCTTTCGCGATTCTCTTCTTCTTGTCGGCGATTCTTGCTCGTTTCCTCTGCAGTGTCAGGGGAGTCACCAGCCTTTGAATCTTAGGAGCCTTGCTTACTTTCTTGCCTGTTTAATACAAAGTTATCAAACAAATTAGGTCTAAATGAATTCAAGAAGTGCATCTGAAATTAGTATTATGACGTACCGGATTTGGTGGTGAATGTTCGGCGGTATGTGTTGACATACTTTCTCACATCATCCTCCTTAGAGAGGTTGAAGAGCTTGCGGATCTTGGAAGCTCGTTTCGGACCTCTCATCCTAGGCTTCTCGGTATCGGTTAGTCCAGGGAGATCGTTCTCACCCTTTTTGACAATCACCAAGTTCAAAACAGACAGGTCGGGGCTAACAATACAGCCGCGAACAGATTTTCTCCTTCGCTCTCCATTTCTCCTCCCATAGCCACGGAAGCACGGTGTGCCTGGACATATGCACATTCATGGTTGAAATATTACCATAAGTTATCAACTTTTAATAAAAATTCTACCCTCAAGCGAAACTAGCTTTCTGCAAAATCAAATAGTGCGGATAACTGATTCCTGTTCAACATACCTCTGTGCAGCAAGAGTCTCACCCTACCAGGAGTTAACACACCCTGCTTCATGGGGAAACCTTGCTTGTCACAGCCTCCCATAATCTTGAACACATAGCCCTTGAACTCCTGGAATATCAATTCAACGGAACCATAAATGTAAGTGCTGTATCAATTACAAACAATCGACAAACATCTTCTTCTGGAGTGTGAATGTAGCTAAATTACCTCACCCAATGCGTCTCCATTGACCTCCTGGGAGATCCTCTTGTCAAAAAATGCCCGGCTGAAATCCCAATTAACGACGACATAAACTATGATCAGGTCTTAATGATACAATATATGTAAGTTGTATCCCAATTCTCATATACAAACTCATACGAGGGAGTGCAATCGAAATATGAAATTCATCCTACCAGTAGATGCAAAAGCTCTAAAATGTCATCAATGTGAATCCAAAACGACTCTATACTCTACCAAAACAAATCTTAAGATAAACGGAAAGACAATATAAGCTATGACAGGTATTACTTTTACCACATATGTAAATTGTATCTCAATTCTCAAATACAAACTCATGCGAGGTGATGTAAACGAATAATGAAATCCATCCTAACAGTAGATGCAAAAACTTGAAATTATCATTCATGTGAATCGAAAACTACTCCATACTCTCCGAAACAAATATCAATATAAACGCTAATTAATCAATCGCACGTTAACTACGCAGCCATATAAACACCAACGTAAAAAAATACATAACGAAACGAAGCAATAAATCACGCACTAAGGTAGCGAAATCAAAGAAAATGGAAATTAAATGCGTACAGCTTCTGGTCATCGTCAATCTCGAGCTTCTTCTGGCAGCCAGTGGTCGGATTCGCAATGTTGAACTATAAAAACACATCATACCGAATTTTACATCACACAATACGGAAATAAATCCAACTGATTCATAATGATACACAATTTGAAATCTTTCTGCGCTGCAAACCTTCATCGTCGATGCAGCAAGAAGAGGCCGCGGAGATGTGAACTATCGCTCCTAAACGCTCAGCCCCTGCAACGTAGCTAGGGTTTTTGAACGCGGCTGCAGGCTCTTTTATAGTCACTGTTAATTTGATTTGGGCCCTAATACAGCCCACTTTAACCCATTTTTTCAGGTCTAATTAAGGCCCGTTTGAAGGTATCTAATTACTTCTAATATTAAAATCAATACATAGTAATTTTTTTTAAAAAACTTATTTTAGAAGAAAAAAAAATAATACTACTATATTTTTATTGTAATATTTTTTCTAAATTATAATGATTTTTATTTGAAACCCTTAACCCTTTAATAGAATAAATTAATTTTTTATGTTTTTGGGCTTTCCTAAGTGGGCTCACGGCCCACAAAAAATTTATCATTACATCCTGTGCGTGATCATTTATGATTTTCTCTAAAATTTTGTAATTATTTTAAACAAGATTGTAAATTTACCAAATTAATAACTAAAACAATAAAAAATTCAATTAGAATTGCACGTTGAAATAATTTATAATTACCATAAAATCTAAAAGGTCGTTTATTCTCATTATTGTTACTGTTATTTTCATTGAGAAGTTTGGTCTTAATTTATATATTTTTAATATTATCATTTTGTTACTCTACAATTTTTTCTCTTAAAAAATAAATAAATAATTGAACGACGATTGTGGTGATATAAATATGTAGATTAATAGGCTTTTTCTCCGTCATTCCCCACTCAAGTGTTTCTCTCTCTAAAATCAGGAAACCCTCGCTCCCTCTCTCTCTCTAGGAACCGAAATCCATTTCCTTCCCCAAATCGGAATGGCGTCGCCGCGCGAGGAGAGTGTGTACATGGCGAAACTGGCGGAGCAGGCCGAGCGCTACGAGGAGATGGTGGAGTTTATGGAGAAGGTCGTCGGAGCAGCCGACGGCGACGAGCTAACCGTCGAGGAGCGGAACCTCCTCTCCGTGGCCTACAAGAACGTCATCGGCGCCAGGCGCGCTTCCTGGAGGATTATTTCCTCGATCGAGCAGAAGGAAGAGAGTCGCGGCAACGAGAACCATGTGTCGGCGATTAAAAGCTACAGATCCAAGATCGAGTCGGAGCTCTCCTCGATCTGCGACGGCATTCTGAAGCTCCTGGACACAAAACTCATCGGATCCGCTGGCACCGGCGACTCCAAGGTCTTTTACTTGAAGATGAAGGGCGATTACCATCGCTATTTAGCGGAGTTTAAGACTGGAGCCGAGCGAAAGGAAGCCGCTGAGAACACTCTCTCCGCCTACAAGTCTGCTCAGGTAACATTTCTGTTTGATTTATGTTCTCCTGGTTTTTGGATGTACAGTATGTGACCTCTCTACTAGAAAATGTGGAGAGATTAACGCCATAGATCAAAGCAATCCTAATTAGTTATTGTATGTTTAAACCTAATCGATGCCACTAATTTTCACATGAGTCTTACTTAACCAGTAAAAACTTTTGAACAAATATTATGAAGCACGCATGATTTCGGAAAATTATGTAATTAGGTTTTTCTGATGCTTAATTGATGATCTGCACCGGTATTATTTGTTTTTATGCAATTGAATTGATATATGAATTTAGAATACCTGCATCGGCCAGCTATGATTCTACTACGTTTTATGACCACATCTACCATGGAATTTCATATATTTTAGTATGACGATTGTATCAATGACTTAGTAATCATCTATCTGTTTCTCAGTCAGCTTTCTAATTTGTGAATTTAGAACAAAGAGAATTCGACTGCTTGATTTAAAATACTATTATTATAAGGTCAACTCGACTACTCTTGTTTTGCAGGACATAGCTAATGCTGAGCTGGCTCCAACTCATCCAATTCGTCTTGGCCTGGCACTGAATTTCTCGGTCTTTTACTACGAGATTCTGAACTCTCCTGATCGTGCTTGTAATCTCGCCAAACAGGTCTTAACCAAAACCAAACTTGTTACTATAATTAAACTTGTATATTTTGTTTAGTAGTAAATAAACGTTTAGCTACGCTACAGCAAATTGCAAAGTAGCCCTACATGAGATGCTAAAATGTTTGATAGGAGAAAATGATCGTGTTTTTGTAAAAAGCTCCCAAGAACCATGTGAATATGTAAGTTGCAGTATTGTAAGAAACACAACTAGGTATCTTCGGTCCTTTTTATCCACTAGGGATGTTTTGAACACCTTATATGATAATTACCAAATTTATAATCTACCTGCTGCCCTCCAATTTCTCTGTCGCAGTTTACAACGTTAAGATTAATATGAAAACAGGGATTGATCTGATAAATGGTTAATTGTCTACTCGAACTAATTACATTTGGTACTTTTCAAGGCTTTTGACGAGGCTATTGCTGAGCTTGACACTCTTGGGGAGGAGTCGTATAAAGACAGCACCCTGATTATGCAGCTACTCCGCGATAACCTTACTTTGTGGACTTCGGACATGCAGGTTAGTGACTTTCTGTTCTTTTTTATGTACTGCAAAAATGTGTGGATTGAGATATTGATATGAGTGCTGCTGCCCTTTTTTGCAGGACGATAACTCTGAGGAAATCAAGGAAGCACCTAAGCCTGATGCCGAGCAGTAATCTTTTTTACTTTTTTATTTTCTTGGTGTGTTGTTTAGGATTTGGATCTTTTTCTAATTTTCTATGATATATTCTGCTTTGTTTGAATGATGAACTGCTGCCTTTAGCATCTAGTTAGCCTGATGGTCAACTTCTACGATGACCTACTACTCGGTGATTGATGTCTTTTTATATCTCATCCTGTTGTGCTTTCTCACATTCCGTTTCTATTCTGAACACTAACATCTGTTCTGAATTCGGTTATGCAATCCATGCTTATTTATCTCCTTTCCGAAACCAAACCATATGTGCCATGGTTATATTGCTTGTGTAGTTTCCTTAGCACTGAGCTGACAACACACATTATCGACCGGCAATATATGCTGTGTTAATCGAAGCATGTGCTGACCATTTTGTGTCTCATATGTTTATATTTCACATTTCTGGAAAGGGCCTTCTTTTGTTAGGTTTTATTTTTGCTTATTTGAAAGTGTTTCTTTTCTCATGATATTGATAAATGAAAAGTGGTTTGGTGACTTTACAGTTGTAGTTGTATTTGGGTACACTGCACATTGCTTGGTTTCTTTGAATTAGAAAGTGGAATGGACTTTTGCAGAGTTTGATTTAGTCAGTCATAGATGCTGCTGCTTAAGTCAGTCGTGAGAGAAGATGCGTTTGGTGGATGGTTATTAATAATTAACTTTATTGTTATTATATTTTATTTAACTTCTTGGGTGTAGGCTATTATTCACTTGACTTTTGTATTTAATATATATATGCTTATTATAGTATAGCATAGCGTCTCGCCAGGAAAGCTTCTTTGGGCGGCTGCCTTTTGATTTAATAACTTCAGATTCTTCTATGCATGTTTTGCTTTTGTCAAATTGAATTTTCTAATATATGGCTTTGATTATGGCTCTGTTTAGACAGCAATTTTGTAACTTTATTATAGTTTGTTTCTTGTGATGAAAAGATATTGTTTGGGGGTTAAGTATTGAAATCAGAATAGTAAAACAATAAAAAATGAAATAGAGTTTTGGATTTTAAAAATAAAAAATAAAAAAAAAATTAAATAATGAAAAGTTTGTGGATCCAATCTATTTGAAGTGAAGTTTTTTCTTTTTGAAGAAAAAAGGGTATGTGATGTCATGGGTTTTTTTGAAGAAGTTAGATTATAGTTCCGAAAGTGTTAGTGGTTTATATATTTCTGGTTTGGTTCCAACAATTTTTATGTTTATTTTGCCTCAAATACTTAGATTATAGTTTGAAGTAAGCTTTAGGTCTTTATTTTATATATATATATTTTATTTTTTATTTATTAATTTTTTGCCATTTTGTCATGTATTAATAGAAAGTGTACATCAGCACAATAAAATATAAATATTAGTAAATGATATATAAAACTCTCCAAAAATTAAACATCAGTTATTTTATTAAATAAATGCGGCTGAGGAAATAGGCCCAGTAACGAAATAACTAGGCCTCCTTATTTGGGCCAGTTTTGGGCCCATTGGGTTAACATTTTGGGCCTTCTCAGGATCTAAATAATATCTGACCCAACCCTGTCGACTAAAATATATGATTTCGATCGTACGTGATAAAATATTGTGCCCAATAGTGCCACAAAAGAACCCAGCCATTTTGTCGAAATGAGAATTTTACAAAATACCATTGGGGTAGTATAAACTCCAAAAGGTAACAATCACTACAGTAAATAAAAATTGAATGAACAATTATATTTCTACGGTATTTGATTTTTTTGCTAATGTGTTTTAAATAGCATTTATTAAGAAACAGATAATATATTATTTATATTAATATAATATAATATAAATATAGCACAAGAAAATATTACATACTCATATAAAAAAAACATAATAGCGTGATGATTTCTCCAAATAAATAGTTTCAATGGCCTAGAAAACATAGATAAAAAAATACAGAAAACACTGATTAAAAAAAGAATAAGTTTTGAATATAAAATGTAATAAATTTGTTTGCATGAATCCAATAATAATAAGAATAAGAATAAGGAATCCTTTCAGTAATAAGGAGGGTAGATTAATAATGAAATCAGTTTAACGAAAATTCACCGCGACAACCAAATTCTATAAGCCTATCTTAAATTTACAGTCGCTTCTATACGCACACCCAACCATATAAAATAACCGCAGTAAAAAACCAAATCCGTTTACCCTCCCATAAAAAAAAAAAAAAAAAAAAAAAACACATCTTCTACTCAATGGACGACTGCGACCGCGACGGCGACGGCAGCTGCGATTCTTTCCGGTGAGACGAACCCTTCTTGATGGCCAGAAGTCCGCCGACTCGCCGGAACATCGTCTTCACCCGCCGGTGTTGCGTATTCTTATTCTGTAAGTTCGTATCATCGTACTCGTTGTTGAAAAACGTCTCCGTCGAGTTTTGCCGCTCCTGAATCTCGGCGTAGGAGAACGAATACCGCCGCTGCCGTTGGTTCGGAAACTTCCGTTTCGGCGTATGCGGCTCCGATTTCGGTGTCTCGGCATTCGTGTCGAAGATCGATCCCTTTAAGGCCTCGGCCTTATCGGGATCATCGTCTAGGATCCTCAGATTGAAGTCCTCGGGCTCGGTTAGTAGCTTTAGCGCGTCGAGGTTTAACGTGAACCCTTCGCTCGAGTGGCCGTCGTCATTTTTACGGTCATGATCGTTCTCGTACTCCGAACCATCGGAGTCTGGAGGCCCGTCGTGCATGTCCTTCGAGTCGAACTTCATCTCCGCCGAAGACGATGAGGATAGCATCCTCTTTAGTTGCTCGACGCTTTCTTGCGCCGCAGCCTCGTTGATTCTTAAACGCTCGTTTTCCTCAGTGAGAAAATGTATCGTACTCTCTTTTTCGACCAGAGCGTCTTTGAGTTGAGAATTCTCGTCTCGAGCAATTGCCGCGGCCGCTTTTGCGGCGTTCGCTTCGTTTAGAGCTTGTTTTAATAAATCTCGCGATCGATACATCTCGTCTTTTGCTGTTTTCGTCGAATTCTCGGCGATTTTCAATGCTTCCTCCATTCGAGCGGTTTCGTGCAACGCAATCGCTTTTTCTTCCTCAGCGCGCTTTATGCAAGTCACGAAACCCATTTCCTTCCCGTTCCACGCCATCAACGACTCCTCGACTTCGAACTTGAGTCGATCGACAGTGTTACGATGCACGTCAACTTCGCGGCGAGCTTCCTCCAATGCGCACTTCAACAACTCGACTCTCGTCGTGGAACGCTCGATCTCGACTTCCGCGGCGGCGAGTTTCTCCTTCGATTGTTTCGCTTCCGCGGCGACTTCTGTGAGCGCCATGACGAGGTCGTCCATCGCCTTGGCGCTCTTTTGCTCTGCGTCGAGCGCTTTTTTCCACTCGTGTTTTAGCAGATCCATTTCATCTTGCATTGCTTCCATTCGCGATATAGTGCTCTTTTCGCGCTCCCGAGCAACTTTAAGCTCGGGAGCGAGATTGTCATTGTCGTCCCCGCCGTCGTGGTCGCACAACGACTCCAACGTCCCGATCTTCTCGTACAACGACGCAATCTCGATTTTTGCCTCTTGCAACTCGAACTCGATGGCGTCTAACTCCCTCACCTTCGACGAGAGCGATTTCCCGACTCTCGACTCGGATTCCCTCCACCGCATGACCTCGCCTTCCAACTCTTTGATTCTTCTCTTGTTCTCTGTTTCGATCGTCTTTGCCTCCTTTTCTCGATCCTTTAATTCCTCCTTTAATCTCTTGATTATTTCCTCGTTCTCTGACAATCTCTCGAGATCCATCTCTAACGACTCGATCGTTTTGTCCTTTTCGGACAACGATTTCTTCAAGCTCTTGATCTCGTCCGTCAAATCCTCGACTTTCCTTGATTCGGCTAACTCCTTTTTCACCTCCTTAAGCTCTTCGACGAGCCTTTCCTTTTCCGACATCGCTCTCCTCAATTCATCGTCCATTGTTTCGATCACAATCGGATTCTACGTTGAAAATTTAGAATAAAAATGATAATTTATTAATTTGTAATGATAAGAACAACAAATTCCAGGACAAAACAATCGAAATGTCGATCAATAATGTATGTACATGAATTACCTCGAACAAATTTGGCTTCGAATCTCTAAATGACTTGTTATTGTTAGATTTAACGAGAGCCGTTGGATCAATCTGTGCACCTATTGAATCTCCCCTGCAAAAACTGGATGCAGAAAAGGTTCTAGAAAATACTGATGAATGACGACGACGACGACGACGATCTCCATCATTCTTTCCCCTAATTTCCACATGAGCCTCTGATCTACGATATTCAAAAAAATAAAAATTAAAAAAAAAAATTGAAAAAAAAAATTAAAAAAGACAAGGCGTTTGAAAAAACGAGGATCGGAAAAAAGTCCGATAAAATCTCTGTAACACAAACAAAAACTTATATACAGACAGAAATACCGACGGAGAAAATTGTGGAAGATATCGAACACCAAATGTAATAATTAATAATAATGCGATAAATTAAAATATATATATATATATATGCGTACCTTGATTTTGAACGCCACATGAATATTCTTCTTTCCTATCTTTGGAAAAATCTCTAACAGAGTCAGAAAGAGGACAGGAAAAATATTATTTGAAAAGATAAATTTCGGCGAAAATTACAGAAGCGCAACGGATTTATGATTAATCTGTGGAATTTTTTGTTCGAAGGTTGAGTTCAATCTGACTGTGTGAATTTGGTCTGTGTAATAATATATATATATATATATATATGTCTGTCTGAACAGAGGGGAGAGATTGAAGAAGACGATGCGAAGAAGGGTTACGTAAATCTCAAATTGCTAATAAAGAAAATCTGAATTAAGACTCTATTGTAATGTTTATTTAAGGATTTGTTTGTTTGCGTTTTATTTAAGGGTTTGATTAATTTAGTTTCTATCTTTTTTTATTATTCAATTATAATGATTTTTTTATTAAATACACTCTATCTTCTTTATTACCTAAATTTGTGCATATTTTCCTTTTCTGTTTATCTTGTCATTTTAAAAAATAAATAAATATACATTCATTAAAATTCTTATTTAAAAATTTGAGCGTATTTTTAAATAGTGAAAGGAATATTTAAAATTATATTTATAAGAAAAAACAAACAAACACAATTTTCCTTTTTAAAAAATTGTATAATATAAATTAAAGTATTTTCTATAGAAGTAATAAAAATATACAATACATTATCATAATTTATAATCATTTGTTAATTGTATATTTGTTTTTTATTACTTATTCATTTTGAAATATATTTTATTTTTATAGTTTTAAAAATACACATAATATTTTGGTAAATAATATAGTAGTAATTGAAACATTAAAATTAGAACATACGTAAACAAAGTCAAATAACATACAAACAAACACCGTCAATGTAAAGTCAGGGTTGAAATTTGAATTAATTAATACTTTTGGGGGTGTTTGAAAATGTCATGGTGGCTGGCCGGCAATTGTGACATAGGAATTTGTACTATTTCTTTATTTTTATTTCCCAAAATAAAAATAATAAAAAAATTGAAAATAAATATGTTGGGTGCTGTTAGAGAAGTCATGTGCCTGAGCCTCGAATGTTCCATTCATTTCCACGCTTTTCCATGCCAAATGTTAATTTTATTTTTAAATTTTAAAAACTTAATTTCATTAAAAAAAATAATAATAATAATTTAATATAAAAATATATTATTTATTATGGATATATTTTTCATATTTAAATAAAAATATTTATCAAAAATATCAAAGTGAATAAATTTATTATTTATTTAAAATACATGGAATACTGATACAATAATTAATTAAATACTATTATAGTATTAATAAATTAGGCTCATTTATTCAAGAACCCCTTATAGTATTAAGTAAGTATATTTATATTTCCTAATTTAAATGAAAATTATTTCTAAATATAATATATTCTTTAAAACATTCCTCGAATTAAGACTTCAAATATTTGGACAATTTTAAAAGCTTTCTACTATTTATCAACAATAATTGTTTTTTTTTTAAACATTAACTAATACATATTTTTTCATATAAAATATCACATAAAATATTTATATATATTATGTAAATATATGCATATATTATATATATTTTTACAACATTAATTAGAATGAAGTGTTGAAAATTTGTTGTTTGGTAAACATATCCCAAAAGTTTTTAGGTAAATATAGCCTAAGACTCTATTTATTAATAATTTTGAAAATTTTTATGTTATTCATATTAATATATATTTTTGAAAATATCAATTTTTTTTTGAAAAAAAAACAAAATATCACTTAAATATCCATTTTTTTTAAAAAAAAAAAAATATCACTTAAATATCCATTTTTTTATACTATTTTAAAAATTTTCCATTTTTTTTTTTTTTTGGTTTAAACCAGCCTAAATTCTTGAAAAGAAAAAATTAACAACGGGTCAATATTTTGCATATTAATTATATGGCCGGTCAAAAGGGGATGAAGCCCATTATACTGACTGGGGCCATTATAAAGATTGGTCCAATAAACACTAAAATTAAGGTCCATTACTATTGGGCCCAACAAAGGCCCATTTAGATTTAAATGAAAATTGAAAGCTTCAATTAAAATATTTTCGAAGTGTGCTAATGGCCTTCGTCACGTTTTAGCAGAGAGAGAGAGAAGAGGATGTGGCTGGTTTCTTCAGCGTCAATCCAGCTGGGATCCCACGAAGACGACGAAGGATCACATCACGGAAGAAGAAGAAGATACACGTAAAGCAATCGCTTCGCTTTGATCGGAATTTTTGTAATCCGATCGATTGAATCGATTTTCTCCGGAAATTTTTTTGCTATTTTGTAAAGATGTGGGTATTTTATTCGATCTCGCTACCGTTAACCCTAGGCATGGTAATCTTGACTCTTAAATACTTCGCCGGACCGGGCGTGCCGCGCTACGTGTTATTCACGGTTGGATACACTTGGTTCTGCTCGATTTCGGTCATCATTCTTGTCCCCGCCGACATTTGGACGGTATAATTTTACTTTGTTCTTGCTCGGTTTAATTTCTTGCGGTTGCATTTGCTTACGGAGTTTCTGTTCATTTAGGTTAATTTGTGTCTTTTTGGATGCTGGAATCAGAAATTTACTTTGCATGCATTTTTAGCTCAGAAATTTCGCAAAATTATTAGGTTAATGACTTTAGTTAAGCAATTTCACTTGAATCTAGTGAGAGCATTTAAGTAATGTACGTCCTGCTATAAATCAGAGATATAATTCATAGTTTTGTGCTCTCTAAGGCAAATTGGTATTTGTACTTCACAATCATGCCATATTACACTTTTTTGTTGTTGTTATTGTTCTGCAGGCTATAATTGGCCAGGATAGTACTGGAATCTCTTTCTTTTGGAGTTGGTCTTACTGGAGTACGTTTCTTCTTACGTGGTATGTGTTTTTGGAACTGGATATTCATTATGTTTGTTGATCTATATGGTAAAGATATTAACTGCTGACCATCACTACTCCCTTTTATTGATCCTAACTCTTTCCGTTTTTCAAATTTGTCTTTCTTGAAACATGTCAAACCTTATATGCCTGTTTGATTTGGCTGTTACCGATGTTGAAGGGATTAGCTTTCTAATTTCTGGTGAATGATAAAAGTTAATATTTAGTATGTAAAAAGGTAGAGAAGGAATTTTGTGTGCGTTATGCAATCATATGATTTTAATGGGAATTTGAAGCTATTTAAGAGCAAGTATATTTTGAATAATCCTCAACACTAGTAAGGAAGAAATTGATGGCAAAATATGATAGTGAATAAGGAGCTGAGCAAAAAGAGATTTGGAAAAAGGAGTGTGAGAAGAATGATCTCTTCTGCTGTTATGCCATTACAGAAACAAGAAATAAGAAATAATGATTCAATTTTTCTTCTAGTTCCATGCATCTGGTTTACAGCATAATTTGGCATTAGGTGGTTCATGCTTAGAGACTGTATTGTGATTTTAGGTCTAACCATCTAATTTTGCTTTCTTTATTTAAAGTATATCCAAAACAAAATCAGTAAGATTCTTCGATTATATTTGTAGGAATGGAGTCTTAACAGGGTTTTTCCTAATTATTTATACTTGTTACTTGCTAAGACTAGGATGTGCATTTATATTAATGCAAATTCTCTCATACCAACATGAATGAGCCCTTTATATTCTCTTCATGAACAGGCTTGCAGTGCCTCTCTTACAGGGTTATGAAGATGCGGGTGACTTTACTATGCAGGAAAGACTGAAGACTAGTGTACATGTGAACTTAATCTTCTATTCAATTGTGGGGGCCATTGGTATTTTTGGACTTATTCTCCTGATTAGTATGCGTAAAAATTGGTTGGTTTCTTCATCTCTTGGTAACAATATCTTTTCATTCTATATCTAATTTCTTTTGTTAATTAGGTGTTTTTGGACAGTAAACGTGTATCATATGTACCTAAACTATCCCTGTTATCTGATTTGAACTGAATGTTCCTTGTGTTTCTAGTGGTTTTTCTTTGCTATGCCATATGAAAGTGTTGGAACTACATAAACATGATTGGAATTTTCACTAATGAAAAAGTTCTCTCTTAGTCACGTTGGGTTGTTGTTGTTGTGGTTTTCTGTTGATTACTGAGCTTGAATCTGTATGTGCAAAATGAGTATAATGTATGCTGATTGGCCGGGAGTGATTGCTTCTTTGAACCCTATTTACATTTTTTTTTTTTGGCACGTAAGTTGTTCCACTAATTTTACAAATAAGTCACGAGATGGTTTCTGAATGATTGCATGCCAAAATCATGCCTACTTGCATTTGACACACGGTTCTCAGCATTTGAATGCTCGAAAAAAATTTTATGTTCATGTTAATCAAATTCTTGGATCAAAAAAAGTATATTCACTTACATATTTATTGTATATTTATTTTCATTTTATTCCTGGGTTCACTGGCAGGTTTGGTAGTAAAGGTATATTGGCATGGGCTATGGCTTGCTCAAATATATTTGGACTAGTGACTGGTGCTTTTCTTCTTGGTTTTGGATTGATTGAGATTCCAAAAAGCATTTGGAAAAATTCTGACTGGACCACTCGCCACAAGGTTCTCTCACACAAGATAGCCAAAACAGCCGTAAAACTTGATGACGCCCACAAGGAGCTATCAAACGCCATTGTGGTTAGTATTTATTGTAATTGTTGTTGATAACACTAATACTATATAATTTAATACATGTGACATTGATATACCTTTGCATTTGTATTTAAAAGGCTTGTATTTATAAACATACATACATTTGATAGATTCCTTGAAACATAAATGAAATTTTGTGCTTCCTCTTCCACATAAAGGTTATCTTATCCATTTAAGATTACAGGGTTGATTTTAGTTTGTTCTCTCGCCATGATGTATAATCTACATGTCTACACTTTAGTTCATTTAAGAAAGTCAAAAGGATGCCTATAAATGAAGCAAGAGCTGATTCCTCATTTCACACCTTTTTTTTTGGAACAACTAGGTTGCTCAGGCTACATCTAAACAGATGTCCAAGCGTGATCCACTACGGCCTTGTATGGATGTTATCGATAATATGGTCATGCAAATGGTACTCTATTATTATTATTTCTAATATATCTTCACAGGGTGCATTTCATGTTATTATGTGTTGCCTGGATTTTAATTTGATTTTCTATCACCAGTTTAAAGAAGATCCTTCCTTCAAACCACAAGGGGGTCGATTGGGAGAAAATGACATGGACTACGATACAGATGAGAAGTCAATGGCAGCACTAAGGCGACATCTACGAAGGGCTCGAGAAGATTACTATAGATGCAAAAGGTCTAGTTATGGACAAAGGCTTGTGATGTTTCATGATGCTGCACTTCTTAATTAGTGTGCACTTACAGTATTTTGGGTTGTCATTTCATATTCACACGTGCTACTTGTTTGTCATTTGTATTATCTTTTGACTTTTAAGGTTATTTATGATATAAATATATTGTTCCCATTTTTACGTTCCTAGTATGTTGATATGGTTGTTCCATTGATCATGTCAAAGCCTAATGAATCACTTCTTGTTTTGCAGTGAATACTTGTCTTATGTTACAGAAGCTCTGGAATTAGAGGATACAATAAAGAACTACGAAAGACGCGATATGACTGGATGGTTTGCACAATACCCATCTTACCTTTTAGATTTATTCAACCCATATTCTTCAACTTCAAATTTTGTTTGAACAGTTATGCTACCAGTTATTCTGCATTTTTTACATCAAATTGAGACGTGGGTTTACAGGGGAAAAAAAACGAATAAAGAAAAGGAAAATTTGGGTTTGAGGGCTGTATTACTATAATTCATTGATTAATACCCATCATATGATTAACCATACAGTATTCAACTCTAGTGTTGTACTGTTGATTAGTTCTTGGTGCTACTCTGCAACATAAACAGTTATATTGTGTTGTGGACTTCTTATAATCGCTGCTCTTAAAATGAGTTTGTATTTTATTTTGTATTCTCAATAAACTATATATTGTGTAACTCCAGTTTAACGCTCAAATAAGTTTACTTACTAACTTTTTATGCACAGGAAGTTTGTCTCTAGCTTCAGACCAGAACGCAGTGGTACATTAGGGCAATTTCTCGACATGGCAGGTCATAATTTTGAATCTGCTTGGTGAATTAGAGCATTAGTGGACAAAAAATAAAGGGATAGTTCATGGTTAATATTTGATTGCTTTAGTTCACTCCCATATGATGCATGAGATATATTACGTTTCTTTACCTTTATTTTTATTCTGTTCAGCAAAAAATGTTTGGATTAATCATACTTGGCAATATGTTTTTACCATTTATCTGGATTTTAAGTATAATATATTATTCTTGGAACTTATTTATTTTTAAATAATGGTGTTATATCTTTGTCATTCAGTTACTCACCGCTGAGGTTAGGCTTCTAACATGTTTCTTCTTTTACTCCCCAGAGTTAATATGGCGCTGTATCTTACGAAATCAGGTGCAAAAGGTCTTTGCTGTCATTCTTGGTTGCATGTCAGCTGCCATACTCGTGGCTGAGGCCACTATGCTAACTAGCGGAGTTGATTTATCTTTATTTTCCATCCTTATAAAATCCGTTGGAAGTGATGAGGTTCTAGTTCAGGTACAAACACTCACTTCTCCATGGTTCTTTACTCTGTTGCACATAATCGTTAGCAGGATACACCAGAATAATACATTCTACTTGATGTTGCGTAATTTTGAATGTGATTTGATATTTTTGCATTGTTTTGGAAATTGTAGAAACTTGAATGAAAAATAGGTGTTATATTTTAATTGAGAATTAGATTTTGATGTAACTATGAAATCAATATTTCATGATCATTTATGGCTTATCTCAACTCATCTCATTTTCTTATATAGTTCATTGCTTTCTAACGGAAATTTCCGAAATTTCATTTTTGTAATTGATCTACTTCAGTCCAATTTACAGGTCCTAGTGCTCATATCTTCATCAAATTTTCTCTTATGTTATACGAGTGTGCACATTACTTGTTGATTCCTCTTCTTATCATAGATCATTTCCTTGTTATAATCTGCAACCCAAACCGTAAATATGTCTTGCTTGAAGATTCTCCCATCTCTTATTTGCCTACGATGACAGGTGATGGCATTTCTTCCACTGATGTTCATGTGCGTATGTACTTATTATTCACTTTTCAAAGTCGGGAGGCTCATGTTTTACTCATTGACACCAAGCCAGTCCAGCGCTGTAAGCTTGCTAATGATATGCTCGTAAGTTTCCTTTTTCCTCTAATATTTGTCCAAACCACAGTTTAAGCTTGCGTTACTCAGGTATTTGTTTCGATATTTGCAGGATGGTTGCCCGTTATGCTCCCCCAATTTCATATAATTTTCTAAATCTCATCAGTCTTGGCAGCGGAAAGAGAACCATTTTTGAGAAGGTCAGCACTCTGAGTTTTATTTATATGTATCTCTATCTGCTTCATAGACGATTTCTTAAAATAATCTTCTGCCTTGTTTGATTTTAGCGTATGGGAAAGATCGACGACGCCGTGCCGTTCTTCGGAGATGGATTCAACCGAATTTACCCCCTTATCATGGTTATTTATACAATCCTAGTAGCGAGCAACTTCTTCGACAGAATCATAAGTTTCTTCGGCAACTGGAAGATTTTCCGATTTCAAAAGGACGTCACCGATGACATGGATGGATTCGACCCGTCTGGCTTACTCATTCTGCAAAAAGGTAAAACCCGATTCTCCTCGATCGTTACACTCCATAAATCATCTTCCCACTTACAATGTTATATTGTGTCGAAACTTCCACAGAAAGGATGTGGCTGGAACAAGGTCTCAAAGTCGGCGAACACGTCATTCCACTGGCCAGAAACTTCAACGGTTCGACAATCGACGTGGAGTCGGGCAGCAACGAAATCGACAACATAATCGAAATGAAGGAGTCCTCCGACTTGATCAGGGACGATAAAAAGGGGACCTCGTCGTCTAAGTATTCGGGGACCAAAGAAGCCATGAGCGCCAAATACACGGCGATCCGGGAGCAATCGAAGTCGACGACGCACGCCAACCATCCCGTTGAGAGCATCGCTTCCACGAAGGTCTCGTTGCTCGATTCCGACGCGGCTCAATCGGGCAACCCCAACCGGATCCCGTTGGCGCTGGCGTCGAAATGGGCTTTTATGAAACAGGGATTCCAATCATTCAAAGACAAAATTGAGGCCAAGAAGCTGTTGCCGCTGCGCCCGGCGGCGGCGCAGGAGACCAATCGGCCTAGCCGTGTCCCGTCCTCCGAATCACTCGACGAGATTTTTCAGAAACTCAAACGCCCGGCAGATGATCGACACGACAGCGATAGCGACAACGATAGCCTCGGAGTCCAAGGTTCAAGCCGAGACAGGTGACATTAGTTATAACTATGAAGAATATATATATATATATGTATACGTATATGATGATTCCTCATTGTTGTAGAGATAGAAAATTGAAAGCAAAGCCAGCCTCTGTAATATACAGAAAACCTTATTTCTGTTGCTTGACAATTTTTTTGGTATGGTGAATGAAAAAATGGGTCGTAGTCGGGGTCGGGTTCGGGTAGGGTCCTGAGATGAGTGGGCCAGATGGACAGAAAAAGTAGGGGTGGAATATTATTTTGGCAAACAAAACGAATACTTGAAAATTGGCATCAACTAGTGTTTTTTTAAAAATTATTAAATTAAATAGTTTTTATTTATTTAAAATATTATAAAAGTATTTTATTTTATATGAAATACTATAGTATTTAATACATATTTAAATTGAAATTTATATTTATTTTTGCTATTTTAAAATGTATTTCGGAGTATTTCCTAAACATTTCTGATGACAACCTTAGATTTTGGTCTTGTGATTGTGAGGCCTTTTTGGTCGATTTTGGCAAGTGTCCATTGTCCAATAGCGACTATTGATTTGTCTATATAAATCATTTGGGGTTTAGATTTTTTTTTCCGTAGAGATTTAAATAGTAAAAATTTTGATGGAATAATTGTATGATGTGATCTAAATAGATGTTAATATAATATTTTGAATATAAAATTGATTTTTTAAATTATATAAAAAATGAAAATAAATATTTGATTTGATCTTATTCAGGAATTTTTTATTTTTTTTTTATGAATAGTGAAAATATTAAGAAATATGATAAAAGAACACATAGTAAACTTTTCTTATTTATTTTGTTTTGGGAGCTTGGATTTTTCGGAGTTCTGTTTTATTTTATTATTTAATAGTGATTTATGATATTATGTAAAAAAAAAAAGTATTGCATATTAAAAAAAATAAAATTGAATCTTTACAAAAATACTCTACATTATTGTATATACAACAATTAATAAATAGGATGAGACTACATACGATATTTTTAAGATTAAATAAAATATTATATATATATATATATGCTAAACAAACCCTTAAAACATTTTTTTTTTTTCAAATTATTAGTTACCCTTTCAAATGAATTCATTGCATGCACTAAACCTCCCCCTAAACCCTAATCTATTTTATTTAATGGAATAAAGCTTATGATTTATTTTTAATACAAATAACATACGTGTATTGAATTAGTGGGCCCTAGTTGCTACCTATCATTTGGCCCACATACACAGAGGTGGCCCACTTAACCACTTTTTACTTTTTTTGAATTGGTGTGGGCCCATTAAGGGAATCCTTTGCAATTTCTGACACCACCTACTGCCAAACTACTCTATTGCTTCTTTTTCATATATACTTTTCAAATATGATCATTTTATATATATATATATATATTGGAAATTAAAAAAAATATTAATTTCAGATCTTAATAAATAAATTTAGTGAAGTTTATCCATATTATGATGAATTAAAAAAATATTATTATTATTGTTATTTAATTAAGTTATTCTTGTAGAGAAAAAATTATTTTTTCATAATTATATGATATGACGTACATATATAATATTAATATTTAAAATTCCATTATATATATATATATATAAAATAATAATACATACATACATACATATCTTGGGTGGAGAAAGTATTGTCTTTAACCACAAGAGAGCGTCATACACTGTAAAATGCTATAAGAACAATGAGCTAGATATAAAATTATGTCTGTTTATTTTTGTTTGAATTTTGATTAAAATAATATTTAATTGTAATATTTTATAAAAAATTAAAATATATATTTTTATTAAAAATAGTGTGAAGAAAATAGTTTCGATTTTTATTTGAAATCTAAATCAAATACATCACTATTCCTTGGGTCTGTTTGTTTGGGGGTTTGAATTTTGAGTTGGAATTTGAATAGTAAATATTTTGAATTTGAATAGTTGTATGAAGTGATATAAATAGGTGTTCATGTGATGTTTTGAACGTAAAATTGATTTTTAGTATAATATAAAAAATAAAAAATAAGTGTTTTGATGTTTTTGGGGGAAAAAAAAAAGGATGAATAGTGAAAATCTAATCCAATCCTCCAAACAAACACACATAATTAACTACAATAAAAGGTGACACTTATAAAAAAAATTAATCTTATATAATAATAATAATAATAACATTTTCAATTAAGTATAAACTCATTTTACTGATAAGACTGAATTGATTTAACTAATAGGTGTGATATTTTTAAATAGATTTAACAATTTGTCATGATATCGAAATTTTTCAGACATAATTATATATAATATTATGGACGATTTTCTATATTTTATTTGTATTTAATAATTTATTTTTAAATTATTAGAACACTCTACAATAAGATCGACCCAAATTATATTAAATAAATGAGTAAAAATATATAAAATTAGTGTACTTATTTTGTATTTTTGGATTGGTGTATATTTTTATCGAAAATATAAAAAATAATATTTTTTTAATAAATAGAATATATATATTATTTTTAATATTATTTATGAAAAATCGTGTCTACGTCAAATAGTTGGAATAACTTATTTTAAATGCTATTTTTTGTGAATAAATTATATGTACAAGAATTGAAAATTCCAAATAAACTTGAGGATCATTTCTTGGAAATTTAATGGTATATTCGTATAAGCAATTTTAAATAAAATTTGGAAGAATATAAAAGGGAGTTCACATGGCTTGTCTGTTGTTCATATATTATATAATTATGTGTATATATATATATATTATCTACTTGTCTAATGAAGCTTAAATTAATTACACAAAATATCATATTATTATTATATTGAAGTTAAATAAATAATATTTTAAAATAGTACTTAATATATTAAGTAATAAAAGGGGAAAAAATACGTTTGTAATATATTATAAGGAGTAATTAATATTATTATGGATTTGTTGGGTATAGTGTCACCATCAAATTTTGTATGCTGTTTCAAGCAATTTCATGAATTATATTCTTTTAGTAATTTTTTATATTTCTTTTATATATTTTATAATGAAATTACACTATTTTTTTTTATAGCAATAATTCATTTCAAATCACTATATAAATACAAAACACAATAGAAATAATAATATTACCGGGGTCTCAAAGTTTTGTTATTATTTTTAATTTAAATTGTTTAAATTTTTTTACATCTTTTTTTTATTATACACATAGTTTTCAATCACGGTAATTATACGAGACATAATTCGATACCCAATTTGATATAAAAATGCAAATCAAAGGGCAAAAAATAAAATAGTTTTGATTAATTTAATTGAAAAAATGACCTACAAACTTCAACCTTTTCATATCTAATTATCAATACAATATAAATAATATAATTTAATTAACTGGGTATTGTAAAATATATTAGTATACAAAATAAATAATTAAAAGCTCTAGAAGTAGACCATATCTTTGGATGCCCTTAAATGATAAAATTACATATAATTAATTATGGTTAAATATTAAATTAAATTAAATTAATCCACTTACATCATGCTTGTCTTAATCAAAATAATTAAGTAATAATAAATTAAATAAGCTTCACTATCAAGGGAAAAATAAAATTATACTAATCATCATTATTAGATCCATTATTGATTGTTTGAGCAAAAAAGACAAAAGAAACCCCATGAAGTGTACTCAAAATATTAATATAATTTGGAAAATATCATTTTCATAGACAAATTTGAAATAAATAAATAAAACATCATCAAAGCTATTATATATAATTCCAATATTTTTATTTTTCTATGCTTAAACCATGATTTGCTACATTTTATTTTTACTTTTTTAAGTTAGGGTTAAAGCGACCGAACATTAGATATGCTAAAACTTGATTAAATTTGATTGAGTTCACCGAATTTTGTGAAAAATAAATAAAAGTGATGAATAAGTTATTTGGGATGTGTTTGAGCTTGACCTCTAAAATAATAATAATAATAATAATAATAATAATAATAATATAAAAAAATAATTTTATATATAGTTTTATTGAGTCAAATTGAATTACTTATGGGACTATACTTACTCAATTTAATAAATGATGGCTTTTTTAGATATATAAATAATTAGGGTCTTTTCTTTTTCTTTTTTTTTTCATAGTTGAAACTGAAATCATATTATTCATTTTGTATATTTTTAATAAAAATATATATTTTTTTCACAAACTATTAAATTAATATACTATTTTTTAAAAAAATAAAAATAATCATTTCATTTTAAATTAATTTCAAACACCAAACCAAATAAGTTATTAATTTAACTTAAATATTATTATCAAATTATAGAGATTTCTTCAATTTATTATAAAACTATAGTGATTTCTTATAACAATATACTAAAATATTCTCTTTAAAATATTATATTCATCCATTATTTAAATACAAATACATTAAAATTTAGTTGTGATATTATCTTCACATATATGTATATATGTATAATTTGCCATAAATTTTTTTCCATCATTTACAAATATATTTAATTTTATCAATTAAGTTTAGCAATATCTTTTGTATCATTTTAAATTTTACTGATTGATTTATATTTTTAAAAATTACATTAAAAAAGAAATCAATATATATTAAATAAGAAATATGTTATTTTATTTATATAAAATGTTTTCGAGTGTCTAAAGGAGGGATGGTTTAGATATTTTATTAAGTATGATTAAATAATACTATAATGTTATATTGTGTTAATAATACTACTAATTAGTATTATTATATTGAACTATTAATTAAAGTAAAAATAATATTATATAGGATAAAATAATATTATTCATTTTAATCTTATATAGTAAACATACCATATATATTACTCTCTCCGTCCCATATACCATGTCCAAGTTGCCGTTTTTATCTGTCCCACGTTCCATGTCACTTTTTTTTTTGGAAAATAATTACACGTTTTAATCTCATTTTAAACTTTTTAATTTATTTATTTTCTAATTTCAATTAAACTAATTAGTTGTCTTAATTTTAATTTATAATTATTTATATTATAGGATAATTATTTTCATTAATACATTTTTTATTATCTACTAATTACACACCTCCTAAAATATTGTGTCTACAGTGTAGCAGTATGTGGGACGGAGGGAGTATTATCTAGCTAAGAGTTTGTTATTGGAGTATTTAAGTATTTTGAATTATTTTTTAAACAATAAAATTTTAAATAGGAATAAATATGGCATATGTTATTGTAACTTTATATAGAAAATATGCAAAGGATGTTATATGCGAAAACAAAAAATATTTTTTCATAATAGTGTCAACTTTATGAAAATTTGGACAATCACATATATTAAAATCATATATTGTAATTTTATAATACTTGATATATAACACAAAATACAAACATCATCTAATAATCTTTTCGTACATCCGAAAAATATATATTTTATTATTTTCGTTTATTTAAATACAAAGTATATATTTTCTACCAAGTATGATCCTGCTAGTTATGGTAAAAACTTTCAATTTTATATTCATTTACATTAATTCAAATAATAATAATAATAATAATAATAATAATGCTAAAGACAAGAAATTGTAACAAAAAGTATATACATACCTATATTAAAATGCTTGTCCAAAGGTTTGAGGACAAATTTAAACGGCAATGGGAAAGCTATAGTATTGAAAACAAAATCTTTATAACAGCTTATAGACTTATTTTTTAATTTTTAGTACAAATTAATATTTTTTATTTGTTTATTATAAAATATATATATATTAACAAAAGATACATATTACATTAATATTCATCTAAAAAATATTTGAATTTATTTATTTTTATGATGATTAAAGTAATGAAATAAAATAATGTAGACATAGGCTCCATAAAGAGACATTTTGAAATATTTAAAAATTTAAAATAATAATAAAAATTAATATTTAATATTATATTTAACAATATATATATATAATTAGTATAATATTTTTACTTAAATTAAAATTTTAAAAATATTATGAAAACGTACCTATAAAATAGAAAGGGCATATTGGGAGTCAAATAATCAATAAGACCCGACCCATAAATACAATCAATTTGTGACAGATAAATGTCACCAATCAAAAGTTGTAAAAGCAGTGCAAATTCTTCCCCTCTTACACACACACGTAAATATATTTTTATTATTATTAAAATAAAAATAATAATAATAATAATAAGTATAGTTTATAAATGTGATGTGACCATTGGTGAAGACAATTTTCTTCAAAGGGCCCCACAGGCCATACCAAAGAGAAAAAATGGGCCCCACACTTTGCAGCATGTGGGGCCCACAACTCACCTCAGAGTCTCAATCCATCAATATATATACATACATATATAAATGTATATAGGGGTAAATATGGAAATTTAAAAAATTAAATAGACTTAAGGGAATCTCTTGCTGTTGCTTAACAAGACCTCTCTCTATTTTTATATTGTTTTTTTAAATATTGCTTAATATATAGAGTTTTTAAATTACTAAATTATCATTCTAAAAAAAAAAGAAATATTGTGATAAAAAATAAAAAAAATAAAAAAAAGAAATTCGATGCATCGAGTCTTTGGATCACATAAGACAAAATAGCATAAGAATGAGAAAGGTTAATTTCTTACAAAAAAGTAGACATGAGAGATTTGGAAGTTTTAAAAAAAAAATAATTGATAACAAATTAAAAATTAATATTTAATTTAATATTTGCAAAAAAAAAGTAAAAATAATAGGAGTATAGTATTTAAAAAAAATTAAAATAATACTAAAATTCCAAAATAGTTGTCTAAACAAAGCTAGGGGGTTTTGTACACAAAAGTATTTTTGATTAATGTGTATAAAATTAATATTTTGTATTAAATTAATAATTTTTTATTTATAAAAAATTATATTATATATATTATATTAATATATGTGGATATTATATATTTTTTAAATAATATTATTTATGAAGAATTACGCTAACACTAAGTAAAAGAGACCCGCTTCAAACATGGTATCAACACATAAAACTATTTTCAAAAAATACTTCATGAGAGTAACCTTTGTATTGTTTCCTTTCTTCCAACTTATATATGTCTCACTTGCCATTTATATTTATTTTTCCATTTAAACAAATAATATTTATTTATAATATATATTTCCTTTAATCCAAAGTAAATTTTTAATTTTAGTTTGTTTAAATTAAAATTTTTAAATAAAAATAATTATCAATTAGATATCAAAATATTTGTACTTTATATTTTTTATATTACTTTTATTTTAATATAAAAGACAAAACAAATACTAAAATTACATTATTACATTATATATCTATAAAATATTAATTTCCTTTAATATAAATGTAAAAATCAAATAAAAAACTTATTAATGAAGGGAAGAAATATTTGATTTCGATTTAAATATCAATATCAAAATAGCATCATACATTTACCTTTTAAATTTAAAAATATTACTCCCTCCGTCCCACAACAAAGTATCTATTTTTTCATTTTAGTTCGTCTCATAACAAAGTATTCATTTCGTTTTTAGTAACTATACTATCTATCTAACATTACAAATCCCCTTACAACTTACAATATATTACACAAATGTCATTACCTTTATATCACACATACTAATAAGGTTATTTTAGTCATTTCTACTTTATTCCTACTATATCCCAATATAATACTAATATTTTTAAAACTACGTACAAAAAGCAAATAGATACTTAATTCCGGAACGGAGAGAATAGTATTTTAAAATTTACTCAAACTAATTAATTGTTATTTAAAACTATAATAATTTTTTTGTAATTAAAAACTATCTTCATTTCTTTTCATAAAAAATTTAAAAGTACATTTTTTTTTATTCCCTCTCCCATAGATAATTTGAACTTATTACTATAAAAATATAAAAATTTAAATAAAATATAATTAATAAATAATTAAAAAATTATATTAATAAAAAAAATTATTATATAGTAAAAATAATTATAAATTAAAATAACTAAATTAAAAATATATTAAATTTAAAATTTAAAACATAATTAAACTTTATAATCATATTTTTAAAAAATAAAAACAAATATATGTAAAACGAAATTATATAAAAACGGAGGGAGTATTTTTTTTATTAAAAAATAGTAGTAAATAAAAATAAGAATTAAATTAAATTAAATAGTTATAAGTGATGGATGTTTATTGAAAAGTGAAATTTCAATATTGACGATTATGATGCAGGTACATCCGCCTTCTCTTCTCTATCTATCTTTATTGTAGCAACAACAACAACAACTGTGTCAGTGTCTGCGTCACTACCCCCACCTCCACCCCACCCCACCCCACCCCACGTGAACTATGTCTGTCTGAACTCCGAACACACACACACACACACACACACCCATCTTTGATTTGATGCCAAGATTAGATCTCAGACATTCATCACTCATCCAACGATCCACATTCATTTCATTCCTTTTTCAAATTTTATTTTGTCTGCCCCCCCCGCCCCCCTCCTCTGCCCTGCCTCTGCCGCCATTGTTGAACTTCTCAAGCTCTCTCTCTCCTCTCTCTCTCTCTTACCAGTTACCACGCAAAATTGTCTATCTCTGTCCTAATTCTTCCTTCCTACAATAGCTTCCATGGCAGAAACGGACAATAATCCACAATTTGATTTCAGATCAGATCAGATCAGATCAATTCCATTCGTCAGAAGAATACCAATGCAAAGTTGGGGCCTGTTCCTCCGCGAACATCAATCCACTGCAAGATTCCTCCTCCCCATCCCCGAAGAAATCGTGCTCCTCAATTTTTACAAATTGACCACTATTATTACAATAATTATTATTACTACTGTGAGTCTGAAACGGCGTCGTTCCGAACGCCGTCGCCGCCGCCGCCGCCGTAGTCGGGCTATGGCTACTGTGATTCTCCTCGTTCAGAATCGCACTCGAATCGCTGCTGTCCGACGATCCATCCGCCGCCGCTGCACTGAAAAATATCGAATTAGGAATGATCTGTAGCTGCTGCTGCTGCTGCTGTTCTTGCTCTTGTTGCTGTCCTAATGTTAGAGAATCATCGTCCTCCGACGAAATTAGGGTTCCGGCGACAACAACATTCGATTTCTGCAGATGACGATGACGCTCATTCTGATCATGCTCATGTTCATGTTCATCTTCTGTGTCTGATTCCTCTTTCACACGCTTCTCACTCTCCTCCTCATTCAGCTTCGATTTCATCTCCCCGATCTGCAACATTCATCACATCCTTAAACTCCAACATTCACACCAAAAATTCAATCCAGAGCATGACACAACTACGATCTGAAAATCTAAAATATCTAAAACATTAAAATAAAAATAAAAAATTACCTGTTTGAGCAAAGCCTGATTGTCATGGTGCAATTTCTCGAAACTGAGCTTGAGAGAATCGTAGCTGGCTTTGAGCAAGCCGTAGTCCTTTTCAAGCTGCTTCGTCTTCCACCGCGCACGGCGGTTCTGGAACCACACCGCCACCTGGCGCGGCTGCAGCCCCAGCTCCTGCGCCAGCTTCACCTTCCTCTCCGGCTCAAGCTTATTCTCAACTTCAAAATTCTTCTCCAACGCCCGAACCTGATCCACGCTCAGCCGCCGCTTCTTCTCCCCGCCGCCGCCGGCCGCCGCCTCCTCCTCCTCCAGCATCGCCTGAAACTCCCTCCCATACGCTGCCGGATTATTACCATCCTCATCTCCCACTGTCCTCACAAAAAAATAAATCATCACAATCTCCCAAAATTTCCCCAAATTAAACAAACAAAAAAAAAAACAGTGAATCAAAGTACCTGTGGAATTAGGGCAAATCGACATCAAAGCACCCAAAGAGTCGCCGCTGCTGAGCCTCTTCATCGGAAATTTCAAAACACGATAAAAAAGTTAAAATCGAAGTGTTTTTTTCTTTTTTTGCTTTCGATTGATCGAGTTAAGTGTTCTTGTAGCTCAGTTAGAGATCGAAGGCCAAACACAAACAATCCCAAGCAGCCGCTGAAATTCTGTGAACACGAATATGCTTTAGCTCCTGTAATTTCTTACAGACTCCATTTTCTTTCATCAGTCCATCCATTACAACAAAATCAAAATCAAAATTCAAACCCAAATTGTAGTAAAAACCAGAAAATCAAAGCCAATTAATACATCAACATACGCACTGCCCTAACTTTAGACTTTAATTTTCTTTTTCTCTTGAAGCACAGAGAAATTGAAATTGAAATTGAAATTTTAGAGAAATTTTTGCGTGGGGTGGATGGGGGCTGTTACAAATTTCCCTGTGGGTTTAAATAAAACTGACTGGGGTTAGATATATGGTTGGGAAGTAACTAGGGTTAGAGTTAGGGGGTGTTCGGGTTAGGGGTCCATAGGCTCCATAGGCTATAGCCAAATGAAATGAACCCCAAATTCAGGACAAATGCAGTTTTCTTTTATTTTGATTTGGATCGTTAATTTGACGTATAAATGTTAAAAGGTGAGCTGTGATAACTGGGAATTTATTTTATTTTTTATAATTTTTTGCGGCGCGTGGCGCGTGGGTGCTGTTTGTTTCTTTGAGCTGAGCCTGAGCCGAGCCGTCTTCGGGATTTGGGCGGCGTCAGCGAATCACGGGGTTTTGGTACAGTGCGGCTGCAATGTGTATTTTTTTTTGGAATTTTCTAATAATAATAATAATTTATAAATAATGAATCTATTTATTTCGGGTTGGTTTGCTCAATTTTTTAAAATGTTATTTTTAATATTTATATTTTATTTTTTTCTAAATTAAGTATTTTGGTATAAAATATTATTTTTTATGTTAGAAACAAAAAATTTTATTTGTCACTTTAAAAAAAATAAAAATCAAATTAAAACACTAACTAAACAAAAAAACTTTTAGGGTGTTTTTGTTTGGGGTTTTGGATTTTAGATTGGAATTTGAATAATAAAAATTTTGAATTTGAATAATTGTATGATGTGATATAGAAGGTGTTGATGTGATATTTTGAATGTAAAATTGATTTTTAGTATAATATAAAAATAAAAATAGATGTTTGATTTGATGTTTTTGGGGGAAAAAATTGGATGAATAGTTATATTTAAATCCAATCCTCCAAACAAACAATATTTTTTATAGTGTAATTTTCTTAGGGTGTGTTTGTTTGGGGGTTTGGATTTTGAGTTGGAATTTGAATAGTAAAAATTTTAAATTTGAATAGTTATATGATGTGATATAAATAGGTATTGATGTTATGTTTTGAATGTAAAATTGATATTTAATATTATATAAAAAAAAATAAGTGTTTAATTTGATGTTTTTGGGGAGAAAAAATTGGATGAATAGTAAGATTTTGCATAAATCTTACAAACGAACACACCCTTAATAAAAAGTTGTATTAATTTGAATTTGAAATGATAAAAGATAAACACATTAGCTTTATTTATATGTACCTATTTTTTAGCACTATTTATATATTTCTTTCGTTCAAATTCAATATATATGTATTTTTTTTTATCAATTCTATTTGTCTCGCTAAAAAATATTTATTTTTAATAACAGCAAAATAAGTATAATTTAATAAAAATAACTATAGATTGTTATTAAAATGACTAAATAGTTTAATTAGAATATAAAAAATTATAAATTATAAAATTTAAAATGTGATTAAAGTATAATTATATTTTTAATTAAATAAAAAACAAATTATGTGAGATAGACAAAAATAAAAAAAAATTGATAAATTAAGTGGACGAATACAATACTTTTTAATGAAAATAGTAAAAATAGTATATTAAGAAAAAAATATATTTAATTCAAAAATAAATTTTTTATAGTAACAATATAAAATTAAACATCAAAATGCTTAAAAAATTGCATGTTAAAAAATTCAGAATTTTAGGATTTTTTTTAATGTGACATACACTTTAATACTCCCTCTGTACCCAAAAAATATCCATTTGCTTTTTACACATAATTTTAGAAATATTAGTATTATATTAGGATATAGTAACAATAAAGTAAAAATGACTAAAATAACCTTGTTAGTATGAGTGATATAAATTTAATGACATTCGTGTAATATATTTTAAGTTGTAAGGGTATTATCTGTAATATTATGTAGATAGTACAGTTACTGAAAAAAAGGAAATTAATACTTTGTTATGAAACGGACTAAAATGAAAAAATGGATACTTTGTTATGGGATGGAAGAAATACTATTTTCTCTATACAATTTTTTATCACATGAAATACTATTATTTTAATATTAAAATATTATTTAAATTAAAATTCAATTGAAATAGTAAATTTTAAATAAAAAACCTAACACACCCAATTATTTAGTTTGTGTGAGTATTAGATTCGTTTTGAGGTTTATCCGGTGGATATTTTCGGATACCGACTGCAGTTCTCGGGTCATAAAAATATATATATATTAAATAATGAATGGGATGCAAAAACTTTAAACAAACAGTATTGTGCCCTATTTTGGGAGTCAAATTAAAATACCAAACCTATTGAACTAAGGGGCAAGATTTATATTATTTAAAAGATAAAAAAATTTATATTAATTAGTAGATAGTGAAAGGTGGAAACTCCATTAGGTCCAAGAAAATTTAATGGTGAAAGCTTCATTGTATGTTTGATATGGCCTGTTTGTTTATTTTGATATTTTTTAAAAATAAAATAATATTTATTCGTCTCATTTTAATGGATATTTTTTTTTTATCTATTTTATAACAATTGACACATATTTATTTTAAGTAAAATATATTTAATCAAAATACACTTAACATATATTTCTATAAATTAACTAAATAAAATATAACATAATACAGAAGATATGATCCCTTGAAACTCTTTCATTTGTATATCTCTTACAAAAAAATAAATATTTTTGTACATTAATTGAATAGTTAAAATATTACTCTCATTGTCCCATAAACTCAGTTTTTTGTATCATTTAAATTTAACCATTATTTTGTATTCAATACTTATTTACTATATTGACATTATCATTACTTTCATTATATTATCTTTCTTTATTATCATTAATCACTAATTAAAATTTCAAATATATTTCAAAATATTTTTTTACTTTTATTATTATTTTGAAATAATCTATTTTTACCGGACTAAAGAGTAAGAGAAATACCTTATTCAACTCTAATCCTTACTATTCTTTTTCTTTTTAGTTCCGTAGGGCTTGTATTATTTATCAATCTTTTCATTCTAAAATGATCAAATTAATAGAGAATACTTATTTTTAATCTAATATATATTATTAAAAAACTAATTTTCTTTATAAAAATTTAAATCAAATATATATTTATATCACATTTTAAAACTTTTATTATTCTGAAATCCCAAATCAAAATTAAAACCCTAAAGGAACAAACGGACGTATTTATAAACATAAATACACATATAGCTACCTAATTTAATTTAATTTAATTTAATCTAATTTAATTTAATGAATTAATTAATTGTCTAGTCATGCATGGAGAAAGCTGGTCCGACTATATAAGAAAAGGCCAAGTTAGTCTTGGACATATGTATATGTCCCTTTCCTCTTTAATTAATTTTAATTTAATTTTATGTTTAACATTTGCAAAGGATTTCATGACACAGTCGCAATCAATTTTGGAGCACTAACAAAAGTGTGTGCAAAGGTGTTTTAGGCCTTCTTTTGTATTTTATTTTTATCTTTAAAATTTTTGAAGTAATTTTTTTATATAAAAAAATAAATATTAATATTATTTTATTTTATTTTTTTTAAGAAAATACAAAACAACACAATAAAGTCACGACAAAATTGAAGAAGTGGCTTTGAAATACTCAATTCAAAAGCTTACAAATCAGTAAAAAGTAGTATTCAAGAAAAATCATCTTTACCTTGCTTTTTAACTGTGTTTTTACCTCTTTAATTTGTTTTGATATATTAATAAAATATTATTAAAATCAAATTTCTGACTAAAATAAAATCAAAACTAAACAAACCCTAATTACATGTATTAAGGGAATAATTTTATTATAAATTATAATGGTAAATATGAAAGCCCTAATAAAATGTATAAAAATGAAATTGTGATAGCATGTTTTGGGTGTTTAATTATTTATTTGTGTTTTGTTATTTAATATAAGTGTATTTCAAAAAATAATAATAATAAAAAATAATGACCGAATTCAATGTTTAATATAGAAAATAAATGCGAGTTTAATAATAAACTCATAAAAATGGGAAGTAAAGAAAAAAAATATTAAAATATGGAAACCATGTATAAATAATAACAAAAATATAAGTGAAAAGGGTTTCATTATTTTGTGGAGTAAATTTATAAATAAATAAAATTCTCTGCAGAAAGGTATTCTTTTGAGTGTTATGGATGCCCAGCCCTTCTCCCCCATACTTTACTTTCATTTCATGCAGTTTATTTCAAAAGGCATAAAAAAGGAGTGTCGAAATAGTAGGGGGGCCCGGGACCCCAGAGCCAGGTGGATCAACACCGTTCCTCTCATAGGGGCCCCACCACATGATCAACGGTGTGGAATCAATAGATCATCCATCTTCTTCTGCTGCTACGTCCCTCTCTTCTGAAACCCTTATAAATTAGGGTTCATTCATTGCTCAATTTTCCCTTTCACAACTATTCTAAATTAAATAAATAAATAATTAAAATAAAATAAAATAAACCCAACTTCACCTCCCTGAATTTGTGCTGTGCTGTATCTTTTCAGACAACATGTGAAAATTTCATGTAGATGCCCTAAATTTTTGTGCACATACAAACTTACATCTCTCTGCATGTCACAACTATTGATTTCACCACCCTAAATTAAACACACACACATTCTCTCTCTCTCTCTCTCTCTCTCTCTCTCTCTATATATATATATATATATATATAGCTATACGTATAGATATAGAGGGGTGGATAGAGATAGATATTCCTATCAGTGTACAGTGAAGGGATAAGCACATACAGTGCATTGAAGCTAGGGTGAAAGTGAGTGACAGATAAGTTGTGTTTGTTTGGATTTTAGGATATATATTTTAATTTTAAATGTTAAAAATTTTGAATTTGAATAATTATATTATGTATTATAAGTTTATTTAATTTTGATTTGAAATTAAAATGTTAATTTAAATCTTGATTTAAATATAATTTAAATATAATATTTTATAAAAACAATAATACTATTACTTTTATTAAAAATCGTAAAAGATAAGTAATAAATTTTTATTTAAAATAAAAAATAAACACTCCTTATAAATTAATGTTTAGTACTCATTCCCTCTTAT